TTAAAAAAACTTATTTAAAGTTATAATTAATTATTAATCTATAAATAGTATTATTATTTTATTATAATAATTAATATATTAATAAAACTATATATTTAAAATATATTATAAGTTAGTTATAATATTTTTTAAAGAAATATTATATATAAATATTATAAGATAAAAATAACTTTAAGTAATAAAGTTAAAATAGCTTTTATAACTTTAAATTAATAACTTTTATTAATAAAATACTTTAAAAATAAAAGGATTTCTATATATATATTATATATTAAGAAATATAACTTATAGTAAGTAGCTAAAAATAAATAAATTTATAGGTTTAGCCTTATTAAATCTAATTAAATATTATTTTAAATAAAAGTTTTATTTAATTTATTTATTAATAACTATATAGGTTTAGCTAGGATATTTAAAAATATTTAACTTCTTATATTATTAATATTTTCTTTAAATACTATTTAAATAAATTAACTTATTTTTATAAAAATAATTTTATTTATAAATATAATTATATTATTTAAGTTTAAATTAGTAGTTAAGATTTTATAACTATTATAAAAATATTAAAAATAATTTATAATATAAGTTAAGTAAGAAAACTATTTATAAATTAAGAAGTAATTTAAAAATTTCTATATTTACTACCCTACTTAAAAGAATTAATTCTAGAATAGGCTACTCTTACTCTAACCTTAAAAACTACTATATATATTTAAATCTTAAAAATAATATTAATAAATTAAATATTAAAATAAATAAAATAAAGAAATAAGTTATTTAAGTAAATAAAGAAGTATATAGCTACTTTTAAATTATATATTACTATATTTAAAATAATATAAATAAAGCCTTTAATAAGTCTTTATAATTTTATTTATTATTAAATATATTAAATATAATAATAAAAATAATTTTATTCTAAATAATTAAAACTTTAATAAGTATTATAATAAATAATATATAAATAAAGTAAATAAAAATAGTAATATATATTTTATTTAAGTTAAAAATATAAAAATAAAGTATTTAATTAATAAAAAAGATATTAAAAATAATAAAACCCTTTTAAAAACCTAAAAATATATATTATTATTATTTTACTTAATAATTATTTATATTAATTACTTAAATATAATTTCCACCTTTATAGTTAAGGGTAATCTAACTAAAAATTACTTCCTAATTAAATATATTAAATATATTTAACATTAAGGTGGTCTACCGCCTTAATACCTCCTAAGTTATTTAAATTATTAATAAATTATTATACCTATTAGAATTAATAATAAAGATAGTTAAGAAAATATTTATAAAATTATTACTATTAATAATATCTTTTAAAGCAATTATTAGAATAACTATTTTAAAAAAGAATTAATAAATATATTATTATTTATAATAGTAAATTTAAGAATAATAAAAAGGAATTAAGCAATAAGCTATATACTATATTTAAATAATACTTTAAAATAATTTATTTTTAATTAAAAAAGTTATTATAAATAAACTTTAAGAAATTTAATAGAAAATTATAATTTAATTAATAAAATTTTAATTATATAAAAGACCTATAATATATAAATAAACCTAAAAATATACTATATATATTTTAAAAACTAAAATAATAAAAGTATTATAATAAGTATATAAACTATATAACTACTATATTAAATTTTCCACCTTATATTAGCTATATAAAATTACCTAATAACTAACTTATTACTTGAATATAAAAACATATTTAACAAACTATAAAATTTATATATTAATTAATATATACAACCCTTTAAAATATTACTAATTCTTATAGTTATTATAAAACTATAAAATTTACTTAAAACTAATTACTTAAAAATAGTTTATTTAATAAAATATAATAGATAAACTAATTTTATATAATAATAAACTATATATTAGGATTTATAATTAAAGGTAACTAAAAACTATTTATAAATAAAACTATTATAAATTAGTTTTAAAATATAACTATCTTTAAATATTTAAAGTAAATTTACTTTAATAATATAAAATATTTTATTTTAAAAATTAAAAGACTTTTAAAAAAAGAGTATAAAATTATATATAATTTAATATATAGTTTTAATCTATAAAAAGTAGAAATAATAGTAAAACTAATTAAAAAGAGCTAAAAATAAATTAAATACTATAACTATAAAAATTTTAAACTAATAACTAAATATATTTATAAATATTATAATAACCACTAACTCTAAAAGGTTAAAGAAAACTAAATATTTAACTATATAAATTATTTTAAAATAATTATTATAACTAAATCTACTTCTAAAATATATAATAATATAATTAAAAAGAAAAAGTTAAAAAAATATCTATACTAATAATAAAAGGAGGAATTAATTTAAAAAGTTTATAAAAGTAATATTAAATTAATAAAATATAATAAAAAAATAAAGGAATGTATTAATATAATAGGTAGTTAATAATATATTTAAAATTAATATTAAATTTAAAATAAAAAACTTATATAAAAAAGATATTTATAAAAAGGGATATAAAAGTAAGGAACTATTAGGTTAAATAGCTATTATTATAATTAAATAATTAATAAATAAAAAATTTTAAACTATATTAAATTAAATTATAAAAGATTATAATAAAAATATTAAGGATAATATATACTATTATAGAATTAAATATTAAAAAAAGTTTAAAAAAGTTTATATAATAAACTTTAAATACTATAATATATAATTAAACTACTTTAAGTAGGAGGTACTATTAGCTATAAGATTAGTTATAGAAATAGGGATAAATAAGGATAAGGCAATAGGTATAAGGTTAGTGGAAGTTAACCTTTAGGTGTTTATTATTTAAGTATTTAACTTAGAAAGAGTAGATTACCTTAGTAAAAAGGCCTTTTAAAGGGGGAGTTAAAAAAGAAATAAATAAAAAAATAATAAATAAAATTATTAAATAGAAAATTAAATTATATAATTAGAAGGTTAAAAAGGGTTAAATATTATTAAAGAAGAGTACTATAAGCTTAAAGGCTAATTATTTTAAACTATTATTTATTATGTATAAAAATGTATAAATTTACCTAATTACCTAACAACCCTTACCACCTAACTTTTTTTTTTTTTATTCCTTTTATTATAACCACCTACCTTCCTGTATAAGGATACCTTTAAGACAACACCCAACATTGGAGAGATTAGCGACAGGCAGAGGACAACAAGTATGAGCGACGACAAGTTGTGGCGGTAGCGCTAGGTGTAGGATTTGGTAAAATAATGTTTCTCAATTAATATAGACACCCTTAATTACTAAAAACCTCCTCCTAGAAGCTTTAATCTATATTAGAATAGACTAATTAATAATATAAATATTACTCTAATCTTAAAGAAGTACTTACTTAAAATAAATAATAATATTAAAGGTCTTACTAAAGAAATCTTATAAATACTAATATATATTACTATTATAATATAATTATATTAAAAAAGAATTATTAATTTTAAAGTTTAATTTAATATATTATAATAAATATTTAATTAAATTATATAAATAAATATAAAAACATTATAAAAGTATATTTTAAATATAAAAATTAAAAATATTTAAATAAATATATTTAACTTTTAATTTTAATAATTATTATATAAATAATTAAAGATTAAATAACTATAAATATAAATAAACTTATAATAAAATAAATAAAAATAATATTATTATATTAATTAACTTAAAAATATTTATAAATATATAATAGCTTAAAAAGTATAATACTTTATATAAAAAGGTTTAAAAGAATATAATATATTTATAATAAACTAATTAAAAAAGCTACTTAATAATAAAAATATAGAAACCTATAGGGAATATTAAGGAACAATAAAGCCTAAATTTAAATAGATAACTAAAATAGGAAGATCTACTAGGAATAAAGTTACTATCTTAAAAAGTATTATAATAATAGGTATAATATTAATATAAAAGGCTAAAAGTAACAACTTAAAGGAATTAAGGTATAAATATATATATAAATAGAGTTATAATTACTTTTATTTTAAAAGAGTTTATTATATATATATAAAATATATCTATTTAAATAAATTTTAAACAACTAATAATTACCTTACTACTTACAACCTTAATTCCTATTATACTTATACTAACTATTAGACTTATAAAGGGAATAATTATATTAAGAACTCTACTATAACATCCTATATAAATAATACTTTCTACCCCCCCTACTATTAAGTAATCTAAAGATAAAATATAGAGTAATAATACCTTTTTAAAAGAAGACTAACCCCCTTTTTATAAATACACCCCTATTAATAAATAAATAATTAAATTATTTTAAAAATATCCTTATATTAAGTTTATAAAGTATTTAAACTTTAATTAATAACTTTTATTTTAAACTATATATATTTAATTATTTAAAATATAAAATATATTTAATAATAATATTTTCTATAATAATAGATTACTTTTATTTTAAATATATAATAGATAATTATTTTTATTCTTAACTATTAATATTTATATAAAGTTAGCTAAAAATTTCCTAAAGCTAAATAAATTAATTAATAAAAATTAAATTAATAAATATAAATAAAATATTATCTTAAATTATAAACTATATATTTATAAAAACTTTAAATTATTTTAATTTAAAAATATTTATAAAAATAATATATACTATAAAAAAAATAAATAGAGTTATAATATAAAAAAATATAATATTAAAATTAAATTATATTAAAATATAAAAAAATATTTAAGGTTATTAAAAGTTAGGATTATATTTATTCTAAAATATTAATATACTATTTTAAAATATATAATTTTAATAATAACCTTATAGTCTTAACCATCTTTAAAGGTAGCATTATATAAGGTAGCTTATATACCATCTAAAAAGAGGGGTTCCTTCTCTAAGAGGAACTATTTCCTCTCCTAATTAGTTAGTTTTATTTTAATACTACAACACCACAATACACTTTTACTCTTTTGGTAATCGTTTGCTTTCCCATATTCAGAAGCCAAGCGAGTACAGGCTAGCCAAGACTTCCTTCCCATGTCCAGCAATGGGTCCCTTCTCATGCGAGCCGAATTCCTGGGACCCCGTGGTGTGGAGACCGGGCCGCTTTGTCTTCTCCCGTACCCTTCCTTCTTTGGCAAATAAGAAAATCACAAGACACACATACATACAGAATCAGCCGTCCCACTCGTCCGTCCGACAGAGACTTGCCTGAAAGCTGAGGCCCGGCTCATCTCATTCAGCCCCAGTCCAAGACCTCCTCACAAGATCTCAGCCACGGCCCAGACGAGCCCGCCAAGCCAGCACTGAATGGCTGGAGCCGTCGACGGGCTGCTTGGTCTCCTTGGCCCAGAGATCTTGGACCCGGAAGAAGGCTAGTAAGCAACTGCACCCCCGGGGCCAAGGAGTAATTTCACACGCGGGCAAGGCGGGGAGGCAGGGAGGGAGGGTGACATCGCGGTCAAGTGACAGCCAGAGCATGTGTGGGAGAGAAAACAGCTTCGTTGTTTCTGACTATCGAATCCTTTTGCCCCCCGAGCAGAAGCCTTTCTGCTCTTCTCCCAGAGCATCCCATCCAACAACGAGCTGGGCATCGTCGACCCGAAGTCATCCACCGTCGAGCTCACCGTCAATGGCCGTGACCTGACCGTCACGCAGTCCCCCAGCGTCCTGTCGTCAAACAGGGCTGGGGGGACCACGGGGGCAGGTACGTACAGCTCGATCCTTGTCACCATATCACCACCACCCACTTCATGAGACACGCTGATGCGTTGAGTCCGCAGTGGTGTGGAAGGTAACGCCCATGTTCGCCTCCTGGCTAGCCTCACCCACAAACATCCTCTTCCGGGCCGGCGTCCTCTCATCATCCTCCACCGTCCTGGAGTTAGGCTGCGGCGTCTCCGCCGTGGTAGGCCTCGCCCTCGCCCCGCTCGTCTCCCGCTACGTGCTGTCAGACCAGCCCTACGTCGCCCGGTTCGTAGAGCAGAACCTGGAGCAGAACCGGAAGGCCCTGGCACCGTCGGGTAGGCAGCACCAACCCGCCGGCAAGCGCGGCAAGGGGGCCAAGGCTGGTGGTGCTTCTTCCTCTTCGTCGTCGTCATCAGGCACGGGTGCGGCCGGGAACATAGCCTTCCACCCCCTAGACTGGGAGGCCGACACCCCGACCGCCGAGCTAACCGGGCGCGGCGCGGCAGCGAGGTCCTTCGACCTCGTGCTCGGCTGCGACTGTGTCTACAACGACGCGCTGGTCCAGCCCTTTGCGCAGGCGTGCCTGGACGCGTGCCGGCTGCGGTCCGTCGACGGCGACAGCGGGGAGCCGTGCGTGTGCCTTGTTGCCCAGCAGCTGCGGTCCCCGGACGTCTTCGAGGCCTGGCTGCGCGAGTTCTGCGCCAGGGGGTTCAGGGCCTGGAGGGTCCCCGATGCCGAGCTGCCCGAGGGGCTGAGGAGCGATATGGGGTTTGTCGTCCACGTCGGTGTCCTCAAGTGAGCGGGGGCGCGGGTGTAATGATGATGCGGCGGGAGCAATGCGGAACCCGAGGCTGGCATGTTGCTTGTGAGGTACTATGGCCTTCGCAGGTATTTGAGAACGCCCCAGAGAAGTTGATGTTTGGCCCATATGAATCCGCATTGTGTAAATCGTATCGCATTCAAGAGCAGCTATGGTGGCGCGCCAGACCACTAGTACTCACGGCAAAGTCATTGGCATGCAAGCATTTCACGAATAGGTCACTGCACAAGCCGGAGGCGCATTGAACGTCACACGTATTCATTACTCCCCGTTTCCAGGGGTCGCTAAATAATCCTTTTGTGATTTTCCACTCAGAAACACCGACAGGAATGATGATGGGCCTGCGGTTTTCACAACATGTGGCCCGTGGGCTCGCCAAATAAACATTTTAACCGCATGTCGTTCCAGACATTGTAACGCCCAAACAGTGAAACAAAATAGCAGTCTGTGAAACTACCACTCCAGCGGCTCCTTCTTCTCCTCGCCACGATTTGTGGTCGGGACGGGGACAGCCTTCGCAGCGAGCTTGCCGCCCTGGCCCTTCCTCTTGAGGTACGAGGTGCCGTCGAGCCACGGCGTCTCGCGCGTCATCTTCTTCTCGAACTCGGAGATCTTGTCCTCCATCTGCAGGGTCAGCCCGATGTCGTCGAGACCGTTGACCAGGCAGTGTTTCCTGAACTCCTCGACGTCGAAGCTGCAAATGACGTTGCCGGAAGCGTCCTTGATGGTCTGGTTCGGCAGGTCGACCTCCACTTCCCTGCCGGCACGGGCTTCGGCGGCGATGGCGTCGAGGTGGCCTTGGTCCTTGATAGGAATGGGTAGCATGCCGTTCTTGAAGGTGTTGTTGAAGAAGATGTCGGCGAACGAGGGCGCGATGACACACCTGATGCCGAAGTCATTCAGGGCCCAGGGGGCGTGCTCACGAGAGCTACCGCACCCGAAGTTGGGTCCAGTGACGACGAGGATCTTGGCATTCCGGTATGGCTCCTGATTGAGGACGAAGTCGGCGTTCTCCTGTCCGTCTGGGTGGAAGCGCAACTCGTAGAACAGAGCAGAACCTAGCCCGGTCCTCTTGATTGTCTTGAGGAATTGTTTAGGAATGATGGCATCGGTGTCGACATTAGACCGCTCCAGGGGAGCAGCAATGCCCTTCAGGTTGGTGAACTTCGGGAGGCCGGTGGATGAGCCACCAGCAGCAGCAGTGTTGGTGTGGGGCCCGTTGTCGTCCTTGGGGATGTCGGCGAGGTTGTCCTTGTCCGATTCATCGCCAGACAGGTTCTCGTCGTGTTGAGGAGGCTCCGGTGCTGCCTTGAATGCCTCGATATGGGGGCTGGACTGGTACTCAGTCAGCTTCCTCACGTCAGCCAGCTTGCCAACGATAGCGGCGGCGGCAGCCATGACTGGAGACATGAGATGTGTTCGCCCTTGAGCTCCCTGGCGACCTTCAAAGTTGCGGTTGCTGGTGCTTGCACAGCGCTCCTTGGGTGACAGAATGTCGGGGTTCATGCCGAGGCACATACTGCACCCGGCCTCGCGCCACTCAAATCCAGCTTCGGTGAAGATCTTGTCCAATCCCTCGGCCTCGGCCTGGTCCTTGACAATTCCTGAACCCGGAACGATCATGGCCCTCTTGATGTTGCTAGCAATCTTCTTGCCCTTGACTACTGACGCAGCAGCGCGCAGATCCTCGATTCTGGAATTCGTGCAGGAGCCAATGAAGACCTTGTCAACAACGACATCCTCCATTGGGGTGCCAGCGGTGAGGCCCATGTACTCGAGCATTCGACGTGCGGCCGCCTTCTTGGACTCGGTGCTGAAGCTCTCGGGGTCGGGAACGCTGCCGGTGATGGGCACGACGTCCTCGGGGCTGGTACCCCAAGTCACCGTGGGGATGATGTCCTTGGCATCGATAAAGACGTCGATGTCGTACTTCGCACCTGGGTCGGACTGCAGGCTCTTCCAGTAGGCGACGGCACGGTGCCACTCCGGAGAGTTGTACTTGGGGGCCAGAGGCCTACCCTTGAGGTACTCGAAGGTGATGTCATCGGGGGCGACCATGCCGGCTCTCGCACCACCCTCGATGGACATGTTGCAGATAGACATACGGGCCTCCATGCTGAGGCTCCGGATGGCAGAACCACAGAACTCGATGACGGCACCGGTGCCGCCGGCGGTTCCAATCTTGCCAATGGCGTGGAGGATGATGTCCTTGGAGCTGACGCCGGGGGCCAGCTCTCCGTCGACCTGTATCCTCATGTTCTTGCTTCGCTTTGTGATCAAGCATTGTGTTGCGAGCACGTGCTCAACCTCACTGGTACCAATGCCGAAAGCGAGGGACCCAAAAGCACCGTGGGTTGAGGTATGGCTGTCACCACAGACGACTGTGGTGCCGGGGAGGGTGAAGCCCTGCTCGGGGCCGATAACGTGGACGATGCCTTGCCTCCTGTCGCTCAGGCCAAAGTAGGTGAGACCGAACTTCTTGACATTGTCCTCCAGGGTGACGCATTGTACCCTTGAGTCGTCCTCCTCGATAAAGCTGGCGATGTCCTTGAGGGCTTTTCTGGTGGTGGTTGGGACATTCTGGTGTCTCGGTCAGCGCGCAGATTACATCAAGGCCGAGCCAGCACATGGGGTAGATGGGGGTTCAACGCACGTGGTCGGTGGTGGCCAGGGTGCAGTCAGGCCTGCGGACCTGACGTCCGGCCTTCTCCAGACCCTCAAAGGCCTGGGGAGATGTCACCTCATGGACAAGATGTCTGTCTGTCAAGGATGGCGTCAGAATTTGCTGTTGCTAGGCGGGTGCGTCATCGACGGGAACTAACCAATGTAGAGGAGAACTGTGCCGTCCAACTTCTCATCCACGATGTGTGCCTGCAGCACCTTATCGTAGAGAGTCTGCGGTTGCCCCTCTGCTCCAGGCATGATGGATCAATTGAGTTGTGGGTTGCAATGTGGCGGTTGAAGCAGGTTGCGGGATGCTCAGGGGAGCTTGCAGAGTATCTCGGCTCCTGAGAGCTTCGTGTAAGTGGCTGATGGCTGAGCACCGGGTGACGGGGGAATTTTTGTGACAATTGATAGCCCGTCGGAGAAGGGGGGAGGCAGAGAAGGGGGTAGGAGAGTGGGAAAACGGAACGAATCTCTCTGAAGCTGAACGGCAGGGAGGCGATTCAAATACTGTAGGCACCAGGGGCGAAGCCTCTTAAACAGGAGGCTCACGGCAAATACCAGCGATTGAACATTGTAGCCCGAGTGCCCGATCATCGGAGGCACATCAGCAGCTCCGGTTCACGGAACGCGGGGAGGGACCTCGCGGGGGGCCAAATTGGAAACTAACGTCAAGGCATTGGCTGACAGGCTGCTAGCGGCAGGGGCTTCCCTGGAGGAAGGGTCCACTTTGGCGGGGTCGGTGGTGGCTTTCAGAAGGCTCCCCTTTTCAGGCAAGGCGCCTGGATGCATCTTCTGTGCAGCAACACCCAGGGCAGTCAGGTACACTTGCCGGTCAACAGGCTAATAAAGTGCATATGTATGCCTCACAACATTCAATCACAGTACTGCCATCTGCAGCGAATGGGCACTAAACCCCGCCCTTCCCCTCCGTAAATTGAACACCCGCTAGACCTTAGACGATGCCTCTGTTTCCGGCGCTGCTGCGGTGAAGAAGAAACGAACCTTTGCGAGCGAAGCCGCAGGTGGGTCTACGGTGTACTCCGTACCATGTACACTTTTGTGTCGCATCGCCCATGTTCAGAAGCCGGGGTAAACTCTATGCAACGGCATGTGGCGGGAGCACTGACTGGCAAGATCGGTCCGGATGAATAATGCGGTCTGCACTTTTGATATGTTGAGAGCACTCGTGGTAAACTCCCAAGTGCTCTTCTACTTGTAACCAGCCACTCAGAGTCTCCTCGTACCGTGTGAGAGATCAAGTGACCCACCCGCGATGCGGCTATCAGGACCGCATACCTGCATAACGTACAACATCTACCTACTATATACAGTACCTTTGATGTGACCGTGGTCAGTCTTTCGGCCTTTGCCTGTGGTGCTCTGTATCCATCCGCGCACAGTAAGACGGAAGGCTTTGCCCCCTTCCCTGCCCAGAGGACATGCTGTTTTTGCGGAACAAAGAAAACATCCCATTGCGGATTTCTCAGATTTTTTCGCAAGATTTTCTGGACCCTCCCCGGTTCCGTAACTGAATGCACCTACTGACGTCAGCCCTGTGGGCTGAGCCGTCGCTACCCTTGGACTGGGTTTCTCATGAGGCTGTTGACTAAATAAATGTCTGCAGGTCAGCCAATAGCAGTGGGACATTGACATCTCTTTCTTTTCCCTACCCCTTGCACGAGAATATCATGCCAAGCTGTACTACACACGCGTTGGTTGCTTTTTTGACACCGATATACGGCCTTGGGGCATCGAAGGATCTCAGTGCAACCAGGCGAGAAATCTATATGCAAGGCGGGTTCGGCCCGGCGCGCTTCGCTAAGCCACCTCCATATTATCAGAGATCCTGGGACATGGTGACAAATACAGCTAACCCAAGGCCACGTTCAGTGTTCACACTGGCAGTACACGGCTGCGACGGCCTGGGAAAGGGAAAGAGGGTTCTCTGTGGTTGATGCTTTTGACCCACTTGGTCAGGTCGTCTATTCATACTCTAATAACAAATGCGCCCCCCCCCCCCTCTCTCAACTACCCATCTATGAAATAGCGACGGTTCGTGTTGCGCGACGGAGGCCTTCTCGCCTCGGCCATTCCCTCTACGTCGCTCTCGTCCGGGAAGGCAGCCAGCCTGTGTTTGTTTTCCGCCTTCTGGAGCGGTGGCCTCTGTCCCGATGACCGGAGGCTCGGCATGGACTGGAGTGCCACAGAATCGGATAGGATCCAGTAGTGATGGTGGTGCGTGTGGAGACATATCTTGCCTCCGCCGCCTTTCTTACCGTCCTGGTTGTAGGTGCTTTTGCCTGGAGACATCTTGTCACCGCTGATATTACTGCCAGCGTCTCGTCGTTGCAGAGCCGAAGATGAGGACCGCATTTCCGATGTCTTTGAGTCGGCTGCACTGGCCGCACCGCCGTGAAGCCCGCTCTTCCTGCTGGTTTGCTGGTCTGTGTAGTATTCGTAGGTCATGGAACCTGGCGCGGACGGGTCGAGGTCTGATTCTGGTGTAGACCTTGACCTGAAATCGAGGGCCGAGGAAGTGGACCGCTGTCGACCACTCGTTGTCGTAGATCTGTCAGGCCGTCGGCCACGACCTGGAGGCACACCGTGATTTCCTGCCCTGGCCTTCAGAGCTCCGACGGCAGAGACAGAGTCTGATGGTGCAATCTCGGTCCCCACGCGTCCACGGCCTGGCTGCTAACCATTTGGTTTCGGGCCAACTCGGGGGGGTTTTGGAGACGCTTCGCTTGGAAACTCCGACTCGACAGGTATCAAATCACTGTAGCTGCGTTTCGATGACAGGGCGCGAGCCTCTGCAGACAGAGGCACAGGTTTGCGCCTCAAGGCGCCCGCGGTTCCAATGGTGCGCGTCTTCTCACTCTCATCCTCAGAAGCATGCCTCGCAGAAGGCGTCCGCACGACCGTCCCGGTAGAACCGCCACCCCGGGGCGTCGAGGCCGCACTGCTGCTCTGCGCGATGGGGCTCAGCGCGGGCTCGATCGCCGAGCTCCACCCGGACCTGCGCTTCGTCCACCTGACGTTGTTGCGGTGCAGCTCGGCCCTGACGGCCTCCTTGTCCCGCTCCCACTTCCGCATCTTCTCCGCCTGGAGCTTCCTCCTCGCGGCCTCGTACGCGCCCTTCCTGTCCGCCACCGTGCGCGCGAGCGACGCGAACTGCGAGGGGGTGTTGTTGCTGCTGCTGCTGGTCGGCGTGAGCACGTCGAGCTCCCCCGTCGCGGGGTTGATGCCCTGCACCCCGAGGAAGTCGCCCGACTCGCGGAGGCTGCGGCGGCGGCGGCGCTTCTCGCGGTGGGCGAGGTACAGCTGCTGCGTGCGTGTGCTGGGGGTTGAGATGGAGCTGCGGCTGGGTTCTATGGCTGTGTTCCAGCGGACTATCCTGTCTGAAGTCTCGTCGCTGAGACATGGGATAGACGTCTCTTGTTTCTCTCTTGTGTGTGCATCGTCTCGAGACGGTTCGGAGAGAGTGTTTCTCTGCGCGCGTATGGCGTGGCCTTTCTCAGGTCTGTTGCTGGGGAGGAGTTTCCTGAGGCTGCTCGCAAAAGACATGCTGTAGGTGGGATACGTCTAGTACAGCGAGGGCCTTGGATGATGGACGGACAGGCAAAGATCGTGGTCTGGACATCCTCGCCCGGTATATAGGTTGGGATCTTACTGGGAAGGAACGACCGCTTGGCCATTTGTGAAGATGTGTTAATTCGGAATGCAAGAACTGGCTGCGGCAACTGCTTGGTCATGAAAAGGCATTTGGGCATCCACTGGCACACAAGAAACAGGAATACGAACGACTGGTAAAATTTTCAGAATAAAGCGATTAATTTGTATTCCTCGAGGGACCTAGATTGTTGTTGAGGCGACTGCCAGAAAAGCCACAGCAGCAACGGAAACGAGAGAAATAAAGGGGAAGCACGAAAATGCCAGTGCCCAGACCAAAACAAGTATTCCCTTTCTGCATGCAACGCCATGATATGCAAGTAGATAATGTTCTGGTCAATCCAGTCTTCCAGGCCAGGCTGCATGTTAGTTGTCAGTGACCGTCATCCACGCAATTCCCGTCCCATCTTCGCCCCTCGTAGTCAGACTGTAGGCTGTGCGCGATGACAACCAAGTGAAATAAAATCAACGGTTTAGTTGCGGTGCGCTTGGAGCATAGTTTTCCGAATTGTATCCTTCCATACACGCCGGCACTAAACGCTTGACACAAGTGCGACTTCACCACTGGCACTCAACAAGGCCTTGGATGTTTGTTGGCCAGGCTGTGGGGTGTTGATGGCATGGTCTCGTAACCTAATACGCCTTGCAGGGTCAATCAGGCCCGATTCACCACACTGCTAGCAGACAGCCCGAAGTCGCAAGCAACTTGTAGTAAACGGCCTCGCCTGGGCGAGGCTTCTATTCGCGTGGCTTTCCGGCGATAGAAACCTAACAGAAGGTTCGCCTACCGCATCAAGGGGAACCTCTCGTAACGACTACGGTGGCGTCCCATGTTCGCGAAAGGGTTCGGGCTGGACTCGGGCTCCTCTCCCGCCGGGCCGTCAAGCTGCTTGCTTGAGGCCAGCCCGCTAAGGCGCCGTTCCTTGACCGGGCTGCTCCTCCGCAACATCTTCTCCGTCTGCTCCTTCTGCTCCATGGCAGCCAGCTCCCGCGAGTTCCGTGGTGACGAGAAGAAGTTACCGCCTCCTCGGATGTCCGCCAAGCTGGCTGCTTTCTTAAGAGGTGAGTCTGCGTGACTGTACACGCCCAGACTGCCTCCATAGGTTGTGCCCGTGCCCGTGCCTGTGTCTGTAGCGGAGTCTTGCATCGCAGGCTTCTCCGGCGACAATCTCGGCGTCCTGGAAGCTGCCATGCTTTGCCGCATGGGCGACGGGCGTGTTTTGTATGAGGATTCGTACAGCGAGTGTGGCTGAACCTTCCTGGCCGGAGTAAAGACTGCGGGACTCGGCGACCCCTCCGGAGGTGCATAATAGCCCGAGCCATCCGGATCAAAATGTTTTGCATAGTTTCGGTTTGGGTGAGTCTGAAAGCGGCGTCGAATCAGGGTCGTAGGTGTCCCTACCTGAATGTCTTCCCATTCGTTTCCATCCTCGTCCTCTCCGACCTGAGTGCCCACGTCTCGGACCACTGGAGGGTTAAGACGCGGGTGCACATATTTGTTGTCATACTCTTTCAAGACCTGACCCTTGACGAGCTCGGAATCCTTCTTTTGTTGGCTGAAACAAGCCTCCAAGGCCAACAAAAGGCCAGAGGTTGCAGCCTGCTGAAAAAGGCACTTGAAGACCGTCACACTTGGTCGGGGATCAAGTGGTGTCAAAGGAAGCGTCATCATGTATATTATCACATGTAAGGGGCTGAACAGGCAGACCAGTTGCAAAGATGCTGGCACTGGATCCCACATCCGCAGCTCCCATACGTCGCGGGTCCTGTCGGGATGGGCACGAGCTTCGGCAGTTTCGCCCGCGATTTCGGAGAGTATCCGTAGTGGGGTAGAGCCAGATGGTGAGGACTGCACTCGCACGCGATGGGCGGAAGTGGTGTTGAGTGGTTGTTCGACATCGGCCTCGAAGAATCGGTATGCGCGGGATCGCGAAAACGCGTAGTAGATGTTCCAAATCGAGAAAGCAACGAGTTCCCACGTTATCGTCCGTGCCTAGAGAATCAAAAAGTCAACAGGACGGCATCAGCTGCGGTAAAGGGTAGCCATGAGCTTACAAACCATGCAAGCCAGCCCGAGGAAGTGCTGGACTCATCATCACTGAAGATGTCGTCGGTGCCGCTGTCTGCCGAATACGATCCATACACACGCGCAAGGATGAAGACAAGATTGCATGCCACGCCGACCTGGTTTCCCAGCGACTTTGATCCGAAGTTTCTGGTCTCGAACTCTTCGGACAGCCAGAGGGCGTAGTCCCAGGGGTCGAAACGGGCCTTGATGCGCTCCCAGAGTGGGCGGCGGCGGACGATACGACGGGGAGGCATCGCTGCGATGGAATCAAAAATGACTTCTTTCTGATTGCATCAAGGTCATTCGTGACGCATCCGTATGCGCCACTCGTGGCTGGATGCCGGGTGCCGGATGGTGGATGGTGGTTGCTGGTCGCAAGTCTGTAGTGGGAGATTTAAGAGAAGAGAGCTGGGAATTGTTTACATTGCTCTCGGGCAACGTAACCAAATCGGACAGGGGGTAGTTACGGCAGGCCCCACTGATGACTGTCTACTATCGCTTTGGGACAAGCAAGACGCAGAGATGGCCCTTGGGGTAACCTGCCGCGGAATTAACGGTGAGGGACAACATTCCAGCAGGATAAAACCGAAAAGGGGAAGTTCTTATGTACTGTACGGATTAGTGCCTGAGATGTCGAGAGCTCCCAAGAACAAGGAGAGCCCCCTCCGCTTGCGGCCTTGCGGCTGCATTAGGCAGCTGGCCAGGGATCCAGGCATCCTCGCCCTGCTTGCGCTGAGAATCAGGCCTCTCTCTGCAAGATCCTCTTTTACTCCAAGTCTACCATGAATTGTGACAAGAGCAACCAGCCCCAGAATGTAGCGGGGATTTGGCTTGACCCGAGTTGCTGTGACCAAAGCGGTATCTTTGTGATTTCAAAATAAAGAAAATACAAGCTTTGCTGAGGTGTCTGCTAGCTACCACAGTATCTATCCTCTAATCGCCCATGGCATCACCTCCCATGGAATGATCTCTAATAGGCCAGCCTCCTAAGGGGTCAACCTCCAACAGGATAACCTTCTGTGCAACCCACTCCCATAGGACCATCCATATAGACATGGTTTCCGTACGGGCCACCTCTTACAAATAGAAGATTCTCCTTGTGAAAATCTCTGGTTGGAAGGCTTTGTGCAGAACAACTTCCTAAAGAATAGGAAACCGGAGTTGGGTGTCCATATCATGCTGCAATTGGTCTGCTGGGCGTTGAACAAAGCTCTGAACGCCGGCAGGCTTTAGGCTTGCTGGTTTCCAAATTTAGCGGGCGGGCAGGCAGGTCGCCAGCTGAGTGGGATCCGGTGGTCAGAGCTCCGAGCCGCCTGGCGTCATTACCACAGTGCCAGCCATAACTTGGGGCGGGCGCAACATCACCGACAGCCTGTCTCAACTCCAACCCGTCCTTCTCGCGCGACAGAACCGATCAATATGTCACAGGCAGACTATAGAGACAGGCAATTTCTTGCCGTGATCGGTGACGAGGTACGATCGCCCACTGCCCCTGGCTCAAACGTCGCTTGCTTGGCTGACCGACTTCCAGGACTCGGTAACCGGTCTGCTCCTTGCCGGCATTGGTGTAAGTTTCTCGGAGGGCATGAGGCGGGCAGGCCGTACCTGACATCCAGGCAGCATGTGACGGCGGGCCCAGACTCACAGAAGAACTTCCTGGTGGTGGACAGCAAGACCGACAACACCACCATCGAGTCCACCTTCGACAAGCTTATTGAGCGCAAGGACATTGGCATTATCCTGATAAACCAGCACGCAAGTCATATCTGCTTCGACCAAGCCGTGGACATATATGTCTGACTCTTTCTGTTCCAGATCGCCGACCGTATACGCCACCGCATCGATACCTACACCGCTGCCTTCCCAACCATCCTTGAGATACCCAGCAAAGACCACCCTTACGACCCTGAGAAGGACAGTGTGCTGCGGCGGGTGCGCCGCCTGTTTGGAGAATAAGGCGGGACGTTCTGGAGGCTAGATGAATTCTTGTCATGTGTGGGGGACTTCCAGCAACGAGGTGGCGGGTGTGGGTTCCCGTCGAACGAGATATCACGAATCATGGCAGACGGCTTGACTCCCTTTGAAAGGGACATATGGCTGGTATTGGGCACAGCCCTCGTCTCAGTACGGAAAGGACATTTGAGGCTTGCTGAGACGGTAGGAAGAACATCCGGCATCCTGACTAACAGGTTGAGATTCTAAGCGCATGCAAGCATATACATCACTGCTCGTCACCATGTTCTTCATATGTTTGATGCGGTTCACTCAAGTCATGACAATATGGTTGGCATACATCTTCTTCGCCCAAAAAAGAAGCACACGGACACAACACAAGAGCCCCATTAATCGCAGGTTGTGGTATTTAGGAAACGTAACAAGAACGCCGGCCCCTAATGTTTCACAGTAGGCGAATGCAACCCCCAAATCAAGACATTCCCCATCCCCTTCGACTGAAAAGTTGCTATCATATGTCACATACCCCGGCTGAGTGAGCCATCGTGCGTCTGACCGACCCCCTACAGCTCGATCTCAGCGTTGCCGGAGCTGAAGACGACAGTGGCGGTCAGGCAGGTGATGGGCTTGTCATCCTTGGTGTAAACGTCGGCGAGAACAGTGTATTTGCCCTAGGCGCGATGGTTAGCCAGACACGTCGCGAACAGATAAGGGCCGCGATGGTTCTCACGTTGGGGATCTCCTTGGGCAGCTCGACGGTCTTGGTGAGGGTCAGGTCGCCAGAGTCGATGGGGCACTCGAGATCGACGTTCTTGACCTGCTCGCAGAGGTCGGCCTTGGTGCTGATAAGGCGAATCAGACCGTACTTGACTTGCAGGGCAACGTAGGCGCCCTCCTCGATGGGCTCGGAGACGGTGCCGGAGGCCTTGATGACGAGGTCATGTCCACTATCACGGAAGACAAGAGGGTTAGCACAATAGCTCTGAGTTGGCTGTGGGTCCATATCGGTGTCTCCTGGCCGGGTGTCGCACGTACGCCTTTGGTGGGTTTGGCACCAGGTCAACCTTGTCGATGGTGATGATATCCTCCTCGTGTGCCTTGGGGCACAGCTCGAGGGGCGAGTCGCCAGGGATCTTGAGGTCCTCGTTCACGGTGACCTTGTTGCCCCCGAAGTTGAGACCGAAGCCGGCATGGGCGACGGCGGCGGAGAGCGCGACAAGCGCCGCGGACAGCCTCATGGCGAACGAAGGCTGTAATCGAAGGTGGGATAGCGGCCTGGGGGCTCGGTGTTCAGTACCTGCTCGAATGGCAGAGTATGCGAAAGCGATCGGATTTTGGACCAGCACACCAAAAGAAGGATGATGGGTTCCGTGGATGTTGTGATGCAAAAGAAGACCCGGGTCGAAGTTCGCTGGAGCGGCCGATGGCGTGCACGGGGGACTCCAGCTAACGGCGGCTACCTGTGGCGGGAGCGGGCTGGACGTCATGGGGTCGGCCCCATGACTATACGGAGTAGTGTACGGCGGCTTTTGGGGCGATCTATTGCTGGCACCCTGCCGTCAGCCACTCACAATCCAGGCCTGCCCCAGCCTCTGGGGGGCCACCAAGAATGCAGTGCGCGGCCGGCAGGAGGTCAGCCAGCCAGCCATGTGCCTGACCCGCTACAGTTACAGAAGGCCTGAGAGGGTTTCATTCGCGTCATCACGCTCGCTCTCGCAATGGCTTTGTTCGAAACTCAAGCCAGTTGGAAAGATGACCCGGGCACTTATTACACTCTTTGTCGCCGCTGAACTGTCACACCGACAGCTACCACGTTTGGATCAGGTCTACTGTTTTCAGTCCGGTGGGGAACCGTCTTCGACATCCTTTGCGGTGGTTCGCGGTTGGACAGACCAGACGGAGCAGGGGACCTTGGCCTCAACAGTTGGCCTTGCCAGGTGCCATCGAGAAGAGGTGGAACCCAAACGAGGCATCCAAATTATAATTGATTTCTTCCATAAACCAACCGGTTGATTCTACCGGTGCTCGTTGCTCCCGCAAGCAAGGCTGCAGACTGTGCTGTGCTGGCAAAGAGAATGATGGTTATTGCTGTGATTACAGTGGCTGACTTGCTGACTCTAGTACGGGTTGAACCACGATCAGAGGCTATGTATGCACGATGTTTTGGGACCAAAAGTAACCACAGCAGTAATTATTAGTGTTGTGCTACATATATTCAAGGTATTCCAGGCCTTGACAGGGGTAGCTTCTCTAATTGAAGCACGGATCAAGATTTCGTTCCCACCCGCCCGTTAGCCGTGGTACAACAAGTAAAGGTAGGCAAGCTAGACTGTGCAATGTACACGACTCATAAAGCAAGGATATGAGCTTTAAGCCACCATGACGTGCGTGGTGTTCGCGGGCCCTGATTTTCTGCCCTCACCACCATCGTCACCCTCACCCCTCGACCCCTCAGCCCTTCCTACCTGAGTACATATTAACAGTCCACCAATTCCTCTCTTGGGTAACCTACCAAGCCTCGGTTATTTCCCCGTTTCCACATCCTTTACAAGCTCCACAGCCCTACAGCGTCCCTACTTCAGCAGTATGGCCACCCTGCGGAGCTTGTACAGGTCGGATCATGCTGATCGACCAGAGCTCAACACCAACTTCAAGTTAGTCGAGGGTCTTGAGGCTTGATTGTTCTGTACAATCTGACAATTTGCAGTGTTGACTATGTGATCCACTACCAAATTCCGGCGGAAGGTAAGCCCCGAGGCTGAAGTGCGGCATCAACGCCAGAGAGCTGTGCTGACACCACAACAGATTCCACCAAAGCCGAAGCTGCCTTTGTGCAACTTGTCGAAGCACTTTCCAGCGTGGGGCTTGCCACGGAAGTCAGGCGAGGCGACGACTCGTCCGTCCTGGTCTTCGTAAAGGTTGCGTCCGAAGACCTGCTTAAGCAGCATGCGTATCGGTACAGGGTCCAGGACTGGCTGTACGGCATTCGCACTTCGGCACCGAGCAAGGACCTTGGATCCTGCTTCCAGGAGCAGCCTGTCTCCGAGGCTGAGAGGCTGAGGCTTGTCTACCTCCTGATCACGAAGCCGCGGAACGAGGGCGGCGCCGGCGTGACGCCCGGGTCCGGCCAGTGGAAATCCGTCAAGTCCGTCTTCCCACTCCACAACCACGCCTTCAACAGGGAGTGGATCAAGAAGCTGAGCACCAAGTACTTCATCGAGGAGGACGACATCAACCAGATCCGCGACAAGTTTGGGGAGCAGATCGCATTCTACTTTGCCTTCTTGCAGACCTACTTCTCATTCCTCATCTTCCCTGCTGCCTTCGGTTTCGGCGCGTGGCTTATTCTCGGCCAGTTCTCATGGTTCTATGCGGTGGTGAACTGTCTGTGGTCCGTGGTGTTCTTCGAGTACTGGAAAAAGAAGGAGGTTGATCTCGCTGTCCAGTGGGGTGTCCGGGGTGTCTATCGTATCCAGCATCCTCGAACGCAATTCCAGTTCGAGCGGGAGGCCCAAGATCCTGTCACCGGCGAGATCATCAAGGTGTACTCTCCGTTCAAGAGGCTTCAGCGCCAGCTGCTACAGCTACCCTTCGCTATAGTCTGCTTGCTTGTCCTTGGAAGTCTCATCATTTCCTGCTTCTCCATTGAGATCTTCATCTCTGAGGTCTACAACGGCCCCTTCAAGCAGTACCTCGTGAGTATCCAACACAACCTTGCGATTGTGAGCTGTCCACTGACATGCAGCAGGTGTTCTTGCCAACGCTCCTCCTGTCAGTGTTCATGCCGGCACTGACTACCATCCTAACAAACTTGGCGGAAAAATTGACCCACCTAGAGAATTATGAGACACATGACTGTGAGTCCTCAAATTATCTACGCGTTACGCACAATGCTGACATCATGTTCAGCCCATCAGGCGGCTTTTGTCCAGAAGATGTTCGTTATCAACTTCATCGTCTCTTACTTGCCCATCATCCTGACGGCATTCGTCTACGTACCCTTCGGCAAGGTCCTCGTGCCTTACCTCGATATTTGGCACGTCACTGCTCAGCACTTTACGACCGACGGCAAAGTCGAGATCCAGCCCTTTGAGATTAACCCGGACCGGCTCAAGAAGCAAATTATTTACTTCACCGTCACGGCACAGGTTGTTAATCTCCTCCTGGAGGCCGTGTTGCCTTTGATCAAGCGCAAGGTCTTCAAGAAGGTGAAGGAAGTGCAGACTGCCAAGAGTGGCGCTACCCACCACGAGGACCCCGAGGAAGAAGCTGCGTTTCTACAGCGCGTTCGAAACGAGGCGGAGCTGGATAAGTACGACGTGACCGTGGATTATCGCGAGATGGTGGTTCAATTTGGTATGTGACGCTGCGACCTTGAATTCAATTTGAATGGTTCTCTTTCCAAAGACCACTGAGAGGGCTGACTAAACCCAGGCTATCTGTCATTGTTTTCTGTCATCTGGCCACTGACTGCCTGCTCTTTCCTCGTCAACAACTGGGTCGAAGCCCGATCCGATGCACTGAAGATCGCTGTTGGAAGTCAGAGACCAGTTCCTTGGAGGTCCGACTCCATCGGTCCATGGTTGACCTCACTCGGATTTCTGTCATGGCTCGGCAGCTTGACGAGCGCCGCAATCGTCTACTTGTTCAACAAGGATCCATATGGGCCTGATGGTGTTCCGTCCAATGTCACGGGCTGGGCATTACTTCTTAGCATCTTGTTCGCCGAGCACCTCTACCTCGTCGTGCAGTTCATCGTCCGCTACGTGATCGGCAGCTTGGACAGCCCTGGACTGCAAAAAGAGCGCGCCGAGCGGTTTGCCATGCGCAAGCTCCACCTCCAGGAGACACTGGGGGAGGACTTTGCGGAAAATGCAGTTGCAGCAAACTTGGGCGCTGGTGAAAAGATCACTCGTGCGGCCCTCGAGGAAGAGGCTCGCAGGGCTTCGGTCTCCGGCTCGGGAACGCCCGAGCAGCTCTTCTGGCAGCGGCAGCGTGGAGCACAAGAGACAATCCAGGTCGGGCGAGGATATATCTCCGAAGCCGCTGCTGCAAACAAGACAAAGGCCCAATGAGCAATGAGCAATGAGGAACGAATAGTTGACGGTTTCGGCCAGTCACACTTGGAAGAGTAAAATAATTGCGCAAGGGGGATTTGTAATGGTTTTGCCTACTTCTATGTCTTGCTTGGCGTTCAGCGTATGAAGTCGTTTGGCATCTTTGGGAGAAACGGGCAATCTGTTTACAAGCGGGCGTCCACTCACCAGACAAAAGCACAAGAATGACTCCAGATCGGACTCTTCCTCAAAAGGCGCATTGCGAGGCTCGCTTATTATGGGCCAAAGGGAATCGATTCGGTGGGCGTTTTCTAGAATAGCCGCTGATACCGTTGGTCCAAGGTTGAAACTTAGTGCCCAATAGAGTATAATGAGCATCAAGCAAGTCCCGCGAAAACGTAGTGTGCCTTGCGTGGGTTAGGCATTCACTGGGCTGACTTGAATCGGGCTGCGACCGTGGCGTTAGGTCTGTGGCTGAAAGCCGACGCAGCACTGCTCGGTACAGCCTCATTCCTTAAACTACCCCATGTGACTTGTTGGGACGCATCAAGACATTGCGAGATGACGGGCTGTTTGGCTAAGCCCCAGAGCTTTGCATATACAATATGGCAGAGCCCATGGTCTCGGAGTTCATCCCCTTTCCTGTAGACTTCTAAGTTGCCGCGCGTTGCTCGACCATGTTCAGCTCCCCGAGAATCACTCGACCACGCCGACGAATTCGCTTGGTGACACAGCCTTACCGAGCACTACCTAGGTAGATAACATACCACAACAGCGGCGTCGGGTCAGCTTGATTATCTCGTCCAACTTGAACTGAAACAACTCCAACTTCCAAGGTGTTACTTCGTTTACCGGAGAACACAACATAGTTCGCGAAACCTGAGAAACATCACAAGTCCTTCCATTATGAATAGAGCTGTCGAAGATGTGGTACTCACGCCCTTTAGAGATATTGTGGCCCACGGCGAGGCCGCTGTCAAGAACGCCGAGGAGATTGGGGACGATAAGATGCTGAGAGCTGCCCAGGTGCTCGTCAAGGAAGGCGAGCGAGCTCTCAAGAGAATGGAGCCGGTGTGCCAAAAGATATACGAGGAGTATGTACTTAGGGGCGGCGTATATCTGACCGTCTGCACACAATCCCTGAGCGAAGCGATCAACCAATCTCTGAGCGGAGCGATCAACACCAGCAGGAACTAACCAATTTCTGAGCGAAGCGACAAGAAAGCTGCGACCATTTTCTGAGCGGAGCGATCAAGAATTTCTAAGCGGAGCAATCAACACCAGCAAGGTGCGACCATTTTCTAAGGGCAACCAGTCACTCTAGCCAATCAGAGCACACTATTCAACTTCAACCAAACGTCGCAAACACAAAACCACAAACTGTTTGTCTTGACACCTTTCTCTCTCTCACTCACACACACACACACACTCTCTCTCTCTCTCTCTCTTTCTCTCTCTCTCTCTGTGTGTGTGTGTGTGTGTGTCTTTCTCTCTCTCTCCCCCTCCCCTCTCCCTCACACACACACACACACCAATCGAATTGACTGTAGACACTTTTTTTTGGTCCCTGACTGATTCCAACGAGCCCCGCGTGCCCTGCTCCCGGTAGCGACAACCATTTTCGTCCTCTGCCTCTGACGCAGGACCGATCACCAGTCCCAAAGACTGCACGCAACCATCGCCGCGGCTTCCCTCGATGAAACACTCACACAACCTGGGCTGGTCGGCTGGAGGCCCCGATCGAATTGCGACGATCGAAACGACCATCGAAGAGCAATGGCTCACCGGGCGTCAAGCATTGCTGGCCCAGCAGTCCCGACAAACTTCCAGCCGTCGGATCCCCTCGATTGAACTATCACCCACCTTAGCTTCTCACACCTACGACTACCTAACAGCCTCAACTTTGTTGACCCACCCCGCCTGCTCCTGTCGGGATACAGATGCCAGCAGCTGTTTTTGGTCCTGGGCAAGACCAGAAAAACTACCCTCTCACGACTGGTCTGGTCGCTAAACAGCCCGAACCCCCTCCTTGCCAGAGGGTTACGAACTGGCCGAACGTACAACAAACCAAGCAAGCCTGCTCGGCTAGAGCACCCCCTCCGTTGAGACCCCCTTCCTCATCCTCGAGATTCGGGCCTTCCGGTTCTCACATCTACGACTGGTCATCGTGTGCCTTCTTACATCATCTTATCTTACTCACGTGGTCCAAGGTTGTGACAGTACATGCTAGCCACAGGCTGGGCCACTCTCGCCTCGGGCCTTGGGGAAGGTGCGCTCCTGCTCCGACAATGTCGACAACCGCCAGCCAGGGAGAGGAAGGAAGGCACCCTCTGCTCTTCCTGCTTCTTTACCCTCGCCTTCTCTGCCCCCCCTATTTCTCCCTCTTTCTGTCACCGACCTCTCCCCGTCACCAACCTCTCCCTCGTCACCAGCCTCTCCTGTGGCCTCTCTGCCAACATCGAACCAAGCAGCCCTTGGAAGCCGTCCAATCACACACACAAACTCTCCCTCTCTCTCACCTGGCAGCCACCCACAGTCATGGACGTCCACAGACGGGCACTCTGGATGAGGCGTTTTGAAGCCTACCTGACCCAGGCCAGGGGACTGAGGTGAGTGAAAAAGGAGGCCCCCACGACACACATCTCTGGATAGGCGCGCGGCTGAGCTAACTAACACCCGCGTCTCTGTTTCGGACAGCGCCGGCCATGTTCCCAATGGCGACGACATTGCTCGCTTTATAGAGACTGTCGCCACCAAGATGACCCCGCCCAAGCGAGATAAGCCTGTCGTGGGCCTCAGGACGATGCAGAATGCAGTCTTGAGCCTTTTTTCCGCACTCACGTTTAAGCACAACTTCAACCTACCCGCCAGGAATGCAGGCGTATCGACACCGTGCTTGACACCCTCGCCAAGGAGGGCAAGCTGACAACTGGGGTGTGGGCGGAGCGCCGCCAGGCTGGCTTCGCCATCGTCCGCCTCATAGGCCAGGCCTGGTTTGCCAGTTGTCTGGACCACGGTTGTTTATCCTGGGACGTGGCCATCTCACGCTTCCTCGCCATCAGCCTGATAACTGCCTGTGCAGCACGCTCAGGGGACATTGTGCGCTCGCGTTGTTACACGGGCTCCGAGTGCTTGCGGTGGGAACACATCGAACTCGTCCTCCCTGCTGGTCGCGAGGACCAACAACCCCCGATCCAAGACATGACTGCCAAGGTCACCATTGCATACGAGAAAGGCAAAAACTACGTTTTATCATGCTCGTCAACCATAACCCCCTGGCTTGGCCCCAGCTGCTGACGTGATGTGTGTGTGTGTGTGCAGAAACGTCCGAAACGTAGACAGGGTGGTCATCATCAAAGCTTTGGACGACGGCCAAGGCAACAATACCATCTGCCCCATCAGACTTATCCTGATCCATGCCCTTCGGACCGGCCATGTCGCTCACACCTCAGTCGCGTCACTCCTGGGGTCGCTCCAGTCGACGACGCAGAGCCGCACGGTCCGGTGGGTAGACGAATTTGACCCGGTCATTCCAGCAGCCACGGCGTCCGGGACCTCGCTTGACTTTACCAAGCCTGCCGCGGGCCAACAGGTTAACAGGACACTGAAGCAGACTGCGCTGCTGGCTGGCGTGCTAGCACCCCTTTCCAGACATCAGGGCCGGCGCTGCACGGGATATTGCGTCCCTGCCACCTGGTTCGGTTAAAGGTGTGGGGGGTGCGGTGGTGGCAAAGGCCATTGGCCACAGTCATAAGACACTGAGTAGCGGGGCGACAGATCGGTACATTGGCGGCATCAACACGGCGCTCAACAAGCTGGTTGCTGCTAACCAGCAACCCCAGGCGGATGATAATGCGTTTGGCCTCAAGGTTGCTGAGCAGGGTTACAGGAGGCTCCCTGTCACAAAGGCCGAGATTGACATGTTCTGTCTGGAAAACGGCATCGACCCTGCGCCCGGGGCCAAAAGGAAGTGGGCGCGGGAGAGGATCCTAGAGGACAACCAGGCGCACTGGGCCCAGAGGCATAGAGACAAGCTATATGCACCCCCGGAGGCTCGCCCCGACCCCCCCAGGTCGCCACAGGAACCCAAGGCCTTGGCCACAGGCGTGGTACTCAGCCTCACCGCCGCCGCAGCAGCAGCAGCCCCCGAGAGAGACCCCCTTGGGCCAAGGTCACCGAACCTCCCACCACCCGCCAAGAAGCAGCGGGTCAAGGCTGCTGCTGCCGCCGCCGCCGCCGCCGCTGCCGCAGCAGCAGGAAAAGAAGGAACAGGGTTGGGCGTCGTCCAAAACCAGCCGCCATCTTACCCCGCCGGCGAGCAGCCTGCCCATGCCACACCAGACGCACTGATCGATCCGAGATTGCTCAGGGAGTCCATTGACACCGCGCTGCGCAAGGACGGCGTCTCGGGCAACGTGCTGGACCATATCCCGGTGGACCTCACCCAAGCCGCCGCACTCGACTCGTTGGTCCTCGGCGGCGGCAGCACTGCTGTGAGTGGAGAGGGTGGTGACTCGCTGGCCCAGCAGCAACTCGCCGACCGCGTCGAGGACTGTGTCATTGACCAAGCCATCGAGGAACTCGCCGGAGAAAAGGAGGAGGAGGGCGCCGGTAGCAACCCCGACCAGACACGGCCCAAAAGCACGGCAGCTATACTTGGCCTCCCCGGTGCACAGTTTGTCGACTACTTTGCCAGGATAAACGTCGTACGCAACCATGGGCTGGTCGAGGACTCGCTCAAGCACGGCGACAGCGCCTTTGAGCGACATGTTGGCATGGGCAACTATCGCGACAAGCCTATCATGTACCTTATACGCTGCCCAAATGCTCCTCTTGGTTGTGCCTATAGTCACCAGTTCTCGACGAACGTCAACAGACACACCATCACCTGCAACAAGAGGCTACAGAGACAAGCCCTCCTAGAGGTTTCCAAGGAGCAGCATGATGATGGTGATGATGGTGATGACGATGATGCTGTCAAGGTGCAAGACGGTGGCGCCAGCAATGACAGACCCTTTGCATGTGACCGTGAGGGCTGCGACAAGCGCTATGCTAAGGAGAGCATCCTGCGCATGCACATCAGGAATACCCACGACTGGATCCCCAAGAAATGCATGCGTCCTGAGTGCCCGAAGCCAGACATCCTTTGGGCAAGTTCCTCTCAGTACAGTACTCACATCAGCAAGGATCACCATGAGGGTTGGACGCCGTCCACATGTATCGTGCCGGGTTGCCAGTCGACACACGTCTTTGGGAACAGGCTTGCGTACAGAGGACACCTCGAAGTTGTCCATAAGCTACGCGCAGAAGAGCACCGGCATTATCTTCCGATCAAGACCAAGCCCCCAGCAACGTGGCCCAGAGGCTGCCCCGTAGCAGGATGCAGTTCTACCTCCAAGTTCCAGAATACAACAAAGCTGACAAGGCACCTCAGAGGACCGCACAAGCTTGGAGATGACGAGATCAAGTCACTTCTCGAGGTCAGCAAGGCGTCTTGATTCGGGAGAGGGGGGGTGCAGCATCAGACACGAGAAGAGATTTACAGAGATGGGCAGGGGTGATCGTTCAAGGGGTGGGAGATACATCGGGCTAGCTGGCTGTCATCATTTTTGGCAATGAGGCGTTGATAATCCTCGGGGTCGACGGGGCCATATTTTCATTGCTCTGGCTTGTAGGGATACGATGCTAATATGAAATGACATCAGAGTATTGGTGATGGCTTCGCTCAAAATACTGGTGATCGCTTCGCTCAGAAAATGGTCGCACCTCAGGATCGCCAGGCTGGATAATGCACCATCACTTCCAAAGCTGCCCTATCCGGAAGATGAGGACATCCCGCACTCTCTCGCCCCCATGATATGGCCAAGAGCCTTTCAACTGCCCGAGCAAGGGGTAAATCGAGCTGCCCATCGCCAAGAGACCGCTCCGGGGCTTGGAGTTCAATCTGAACACAATCTCTCCCCGACCTCAGGACAGATCAGGGTGTCATTTCCTCCTGTGCCACGCCGGAATCCTGCTCGACGTCCTGATACTTACGAGAGTAACCACACAGGGGCGCAACCAGACTCGGCTGCATCAACTGCCAGATACCCTGGAACAGAAAATGTCCCGGCAGCTCCGCCGCACCTCTATACCCGAGGCTCCCTCGGCAGCTCTACGGTAGTCTCCAGCCAGACTTATGATTCGGACCACCACGGCGGGAGGGATTCCTATAATGACATTGTTAGCCCCATTTCGGACGTGGGCAGAGGCTCTCTAGAGATACGTGGCCAGTCGCTGCAAGTACTGCCTCTCTTCTCGGTCTCGGCCGCTAAGCCCTCCATTTTGCCAGTCGGAGGTGGCCACGTGCTGCCTAGTTATGTACAAAATGTGCCTGACGGTTTGATTCCGGTCGAGGACCAAACCGCCGAGCATTGTCCTCCCGTTCCAGTCCGGACGCCGCCGCCTGTACCGGAAGACTGCAACATAACGCTGGACAGCTCGATCTACCGTTTTAAAGGGTTCTGTAAGGGCTCCATGGAAATTATCCAAGGTGGGTTAGGGGTCAGTAGAATAAAGAAGCAGGTGAGCCCTGTGCTCACTCGTCACGATGTACAAACACACGCTCACATCGCCCCAGGGCCTTTCCGGAGGATTTAGGGAGGTCGCCAAGTGCAAGTCATGTCCGTTCGAGCTTGAATGGGCGGCTGTGGAGAAATATCTGAACAAAGAGGGTCAGTCGAATCTCCCAGACAGAGATAGGTGTCGTGTGATATCTGACGTTGGACGGCTGCAGCGAGCGAGAACTTCAAGACCGCCGGGATTGGCTTCCGCCTCCGTTTCCTCTCCAAGAGCCACTTGGCAGCGAAGCACGTCGATGACCAGGTCTACGGCTGCCACTTCTGCATACAGCTCGGTCGTACGACCCATCCGAATGATGCCACGGTTTTCTTCAGCCAGAAACAGATTTTCAACCACCTCGCCCGGCATCCTCGACCGTTGCCTCATGTCCCAGGCCTGACGGTGGTCGAGAATACTCACATTGGTCTCCATGAAAATAATTACGACTTGCATTTTACGATCTCGCCAATTCAATCTCACCTTTCGACCATGGTGAGCGATCTTGCTGCCCTTGCGACGGCCACTGCCATCCATACCTATAGGCCTACACCGACAAGCAGTGTTAAGGTGCCAAGAGACGGCCACGAAGTTGTTCACTTCGCCTCTGGTGCGAAGATACTTGGCGTGGTTTTCCCTGAACAACGATATCGAGGGGAGTGGTGTCTCGGATGGTACTGTACCCTTTTCATCTTCCACGCCATCTTTGATACATCACCAGGCGCATGGGATGATCCCAGTGGCCGCACTCGGAACTCGTGACTTTTTCAACTAACAGGATGGACAGGGCGGATCATCGATACGGGGCCTTCCCAGCGGAGATTCTCAAACACGACGGTTCCCTCAAGGGGGACATGATATTGCCATGGTCAAGCTGCAGGCGCGCCATCACCAGATGGAGGTTTTCGGCACAGGACAAGTTGAGTGAGTGGCTTTCATTCAGGAAAGGGGAGATCATCACAAACATTGGCTGCAAGTCTAATAACCACTGTCAAATATGAACCCGTATTGAACAACCAAGTGCAAGGCTAACCTTGACCACCCGATATGCAGGGCCTCACCAGGAGTACTGGTTCTGGAGCGGAACAAACTCGAAAGGCAAGACCGGCATATTCCCACGTTCTCACATTGAGCCCGGTTCGCTCGTTGAGGTCACCTCGGGATCGGGTCATTCGAGCATGGTGAGCCGTGAGACTTCAGGAAGAAGGTCAGGTTGTTATCGCGTATATCTTTACGGCACCGGAACAGTGGCTCGGGAGGGTCAATATACTGAATTGACATAGTCTGCTGAAGGGCCTTGGAGTGGAACAACCTCATTCTGTCGACCATGGAGTCTTTTACACGAAATCCTGACCAACCGCATTCTAAGGTGTAGAACAACCTACAAGGCTCCTATGGAAAATATCCACAGGCTACGAGAGTCGCAGTTCGGACCTGCCCTTTTCCTCCAGATGATTGGGTCTGTCTGTTGCGGATGCCTCAGGATCGGATTCGTTCTTTCCAGTAGTCGGCCTCTTTTGTTGGCAAGACCACCCACACACGAGAGTAAATTCGCGCCTTCCTGTGGAGGAGACGTGCCTGAACACCACCTTGCTCGGCCTCTTTCTACACAAAGGTCAATCCCCTTTCTTCCGCATCTTTCTTCCGCATCTTTCTTCCTCCAAACACGCGTTCTGAAAGTTGGGCCTCCTAGCACAACACGCTTTTGCCCTCCTCACAAGGTTAATATAGGCAGCAAAATTTACCGGAAGCATCAACCCAAAGACAAATTGACACAAGAATGGCTTGCTTCATCCCCCTTCTGGGCCTCTGCTCCCTCGCCGTCGCCAACCCAATCGCCGGCGCCGTGGACCATATCGCACACCACGTCAAGGATGATTTCTCAGCCAATGTCTCAACCCATACCACAGGTGACTTCTCAGCCAATGTCACAACCGACGTCGGCGCACACATCCCACTGAGCACTGACTATGTCGGTTGCTACGCCGAGCCTCTTGGGGGAGCACGTGCTCTCACCCGTGCCAGCCTCAAGCACCCTGCCTTGACCGTTCCCGTATGCCAGGACTTCTGCAAGGGCTACCGATTGTGTATGCTTGGTTCCTGTTTATGCGGCTTGTCCTCGTTGCTAACAAGTCTGCCTTGCAGACGGCCTTGAGTTCGGAAACGAGTGTTATTGCGGATATAAACTCGACAGTGGGGCGTTCCAAGTCCCTGACAGTGCCTGTGGTGCTCCCTGCATTGGTGACCTCACTCAGACCTGTGGCGGGAACAACTTGCTCAGCCTTTACAAGTCGAACTTCACGCTGCAGGTGCCCAAGGTCGATTACACCCCTAAGGGCTGCTTCGCCGAGCCTCCGAATTCAAGGGCTTTGCGCAGAGTCATCGCCACAGACAAGGTATGTCTCGCGTGTTTGTGCTCCGTTCATGCCGCAGGCCAGCATAACTGAGGTGTGACATAGTTGACGAGCAACAAATGTTTGGTCGCATGCAGCTACAACAAGTTTAAATATGCTGGTCTCCAATACGGCACAGAATGTTGGTGTGGAGACACTCTCGACCCCCTCGCTAAGCCGACGGACCCATCCAAGTGCTCAATTCCATGCAGCGGAAATTCATCGGAGACCTGTGGAGGCAAGCTCGCCTTGCAGTTGTACGTGAAGGACTTTGGCATGGCCGACTTGGAATGACGGACGAGGCAGGTTGGACGCATACACAAGCAGTTCCCAAAAAACAACACCCAAAGCGCAGAGGCCGACTCGGGTGCTTCCTACCAGTCTTTCCTATTGTAGTATGATTCACCAGTAGACCTAGGTACTCGACCGTACAGATCAACACTGTCAAACCTTTACCCTCTCAAGGGCTATCTTTTACCCCAGGCTTGGCAGTATTGATCAGCGTGCTCCGTATAAAACGAGTGGCATGTGGTACTGCTACTTTATTAGTGTCGACTGGTAGACTACAGGCCTGACAGAAAACCTTGGGTGTGGAGAATATTTCCCCGCGCTTCTTTGACCCGAGGCGAGCAAGGGTCCCAACTGAACGGTCCAACGGCTCGGCATGTATTAATAAGGACATCCGTGGCCACCCGTCGCCGGGATGCTGCTGCTGCTGCTGCTGCTAAGAGCAGATGCCATTGACTTTCTGGAACCCCAAATCCAGGCGCCACATCCACCCTGTCGGTCGGTGACGGCATTCATTTTTGAAGATTCCGGTACTGCGGCCGAGCTAGTCACACCCGACCGGAAGCTGATTCAGAGCCTGTGGTCCAGGAATCCGCCATCGCATATCTAACACTTGATCCCTCCGATCGGCCAGGTCAGGACTATTCTCGGCTTTGCGCCTGCGTCGTCCTTAGTATAATACCACGGAAGCACTTGCCCGGCAACTGCACCTTATTTTCTCAGCTGCAGCACCAGGATACCCTCTGAATAACAGCAAACATGTCTCTCACAGGGCAGGAAGTCGCCAAGCACAGCACCCAGGAGGACTGCTGGGTGGTGGTGCATGGCAAGGCATACGATGTGACAGAGTTCCTCCCTGAGCACCCCGGGGGGATGAAAATTATCCTGAAATATGCTGTGCGCCAACGTTGTCTCTCTGTGTCTGTTCCTTGGGCAAGCGGCTGACGTTCAGATTGCAGGGGAAAGATGCTACGGAGGAGTTTGAGCCCATCCACCCCCCAGACACGCTGGACAAGTACCTGGACAAGTCCAAGCACCTTGGTGATGTGGACATGAGCACGGTCGCCAAGGAGGAGAAGGAGGTGACGGCCGAAGAGAAGGAGCGCCTCAAGCTTATCGAGACGAAGCCCCTCCTCGACCAGTGCTACAACCTCATGGACTTTGAGGCTGTGGCCAGGAGGATCATGAAGAAGACGGCGTGGGGGTACTACTCCAGCGCAGCTGATGACGAGATTGTGAGTGCCGCTTACTGGTCTGGTTCATGTGACTGGGGATGAGGCGGCGGTCTACAAAGATTACCCGAGCTAACGCAAGACAACAAAAACTAGACGATGCGTGAGAACCACGCAGCATTCCACCGGATATGGTTCAGGCCGCAGATCCTGGTGGACGTGGAGAAGGTTGACTTCTCGACGACGATGCTGGGGACCAAGGTGGACATGCCGTTCTACGTGACGGCGACGGCGCTGGGCAAGCTGGGCAACCCGGAGGGCGAGGTGCTGCTGACGCGGGCGGCCAGGAAGCACAACGTGGTGCAGATGATACCGACGCTGGCGTCGTGCTCGTTCGACGAGATCATGGACGCGGCGGAGGGGGACCAGGTGCAGTGGATGCAGCTGTACGTCAACAAGGACCGGGAGATCACGCGCAAGATCGTGCAGCACGCGGAGAAGCGGGGGTGCAAGGCCCTTTTCATCACGGTGGACGCGCCGCAGCTGGGGCGGCGGGAGAAGGACATGCGCAGCAAGTTTGACGACGCGGGCAGCAGCGTGCAGAGCGGGCAGGCGACGGACAACTCGCAGGGGGCGGCGCGGGCGATCTCGTCGTTCATCGACCCGGGGCTGTCGTGGAAGGACATCCCGTGGTTCCAGAGCATCACCAGGATGCCCATCATCCTCAAGGGCGTGCAGCGGGTCGAGGACGTGCTGCGGGCGGTGGAGGCCGGGGTGCAGGGGGTGGTGCTGTCGAACCACGGCGGGCGGCAGCTGGACTTCTCGCGGTCCGGGGTCGAGGTGCTGGCCGAGACGATGCCGCGGCTGCGGGAGCTGGGGCTGCAGGACCGCATCGAGGTGTTTGTGGACGGCGGGGTGCGGCGGGCGACGGACATCATCAAGGCGCTGTGCCTCGGGGCCAAGGGCGTGGGCATCGGGCGGCCGTTCCTGTATGCCATGTCGGCGTACGGCTTCGAGGGCGTCGACCGGGCCATGCAGCTGCTGCGCGACGAGATGGAGATGAACATGCGCCTCATCGGCTGCACCAGCGTCGACCAGCTCAACCCCTCGCTCGTCGACACCAGGAGCCTGTTCAGCCACGGCAACGGCGTGCCCCAGGACAACCTCGCCTGGTCCACCTACGACCCGCTGGCCAACCCGCCCCAGAGGCCCAAGCTGTAGGTGTCTGTTGTGGTTGTGGTTGTTGTTGTCGTCGTCGTCCTCTTGGCCTGCTTTGTGCGTGGGCGTGTGTCGTGGGTTGTGGGTTGTGGGCTGTGTGTTGATGCGTCATATTTCTTCCTGCTGTACGAGACTTTTGAGCACAAGACGAGTTACAAATCAGAGAGCAGACACACATACCGGCGTTGGGTGGTGGTGTGGTCACAGGCCAGCGCGCTAAAGGCTGTCAGGCTGGCGGGCGTGCCGTAAGCCTCAGAATATCTATCACAAGATCACATCCCATCAACTGAGTGAGACAAGCAGGATGGATACCTACGTATCTTTTTATGACGCAACCGGCGTGGGAAAACCCCTCCCCTCCCCAGCTACTGGAGCAGCCCGTTCCAGCAGGAGCTAATCCCAAGACGAGACGGCCCATGGACAAAACCAGCACAAAGGGCAAGAGAAGCAAATGAAAACCGACTCGTCTGTTCCACAAAGCACCCGTATCGATGTGAGATGCGAAGGGTAGGCGCATGGTTGACCACCGGCAGAGTGCTGTGGCATCCTGGTGAAATTCGTGCATCCATGCTGTGTCCGGACCCTCGTGTAAGCTGCAGGCAGGCTGCTGCAGCACTGCAGCACTGCAACACCGCAGCAGCATCTAAGGTAGCAGCATGTAGAAGCTGCAGCCTGCAGCCTGCAGCCTGCAGCAGATCATACACTGTACTGTGTAATATCTCTGCTCACCGCGTCTCCGTGCTAGACTAATACCGCCGTGGCACAGCACAAGTCTACCCTTCCAGCGTTCCTTGTTGATGGGACAAAAAAAAGTGCATGCGCCAAGCAGGCTCAGAGCCTTGGGACCCCTGCCCGCGGTATCTCAATTCCATGCGGCTTCCCTGGGGCGCACCCCCAACTGCCCTAGGGCCTAGAGACACAGCCCACAGCCAGAAGGGGGATCGACTACCTGACTGACTGACTGACTGACTGGCATTGTTTGCTAGCAGGGGGGCACTTGGGGTCAGCTGGTACAACTTCCGCGCCTTCGTCTGCCTTCCTCGTCGTCTCTTGTTGATCTCATCTCCCGTCACACTCCATATTCCTTCAACCTTTTTTTTTTCCTTCTTTTTCTTTCTTCCCCTCCTCCTTCTTCTTCTTCTAGCTCCTCTTCCTTCGGCCCTTGAGCGTTATCCTATTTTAGACTTGTCCTCCTTCCTCATATCCTCCAGTCCCGCTCCATCCCCGGTGCAACGCATCCTGCCCTGTCGTCATCCAGGTCCCACCCGCGCTGATCGCCAACGCCTTCACATGGCCATGACGCCCTCCTAAGAAATTCACCTCCCCGAGCATGCCAAGCTGCCACCGGCCCTTCCGTTCATTCCTTTCCCAGCCGACAGATATAAGCAACCAGCAATAGCATTACCAACGACTGGCCTGCAATTGCTCCACCAGTTTCACGGCCATCATACAGACAGACGCTGGGGACACAATCTCGCCCCGTCGCGAGGGAGCACGTCCGTCCGTCGAGTCCAACAAGGTGCATACTGCATAGCAAAAAAGACGCCGCCATGTCGTCGGCCCTCGAGGCCAAGATAGTGGTGCTGGGCTCCCAGGGGGTCGGCAAGACATCTCTGGTCATGCGGTACTGCAAGGGCGAATTCCAGCCCTCCCAGCTGACCTCCACCGTCGGCGCAAGCTTCATGACCAAGCGCGTCGTCGACAGCGATACCGACACCGTCGTGCGACTGCAGATCTGGGACACAGGCAAGTCAAGTCAAAATTCCAAGAGACAAAAGTCTCGAGTACAAGTCCGAGTCACCGCTTGTCTCACTTCCTAGCGCCCGTGCCCCAGATGCTAACTATGCGTCTGCCCACTTACAGCCGGCCAGGAAAGGTTCCGGTCCATATCGCGCCTCTACTACCGGGGGGCCAACGCCTGCATCCTGTGCTACTCCATCACCGACGCCCAGAGCTTTGCTGATATGGGCGCCTGGCTGACCGAGCTCCGCCGCAACCTGCCCCACGACATTGTCCTCCACGTCGTCGGCACAAAGTCCGACGTCGTCGCCCGCGAGCCCTCCAAGCGCGAGGTCCCATTCGAACGTTGCATTGTGAGTAGCTTCCTTCTTGAGTGGTCTGTCCGAGTGGCTGATCCTGACTCATCTAGGCCTATGTCGCCGAAAACCTCGCCCCCGGCCTGAGCTCTACACCCCCGCCCACCGCCACCCCCGGCGGACACCTCGGCGCGCCCGGCGCGGGGAGCCTGAGCGGCAGCGGCGGCTTCTTCTCGAGCAGCGACTGCACGTCCGCCGAGCCGCGCAGCCCGACCTCGAAGCGGTCCTCCGGGTTCTGGGGCCAGGAGGTGGGCTGGGACGCCTGCCACGAGATCAGCGCCGAGTCGGGCGAGGGCGTCGAGGAGGTCTTCAGGGTCGTCACCCGGAAGCTCGTCGAGCAGAACCGCAAGATGTCCGCCGCCCTGCTCGCCGCCACCGCGACCCCCGGCCTGACCCCCGGCCTGGACGGCGGCGCCAGCAGCCACGACGGCGCTGGCGGGCCGGGCGGATACTTCGACGGCGCGAACGCCAGAGGCAGCTTCAGGGTGGGCAGGGACAGGCGGTCGTGGCTGTTCTCGCCCAACTTCTCGCCTGCTGTGACCATCGAGCGGGGCGCCAGCTCACAGCAGCAGCAGCAGCATCAGCAGTACCAGGACGGCGAGTACAGCCAGCCAGATTTCGAGCAGCGCAGGTCAAAGAGGTGTTGCTGAAGACATGAACCACCGCCGCAGCGACTTCTTCTGGCTCGGGGTCTTGACACAGGCTGGGGCCTGTTGGGACCATCATGGAGAGAATCTGGCACATCAGCCGCACCCACAGAGCGACCAAATATCGATCGTCGGGTGCCAGGAGAGATCATGAGGAGGAACGAGTAAACGGGGGACGAAACGTACACAAGCGACGAAGACGGGGATCCGGAATTGTCCCGCGCTACGATACCCGGGTTGTTGACGAATTTCATTTGCCTTCCTTTTTATTCCTTCTCTCATTTGAGGGACGCACACGTTCGCTGTCATCTGCAGCTTTTGAAGCCCGTCGGCCTGGAGCAACGGTCAGGTCGGGCCCGGGAAAGGCTGGATGGATTGGACAAATGGCATCGATCGCATGACAGGCACGTTTTCGACCCGCGCATTCTGGAATTTTCTGCATGCATCAGGTTTCTTGCATCTTTCCTGCATAAGGGGTTTTTGTTTTCAAGGGTGAAGGGAATAACATATCATCCGGCCAGCGGCGTTTAGGATATGTTTATACACGGTGGCGCCCACGCATTCCCACACACAAGGCATTCGGTCAGTCAGTCAGTGTTAGATTATCACGGCTGTAAGCAAAGGGACGGACCTATAATATCAAGACCCACGAGGGCAACATGGCCTTGCATTGTGAATTATCAGCTGTCCCGACCTGGGATCAGCTACATGTGTGTGTGCTATTATTGTGTGGTGACTGCGTGCCCATCCAGCCATGAGCTAGCTAACAGGTCAAGCAGCTGTCTCGTCTCCTGATGTAGCAAGTCTAACTCCCACCAAGATGAGGTATCATGAATATTGTCCCCCGGGGTGAAGAAATGAGCCCCTGTGACGCCCATCAAATTTCTCCCCGCGTCCGTGTGGGGAGACCAAAAAAACGCCTATAAGCCCTGGTCTCTTGCCAGCCGAGGCTCTCCCTTTTCTCTTCTTCGTAGCCCACCCAGCCAAAACACATCATTACCTGCAAACAGCAACTCTTTCCCCCGCCGCCCAGATTTCCTCACGGCCCGCCGATCAGCAAGCACTCTAAAAGAACTCCATATCATCATCGTCATCCGCAACGGCGCTCTTGCGGGGCCGCCCGCGCTTCCGCACCTGCGAGGACGAGCGCTGCCGCTTCTTCCGGCCGCTCCCGGGCGTGGAGTTGGACTTGCGCTTCCGGCCTCGGCCCGTGTCCGCACCGTCGTCGTCCTCGTCGCCGCTGGGCGTGGCCGGGTCGTCCCCGTTGGCATCATCATCCTCGTCTGCGACCTTGAACTCCCTGTCGACGTTGAGGAGGTCCACGAACGACCGGCACTGCTGCATCATGCGCTCCTGTGAGGAGAGTGAGCCCATGATCGAGGCGATGTCCTCCCACAGCTTGTCGCCCGTGACCGTCTGGACCTTGACCGGCTTCGTTGTGTCCTTTTCCTTGTTGCTCGCCTTGGACTTGTGGTTGTGCCTGCTCGTTCCGAGGTTGTATTGCCGACGGAGGTACGACCGCGCTTCCCACATGGCTTGCAGAATCATGGACCCAGCTGCCAGCTGCCGGAGACGCTTGGCATCAACCGCTGGTGGGGGTGGAGCAAACACTGGCTGATTTTGGCCGTCAGGAGCAGCCTGAGGGTTAGTCACTGCGTCCATCGTAACCTGGAAGATTTCTGCCTCGATCGCTTGGGCGACGCTAGCGCCTGTACTGGTCACAAGCTTCTCCATGGTGGTCACCGTGCCAAACAGCTCGCTCACGGTGGCGTAGTCGAAGAAGGCCAGATTTTCGATGATGAATTGAGACAGTTGAACGTGACCTGGCATGTTCCCTCTAGTATCTAGCTTTGCAGGCTCAAAGTCAACTTGCCCACAAAGCTTGTCGAGGAACTTCGATCGATTCTTGGCCTTGCTGGATTTGAGAACCTCCATCATAAGATGAAGCTTGGACGTGAACGGATCGGTGGTGGCACCGCGAGGGTCGCGAGCAATGTCCCGCTGATAAGCGAACGCGGACTGCACTGCCTTGGCGTACTCTCGCTCGAGGACAGTCTCGTATTTGTCGTGCAAAGCGCGGTGCTCACGGAAAGCCAGCTCTGAGATCTTATTGACTGAAGAGGTCTCTAGTGTGATCAAGGTGACGCCGGTTTCCTTGGGGTGGACTAGACCTTGGCGGTTGATGCTCGCCAGGACCTCGACAGCCAAAAATGCGTGCTCGTCCTGCGTGGCGAGCGCTATTCGTGTGATATCCGAAAGAAAACGCTGCGTCGTGGCGCTGGAGACATCGTCATAGGTGGTTCCGCCCATGACTTTGAGGTTCAACTTCTCGCCCTTCTCATCTTTGGCAGCGCCTTCCGAAGCTGCTTGCTCAGAGCGTTGCTCCTCCGTGAACAGAAACTCCTTGATGGATCCAAGAATCATCGTCTCCAGCACAGGGACTTGCTCGTCAAACACTTGCTGGAATGTCGTATACACGTTCGCGGACACATAATTCCTTGGCCAGGATTGACATATGAGGCCAACAGCATCAAGCGCAGACTTCCTCGCTTCAAGAGGCTGTGATGGGCTTGCAAAGGGGATAACCACATCAACCATGAGTTTTGAGACTGTGCTTCCTTTGAAAGATGGGAATGCAGCCTTGAATGAGGCCAATTTGGTCTCCAGGTCGCAATGCTTCCCCACCATTCCCACGATGAGCGAGTAGCGATCGAACGTTCGCATGGTCTTGTCGTCGAGGGCCCTGCCCTGTGTCGCGGCCCGGATCTTTTGTATCCCTTGCAGCGCTGATAGCGCTAATCGTGAGAGCTTCTCTATGCTTCCAAGCAGCCCGCTGATGATCCACAGGCACCCAACCACATCGTCCAGAAGTGCCCGAGTCACCTTGGGTACGGCTTGCATCAGAGGATTCAATATGTCGGTAAGGAATGACTCGTGAACATTAGACAATTGCGGCAAGACGCGACGGTAGATCACTACCACCGCTCGAGAAATTGCCAAGTCTTCGTTAGTAGCTATGCTTGCAACTGTGGATTGCAATATCTTGATTTGCTCGAACGTGAACAGCTTTGCGTCGGCCTTGGCGAAGATCATCAGAAGCTGCAACGCTTCCCTTTCCGAGTCCGAGTGATGGAAGAGGTCGAAAATGCTGCCGACGAGGATCTGTCCAACTTTGAAGTTGGTTTCTTTGGACCCCAGTATCGACTGGAAAACCTTGTCCAGAACTGGGGTCACATTGCCCTGCTTCACCGTCTGCATCATAAGGGAGACGTGATCCGTAAGAGACGTCTTGTACGCTGCAGAGCCCTCTGCGGACGAGTAAGGGCTAATCCAAATTTCCTCGATCATCTGTCGGGCGACTTCTCGTACACCCTCGTCAGGGTCCTGTACACGATGGAGTAGACCATTGGCGATGTTGCTGCGAACATTCTTGTCCGAATTGCGAAGATAGATATCCCGAGCGAGCTTCATTGCACGTTTTCGAACCCCAACGCCAGTGTCTATGAACCGGTCGATGACAGTCGGAATCAGCTGCTCCTCCAGCACTGGTCTCAAGTCGATGCACTTTCCAATCAGGCCAAGTGCCGAGTCTCGCACCTGGGGTGAGGAATCGCTCGAGCACTGCAGGATTCGGTGAATAAAAGTCGAATCTCCATCGAGTATAGCAGGATCTGTCTCCAGAACATCATCCACACTTTTGAGACTCTTGCTGCGGACTGTAGCTTGGTCAGACGTCATAAAGCGAAACAAAATGTTGAGAATGTGCCTGTATGATTCACAGAATTGCGACCGAATGAGGATGATTTGGTATGAAAGCTTCGCCAGAATGGGGGAGACTTGTGCGAAGCTGTACTCGGTGGAAAGCCAACGACGATCCTCGCTCATCATTCTCAGCCGGTAAGCGAGTTTTCCAAATTCAGGCAGCCGGTCATCGTCGTCCACATTGTTCAGTATGTCGTAGGTGGCATCTACTTTGCTGGCCCAGTCTGTGGTCAGAAAGGACACGGCGCTGGACAGATGCGGGTCTTCGGAGCATCGCTGGTCAAGATACTCGAGGCATGCGCGGTAAGGCCCAGCCCATGATAGCAGCTGATCTGGGCGTGATCTGAGCTCGAGCGCTAAAGATGCAAGTTCAGAGAGATAAACTCCTAGCCCGTTGGCTTCCGTGGCATCCAGGGAATTCGCGCTCCGCCGGACTTGCGACCTCAGCTTCGAGATCGCAGCGCCCATAGAACCAAGAACTTCCAAGGCCATGTTTTTGGCGGGAGCTGCCGTCCTCTCGCCGTCCACGAGACTCATCATCCTGCTCATGAGGATTCGAAGAAGGAGCTCAGAAGCCGGCCAATCTGCGGAATCCAAGCAAAGGATGAGATCTTCAAGAAAGTTCTCAAGAATTCTGCGGAAAGGCGACTCGCCCGTCTTCGTAGATGTTTGCGCTCGAAGAACCATGTAGTTGATTACGTTGGCCGCACTTGCCCTTGTAGCTTCTGCCAAGGGCGCCGAAATTCCATGAAGCTCTACAGCAGATCGCCCGTGCTGAGAACCTGCTTGTTCTTCGCTCTGGATAGACGAGTTTCGCAATGCAGCAGGGACTGGAACATCGCCGTCGTTTTGCTCATGTTCGCCGTCCAGTGATTGGAGGAGCTTGCTCTCAGAAGTCTTAGCATCGGTGGCTTTGCCGGCGCTCGTTTGAATCAGACGTAGTATGAGAGCCGATACTGGCTGAATACTCCTGCCATCGCTGAGCTTGAACTGACGAGCTTTCTGCTTTGTTTGCGGGACCTTCTCTATTTGAGACAGGACGTCGTCAATAATGCCATTTCGGCTCTGCGGGTTTTTCAGAAAGATCTGCGATAGCATGTCCATTGCCACCAGGCGGATGCCATCAAATTTCTGGACTCCAACAATAGAGTCGCGGTCTGTGTAGGCGTTCTCGACAAATATGAGGGTAGATGAGATGGTCTCCAGGGCGGTAACGTGAGATTCGGACAAATCTATGCTGGCCACCAGGGTAGTCAGAACGGAATACAGCCTGGTGAAGCTAGTAAACAGATTCTGAACGGTTTTCTTGTGTGGAAGCAATTTTTCGAAGAGGTCTTTGCTATTGTCCTTGGAACCGGCCTTGCTTCCTTGCTTTTCTTCCTTCGTGATGCCATAACGACGGACCTTCTCTGTCAACGGCACAATGATATTATCCGTAACCTCGCGAAAGAGGCTCAGGCAGTCCCGTATCAAGTCCTCTGAGTAAAGTTGTTTGTCCTCTCTGCCAGCAGACATTATCCTCAAGGCAGTTCGGGCGGCCCTAAGTGCAGTGTCGACTTCCTGTAGCTGGTTGGCCCATAATTGTGCGTCCGACTCGCCCCAGCCTTCATCAACCTTCAGGTCCAAGTCTTGGGTCTGCTTCAGCGCACCATCGCAGAGACGCTGCACGCGCAGGATGTCATCCACGGGAACATACACAAAAGACCCTAAAGATATGGCATTTTGCAGGAGGGGTTGTACTTTTTGATGGGCTGCTGTAGTCATCGCCGGCTCCTGGTGGGAGTTCAAACAGACAAGTGGGTTTGACTCCGATTGAGTGGCCGTGACACTATCCTCCGCCTGAAAGATATCGAAGAAGCAGCGGCAGAGCTGATGATAGGCCGAATCAGCCCTCTGTTTTTGGTCACGACTTGCCCCGTAAACATCTTGACCATCCTGGTACGCATCATGTCTTTGCTTCCGTTTCGATAGGTTTGTGGGCTCATCAGGTTCTTCCTGGACCTTGAGGTATTCCTGCTTGTTGAATGACGGCGCAGCTGGTAGGTCTATGGAGATTTTCCCAGGTACCTGTGAATTGTTCAAAGGCCGGGATGCCCCCTGGGCCGGTAATTCAGCGATCTCGTCCACATCTCCTGCGAGTGACGGCTTTGGAGAGGGAGGCGGCGACGTCTTGACCCCAGCACTGTTGTCTGGCGCGGCATCTGGCGCGGCGACTGTATTTGCGGCTTCGTACTGTTTCTTAGTGGGTATGAAGACGGCAAAACGAGGTTCTTTGTGCCCAGGAACCTGGCTGCTCGAGGCAGGTTTGCTTTCTCGCTTCTGTGGTCTAGCAGGGCCGGGGGCCGTGGAGGAGTGCTTCCCATTGATGCGCGGTGCTTCAGTTGTTGGGTATGTATAGGAGACAGATGTCTTTTCGAAGACCATCCTCGAGAAAGGGGACAGATTCTGAGAGAGACTGTTCGTCGGGCCGTTGAGTGTCGAGGTTTTGGGGCACGTCTTGAAATTGCTAGAGCCCTCAGTCAGTGGATTGCGCCTCACCGTACACCAAGCTTGCACCTACAATTGCGCTATCCTGCTCGGGTTCAGAAGATTCTGCACGTGCTCTAGGCTCTGCTCTAGGCGCCTCGACGTATTTGACGGGTTCGCAGCATCCCTGTTCAGATTATCGAAGTCATGTCGGGGGACGAGATCGGCAAGACGAGACGAAGATGGGCCAGCACCAAGGTTTGGAGTGGGAATGATATCTAGGAGATGATCAGAGGGACAGACACCTGACTGAAGTAACCGCAGAGGGATGGAACAAACATACCCGACTCGAAGGGAATGACGGAGGTGAAAGGAGAGTATGGAAGAGCCTCCTGCAGTGTGAACGGGCGCGAGAACCTCGGTTGGTGACCAGATGGCTGCGCAGGAGATTCGGCGCCATTCTGGGCGCCGTTGGCATTCAACATCCTTGGATGCGCCATATCGAGAGTCATCCACGCTTCATGTCAGTAGCCATGCATGAAGAGCCCTCGAAAGCCGCAGCCGGGCAGGGGTCGCTCTCCCGTTCAGACCAGAACAGCCTGGCCCTTATCGAGGGTAATCGCCGCACTCGCATGTGTTGAGCTGGACTGATCCGGAGACGATCCCGTAGGGCCAGAGTCGGAGGTTCGATGGCGAACAGCGCGATGGTTCCGTGGGCGTGAACTCGAGGAAGTGGGTGGAGGTCAGAGAGGTGCACCCTTGAACGTTTGCGGGTAGGTATGATGGCAGACCAGGGTCCATAGCTGCCTGCCACAGTAACAAAGTGTGGGTGGGTACTTGGGTACATCAATACCTGGCTACCGGGACTCGCTTATCGATTAGACCCATACTTGGTGAAGCTTCGGCCATAACCTTGCATGCCAACGAAAAAAAATATGCCACTCTCGACCAGAGGCGCTCCATGCTGTCTCATCCACTTGGCTCTGAAAACACCACATATGTCAGCTCCGCTTCTGATCCGGAACAACCAGCAATTTCTAGCAAGACACGGCACTCGTTATGGCTGCAATTGGGTCTCTTGTTTTCTGCACTGACTGTGGAAACCTCTTACCGGCTTCCAAGGGCAGCTCAAAGAACATTCTTCAGTGTGAATGTTGTGGCGCTGAAAACCGAGGTGAGTGAGCCGATTCAGGAAATGGCGGCAGAGGGTACTATGCTTTGGCTGACATATTTTTCAAGATGCTGCTTCAAACACCATTGTGACAAAGTCTAAGCCTGCTGATTTTCCTTCATACCTGCGCCAGAAACTGTCTACCACCCAGACAATCAAGCGCCATGAGGTGAATACGGAGGCAACAACAACTCAGACCTGTCCCAAGTGTGCAAGGACCGAGGTCAGGTTCTCAGCAGTTCAGCTTCGAAGTGCGGACGAAGGGTCAACTATTTTCTACACATGCGACTGTGGATTTAAGTAGGTGCACCAATCCCGAACGTCACAACTACCATCGCTAACAATGCCTAGATGGAGCGAGAACAACTGATTTCACAATGCTGAAGTCGAGATCAATTTTATGTGCAGTCTAAAGTAATGAGCCGCCGTTGAGATCCAATTCTAGTGAGTCTACCCTGCGAATACGGGAAAGCCGATTGTTACTCTTACTGACCCACTCTTGTAGAGATGCGCCACACTGATGCCACCGACAAGTCTGTCAGGTCCGACATCTTGGAGTCCGTAAAAGACTTATGATGGCTGGCTTTCAGAAGCGGGCGTCACAGGACGACCTCGCTTCTTCAGGAGGTTGTCGAGTGACACTCGGCTAAGCTGCCGTTGCCTCTGGTATGAGGGCATATTCTGCTTGCTCTCCCTTCTCGTACTCAGCCATGTCTAAGGCTACTATAACACTCTCCCGGACGACGCGCTCTGGGTCGTTGAGAAACCCTTTCAAAATATCTTCGACCCCCTCTTCCTCGCCCAGACTGCCCAGAGCCTCGGCGGCTTCATGCCTCACCATGCTGGCCTCCTTTTGGTTGCCAAGCGCAGATGTGAGGGCGGGAATGGACGCCGGGTGGGATAGTTGGCCGAACACGAAAGCAATCTCGTGCCGGAAGAGGGCAGAAGGGTCGTCGAATCCTCGCGCAAGGGCGTGCACGGCAGGAACCGCGGTTGGAAGGTCCGGGGGTGATGCGAGATCTCGGAGAGCGAACATGGCCCGATATCGCATGAACAGAGGGGCGTTGGTGTCCATCAATTCTCTCCCGAGCTCTTCGACAGTCTTCTTGGATTCGGGCATTGGTGGTGCAGGGTCGATGGAGGCGAAGTCACTGTGGCAGAGTTGGTTAATACACGTTTTGCATGTCCAGACAAAGCAACGTAGATGTTACCTCTGGCGCAGCTTCTCCTGCTTCCTCTCTTCTGAGTTCTCCCACCTGATCCGGTCAAGGGCAATCTCGCAAGTCTCTACGACTGCCACGTTCTCGCCTTTCCGGTCCCTGAATTCGCAGAGTATGTCTATGTTGCTGTCGTGACCAATCGCACCGAGGGCCTCGGCGGCCTCGTGTCGGACCATGGGGTCTTCGTTGAGATCGGCTAGGCATTTCCGCAGTGGTGGGACAGCGTAGAGGTTGCGGGTCTGGCCGAGGCAGTATGCAAGTTCGTGTTTGAGCAGGGCGGAAGGCGAGGCGAGAGCCTCCGCGATCGCATCCATGGCAGCCTCGGCGCTGGCATCTTGAGACTGGGTGGCCAGGTGTTTGAGGGAAAAGAGGGCGCGAAACCGCACGGGCAGTGGGGTGTCCTCAGAGCAAAGCGACTCTCGCAGGGCGCTGATTGTAGAATCAACGGAATCTGGTGCTGGTGCCATGTTTGACGAGCGACAAACCAGTTACACTCGGAATAGGAAGGGAAAATGCACACAGAAACAAAAGATCTGTTATGTGGTGTGGTCTTGACTGCGACGGGATCGGCTGCTTTGGTCCTAGAGTTTTGAAAATGTACGATAAGATTAGGGAAGATGGTAAGTGGGGCTGACTTACGCGCAGGGCGGGGATAGTGCTTTGGCCACCACACCACGAGTAATTATCCCATAGGGCTATCCCATAGGATGTTTTCCTATAAAAGCTTGTCCCATAGGAGGTTGTCCCATAGGAGGTTGTCCTATGAGAGGTTATCGCTTGGGGCTTGGGTATACCATCCCTTTTGGTGGGTGCGAATATCCGATCTGAAAAAAAATGTCGTTACAATTAACGTCATCTACTGACCCTGACGCTTCAGTTTGACTCAATAAGCAAGTACCAGTTGACCTTAGGTACTTGTTGAGCACAGTCTGGTTCACGTGGGGAGGGGGCTTTTCTTCGCACGGCATGGTCAACGTGTGGAGAGAAACTTTGAAAGGAGAAGAAACATTTGAGATTCACATATCACCGGATTTAAATACTTCTACCTGCCTTTACCTGATTGCTCACTTTCCTCCTTTCCACCTGCCTTCCTCCCCACCACCCAGCGACCTACCCACACCTCTCACCTCCACAATTTTCGTTCCATAGCACCTGCCACCTGTAGACCTGAACTGCAATACATCCAATTGATTGTTGTCTAAGCTGCCTACGCTCGTTCCAGTCAACGTCAACCACCGGAAGACATGGCTTGCCACTGCACGTCGAAAGCTTGCTTCGCACGATCCAGTGGCGAACACGAGACTGTCGTTGTGGGCGTGTGAAGAAGAAGCACCAACGGCCCGAATTGAAGATGCCGGAAACAATACCCTTGTGCAGGTGAGCATAGTTGGAGATGTGAAAGAGATGTTGATGTCAGGCTTGGATTCGTCAGGTGCCCAGGATCCTGCTTGTATCTCTCCTAATCCTCGAGTACGTCGCATATTGCAGGTTTGCAACAAAGTTAATGTCAATCATCACACCGCATGGATAACCTTGTCCTGACCGGTCATCATTGCTGGAAATGTTTAAACTATTGTAAGATATCAAGGTCTGGGCAAATTTTGTTGTCCAAGTACATGCTCTTATAATTTAGCATAGGCAGTCCCTTCTAATAGTCAAGACTCGGGGACCTTATCTCTGGTACTCAGACCACCTTGAGAGCAAAGCTGATTGTGAGTGAGGGGCAGCAACCAGCCCCATGGCGGCTAACTTGAACAAGGTTGATCACTCTTGGTGGTTATTGCCACTTTTTTTTACTACCACAAAATCCCTTCTCCCTATCCTCCATCCCAATTTTGCTCGGGCACTGGTGGGCCCCACTGTTGATTGACAACTACCTGGGTACCGGTAGCAAAAACCAGGTCTATTAGAATACAGTGATAAAGTGGGTTGGACTAACTGCTATATGGAGAAGTGGCACCGGGTCTGGGATACCTGTGGGAGGTTGTCCGTAAGAGTCGGTCTCGCGTAGAAGACCACGCAGCTGCGTGCTGTGTAAGTCTACTGGAGGCTAAGATTGTGCCGTCTTTACCATAGTAAATATACCCACAACATTCTCAGGAAGATTACTGGCTTGCATAGATGTACATGTCACCTTGGTCGGTAACCAATTGGGTAGTGTTTTGTACCTGACACGCCAGACTGGAGTCAAACTGCAGCGTGGACCTCGGGTGACAGCTTCAGTCTTTGTAGTGTATAAGCCGAGAGGTTGCGTCGCAGCAATAATGCAGCTCCCAAGGCACACGAGCAGCCCCGCCAGCTTTTGGGTGAGCGGGCCTGCAGCCGCTGACCTTACCGAGCCAAAGGCGAGAATCTGCCGTGCGGGTGTTAAGAGTGAGTGGGTGCCAGTGCAAATACGCCTGCGAGCGTGGCAGCCACCTCCTAGCTGCCCAACCTACCCATGTCGCACCTTGCAGACCAGGCTTGGCGCCAATCAGAGGCCGGGCAAAGAGCGGATAGAGGGGGGGCCAGACCCCCAGGTAGGTATTTTCACGCTCCCTGGCTGTGGCATCCCCTCCAACTGTCTGGAAAATTTAGCTCCGCATTTTTGTTCTCAGTTCTCAACCACTATTTCTTGTGAACGATTTCTTTCCTCGGCCTTGTTGTCGCATCCATTCCCCTCCACTCCCCTCTATCCTCCATCTCTCCAGGCAGCCTCACCCGTCAAACTCCATCAAAATGGCCGACGACGCTCAGGTAAGCAACCACCCTGTCTCATCCTCCCCCTCCGCTCTTGTGGTGGCTGGCACAGGCTGGCACCCCGCACTGCACACCCGCGTACAACGGGCACGACACGCTCGCCTCTCGCCTCCGGCCTGTGATCACAACCTACAGCACACACTCGCTCACCCCTGCTGCCTCTTTCTCGCGCCTCGCAGAGCTGACAATGGCCCCTGTAGCATGAACACACCTTCGACTCGGCTGACGCCGGTGCGTCGCTGACCTTCCCCATGCAATGCTCTTCCCTCCGGAAGAACGGTTTCGTTGTCATCAAGAGCCGTCCTTGCAAGATCGTCGACATGTCTACCTCCAAGACTGGCAAGCACGGTCACGCCAAGGTCCACTTGGTCGCCATTGACATCTTCACTGGCAAGAAGCTGGAGGAGCTTTGCCCTTCCACCCACAACATGGACGTCCCCAACGTCTCCCGTCGCGAGTACCAGCTCGTAAGTCAAAATGCCACATCGACCGTCCTGGCACGTGGGCTAGTTCTCTAACATTGCGCCTGCCTAGCTCGACATCTCCGACGATGACTACCTCTCCCTCATGACCGATGACGGTGACACCAAGGATGATGTCAAGGTTCCCGACGGAGAGGTTGGCGAGAAGATCCTCCGTCTCTTCAAGACCGAGGAGAAGGACACCAGTGAGTCTCGCCCAGGTCATCAAATACCCGCCACGTGTGTACTGACAGCTTTGATTAGACGTTGTCATCCTGACTGCCATGGGTGAGGAGGCTGCCGTTGAGGCCAAGGAGGCTCCCAAGCAGGGTTAAACGCCTGCCTTTGGCGATTGACGACCTCGGGAAGTGACCGGATACTGAACAGTAGCGCTTACGATCAGTCACGGCAAAGCTCATGTTGAGGATACCTCGTCTTGACATATTGTGGGCCTGCCACTCATTTCTCTGATCCATGGACTTGATAGTTTTATTTGATAGCACGTGAAAGACGGGCTCGCGCGAAATCCAATCTGCGGTTTTCCCATCTAATTGGCATGCGATAAACATTCCTAAGCGGGGAGAAACTGGGGTGTCAACGGGTGTAGAGTCTACCTCAATTGAGACTATACGAAGAATACACAGGACCAACATGTGACATGCCGGTGATTCGTAATTATGACCTGTCCCCACGACTAGCATCCTAGCACGCCTGGTTAGGAAGTGCTAGCTGCTTTTCCTCTGCGTAAGCATACTGCTTTCGCTGGCACCATTTGACCGATGTTACACGCATTTGTAAATGTGCGTATTGTTGTGGTAACGAGACAAAAATCAACATGCCAAAAGAATCATTTCGTTGTGACGGCTGGCGGAATTCCAAGTACGCCAGCAAAGTGTGGTTCGCGGGAGTGCCCGCGCATAAGTTATCCCAGCAGGTCAACGCGGTTACCAACACCCTACTACAACCCTTCCCTTAGCTTGGTCAAAACACAATGACAGGGCGCAGAAGAGGCCAAGAACTCCACCGGTTCCCCGCCGGTGAGCGGTGCGACGAATGCCGAGCGAAAAGATGGTATGCAGAAAGTGGACTCAGATACTGCGAAAATGGACATCGCATCGAGGTAGGGCGTGACCCAGGGACAGGATTTCATCGTTTGCCAGTCTTGCTTACACCGTGGTTTCAGGGCTATGTCGAGTTCGACATCGACGAAGAAGACAACTTCGGGCAGCAGGGAAAGATCGTGCGCAAGGAGCGGGAGGCAAGGGAGAAAGCGACGAAGCATCTCTCTGGCAACGCGGCGCGTGAGCTCTACCTAGAATGCCTCCAGCTCATACTGCGCAAGCAGATCTGGTGGCTGGTGCACAGCAAGGGCTTGCCAGAGGAGCTGGAAACCGTTGTTCGCGACCTCTGGGACCTGCGCATCAGGAACTTTGCCGGCCTCAGGAGCGCTGCGGAATCGACCGACGGCGAGTCGGGCCTGGAGTCCGGCATGGACTCTGGCACCGAGCTCTTCAGCTCGCAGGCCGGGAGCGAGAGCGACGCGTCCACCGCCACGACGAGGACGACGCTCAGCCGCGGCAGGAGCTGGACCTCGGAGCCCGGGCAGGATTGGAATCTCCCAGGGCTGTTCCACAGTCTCGCGCTCTGCTACCTCGGATGCCTGTCGATGAGCCTGCCGGTGCGCGTCGGGCAGATCTACAACTGGGCCAAGGATGACCACCTGCTCTTCCTCGGAGCATTCGATGCGCTCCCTGCGCCAATGACGGCCAGGCTGCCCGGCGCATACCACAGAGCCCTCAAGGTGAAGAACGCCTCATTTCGGGGCGGAGAGCTGCACGAGGCCGTGCTGGAACTGGTTCTTGATTATCACCTCAATTACGAGATGGCATTTCCTCCGCTGAACACACCTCTGCTTCTATTGCAATATTTGCGGGAACTAGCACTGCCTTGTAAGTCTACAGCCTCTTGATATGCTTCGGCCAGGGTGCTAACGTGCTTCCAGCGGAGGTATATGTCCATGTCCGAGCAATGTTAAGGCTTCTAGGTTTCCACTGTACCTTCGACATGGAAAAGAAACGGTTCAAACGGCTCGATCACCCAGACATCCTCCTGATATCCTGCATTATATTCGCGACAAAGCTACTCTATCCGTTTGACGGCAAAGAGCGGCCTCCTGTCAGCTACCGCGACCCATCATCCTTGCAGATAGACTGGGACCAGTGGCGAGAACTCATGAGGGACCCCGAATCAGAGGGCTTGGAACGGCGGGCGATGCATCAATTACAGCCCGATGACGCGTGGACCATGAACGACAAGAAGATTGACGATTACCTCGACTGGTACGAGGAGACACAGGTCAAGACGGGCAATGAGTCGCAGGAGCTCAAGGAACTGTTCCCTCTGGCAGACAGGCGGCTTCAGAGGCCCAAGCCTGAGCTGACTGAGGACGAAATAGATGACAGGCTCAGGACGGCACAGAGCTACCTAAGATCGGTGCGGCCAGAGAAAGGAAGCTGGTTCAAGAGGGTAGGCGAAGACCACGCAGTGTACCGCACCCCTGATGACCTGCCTGAAGTTGCAAAGGCATTCTACAGCAAGGCGGCCGATATCTCGGGGCTGTCTCTTGGCGTACTTGTGAAAGCCGTGCATGCTTTGGAATTGAAGGTGCATCGATGGACCACCCGGGAGCGAAAGGCTGAGGTGGAAGCGAACCGGTCTGGTTCGGAGTGACGAGAAGAGCAGTTTCCCGGTCCACAGAGAGTTGAAAACGCCCTCGATGTAAACTCTTACGGGTTTACTTCTAATTGACGAGCTTCTACTGGGATAACATACTGTAGGGCCACCTCTTGCAGCCTCAACTCCCATTGCGTAACGAGCTACGTGACGATTGTCTACGAGATGCCATATGACCTCTCATGACACCCACCTGTGTGGCATGTTGCGGGTAGGATACCCTACCATGAGATGCTCGCACAGGTCAGCAGGTATATAGCAATCAAGCAATAGAGGGCTCCGTGGTGACCTTTGATAAATTTTCATAAAATTCGGCGGTGTCGTTTCAATAATGCGGGCAATGGGATCAATCATGGAAAGTCTTCATCGCTCTCATGCCGCAAGTCTCTTGTGGCGTCGCCTGGCTGGTCGTGCGCCCCTGCCGGTCGCTGCACCGTGCTACGGCTCTCCTCAAGAGATGCACAAGGGCATGCCATTAACCATGGATCTGCGCACTGAGAGTCTCATTCCACAGCAGTTCCGATGCAAACAATCAAAGATCTTGCAAAGACATTGAAATAGACAAAGTGACGATCCAACTCCCTGCGGTGATCCCTGCAGGTGAGTCTCTGGCTGAGTGAGGAACAGGAGAGCGGACGGACGGTCGGACAACTGGTCACGTGTTTTGTGGGTCCACACAGGGCAACGGCCAGCGACTTGCAATTTTCGTGCCCAGACTCCACCCATCTTTCTGCCGTCAGAGGAATCCCGTCCTTTCAGGAACCGTCACCCTCCCTCCCAAACCTCAGCAAACGCCAATCCCACACGAGGACAAAGCATTCAAGAGTAAGTCTATGCCGCATTTCTATTGCTCCGATAAGCCCGCATCTTTTGGAATCACCATGCTAACAGAGATGAACTTGCAGTGCAGATGTAAGCGCACCCACTCGATCCGATGCGAAACTCGACCGATTCGCCGCCCGTACTGACCCTTCCGCCAACAGCTTCGTGAAGACCCTGACGGGCAAGACTATCACCCTCGAGGTGGAGTCCTCTGACACCATCGACAACGTCAAGTCCAAGATCCAGGACAAGGAGGGCATCCCCCCAGACCAGCAGCGATTGATCTTCGCCGGCAAGCAGCTTGAGGATGGCCGCACCCTCTCCGACTACAACATCCAGAAGGTCAGTGGAGGAAAGAAAAAAATTGCAGCCATGATGGCCGCAGCGAACGACCCGATTTCTCTCATCAACAGGCGACTCCTGGTCGCCAAGCGAAGGCGGATGCGAGAACACGAGCATGAAGGCTGACAATTCAATACAGGAGTCCACCCTCCACCTGGTCCTCCGTCTCCGTGGTGGTCTGATCGAGCCCTCCCTGAAGATTCTGGCCTCCAAGTTCAACTGCGACAAGATGATCTGCCGCAAGTGCTACGTACGTTGGACCCACCGGTGTGTGTCGAGTCGTGTCACGAATGCTAACGCGAGACATAGGCTCGTCTCCCTCCCCGTGCCACCAACTGCAGGAAGAGGAAGTGCGGACACACCAACCAGCTGCGTCCCAAGAAGAAGCTCAAGGTTTGTCTCCAGCCTGCTTGGCCACCGCTAGTACGAACACCCACTGACATGCGACTAGTAAACGATTCTCATGTCTGGCGTCTGGGCGGTTCTGGTATCACGAGTGGTTGGCAAGGGAAAGCAATTTGCAAGCATTCACTTGCGTTCTTACGTAGCACATCAATAGAGATTCGTGCTTATCGGAATCAATGGGATCAAAATACACAGCAGTCACTACGCCTTGTGATTCGATGATACGAAGTGAAAGGGATCAAAAATGGCCCAGCCCTACAAGATGAACGATGTCGCAAGTTATGGAAGTGTTCAGTAGCGGTGTGCTGAGCTGTGACGAGTCGACAAAGGTCCAGCCCAAAGAGAGGTGACAACTCCGCCGACATCTCCGAGTAATTTGGAACACGGCGTTGCCCAGGCCCATCCGCACGCAGCATTCTCACTCGGACGGCCGTTCTCACATACCGGGAAGACTTTGTTCGAGCAAATGAGCAGCGAGACCGGACGCAACCAATTAAGCATGGGTGAGCGAGGGAGGGTAGTACGGTTGGTGACTCGTCCAGTTCATGCCGGTGTGGGAAGTTCATCAGCAATTTCAAAGTGACGATATGCTTCTGTGGGGTCGACCCGGTCCCTCGCAGTCCGATCACATGAAGTCCAAGAGCTGACCCAGCAAATTGATCGTGAAAAACCATACTTGCTGTTACCGTACCACCGCACACCTTCAAAAATGACTGACTGCACGTCATAGCAGAGTCGCTGTGGCTGAGCTGCTCCCTATGTACTTAGTATGTATGCATCTAGGTAGTCGAATTCTGGAGAAGATCATCCTGCAAGAGCGTGTACTGCAGGAGGGTGTTCTATAGGAGGCGAGGAGGCAGTCTCCTGGGAGGCTATGATGAGGTTATCCTGAGGTTGTCCTACAAGACAATTCCCCATAGGAGACTCCGAGGTTAGACTACCAGAGGATGTTAGGTTATTCTATAGGAAGCTTTCCTATTAAATTACAGAAGGCTACCACATGTGAGTTTGTCTTAGAAGAGGCTGTCCCATAGGAATTTCGGGGAGACATACTATATTGTGAATTTCTATTGTTGAATCTGTAGTAGGGCGCAATTCTGTTAACGATCGGTACTCCTCGTCTAGAGCCCGGCGGTTCTGACGGCCGCTGTGGCACGGCCTGCGCAGCTAACAGGTACGTACCACCACCCGCGGCTCATATCCCTGTACTCCGTACAATTAACCTCCAACTTGCAAGCTGTCGACAGCTGCAGGTGGAAGCTCACTTGTCGTACTGTGAATTCATTCCCTTACATTCCGCGACGCACTTTTCCAGCGACACATCTACACCCCCTGATGAGACGCTCTCGTCCGCTGAAAGCCAACAGTCGATATCAAAGGAGCATCCAGCGGTGATAAAGCAAGATGTCCTCGGGAGCCGGCTACGATGCGGTGGTGGACGTGGACGACGAGGTAACTCCAGCCACAGAAGACAGTTTGCGCCCGAGACCACCACTTTCTAACAAGGCCTTTCCGCGCAGGGCGACCTCGGCCACACCGACCTCCAGGACGACCTCGAATTTCACAACTCCAACTTCTCCGAGACGACGCCCGCGATCCGCAAGGCGCCCGGGCAGTCAGGCCTGCCGCTGCCCGCGACGGCCTCGTCCTCGGGCAAGCGCTACCTGTGGTCCATGTCCTTCTACGCGCAGTTCTTCGACGTCGACACCTCCGCGGTCCTGCAGCGGTGCTGGGCGGCGCTGTTCCCGCGGGCCAACTTCCTCGACGTGCTCGAGGGCAACCCAGACCTCTACGGCCCCTTCTGGATAGCCACGACCGTCGTCTTCATCCTGTTCCTGGGGGGCACCATAAGCAAGTATCTCGCCACGACGGGCCAGGAGCCGTTCGTCTATGACTTCAAGCTCCTCAGCGGTATGTTCCCCTCCCATGTGCTCCTCTCCTCTGCCTCTGTCGCCGGAGGGAAGAAGTGCACGCGCCCCTTGCTGACAGCAGTGGTTGGAAATCCAGGCGCCGCCGGCCTCATCTACGGCTACACACTCTTCATCCCGGTGGCCCTGTACCTCGCCCTGCGGTACTTCGGCTCCGAGTCGGCGAACCTGCTCGAGTGCTGGGCGCTCTACGGCTACTCCAACCTCATCTGGGTGCCCGTCGCGCTCATCAGCTGGAGCCAGATCAGCATCCTCAACTGGGTCTTTGTGGGCGTCGGGTTCGGCCTGTCCGTGGCCTTCCTCCTGCGCAACCTGTACCCGGTCCTGAGCGCCACGGACAAGCAGACGAGCAAGGTCCTGCTTGTCCTGGTCCTGGTCCTGCACCTAGCCCTGGCAGTGGCCATCAAGATGCTATTCTTCGCGCACGGCAGTCTGATACCGAATGAGCAGCCCGGGAGCGGCGTTGGTGGAGGAGGTGGTGGTGGTAACGACGGAAAGGCGCCTGAGCAGCCTCCGCCACCCCCACCCCCGGGTTTCTAGGATACTTAAAGGCAATCCCAAGGGGTCTACCGGCCTAGGCGTGGAGCTGTGGGCTTAGGGGGCGTTATGCCTTTAATGACTGCATGTACACTATGCCGGTTTGACGGCTGGTCTGTTTTACTGACACGGGGAAAGCATCTTTCAAAGGGTTTAAATATTTACAGCTTAGCAAGTCCGAACAGCATTACTGCCATGCTTTCCAGCAAACCTCTTACCCCCTCACCACGTACACTATTGTCATTACACCGCCGCATCTTCAAAAAGTTGCATGACGTCGTAATAGAGCACTTGTGATTTGCCTGGCCCTGCGTAGTGTTTGAGAAGAGGCTATCCTGTAAGAGCTCGTCCCCCATCTCACAGTGTAAGCCCCTTGAATCCTCAGCAGCACATCTCACCTCTCCACCTTGCCCCCCTTCTCGGCCCAGTCCAGCCAGCTGCCGGGGTACTCGCCCACCTTGGACCAGCCGGCGTCCTTTGCCAGCCCCGCCGCGGCGCGGCTGCGCACGCCGGCCTTGCAGTAGAAGACGACCTCCTGGTCCTTGGCGGGGCGCGGGTACCCGAAGCGGTCCTCAAACTCCTCCTCGCTGATGTGGAAGCTGTCGGGCTGCGACGTCACGGGGATGTTGACCGCGCCCGGCACGCGGCCGGTCGACTTGAGCTCGCCTGGCTCTCGGACATCTGTTGGGGGTGGCGCGGTGCCTGCGGTCAGCCTGGTTTTCCCCCCCTGCTCTGGCTTGTTCCGTCGTTTTGTGACTCGCTTGTGTCCGTCGAGTGGATGTAGATTTGTCGGGCACTTATCCGCCTCGAAGGAAAGGGAGGGGGGAGAGGGTTCGTATCGTACCGACTACCAGGACGCTGGGTTCTGCCTCTTGCGTGAGCTTCTGGACCTGTGTGCCGGGAACGACATATCGTCAGCCAGTCTGTCACTGTGTATTCCTTCCTCTCTCGCCGACCCAGGCAGTCTCTTCCTCCAGGCCGAAATCGGCGAGGGCGGGGGACCACGCAAACCAGTCCAACGCGCGCGCGCGACATACCTCCTCAAAGCTCCATATCTTGCTCTCCTTGGGCTGATTCTGCTGGGAGTACCTCCGGGCGGCAGAGGGCAGCGCAGCCGCGGCGTGAAGAGGGACCGGGGCATACCGCCCGGCAGCACGGGGCGCGGCGCTGCGGAGGAGGAGGAGGGAGCTGGAGCTAGTAGCCACGCCGGTGCGGTAGGCGCCGAGGCGCAGTGCGTTCGCGGCGGTCTGCAGCGTCCGCGGGGAGGCCATCTCTGCAGGTGGGGTGCTCGGTATAACAGGAGCTGCGGCACAAGGTGGGAATGGGCGTTTTTGAGGGAGACGGTTCGCTGTGTGGTTCTGTCTGGACGGGACGTCGCTTCACGGCGGGAAGTCGGGGTCCCACTTTCGGTCGGGAAGCTATCTCGGAGGCGGGCGGCTGGGTTCGGGTCTGATGTCACCTGCGGGCACAGGCTTCGCAAATGCAGTAGTACTTATTAAGGTAGTCTCGGGGGCCGTCAGGGGGTTTGTGTGTTCTGAGTCCTCCGGTTGGTAATTGGGCCCCGGATCTTGCGCAAATCAGTGTTTGGCATCCCAACCAACCCTTCCTGACAGCTCCAGTGTGACGGGTCGTGCCGCTGTGGCTAAACTCTATCTCTGCTCCGCCAATCGTCCTTGAACCGACGGCCAGGCTTCTCGCGGGATTGGTCCAGATAAGGTTCACGAGATCAGACAAATGTTGCCCTCACAGTAGTACCCGTCAAAACAACGGCCAGGGTTTCAGACATGCCTAGGTGAATGGATGCATTTAAAGACTAATGTAATGTCGACCAATGCCTTGTGAGGGGGGATCCAATCCCGGACCATGCCAATCGGAGAGGGAGTGTTGCTATAAGAGCTTAGGTCCCTGGCAACCTGGGTGCGTGCTCCAGAAGCTAGGGGGTTGAAAATTATATACGGTATTAAAAGTTATTAAACTGTGTCATAACACGTCTAGAATCGTGCGGTCACGCTGGTAGGTCCATTATACCAGCCGCATCATGCTCACGTCTTTTAGATTGCTCTGCAACTTCTACCAACCTCTTCTTACGCCTTCCTGTCCTCAAAGGTCAGGGGACAATCGTCCTGGATCCTGTTAGCATATATTACTCAAGAATGTAGGGGAGGCTGTGCGAGCCCAGCTTACCATGGGGAAGATGGTGGCAAAGACCTTGATCTCCTCGGACCTTGGTGTTGGGTGGTGCTTCCAGTCCAGCAGGAGCGAGGCCTTTCCGATCATGAGGGCCAGGTTGGACATGGCGTAATGCTGTCCGAGGCAGTAGTGAGGGCCAGTGCCGAAGACCAGCCAGTTCTTTGCGCCCTTCTCCTCGGCATCGCCTGTGTAGTAGCGCTCGGGGTCGAACTCATCGGGGCGCTCGTACACCTCAGGGTCCCGCAGCGACAGGTACGTCGACGGGATGACCATGGCGCCCTTGGGAACGGTGTAGGTGTCGGTGATGGGGAAATCCTTCTTGGCGAGGTAAGGCACCATCAGGACGGGAGGCCGGTATCGAAGCAGCTCACGGACAACGGAGCGGGTGTACTTCATCGAATCGAGCTCGTCCAAGGTCAGGGCCGCGTGGATGTCGCCCTTGCGGGTCTCCAGGTTTTCCTCCCTGATGCGGTCGAGAATATCGGGCCGCTGAGCCATGATCTGGAAGAGCCATGTGACAGCGCTGCTGGTCGCATCCTGAGAAGCAAAGAGGAAGGTGAAGATGGTCTGGGCAATCTCGTAGTCGGAGAATTCTCGCAGCAGCGGCGTTGGCTTGGGGAGCTTCTCGCCCCGGGCTTCGGCCTCGCGCCACTTGCGGGAGTCCACCATGCTCTTGACCCAGCCGTCCATGATGCACGAGACCTCGCCGCCGGCGTTCATGCGGACCTTGCTCTTGGCAGCAGCCTTTGAGAACTCTGCAAGTACCATATCTGCGGCCTTCTTGCCGTACCAGGTCTTGCTGAACGGGATGATGAAGGGGAAGTTGACCAGTTCCAAGGCCTCGGTAATCAGGTAGTAATCATCCGCAATCTTCTTGACACCCTCGTCGGACACGTAGTGGCCGCAGAATGTCCGCAGGGACACGGCAGTGATGATCTCTCGGAACTCAGACATCCAGGGCACGGGCTTATCACCGGCATCCTTGGTAGCCTTTACCCACTTCTTGAAGTAGCGGTTGTACACGTCCTCTTGGCCGGGGAGATAGCATTCGAGGGCCTGGCGTGTGAACAGCCCGTTCAGGCCCTTGCGGAAGTCGACGTGAGGCTTGCCGTCGAGGAACACCCAGTTGTCCGCTCCCAGAAGCTTAGGCGCGACGTCCACAACACAAGGCTTTACAAAGGTTGGCGAGTTGAAAACCTTGCGGGACATGTCTCGGGTGGAAGCGATAATAACAAACCTTTTACAGTGTGCGTTAGCCACCAAGACATGACGGGCCAGTTTTGAAATGCTGACGAGGAACTTACTTGTGGAAGATCGAAACGCAGCTCAGGTCGCCGCTCAGCCATTTTCCATAGTATTCGGAGAATTTGGGGTTCATGGATTGCAGGAAGGGTCCAATGAACGGAGCCTTCCATGACGGGCCAACGATTGAGCCCTTCTGGCGGAGATAGCTGACTGTAAGGATTGCGATTAGCTGCTGAACTTTTGTTTCTGAGGTCCCTCGTCTTGAATTGGCCCTTGGCTCCCTTCACCTTCCCGAGCCTCTCCATACACCTTTCTTGATTTTTCGGACCACATTCTCGGCCGTTTTTTGTTCAATTGATCATGGGCAACACATACCTTGGTCATAGACGACCGCAATGGCCAGGACAGTCCACAGGACAGTCCAGATGCTGGCTTGGGAGATTGCGCCAACGACATATTCGAGTTGCAGGGGAATGTTGAGGTTGCCATTCTGCGGGCTCGCCAGCGGCGAGGCGAAGCTGGTTGCGTTGGAGTCCATGCCAGGCAAACCCAGCTCGCTGCAAGGGGTATGGATGCGGAGAAGCTGTGCCTGTTCGGATTGGATATTTGCCTTTTGTGCTTGTGCGTCTGCGTCTGCGTCTGAACAACAAGAAACACCAGGACAAACAAGACGAAAAAAAAACCCCGAGGCTGAAGCTCAGAGCTCCCTGGTCAGCTATCGTTGGGCTAGGCCGTTCGAGGATCAGCTAGGCGACGGCCTGGTCCGTCTAGTTCTGTCCTCTTAGTTGAAGGCGCCGCCTATGGATTGTTGGGGCGTTTCCGAGGTGTTGGGCCGACTGCTGCGCGGTGAAAGGTGGGAGACGAGGAAATGCAGGAAAAAGACGCCGGGTGAGCTGGACCCTGGGGCAGTCTCTGTAATTAATAATGAGCAGCAAATTCCGAAGCAGGGCAAGGGCGCAAGGGTCGACTGGGTAATCGGAGCTGGGCTTTTGCTGGGTCTTCTGGAGATAAAAAGTGCGGGAACAGGAGATTACGCTACCAATGGGAATTCCCACCGTCTGATGTAACGACTGCGATTCAATGTTCAGGCGGCAGGGGTGTGCAGCTGCCCGGCTAGCGCGTGCTCGGGTCAGAATGTTGCTGTTCTGCTTCTTACGAATCTTACCTCTGGGTGCGTCTTAGTCGTGTCTACTTCGGGGCAGCGGCAGGGCACACGGTACAGTAGTGTACATTTCGACATCTCAGACTAATGCATAGTGGTAAGCTGCCAGGTAACCCAGGTACCAACACTAGGTATCTAGGTAGGTACCTGCCCGGGTCGGCTGGGTGACAGGAAGGCAGGAAGGTGCCGCATCCAGGCACTGAGACCTGGTACCTTGGGGCCCAAGGTGACAACCCATGGCCGATCAGCTTCCTGGTGGGGGCGCCGTGGCCAATGGCAGCTGACAATTCAGCCTGCACCCCGTCAGCAGGCTGGACGGGAAAGCCAGACCCGCATCAGGCCATGGCCGGCGTGGTGGCAGGGTCCGAAGGGTCATCGTCTCCCGGGTATACCAGTAACCGGTACGGAGCACACGGATTACACGTATGGAGTACCCTGCTGATGTTCCCCAGCAAACCCTCCCACAAACCCCTCTTGCTGGGGTAAGTACACTCACAACTCACTACAAGACTCAACTCATACGAGGCTGGCAGGATCGTCTATCTGCTTAAGCATATGTTTATCACATCGATACAATCACAATCACGCTCGCTCCATACACGCCCCAGGTCAAATTGGGTTAATCGTTGATCCCATGCTGTGTAGGACCAAAAGACCCCGGATCCCACGGCAGACAGAGCGCTTACGACAGCAGGTACATAGTAGTATGTAGTATAGAGGGCACAGATCTCTCCGTGCTGCCACGGCTCCACAACTGCCAATCTCTGTATGCTGTGCCCAGGAGCCCAGCCTGCCACCCAGACGAGGCCCAGATGAAGCCCAGATTCTGTTTGGACACCTGCCACTGACTGCACCACACCAGACTATTGACTTTTGCTACGCCGCGACCGTGCATTCGGCCTCCCGCTGCTGACGGGCGCTTGACGGGCACTTGACGTAATTTGTGGCCCCGCCCCAATACAACCATCGTCACACATTCTGGGCGTCGCGCCGCGTTATATGCGATAGGCGACGACACATCGTATGGTCGCGCATCCCTCGCTGCTCTGACCTCACAGCCTCGACAAAATATGGTTACATGCTGGCCTGAGGTGTGGGTCCCCACTCGTTCTCGAAATCTGAAGAAGCTTGCTGATCCAGCTGCCCGGGACCATCTGGGACGACCCTGAGTGCGTCGCATCATCTGGAATATGCCACCGTGCCATTGGTCAATCCCACTGCTTCAGATCCGGATACGAGTACGAATAAGCCCGTTTGCAATCGCATTGTCCGCTCGAACAATCCCCAAACCGCGCTCGACATCGCGACGCGAGGGTTGCTAGGTGTATGGGTGTATGTCAGGCTGGTACGGAGTAATAGAAGAATCTGGCCCGCCGATTCCCCTCTCCAATCAGGCCCACAATCACTTCATTACACTACACATCCCAACTAGTGCACCGGGCTATACGCAAACAAGCAACTCATCACCATTTCCCTACCATGGGCTTTGTTTCCTGCGGTCGGCGACCCCCACCCCGGCCTGACATGTGGCCACCCTTGGCACCATCCTATCGCTGCTTCGCGGCCGACCTCCCGACTGCTCGGCCAGAGCTGTCCGCTACCGCCGGCCACCCTTGCCTGCAACACCGTTCGGTGTCTTGTTTGCATCCGAGCCTCCAGCGGACAATTCGTGCAATTACACCGTATCCTCGTGGTGTCCCTGTCATGTTCAGTGACGATTGCTGTGATCATACTCAATAACTAGGTATCATCCTTGATAAAAAACTGACAAACCCGTGTGTCTTTGAAACATAGTCAATGCTCATTGTGCAGATTTTGTCAAATACCCATAGCTACAGCCTGCCCCAGTAACTCGACTGGGACAGCCGGGGAGGACTCGGAAACAGTCAAGCACGGGTTTCAAGTCAGCCTTACGGCGAATCCGGCCCCATTGTGTGTGCCGTTGACAAAGTGCGGTAGTCCCTTGCCTTCACGCCCTGTCAGCCCGATCCAGAGCACAAGTCATGCTCGTGGTTCAAATTTGTGGACACAACAATAGTGGCAAAACCAAAGTGTCTGGGCTCTTTCTAACACAGAGGCTCAACTGATTCAAGTGTGTCTGTCGGTGAACCATTTGCCTCGCCTACCATGACCAACACATGTCTCGAGGTGTTTGAGCTTAATCAACCCAGGCTGATGGCAGGCAAGAACAGAGTCATGGGCCCATGTGCGTCATTGAACCCTGCGCAAACAATGCTACTCTAAGTCACCAAGTGAATATTGAACAATCAGGGAGCTGCGTCAACCGCCACCGTTCCACCGTTTCCGGGCCTGGCAAAAAAACACTCGATGTTCAGACCATTGTGGCGTCGCAACCGAGGTTTTTAATGCTGGGAGAAAGTGCTTGGAAAAGCTTCGTTATATTGGAACAACACACCTTGTATGATGATCTATCTCATCCGGCCGGGCTATCCGGCTGTGCACAAACAAGCCATGGGGTTAGAAGAGTCAATTGCTATGGGATCCCACCGGGCGAATTGCTTCAAACTGCAAGCTCATCAACAAATACGACTATACCGTCTAAGTGCTCTGTGTTCCCATTGCTTACACCCACGATTAAGGCTCGCATGTGAATAATTTGGCCGAAATACTGTCAGCAAGTTCGACTTTTTCTAATTTGACAAAGTGATTGGATAGGACTCTGCGGACACAGTCTCTTCCAAAAACTACAGACCGACCAAACATACCGAAGTGCGCCAACAATAGTGTAAGACAATTAGTTATCACAAATGATCACATGAACGAGTGTGAAAAAAAGTGCGAGGGGGGGGGCAATGGGGATAAAGATTGTCAGTTTGAGTTGTACTTATGAGAACCCACCTGGACACCAGTGTGCTCTTTGATTTGGACAGGGAGTGAATATCATCAGATGATTCTGCGTGCAGCATTCACGTATGAAGAGCTCATGAAAACATGTGCGTTTTCAATACCCGCCGCTTCATCTTCTCGAGGTAAAACATTACAGTCCAAGCCTCAGAGGAGCAAATACCGTTAGATCATCTTTCGCGGCCCGGGGCGTTCTACTCAACGCCGCCGTCTAGACGGTGCCCCTTAGCCTTGTCTGTGCGTCACAAGGCTGAGACCATAGAAATTAGACGAAGCTATGTTGTTTTGCGAAGAGCGCTCTGGCACTTGGTCGTTGAGTACTGTAGTACATCCATATGAGAGGTTGGTGTCTGAGAGAAGGTTGGCCTGCAGTATGTGATCCTGTGCGAGATTTTGCAGTAGCCTATTACACTTTTTTTTTTTTACTACAGAGATACTGCTTCGCCGTCTATCAGCCCTTGGGCTACACGTGTCGACGATTCTATTCAGCGGCGCCCCCGGGAGCGATGCTTCATAGCCTTGACTATTTGTCGCGAGGCTGAGGCCACGTGCCCACGTATTTCACTGTATTTTCAAGTTCTCTTTACTGTTATTGGCATTACGTTTTTTAAAATGATGGGTCTTCAGTTTTCACTGCGGTATGAAGGCGCCACATATGTTCTATATGCATAGGATACCTATCATATTATAACTATCGTTATCGGCATCATATTCTTTCCAAGCGCTAGGTCTTGAGTGCTTACCACCGTATGAAGGTGCCATATATGTCCTCGGACGTATACGGAATAGAAGCGAAACCACACATATGTCCTCGGACGTATACGGAGTAGAAGCGAAACCACAATTAGAAACGAGATCAACCCATCCACCACTTACTGCATAGATACTGTGGTCTTGAGTGCTTACCACCGTATGAAGGCGCCATGTATGTCCTCGGACGTATACGGAATAGAAGCGAAACCACATAGATACTGTGGCAATGTAGCGGGCCCGAACATAGCTCATTATTGTTATTGGTCGAATGTGCATGTTGCATATGACCGGAGACACGTTGTAAATCAGTCATCACGACGCCGTCGCTGGCGTTAATTCTAGTGGCCTGAAACTTGAAAGATGGGAATGTCTAGGCCCAATGGCACGGCGATCGCCTGATTGATAGCATTCGACCAGATACCATTCCAGACCAAAAGCGGTTGTAGCATGCATTCAACTCGTTCTCACAGCACTCTGTGTGAAGTATGTGATGAGGCAGGAGTAGGTCTCTGCGTAGTGATATGAACCTGGGACGATTGAATCGCACCTACAACATACGCAGTACCCTAGTGTATATGGATCCTACCAAGGCGGACATGGAGTCTTCATTTTATCCGAGACTCCATGGAATCTCAAACTACAAGTTTCTCTATAGTTTCTAATCAAAACGTGTCGTCCGAGATGTTTGCATTCATCTTGACGATTGTAGGGCTGTACTCGGACGAGTCTTCGGGCTCCATACCGGCCGTCATGAGTATGTCGTCGACAATCCGCTTGCTTGCCTCTCGAGCTGTGAAATAGTCAGAAAGGGCTGTGACCAGTGGCGAATATGAAATTTGGCTACTTACCTGGGGTCTGCAGGAGCTTCGACGGCGGCAGCGCAAACTGGATCGTCTTGGGCGGGCTCATTCCGCCATATAGGCCGTCATCGTCCTCATCGTCACTCTCCCACGTGATATCGTCCTTGCGCCGGCCCCTCTTGCCCTCCTCGTCCGCGTAGACGTCCCTCGTCTTCCTCGCGGTTGCGGGCGTCTGGACGCTGACGCCCGGTGTCCGCGTCGCAGCAGACGCGCCACCGTACTTTATGGGCGACATGAACGCGGCACTGCGCAGCGTCGGGATCGCCATCTCGGGAGAAGACTGAGGCGAGTCATCCTTCCATGCTGGCTGCTTGCCCTTGTCCCCGCCCTGCGGCTGGAGCTTCTCGGTGACCTTCCACTTGATGGGAGAGACGCCGGTCGGCTTGTGCGGGGTCGCTTGGATGCGGTAGTTCTTGTCAAGGACCCTGTGGAGTAGGGGATCCCTATTCTTATGTGCGGTGGAGAAGATGTCGTCTTGTGTCGCCTCGTCGGCGCCCAATGATGACCGTGGGGTCATGGACATATCGGGCAGTCTGGTGGTGTGCTGATGAGGCACGATCTCGGTATCGGAGTCGTCATCTGAGGCGCGGTCATCCTCGCCTCTCATCTCACGCTTCAGCTCCTCATAGGGAGAGCCGAGCTTGGCGAACTTTGGCCTCGACCTGCTCGCCGGCGCGCGGGGGGTGCTCCCGGTAAGATCTCCGTCTCCGCCATCCAGTAGTGAGTCGTCCTGTGCTTGGTATGAGGCCTCCTGATGGGCATCACCATCTTCCGGCCGCGGGGTGTAGTCCGCTGTCGTCTCATCGTGCTCGGTTGTCTCGTCGTGAGCTGTCGTTTCCTCGTCTGCGGCTAGCTCCTCATACCCTGACAAGGACACATTTGCCGACGCCTCGAAGAACTGCTTCCAGAACTTTGACGCCTCCCACACGGCCTTTGAGTGCTCTCCATACTGCTCCACCAAGGGCAGGATGCTCGTGGTGACTATGCGATGTGCCCTGCTGAAGTTTGAGTCGATCTCTGTGTCGTGTTAGCTCCCTCTCCAGTCATCTCGCCAGATGCAGATTGGACCTACCTTGCAGAGTGAGCGTGATTGACTGTTCAAGTCTTTCCAGCTCTTCAGTGAGAGTGAGATTCCTTGCTGCTGAGGATCCTGCCCGAGACATCTTGGTTTCGGTTCAGCTGAAGAGGCAGACCTTCACATTGTTTAAGTCGCGTCTGTCCTCGATCTGACGCGTTGCGGGGCAGGACGTTGATGCTGGGGGTGTGGGGTGTTGATTTGCAGGGATCCATTAATGAGCTCCCATAGCGGGGTGCAAGTACCTTCAAAGTACCTATCTACCTGGGCGTGTCGTGGTCTCCAGCTGCAAATGCCCTTCACAAGCGGCTGGAAATCGCTTGATGGCTCTGCTCTCTTCGAACCAGTTCATCGTCTTCCCGCCTAGTAATACAGGGTATATCTAACATGCAAACACTGTCCAATTTCAATCCAGCCACGCTTCCTGAGTTGGCAGACACTTCCGCCGAAATCTTGTACACAGAATGTGAGCGCCTCCTACCACTCTTTGGTCTGAGAGACTCGTCCACAGGTCTGCTGGCCCTTTTGATTTACCCGCCTCGTCGACCACGGCCTCCCCTCCCGCGGCCTCGACCTCGCTTCCGCCCCCTCCCTGGGCCTCCTCTGGTGGGCCTCGCCGCTGGTGCTTCCTCTTCTTGCTGCTCCTCCGCCTCCTGCTCCTCTTCATGTTCTTCTTCGCTCTCGTCGTCAGAAGAAGATTGGGAATCTCCATCCTCATCTCCATCCTCATCTTCATCGCCGCCCTCCTCTTCCTCCTCTTCCTCCTCTTCTTCTTGTTCCGCAGCTTTTGCCTTGGCCTTGGATGCCGCACGTTTGGAGCTCCTCGTGCTGCGTGCGCTTCGTGCCGACTTCACTGCTGGACTAGACTGGGCCTCTTCGGCGTCCCCCTCGTCCTCGGCCTCTGAGTCCTCGACCGTGCTGGCGCGGCCCTTGGGCTCATCACCGGCCGCACCGCGCTTCCGCTTCCTAGTCGAAGCGGGTGATTTCTCTGCTGTTGAGGGCGATGATGGCGCCTCGCTGGGATCTGCAAGTGCTCGCTGCATTATCAGGTCGCCGTAGTCCTCCCAAGGAAGATCAAAGTCCTTAAAACGATCGTCGAAACTGGGATCCTCCAACAGATCCATGTTGTTCTCCCGCTCGTCTATCAAGGGCATGTTGTAGAACTCGTTGAGCTTCTTCCAGATCCCAGGTATGCGGATGTGGGTGTAGACAGCGGGGTCGTAGCCGTTCGTTCGCAGATGTTCGGATATGGCGAGCATTCGGAAGTGTTTGTGCATCCCTGGTCGTGACCAAGTTAGCTGCTGCCCAATGCTTGAAACAAATTGGGTAGGATGTCGCGCGCACCCGCTGGTTTCCAACGCACCACGGCCTTGAAGAGCATGGAGACTTGGTCATCAGTCCATGGCGAGGCCAAGTCGACAGTATGTGCTAGGTTGGTGGCAACTGCAGTGGGCGTGTCCACAGCTTGTGGGGTGTCGATGTCCATCGCGTCATCGTTGCTCGCCGGCGTGGCCGTTGTCGACGCGCGAGCCTTCTTCTTCGGAGGCATGGCGCTTGTTTAAATGCTCGAAAAGCTGTCGCAAAGAGGATGTTGGGTCTTGGGGTCTGAACTGTTGGTACTGGACCAACAATTGAGACTACAATTGAACTACCGTTAGAAGCGACTGAGGGCCGATTTGTTTCATTCGACGGGGACGTGCAGGAGCAAGCGACCAAGCTGGGGTGAATACTGACTATTGTGGAAGCTCTTTGGAAAGGTGCGCGTGAAGCTACACCTACCTACCTGCCCGTGGTAGGTTGGGCTAGGTGGATACCTAGGTACCCAGGCAGGTAGGTACTTGAGTACTTTGCAGTTACATGCGAGAAGGGTTAGGGCACAGGCGCGGTTCATTTGATGTCCAAACGCCCGCGACATGCTCATCACTCTTAAGAGGACTGGACATCTTGTATGGACCTTTCTATGCGTTTGGAGAGGTGCTGCAATTTGTCATGACTGTCTTATGGAAAGCAACACTCACTTAAATCGTTCGGCAAAGAGTCTGCCAAAATAATGGCGTCCTTTGCGACAGAGGATGAGAGTGTCGCTGACCTCTTTGTCCAGCCGAACTTCTGGAAGTCGTCCATGCTACTGGACTCACCTACACCCCTGGCGAAAGACTTCTTCGACCTCTCCGACACAAGTCAGTGGAAGACTCTGTCGCTAGTAGAGAGAAACACTAAACGGTAACCAGACAGAATAGGCCCCATCGTGAGCGGCACACTGAGCCTTCCGGATGATGGTTATTTCAAGCTTCCGCCGGATCTCAACACTGAATCCAGGCCCGAAAGTACGGCAGACGATGAGGCGGTAAACATCGACCACGGGTCGTTAAAAAGCCCACACTCAGAATTTGAGGTTGACCCCTGGATGTTCCATCAAGATGCTGCCCCAGAAGCTGCGAATTTCAAGACGTGGGATGGATTCGATGTCCCTGAAGCGCAACTCAACCCACCACTCTTCATCACAGAAGCTGGCACGGATGCATACGATTCCTACTTGGCTTCGGAAAACAATCCATGTGGCATCCGATCTCATGAATCCCACAAGACGCTGGACCCCAACGCCTATTCTGCCTGTCTACTTGCGATGGCACTTGGCCGCGACTCCGTCTTGTTCTCATGGAATGCCGAAAAGAAGACTTTCCAGTCCTCACTACCCTTATCTAAAGCTCCTGGTTACTCAACAGAATCTCTCTCTGCTATCTTAGCTCTTTGTACTTCCTGTGGTCAGGCCTGTCGCCGTCTCCGCTCATTCATAGACAAGACATACTCGTCAAGTGCAAGCCCACCCCGGGTCGCGCTTGCGAACGCCCTGGATAGCCTGCTACTTGTCGTACAGGATGAGCTTGGACGTCGTGGCTTGATGACAATTTCGATCCTTCAATTGCAGTCACTTGTTCGCCCAACCTACCGACTTCTTTCATATTACTACAGACTCGTTATCAAGATCAAGAGGTCGACCAACGACGCAGATTTGCTCTCTCTTATCTACAACGAGGCCCAGTCAGCAGAGATGAGCGAACCAGTCCTGAGAGACACTATGGGTCAGATACTTCGCATCGTCTCGACGCCATGGACGGAATTCGTTGAAGAATGGATTGGTCTGAGACCGGAAGAGGGCACACGAATTAACAAGTCTGGCCCGGGAAAGGGCTTCGTGAAGGTTGAGAATAACACGTGGATAGATGATCAAGGTTTCGAGCTGGAAGAGCCCGATTATGTTTTGGACTCGAACAACATGCCCAGCTTCGTCCCTGACGATGTTGCTGAGGTCATTTTTGAGACTGGAAAGAATATTCGATTTCTCCAGGAGAGCCATCCTGAGCACCCAATGGCGTCCATCAGGATCACTAATTCGACTACCGTGCCGAAACTTGAGTGGCAGTATGATTGGGAGTCCATCACGAGGGTGGAAGAAAAGGCACTCGAGTATCAACGTGTCGTGCTGGACCTGCTCCAGAAGACGCAAGATGCTGGCGGGACCACTCCGCAGCATCGCCTCAATAGCTTCATGGACCAGTATGACGGGCAACTCCAGGTCTTTGGCAAGAACGAGCAGGACCTACAACAGACAATGCTAGCTTCCATTGCGAACCTCGAACGACCGATCGAGACCAAGGAGACATGGAACCAATTGTCTCACATTCTTCGACAACACCTATTCAACGACCAGCGCAACGGGGAGCCCACGGTTGCTGACTTCAGCCCTCACTGGTCTCTACTACCACTGTTATCCTTCGGCCCAATGGTACACACCCAAGCTCGGCTTGTGAATCGCGAATGTCTCAAGTTATTGTTTAGTGAGCACGACTTACGGAAACATCTTGCAGTTCAGAGAGCGTTCCAACTCTTTGGAAACGGCATGTTCTCGAGCCGCCTTACGAACGCGCTGTTCAACCCCGACATGGAGACGACCGAGAGACGGTCAGGCGTGTCGAGGTCTGGCGTCACCATGGGCCTACGCCTGTCGAGTCGCGACAATTGGCCACCAGCGAGTTCCGAGCTGCGGCTCGCACTGATGGGCATGCTTACGGAAAGTTACCAGCAAGAAAGCGGTGCCGATGGCAACGGGCTGCCCGGGGACCTCAGCTTCGCCATCCGGGATCTTTCGACTGAGGAGATGGAAAAGTGCATGGACCAAGGGTCCCTCGAGGCCCTCGACTTCCTGCGCATGTCTTACAAGCCTCCGCAGGCACTTGCACCAGTCATTACTACCGTGTCGCTGCTCAAGTATGACCGGATATTCAAGCTCATGCTCCGCGTCTTACGCATGCTGTTCGTGGTGGACCAGCTCTTCCGCGACATAGTCTTGCAGGCGTCACACTGGGCAAACCTTCAGGATGTGTGTGTGCGCTTCCGCGTGGAAGCCCACCACTTCGTCACCAACATTGCCCGCTACTTCTTCGACATAGGCATCGACCAGCCATGGCGCCGTTTCCAGGCGTGGTTGGACAAGATTGAGAATGGGCTTCAGGACTGCGGTCTTGACAAGAGTGCCGCGATTGCGAGCCCAAAGAGGCTCGGGGAGGAGCATGAACAGACCCTCGATCACATAGCGCAGGCGCTACTTCTCAGGAAGAAGCAGCAACCGGTTCTCAAGCTACTGGAAGAGATCTTCGCACAGATCCTACAATTTGCCAGACAGGTACGATCACATGCGCCAAATGACCAAGACTCTGAGGAAATCAAGAGGATGTACAGTGCCTTCCGTGAGAAGGTTGAGATTTTCATCACCGTGTGTAGAGGCATGGGCGAGAAGGCTGGATCGAGGAATGATAGGGATGTTGCTGGGCGCTCGCAGGAGAGCGCACTTGCAATGCTCGTGCTGATGCTCGATATGTCAAATTACTATACAAAGCGCTAGGCGAAGCAAAGTGTAGACGGGCAGACCACGGTATAGAATATCCGATACCAATGCATATCTCCTTGGGACGAATTTAGCCCAGCCGTCCTTGCCTTTGCTATGAACCAACAGGCTCGCCAGTTCATGAGATGCATCATCTCATGAAACATCGAGACGCGGCCGTGACCTGCACCGCAAACAAACCAGGATAATTGTGAGACATCATACGGAGAGAGCTTCACGTTCTCATTCCTTTCTATGGCAACACATCGTTCGCCCGGTTCGCCTCATCGAGTCAATTAAAGGGACTAGAGGTTGCAACACAAATCCGAGGCTTGCAGGCCGCAGATACCCCAGACCTTGCTTTGTAGACCCCTAGCATTTGAGCCCATGCAGAAAGCCGCTCCAAGGGTAAGTGGTCCCGTCGCTGGAGAAACTCCCATAGGTCTCTCTCCCGTAGCTCCTTGCTTATAATATTCAGGGTTCAAGTGTTCGGGGTGTTGGGGTAAACAATCCTTGCGACACATAAACTCGCAAGCCATATAACAAGATTCTATAATGGATGCCGCATTGCCGGCCCTGGGATCACTTGTCCACTGGGAATTAGCACGGGCGTGTCTATGACTTGGGATGAAAGGGCGAATCCGCAGCAATCCGCAGCCCTGCAATTACCAAAGGACAAGGCGAGAGATGCCAGAATCGACTATTCCCGGCGCAAAATGTCCGCCTTCGCCTTGCAGCTGAGCCTATCCCCGGTCGGAGACGCATATTCGACACCGGTATGGGTAATCTTGCACTCCCCTGCGTAACTGAGGACTTGCTGCACCCAAAGAAGCCTAGTCGGCCCCACCCAACTGCAACCTCAAATGCCAAGCCTCTCAGGTACTTAAAGGTACCTCAGCCACTTTTTATTGGGGGGTCTGGGGGGCCCCCCCCAGTGGGGGCTTGGGGGCGAAGCCCCCATGGTTAGTGTTAGGGTTAGCGGTTAGGGTCAGGGTTAGCGGTTAGGGTTAGAGTTAGTGGTTAGGGTCCTGGAATGTGAAAAAGAAGAGGAAGACGGTATTGATAAGTATTTTCCAGGACGTCAAAATTGAAGTCAAATTGACCTTTCCATTTTGGGATGAGCGAGTCCTCAGTTACGCAGGGGAGTGCAAGATTACCCATACCGATTCGACACAAGCTTCGATGGTGGCCTGGCAGCCTGGCCACGACACACAGCCAGACCCCCCCAGACATGAGCAGACGTGGCCATGGTATGTCGGTCAGTGGCGAGGGTGCGAGACTGGGCTTGACAGGCTGTCGGGTACCACTCCGTACGCACACCAGAGATACTACACACCGTCTGACCGTCTTCCCGACGCCCCTGACAGGCCTGCCATGTATGCGAGTCTCCTGACGATCGTCAGATGCGAGCGCAGCCCGGGTAGCTTTCCATTACGAAGCGTTTTCAGCGCTTAGCGGGCTGTATTTTCTCATTGGCAGATTGCACCGCTGCATGGGCAGCCCAAGCGGCCACGCAGCCATGCAAGCATGCAGCCATGCAAGCATGCAAAGAACCGTCGACGAGTGCGAAGCCTGGTGGAGCACCCGTTCCAAAGGCGTGTTGGCTCTAGCCCAAGCTGCCAGCCCTCGAGACCGTTCGAGGCCGTACAGACAGATCCGCTTCCGCGTCGTGCACTCCGTGTCTTGAAAGGGGACCACACTGCCTCTGGGCGGCAAGAAACAGACGCCCCGACCGTACACGGTACCGAGGCAAATAATCACTCAAGTTCTCAGGGATTTGAAACGCGCCCGCAAAGACAGTACGGAGTACCAGACACACCGACAGACACAGAATCGGGTAAGAGGTCAACAATAACAATAGCACGCGACGCGTTCTGCCGCTCCTACACGACGCGGCAGACTGCAGCCCCGTTTCTTCCAACGCTTCCATGGGGCCCACCTTTGCTTCTACAGCACAACCCAGTCAGTCCCGTCGTCGTGAGATCCGTTGGGAGTCTGCACAGTCCGCCGCAGTTTCTTCCGCAGCCGCTGGCAAAGGGACCAATTCCGGCGGCGCACCGAGGCTCTGAGAGCTCCATGTGCTGGACTTGCATGAACTCGCTGTCTCGCCCCACCGGGTTACCATACAAGGCCTGCCTGCCTGCTCGCTGCCCCCCCTGCGAAAGGCCTCGTTCACCCTGCGCCCACTGCGTAGGGGAAGACACAGTACCTGCCCGACAAGTAACTCCTGCGAGATCGGTGGGGCGTGCCTGGGTGGGATGGCCGGGGACAGGACCACACCGCCCGTTGAGCTTGAATGATGCCTGCGCGTGTCAGGGGGAGAGCTCAAGGGTGGATTGAAAGGGTCCGGCGAGCCTGCAGGCGGGAATCTCCATTGTTTCGACGTGGTCACCAGTTTTTAACCTCATGGAACCAACGGTGGGCGCATGTACAGTACTGCGCAGAAGGGGTCCAGCCACAGAATGGGTAAGGTCGCTCCCCTTGTTGTGTGCCTTCTCAGATTCGAAAAAGATGCGGCGGAGTTGCTGCGTATGATCTCGTCCCACGACTGCCGGGCCCAGAATTTATTGCTTGTCTTCACGTCAGACTTGAGATCTGGCGGGACTCGCAATGCTGGCGACAGCCACAGTGGAATCCAAGCTCCCCATCCAGCCGTTTCCGACGAGCCACAGTGGTTGGGCATCTGGAGAAGAAGGATAGCGCAGCCCGACCCTAGGGCCTAAACAAGCCAGACAGATGCAATTGAGTCGAGATGACAGGATCTCGGCCTAGCGTCATGCTGTTGACTTGCATTGGCTGAGAATGGCCTTGTTCGGCCAAATTCCAGCCGACTCTTGTCATGCAGGTGCTGCCATTCGTCGTGGTTGACTCGCCTGCCAGGCTCGCAGACACTGTGGTAGAAGGGACGTCCAGCTCGCTCCTGAGTGAATCACGGGCAGCGACGGATGATGGATAGTTTCTCGCGCTTTCCGTGCAAGCCCATGACCTATCGTACGGCTGCCCTGCGAGCTTCGGTCCTTTTTCTGACCTCTGGACGGTGCAGTGACGTAACACACGAGATTGCTCGGGACATACGATGCAAAGGCGAGGCACAGCGGCCTCATCATCTCGTCCATTATTCAGACATCTGTAACCGGGCCGTAACACTGACTTGTAGTGGGCCCGGATACCGTCCGAGAGATGGGAGTGCAGCGACTCAAACACCACACTGTAGTGCAATAGTCTGTTGACAAGTCAAAGTCGCCTCGCCTCTGACCTGCTGCCCCGGAACTGTGTTCCTCACTTCCGCCGACCCTTCAGGAGGCCAGTGACAGCGTGCAAGTGATGCGTTGGGAACTTGCACACCTGACTCGTGGTATCGTGAGAATCGTCAGGCTGCGTCTGTCGCTCGACGATCCGCCTGATTATGGCTGTTGTTTGCCAAGACATTTCTATTTCGATTGCTGAGAGTTCGACGCAAGCCTGTAACTCGTTTGTACCCCGAGTCGTTCAGGTCAACTGTGCTCATGGTGCCTCGTAACTCGCCATCTCGCCCAGAACCCCTTGAATCTCGGGATGGTCGCCTGCTTTCTGTCGTAATTATGTCGCGTGCAAATCGATGTAGAATACAGATTTGTTGACTCGAGGGATGGCGTCTTGCCCATGTATCCGGTACATCGACCGCCCTGTCCCGCCTGGACAAGGAGTGGTTAGATGCACGTGGGCATCACAACGTGATATCTCACTGTGGCGGATGGACGGATATGCGACAAGGCTTTGCTTGCTGCCCATCCTTTTCCGAATGGTGAAGGGCGTCCAGTGCAAAGCCATAGGCCCTCGATTCAACAGCCGGTCCACAAGCGCCGGTGCGAGGTGATTTAGATGAAGAAATCATTAAAAATCCTCAAAATCGGGTGAGCAGATCGCGGAGGGCAAGCTGTAGGATGCGCCTTGCCTCTCTCGCGACAGTCCTTTCAGACGTCATTTGGAGCTCCTGCTTAAACAAGGCGACTCCCGGCCGGGGAGCAAGGTACGGAAAACGCCGAGTATTGTATTCGATCATGCAGCTCATAGTGAGGCTGTCCAGATACCTACAACGACATCGACGTCCTTGCGATGTTCGCTTGCTGGGATCCGAACGGACTCCCGCTTTGGGAAAAGCCGCTTGGGACTTTGGAGGCCGACAAGCCACAGTCGCAGGGTCCTGGGCCGTAGGAATTGCCTGCCCACAAGCGCGAACCCCCCTGCAGACATCCGACGGTATCAATGGGTCGGACGGATAGCTCCTTCGTTGCCCACGTCCACGCCCACGCCGTCGTTGCGATCGCTAACTTGCATCCGACGAACACACGTGCTTTGCACGGGTCGCAGCAAGCCTCGGATTCACTTTCCGCATTCATACACGCGCAGATGCCCCGGCCCAAGGCCAACAACAGCGCTAAATACATATGTAGGTAGCAGCTACTGCAGCGCGTTTCGCGAGTGAGCTGAGGTTGGGTTTCAAACTTCCGCCGCTCAACTCTCAATTTCCAAATCGAGGCTTGGTCCGACGGGTATCCTTGCTGAACAGAGCGTGGTAATGGCAAGCTGCAGCCAAGCACAACTGGCGAGGAACTTGACATTTAACAGTAGCAGATGCGCCTGGCATTGTGCAAACCTCAATTGGAAACCCTTCTTGGCTCTCGATGGACGTCATGGGCGTCCGGTGGAAGGACGTGGCTGGGAGGGCTGGGAGGCAGGCGCGACACAGCAGTATTTTTCAACGTTTGTTCATTGGCAGTTTGCCTGGAAGGGTTTGCTCGCACTCGCATCACGGTTAGATAATTTCGGTGAAGTGACCTGGCGCTCGATGTTGCCGAGTTTCGACAAGTGCACGGCAAAACCCCGGCCAAGAAAGGCGGTCAGCTCTGAAGAGCCGCGCATGATGTAAAAATCGTGCAACCGAGTAGCCAGGACAGGACAGGGACGTCGATACTCGCTAGGATGCCCGCTTGATGGCAAATTCCGAAGCGCCTTGACTCGCCTGTCCCGCGGAATAATTCAGGGCCTCCATACACAGTAGAAGCAGCCCCGTACCTGGCATGCGTGGGTGGTGGTCTGGTGGGAGGTCACACCTGATTCCGCGCCACTGTAGCCTGGTGCATATGGACTCCGTCGACCAGAAGAGGGTCGTGATGGTGCCAGATCTCCCAGATGGATATTCTCCAGGTTCCAGTCCCTCTGTGATCCGTTCTGGGCCACAAAACAAAGCTTGGGGTGTCCCGCGGCGGCTACCCACCGGTTCGTCGCCATACTTGCAGAGCACATGGTGGGAGTGGTGCGCATAGAGTCGCATCCCAATGTGGCTAGAATGTCCTCGTTAAGGATTTTTGGAGGCTGAAAAGGGAAGTCAAAGTCGCAGCCGAACCGGCGGACGGCTCCAACACCTGGAAAACGTCGGGTACGCATTTCCCTGGCACACAGCCGTCCCAGCATTAGTACTATGTACTGGTGTTGTAGCTCCACCGGCTGTCCCATGCCTCTGGCACGCTGTTTCCTGCTGGCACAGTGCTCCACTACCGACGGCAGACAAGCAGATGGCGAGGATGGGTGCAACCGCACGATCTTGTCTGCTCGCTAACCGGCACGCCGCCACAAACCAGGGTTTGCGTGGCCAGCGACCAATCAGTGAGCAGGAATCAAAATGCGCGCTCATTTCACAAATCGGGAATGCCGGGTGATCTCCGAAGAGACAGCCACTATGAGGGCGCAGAATGTGCAGGCAAAGCCTCGGTAGTCTCTAGGCCGCCGAGGAGTCGTGAGGTCCAAAGGTTTGATGGATTTGTTGATATACTGGAACTAGCGGTACTGCAGCGGTAGGATTTACAGTAGTCGCAGCGTTTCGAACATTCGGCTCCACCTTCAATGTGTGCTGTCCTGACCTCTGGTGGATTCGAGAAGCTATGGACAGCACGTCCCTGGCCGGTGGAGCACGTTGGCGGCAGGGACAGCAGGAGAAAGTAGCGGGTGAGGGCCCACTTGGAGCTCTGTCAGTGTCAATCAACGCAAGGTCAGGGGCGACTGTCGGCCAACTTCCACGTTTCCCAGCTCGCTGGCATGGCTGGGTGTGCTTCGAAAGAGGGCTGCCATCCACCGTTGGGGTGTCGGCTATCACCCCTGCTGAGGTCCTCTCCAGACCCGGCGCTGCAGGCCCAACCTTCTGCCCTTGGATACATTCCTCGAGCGCGAAATGTTTGTGTCCTGCGTTCTGCTGTCATCGAAGGATCAGCTATGATGAAGAATGCAGATTTGGTGTTGTACAAGATCCAGAGGTGCGTGCTAATGAAAGTGGATTCGCCATGCCGCCGAAAGAACGTTCGGATGGGGCTGGATAGCTTCTAGACGCGGTACATGGTGCAGATGTACAGAACGTATGGGGCCCTTTCCGAAGATCGCCCACGCTCTCGGGCTGATGGGGCCACAGGGTCCTCCACCTAAAACTCTCCCCGTGAACCCTTGGGGAAGCAATGCTAGGCAGCCAGTACACCGCGTACGGGCCCCCCCCAAGTCCACTCTTTCGACCCCAAACTCCAGAGCCGCGAGAGGGAAACCCCCAAGCTTCTCCAAGATTTGGGAAGATCTTTAGATGGATCATGGACTCCAAATTCTCAAAATGCCCGAAACCATCGAGCTATCCTGTCCCCATTTCAATAGAGGCGTGCCGTACCGCAGTCCCCTCCTAGCTCCACGACTTCTCCATGAAGCATGTCAGGCACGAGGATCGCCCGGGAGATGTGCTGGAGAGGGCCAGACTTCTCCGTCATGTATTGCCAGCCCCCCTCAGTTCGGGCTGTGAGTCGAGAGCACCCGCACGCATCGTTTGTGGCCGCTCAAGCGATCACGCGGGTCTGTTACTGGCAACGCCGCAGAGAAAACTCCTTTTCCCCGACCCGATCTCGGATGCTTGTGGCTCGGCTAGGCTTTACGTCATTGGACTGTCAGAAGAGGGCAGGTTGCTCGTCAACACTTTTTACTTAATCTCGGCGTCGAAGCTGAACCGGCATATGCCCCGAGTCAGGCAGTACCAAGGGAGGTGGCAGACAGGGAGGCACGCGAGAGCCAAGGCGGTGTTTTGGGCCTGTTTCGCCTTCTCTTGACTCGCAGCGGCGCCTGGAAATACTGTGTAGAGAAAGCACTCGCGCCGGTCTCACGCCTCTCTATCCCAAGAGCCTGGTAGACCACAGCTGGTTCGTTTTCCTGGCCTCCATGTTTCTCGCACTACCACCCACATTCCAGGACTATCAGGCCAAGGAATCGACCACTCCCCTTTTACATAGGAGCGTTTTGTGTGGCCTGGCACTGACCTGAAATTTGGACAGGGACATGAAGCAATCTCCGTTGGATGACAACACACTTCCTCGCCCCGAAGTCATCGTGGGCTCATGTCGTGCAGTTGCTATTCTTGTCCGCTTGTTCCCGTGTTCACGGACCATAGATTGCATCATGCCCTCATGGTGATGGTACTTGCAGGGAGACTTGAGTTTGAACTGTGCCTGGAAGTCAGGATGAAGGGCCCAGTGATTCGACCAGTCGTTTCTGGAAGCATACGAGGCTGGGAGTAACCTTGTTAATGCAATCCCCAACACCCAGGCGAACGACTAGCGCCTGCACCACGGCCGTGGGACCGCATTGTTTGTCAACTTGTAGCACCCGTGAGCGGGGACGCACCTGCTCCAACACCGGCACGTTCGGGTTGGCTGCCCACGGACATACCACAGTACGGCACGGCTTCTGTTCACGGCCGACCCTTTGCATAACGTGCTCGCAACCAACAAAGTCAGGCCTAGCTGCTCAGACTTCCATGACCTAAATCAGTGCAGATTTACAGACGGGGTCTTCGAGATGCTGACCGTCATCTCACGACGGCTTCTTGGCAATCGAAAAATGTAGTGAGTGTTCGCCCGTCCAAGTCGTACGCGGAGCATGCGGGCGGTGTCGGCGGCAAGGACAGGTCAGGTGTCCGTAATCGTCGAGTCGCGTGAATCTGACACACCATGACACTGGTTTCCTGGACATTGCAACCCCAAGCAGTGGTAGATGACTCAGGTAGTCAAGCAGACATAGCATGACAACGACCTTGACGGATTTCGTGCAGCTAGCTAGTTCGCAGCTTTGCTATGCGCACTCAAGCCGGCGGAGGAAGCAGAATGATAACGTGTTTCGACTGATTAGATTGGAGAGACAGGATGGCAGATTGGGTGGGCTCTCTCTCCCGGGAGGGGGGCAGTACTTTCGCAGGAGGTACTGCCGACGGTTGTGCCGAGCTTGTCGCAGCGCGTACCTTTGGGCGCATATTGAGTGGCAGAGTGACCAGAGCCAACGCGCGTCCCACACAACGGTGCCCTGGCCACCTCGCAAGGGTCGGGGATGTAAGATTCGGCCGGCATTGACGTTACACTGGTGTTGGCGCGAGTTTAGGACTGCCATGACTGCGTCCTGATGCAACAGTCGCCAGGTGTGTCGAGCAACGACGATTCGTGTGGACAGGAAGGCGTGTTCCATTCGCCAAGCTGTCGCACGCATCTGGTGTGAAAGAGTACTGTATCCGACTGCGCCGTTGACAATCGGAGAATCAAGCATGGGCCGACATCCCGACCTGGAAGAGAAGCAGGGAAACAGTACGCCTCCATCAAGCTGACTGTAGTGTAAACAGTAAATTCTCATCTCTGGCCTCGCCGCCCCCCACCATCTGAGGCAATGGGGCGTGGGTTGGTGCAGGAGTTGCTGAAAGCGGCTAGCCCGCAGTGGCTACGTTGACCTCTACTCCGTACTTTGCCAGTTCTTGGACGAGTCCGCAAAATGTTTCGATTGAGTGCATGCAGCCTCTGCCCAGCCTGGTTGCCGGGTGGGTGTGACGGCGAAACAGGGCAACGACAGCTCGATACCCAACCTTTTTCGAGCAGAGACAAGACTACTGGCTGCTGCGATGCGATGCGATGCCTCGACCGGACCGGGCTGGACTGAACTCGACCCACCATGTGGTGAGTGAGCATTGATGCTGAGTCTCATATGCGCGGATGTGACGGACCGTCCGCTGCCCAGTGCGAATTGGTCGAGCTCGTCACGAGGCCGATGGCGGTGCTTGTTTCGTAGGGAGGGGACGGTGAGTCGGGGGCGGTCAGCCACTGCGTTGCTCATACTGTGCGCATGGTGGCATCGTATTCCAGGAGCCCAGGAGAAAACGCTTACTCGTGGGATGGAAGAGGCGAGGGGCGAGGAACTGGGAGTTGGGCGGGAGAAGAATCAAAACTAAAGGAGAAAAAAAGGAAGACAAAAATGAAAAAAACAGGTAGAAAGGAAGGGAAGATGGAAAAGGAAGGCAAGGCGATGGTGAATTTGCGACGGGTGTCCTGTCTGACAGAAAGTGAAATATCAGCCCTCGGCTGTGCTGTTCTTTTCTACATGCTCTATGTGTGACGGACGGGGTTCGATTGAAAGCAACCTGGAAGGAAGCAAGCAGTGAGGTGTGCAAGGTGATTACCCAGGTACCTCGACCAGTCGGCGATGGCCATGCGGGCCAAAACGAAGGTTGGAAGAAGGAAGTGGTCATTGCTGGTGTCTGGTCTTTTTGGGCAAGTGCCTTTTTCTTCTCCAATCCTGGATTGCACATAGCTACCCACCTACCTCTATAGGTAGGCAGCCCATCGCACATAGATGGCCGTGTTTCCTGCTTCATCTGGCCCTTCCTCGAATCTTTGAGGTTTTTCAGCACAGTCGGGAGTGACGTTCCGCCATTATTATTTATTATTATTATAATTATTATTGTGGCCGTTTTTCTTTTTCTTGTACCTCACTCACGCGTGTGCAGCTGCGGCCAGACATCGCCAACTTTGGAAGTCCTCCACCAAACAACGTTGAACGATCCTGCACTTTACACTCTGCAATCTGCGGAGTCTACCCCAAACTCTAATATCGACCTCTTCTCTCGCATCCCCCCACCCTCCCTGCCGTAGTGTATTGCGACACCCTTAAAGCACTTTCTAAGCCTCCCGCCCATCCAGCCGCTTGGTTCGTATCCACCGCAGCCCGTTTCGGAGCGAAGCGTCGCACGTTCTCTGTATACGCACGCCCAGGTAGGCCATTGTCCAACCGCCCCTCCACCTGCGGCTACTGCCAGCACTTTGCATGCCCGGTAGTGGGCGTGCAGTCCAGCGCACAGCCCAGAAAGGCTGAGAAGGCATCGTGCCATCGTGCCATCGTGCCAGCATGCCCAGCATGCCAGCGCGCATGCGCTCGTGCGACCTCGTCATTGCGGAACAGACGGCAGAATCATGTGCAATGAATGCTGTGCCAGCCAGCTTCCTCAGACCCACGCCCTAGCTCGGGTTTCTGCTGTGGCTGCTTCGCATGCTTCGCACAGGCGTGCAAAAGAAACTTCCCCCCTGCCCCCATCACAGCACAGCTCAGCACAGCGCAGCGCAGCACGGCACAGGATGGTGCACAGCTTTCTGATGTTGACGTCTTTCTAGAAACTCTAAACCATCGAGTGGACGCCGCCAGACGCACCTTGGGCCAGCTCGACCACGCAGTCTGGCAGTCTGGCAGTCTGACAAGACGTTCCTCACACAGTAACCAGGTACACCCACTACACCCACTGCACCCCTAGCACGGGCCCCCCGGTCGTCTATAGCCAGCTTCCCTGCCCACTCAGTCCACTTTCGATCATCCACTTCCCGACCTGGTCCCTTCACGACGAGGGTACCCCCCAGAACCCACCCTCCTGCACCCAAGCTAGCGCCTTCTGCCCTGCTTCGTACCGGTACCTCTGGTCTTAGTATCTCAACGGCGGCGTGGAGTGGGTTCCGTCGAGGGTGAACCCACTCGAAAACTTGCCCACTTGGCTCGGTACCTGGCAGAGTTTTTTTTTTGTACTGGCGCGACGCTTCCGACAAAAAAAAAAGAAAGGAGAGATATTTGAGGTACATCAACCCACATCATCCCACCTCCCTCCCTCGTCCATCCATTTGACAGAGTTTAGTCTCCACTTCGACATCTACTGCCGGGACCCAAAAAGGAGGAACGCCTTTTGTCCACTCCACCAACACCTCCCAAACGGTCTTCAGCCTCATCTATCCACTTCTTACCACAACCCGCTACCACCGCCAAACCGCATCTCCACCGTGGGGGATCCTCAGACGCGCCTCTGCACCACAGCACCGCGTCGCCTTCAAAACACCAACACAAACATCACGCCGCAAATTTTTGGCCGTTTCCTCACAGCCAGCAAGCCAGCGTGTGTTTGCCTGTTCCCGACTCTCCGAAATCACCAGAGGAATTAGTCCGCCTTGTGGTTCTGGCGTCGATTTTTTTCCTTGTCGCCCGGGAGCACCTGCAAGACTGCCCTGCCGCCTCGGCCACAAGAACTCGCACAGATCCGCCTGCGCAACCCTGTCCTCTTCTCCCCCCTACCCTCACCTCGAGACCACGTTCGAGTCCCTAGCGCAATTGATTCTTCGGATGCTGCCTTTGCGCTCGTTGCATCAGGGTAGACTTAGAGCTGGATTATGGAACACAACCACTACTCGTCTAACGTGATTAACAACACTACGACGGCTTCCTATCCATCCCACTCGGCGATTTCCCCCCACCACCTGCAGAACGGCCAGAACCAGACTCTACCACCTCTGCAGCCTCACAACCCAGCCATGTCTATGTACGCGAGCCACCCGCATACTCCTCGGACACCTGCAACCCCGAACACTCCAGCTTCCATGGGCGGCTACGCTCCCCCCCCGCCCCAGCCCTCCGGCAGAGGCTCGTATCCCATGATGCACAACCCCTACCAGCACCAGCAGTCTTATGCGACTTCCTCCGCCATGATGCCCCAGGCCTCTGTGTCCGCATCTCACCCCCAACCGATCGCGCCCGCGCCATCTCCGGGCGGTCGTGTCCCACCTGTCCTGCGGCCAATGCCTGCGGGCGGTGTAATGCCACAAAGCGGCTTGGCTTCTCCCTACGCGCAGAGCCCTATGATGTCGCAGCCATCAATTCTTCACCAGGAGAACGACCAGCCTACTCACGTAGTCGGTTCCCAGGGCCGCAGAGGTATTCTACCAAGCGCCCCCGGCAGGCCCGCTGCCCCCGCCCCTGGTACCGCCGCGGCCAAGGCTCAGATCCCTCAGAAGGACGCCGATGGGAAATTTGTACGTACAGGTCGACCGCTCTGGTCCTCCGGCCAACCACTCTGGGGTCCGGGACGATGGAGTTTGTGAGGGTTGTGTGAAAACTAGCTAACTTGTTGAAGCCTTGCCCCCACTGCACGAAGACCTACCTTCACGCGAAGCACTTGAAGCGTCATATGCTCAGACGTAAGCATTCTAACTTCCGTGAGCGCAGAGCGAGAGCTGACTTTGATGGCCAATGTAGACACTGGAGACCGTCCTTACATGTGTGTGCTCTGCCGGGACACATTCTCCCGAAGTGACATTCTGAAGCGTCACTTCCAAAAGTGCTCGATCCGTCGGGGCAACCCTACAGGAGCCAGCCATCTGTCCCACCCCCACGCCCACGTAAAGAAGGCGCAGCAGGCTGCTGCTAAGGCCGCGCAGCTTGGGCATGATGGAGACATGATGAACGGCATGAACAATGTAACGGGAAACCCCCACATGGTTCCCTTTGGGCTGATTCAAACACCGGACCAAATTAACCACATGAATGACCAGAACCAGCTCTCTCGACAGTCGAGCATGAACCGCCTCGAGGACACCAATGGTGAAGAGCGGAGGAACGTGCCTGCACCAGTCATGACTGCCTCGTCGCAGCAACAGCAACAGTACAACGGGAATGTCCCGACCTCCATGTCCACGAACATCAACCCGCAGCTGGCGAACTACAACATGTCGCAGAACCAGAATGGTGTGCCTATGTTCAACGGTGGATCAAACCACAACCAGCAGTCGGGCTTGGACTGGCAGACCATGTTCTCACAACAAGGCGGTGCGCAAGATACTCACCCAGTCCCTACATCAACCTTTCCTAACCGACAGCAGACCGCACTCAAAACCGAGCCTAGTCTCGACCACCCGAGATACGTTGGCCAGCCCCCCTCAGATTCGACCAATGGTCGCTTTGGGCTCTCTACCGGCGGCCGCCCCCTTGACGATGCGACCTATCGGCACCTGTCAAACCAAATCATCAATTTCTTCTACTCGCCTGGCATCGCGTCAACTCCCCACAACGACATGAACTTGTATTTCTCGGCAGAAAATGTCCAGCACTTCCTTGGCCAGTACGCACACTTCCACAGGCATTTTGCCATCTTACATATGCCGACTTTTGACGCTGGCAAATCCTTCACCGGACTGCTTGCTAGCATGTGTTGTATTGGAGCTTGCTATTCCGACCGCTTGTCGCCTTCACACGTGCGCCTTCTGACCGACTTCTTGAAGTCTGCTTTGGAAAGGGACGCGCGCATCCTCTCCCTTCTGAACGAAGACTCCCAATCCGGGCTCGCAAGGCGCGGCCAGGATGGGTTGGAGGAGCTCCAGGCTCTTGTACTTCTTCATCTACTCCTCATCTGGAACGGCACCCCTCAACAACGACAAGCCGCTCGGCAGGTGCATTCGAGGATTGTGCTGCTCGCACGAAAGTCCGATCTGCTCCGTGTCTCTCAAGGACAAGCCCTGATGAGCGCGCTTCATCAACCTGGCTTCAATCCTTTGACGTATCATCCGTCAGAATTTGACTGGTATTCATGGATAGAGCAAGAGAAGCGCAATCGTATTATGTTCCTTATTTTTGCGACCGACACAGCCTTGGGCCTCTACTTCAATATTGCGCCGCAGCTCGACCCCATGTCAATCCAGATCCCCTTGCCCTGCGACGATGCAGCATGGGACGGAGCTTCAGATGCGAGGTCTTGCGCTGAGGCCTTGGGCTTGTACGGACCAGAGGCGGCCCAAATTCGTAACGTGGATGGCACGCGCCGAGCCAAGCAACCAGAGATGCACCTCGCGTTGCATGCGCTCTTGCACATTTCGTACCGGATTCAGACTGGCACAACAAACCTGACAGGCAAATTCTTGCTGGTCCATGGCATTCTGGCTCTCATACGTCGAGCTCAGATTGAAGGCAGCTCGGCTCTCAACTATGGCCAATCCTCATCCTTCGCTCACAGTGATTGGATCGTCGATACCGGACACGCCAATGGCAGCGCGCCTGGCAGTGCAAACAACAGTGGCCGCAACACTCCAGCTGACGGAAGCATGTCTCCCCAGGCTTCTCAGGCTATTCGCACAGCTCTGGACAAGTTCAAGCAGAATTGGGACTTCGACGTTGTTAATCAATACCCGCCTTCGTCGCGGAACCCTCGCCGGCAGGGCTTCTCGAAGGACGCAATCCCCTTCTACTGGCTTGCCAACTATCTTCTTAAGAATACGCGTGCAGGCGATCTGGAGATGGAGTCTGAACACCGATTCGCCCAAGTTATCCATCTCCTCAAGGCTGTCAATGATTATGTGCGCTCGGATGGGGCATATAGAGGAGAAGAACTGGGGTCTGTCGATGCGATCGACAAGGACTACGGCGCAACCAACTGGACCCTGGACATGGCGAAGTTGTTCAGACCATTTCTCGACATGTCTGAGTCGCCACTTGTCACACCGGCCAACATGAAGACAGAGGCAGCTTAGCGGATGCCGGCCTGACTGTCCGAGCACCTCAGGCTCAAATCGTGGGGATTGCCTGGAGGAACTGAAGTCAATACTGTCTACTCCCCCACAATATCTTTTCTCGTTTTTTTTTTCCTTCACCTGTCAAAATTTCTGATAACTTTTTTTTTCACCGAAAAACCCGAGGCTTTGTCAGCATTGGTGGCGTTTTGGAAGTGACCTTCCGGCCCTCAGTCCGAAAAGTTCGATTCCCCCTGCATATCAGACTGGCGGCTTGCTGGTGGCATTTTGCTTTGCATTTTCAGGTGGTCGGCTATGATAGACATTTCCGGTATGGCTTCGCATTAGACAAATTTAGACAAGAATGCATCAGAAACGAGCTGATGACATTGAACTGAATAAAACTCAGGTTGTCATTAAGTTTCAGTATGGGTAGGTATGCCTGGAGAGGAAGTGATGTTGACCAATGTTGAATGTGCGCGACCACTCTGCCTAGTAAAAGTGCACAGGGTGTTCTAGCACAACTTATCACAAGCGTGAACAGATTAATCCTTCATTTTGTGCGACGGTCCGTCACTAAAATGGTCAAGGTACGACGACAGTCCTTGGTGGCTCCTGTAGGACGATCCCCCAGCCTCATATGGGGCAACCTTGTAACCTCATGTAGTAGATCCTCTTATCCTCGTAGGAGACAATTGCCTCTTCGAGAATCGTTTCCTCTGGGATAAAAACCTGTCTGGGAGGACTCTGGTTGTAGCTCCCCTGCGTGGCAGACCTCTGAAATCCCGCGGGCTGCTCCTCAAAACTGCAAGACTTTCCTCATGACTTCTGTTCACGGTCTACCACATGGATCTTGGGCTTCAGCAACTCCAGCGCCGCCTTGTCCTGGTCGGATGGAGTGTAGCCAAACCTTTCTTCTGCCCGATCAGACATCCAAAGGCCAATAGCCCCCCAGCCGAGGAGCCCGATACCCACGCCAAGCCTTGCCTTTGAAGACAGGCCTTGGTATGCCCTGGTTTGAGTTTGTTAGTATGAACAGTACAGTCAGAGTCCTTTGGTACAAGACGGAGACTTGGTTACCTCCAGAGTGACATGGTATAGTAGCGTGTGCCTTGATTTTCTCTCTCTCTCTCTTTTGGTTCTGGTGTTCCGTTCAAGCCCGAGGCTGCAGGCTCATGGCTGTTCTGTGGGCACCTGCGAGCTGTATGTAAGAAAATTGGTCGCTCCGCAAGTCACCATTGACCTACCAGCAGGCTTTATGAGCTCTGGGAACTGGTCCAATTGGAGATTGATGTAGTTGGGAATGTGGCTTGCATTGCATGGAGGCTCTGCGTGCGGCAGGCACCGACCCCTGTTGGCTCCCCCAAGTGCGATTCGGTCTCCACACGCCGCTGCCAAAAATTTGGGAAGCTGAGCGGCGCAGCGACCCAGACAACGGGCCTCGCAGACCTCACCTAACCTCAGCCTCCACCGCGTCACTTGGTCCCCCAGGGCAAGCCAGGGCAAGCCAGACGAAGGACCACCACGGCGAAAGGCACAGCATGGCGAGCTCCAACCCCGCGCGGCCGTGCCTCAGGCGCGTGCTGCAGTCCTACCACCGAAGCGGCCTCGCAGCCTCGCAGCGACCACTGGCACCGACGTCCGCCGCCCCAGCACGCCCGTCGCTCTCGAGCCAGCAGCAGACCGGCCTCTTCTCCACGACCGCGCCGCTGGGCCAGCGCCGCAAGAACCGCGACCACAACCGCAACCGGGGCCTGTCGGCGATCCGGGGCACGGGCACGCGCGAGGTGCTCTCGGTGGACAACGTGCCGCTTCCCCGGCCCGTCAGCCCCAAGGAGTTCCCGGCGGTCGTGACGGACCCAGACCACGGCCTGTGGGACTTCTTCTACAGCAAGGACAAACCGCTGAACACGCCGCAGGAGGACGCCGCGCACGGGCGGTCGTGGAGGGTGGAGGAGCTGCGGCGCAAGAGCTGGGAGGACCTGCACAGCCTGTGGTGGGTGTGTATCAAGGAGAGGAACAGGATCGCCACGGGCAACTGGGAGAGGTCCAAGGGGAAGTATGGTTACGGCGACAACGAGAGCAAGGCGAGGGAGATGGAGGTATGCGTCTATTCCTATGGCTCCGCACGCACGACATCAGAGCTTTACTGATATCAATCTCGCCCTACAGGTGCGCAAGACTCAGGCGGCGATCAAGCACGCGCTCACGGAGAGGTTCTATGCATGGGAAGACGCGAGGAAGCTGGCGAAGGATGACCCCGAGATCAGTCTTACCGGGCGAGAGCCAGCCTATATCCCAGACGAGTCGCATCTGGAATCCGAGGAGGCGGCCTGGGAGGACTTGCCCGGTGAGCCGGGCACGGCCAAGGAGACCAGGACCTCCGAGGAGGCGATTGACCCTTCAACAATACCCAGCGGACAAAAGGTACAAGCAGATGCTCCCAGGGTATGAGACCTGGCACGAAGGAGTATACACATGGCATAAGAGACGCGGGTGTTGTAAAGTTCACGTATAGAATGACATTATGCTCCGTCCCGAGTTGTGCCAGGTGACACTTCCCCGGGTCAATCCTACCTGAGATGAGTCGAGATGAGGTTGAGATGAAAGGTGTTGTTGAGATTATCATGGTTGATCTGGTGATCCCTGGGACAATATTGCCATCGCCTCCCCCACCCACCACAAGCTGACCACTGCAGCCGTGCAGCTGTGCAGCAACCACGGGGCGAGCTTTGTCGCCACGTAATGCGAACCTCGATCGCAACACTATCGACTCTCCCACTAAGATGAGTCCCGTGAAGCGAGCCAAGGTCGTTACGGGGAGGCCGATTGTATTTCGCCTATGGCAGCTTGGACGCTCGGGTGGTCCCAGCTGCGGGCAAGCTCCCACTGGCAGCACTGCAACGGGTAGGCCAATCAGGGGAAGCGGGTACTGCCTGGGCCCCTAGCTCGGCAATGGAGCTCCAGTCCCTCTGCCTGCAGGCGGGTTGGGGGTCCCGGACAGCTCACCCCAAACACACCGACTCTCCTATTATTGACTTGACCTGCCTCGACTTTCCCCTTTGGCTTCGAGACTGCACGACCGCATCTCTTTCAACCCTCCCTCCCTCGAAACCTCGCCCTCGATCCTTGACAGTGCTGCACCCTCACAGCCATAATATCCCATATTCCAGAGTCAAAAGCAACCGCAAACATGGATGAGATTGCTAAGGAGTACGATGTCATTGTGCTGGGCACAGGTATGTTCTATGTCATTCGCGTTTCCAACCCCGCAATGTGGGGTTCCCTGCCGTGGCCTCTCCTGAAGCCATCACCTGCTGCAAACCGCCCATGCCTGGTGTTTCTGGGTGCTGTGACTACGAGGCTGACATTGGTGACCCGGCCACAGGTCTGACCGAATGCATTCTCTCCGGGTAAATAATAAATCTCACCTGTCCAGACCTCGCTGGACGTCCCCTCGGGAGGGAGCCGCAGACTGACGATACCCCTCGCAATCCAGTGTGCTCAGTGTCAAGGGCAAGAAGGTCCTGCACATCGACCGCAACGACCACTATGGCGGGTGAGCAAACTCTTCCCAGCCCGAAGTACACCGGGAATAACTAGATGGGATATGCGCTGACCATCATCGGCACAGTGAGGCTGCCTCTGTCAACCTCGAGACTGTACGTGACCCCTGGATGCGACGCCTCCCGCTCCAGCCGCCCCTGCTGCTCCCATCTAACACACCTCCTAGCTCTTCAAGAAGTACGGCAACTACAGCCAAGGCGACGAGCCATGGAAGAAATACGGCCGCCCCAACGACTGGAACATCGACCTGATCCCCAAGCTGCTCATGTCCTCCGGCGAGTTGACCAACATCCTCGTGTCCACCGACGTCACCAGATACCTCGAGTTCAAGCAGGTTGCAGGCAGCTACGTGCAACAGGGTAACGGGCCCAAGGCCACTGTCGCCAAGGTCCCATCAGATGCCGGCGAGGCCCTCAAGTCACCCCTTATGGGCATCTTCGAGAAACGCCGCATGAAGAGCTTCATCGAGTGGGTCGGCAGCTTCGATGTCAAGGACCCCTCCACGCACAAGGGTTAGTACAAGCCCCGGCACAGAGTCGTGCCTTTTCCGCTCGTAGAAGCTGGCGAGGGATCAAGTTGAGCTAACTGGGTCCAGGTCTTGACATGAGCACATGCACGATGAAGGATGTGTTTGACAAGTTCGGCCTCGAGGATGGCACCAAGGATTTCATCGGCCATGCCATGGCCCTGTACCTCGACGACGCATACGCCACCGCCAAGGGCAACGCTCCCGAGGCCATCGAGCGCATCCGCCTGTACGGTAACTCGGTGGCCCGATACGGAAAGTCCCCCTACATCTACCCACTGTACGGACTCGGCGAGCTGCCCCAGGGCTTTGCCCGTCTGTCTGCCATCTACGGCGGTACCTACATGCTGAACACCAGCGTTGACGAGGTGCTGTACGAGGGTGACGCGGCCGTTGGCATCAAGGCCACAATGTCCGGCATTGAGCCAGAGATGAAGTTCGAGACAAAGGCCAAGATGATCCTGGGCGACCCATCATACTTCCCCAACAAGGTCAAGGTCACGGGCCATGTGCTGCGTGCCATCTGCGTGCTCAAGCACCCCTTGGCCGGCACCAACGACGCCGACTCCGCACAGCTGATCATCCCCCAGTCCCAGGTCGGCAGGAAGAACGGTGAGTTACTCCCAAGATACCCGGAACTAGCAGCAGTGACTGACTTGGACAAGACATCTACATTGCCTGCGTCTCTTCCGCACACAACGTCTGCCCCAAGGGCTACTGGATTGCCATCGTCTCCACCATCGCGGAGACATCCGCAAACCACCACCTGGAGCTCCAGCCCGGTCTGGAGCGCCTCGGCAAGATCGAGGAGCAGTTCCTGGGAGCCCCCATCCCCCTGTACGAGCCCCTGGAGAACGGCACCAAGGATAAGATCTTCATCTCTAAGAGCTACGACGCCACGAGCCACTTTGAGACCACAACCGACGACGTCAAGGACATCTACCGCCGGTGCGCGGGCGAGGAGCTTAAGGTGGAGGGCCTGCGGGAGGGTATCCAGGTTGCTGAGGAGTAAAGGAGGAGCGGCAGGTAGCAACTGGAGGGGATTGAGTGGGAAACACACGCTTGTGGGCTCAAACTGTCTGACAGGGCCGGGTTTAAGGCCGAGTTCATTTCCAGTAGTGAGAGGGCGTATAGCAGACACGATGGTTCCGTGCACTAAAGCAACCAACAAATGAAAGGGCCTTTTTTTGAATATTTCGATTGTCTAAATGGTCGATGCATCACGTTTATCCCATATCGACTGTGTCCTCACCAGCAGCCTCACAGCTTGGGAGAGTGGGTCGAGCGACTGTACGTCAATTGGACTGCTGTCCCTGCCAACACATGAGGGGTGGGGCGAGTCGGCTGGTGGTAGGGCATGCACACATGCAGCGAAAGCCTGGATTGTGTTCAGTTCATATCAAGTGAGCCGCAGGAGGCCGTCTCATCGAATTATCATCTACCCCAGAACATGAAGAACACGGCAGTCGAGCAAGAGAAACCCTGGCATATCGTCGCCAAACGCCGTAGTCCATGTGAAAGCCCCGTGTGTATTTCTCCCATGTCCATTTTCTTCCCCGCCGCTTCCCTCCTTTCCCCCGCTCTCCCGTGCCCCTTAACGGCGAGAGGTCTTGCCCATACCACGCTTTCCAGCAAACTATCCAGGGGGTTAGCCTCGATCCCCGCCGTTGCGCAGTGTCTGAGCGCGAGTCTTGCGGGATCTTTTGGACTTACCAAGTGCTTCGGCAGCGACGCGGGGGTGTGCCTGTCGGCCTCACCCTGTCTCGCCATCCTGTTCATCTTCCTCTGCGCAACCTTGGCCGTCCTCTCGGCCTTTGTACGCGTCGTGTCGTCCGTCATACCGGCCTGTGACCTGTCCGTCTCGGGGGCCCGGTGGGCCGGCCTGCTCTTGGACCTGAGGCGCTCGCGCGGCGTCCTGTCAACCTCCATGGCGTCCGAGACCTCGGTGCCGGCACGGCTCCTGGTAAGAGACCGGCCGCGCGAGTCGGGCGCCATCGCCCTGCCGCGGGCCTCGACCTCGGTCGCGTCGATGCCCAGCTGGTCCAGGTGGTCCGCGAGCTGCGACAGCGGCTTCTTGGTCTTGCTCCGGGGTATTATGGCCCGGTTCTTGAGCGACTTGCGCATCCTGGCCTCGTTGCGGATGAGGGCCTGCTTCTCGCGGATGAGCTGGGCCTTCTCAAGGATCTCCTCCTCCTCATCGTCGTCCATCTCTTCCTCCGAGTCGTAGTAGCCCTCATTTTGCAGGCGCTCCTCCTCCTCCTCGAGGGCAGCCAGCTTGGCATCGATGTCGGGGTCAATGAAGTCGAACACGTTCTTCCCGTCGACGACCTCTGGAATCTTGTCGTATTTCCACTCGTCGTTCTTGAGCAGGTAGTCCTTGCGCAGGTCCACCGAGTAGACACCAGCGCCGCCATTCTCCTGCTCAATGTCTCGTGCGAGTTGCCGTCTCTCCGGGTCATTCTTGTCGTACTTCTTCATGTCCTTGACGGCCTCAGGAATGAACGTCTCCAGAGGCTTGGAGCCCTCCATGGGCTGGGCCACGTGGATTCTGGTCATGATCTCTGTCAAACGGCTGCCGGCAGCACCGCTGCTTGTCTGACCAGCCTTCAACTTGGACGCCACTCGCTCCGCAATCAGCTTCTCACAAGCCGCGTTCTTGACAGCCTGGACACCTTCCTGTGTGTTGCAGCTCGCCTGGACCATCTCGACCTCTCCAGACTTCAGCAGGGACTGCAATTCAGCCTGAGTCTCAGCGTCCAGGTCTTCTGGCCTGGTCACGTCGATCTTGTTGATCACGATGAAGCAGATCTTGTTGGCAAAGAGCGGCTTAATGCTCTTGAAGAGCGCGCACTGGGCCTTGACAGTGTAGCCGCACTGCTCCGAAAGATCCATGAAATACAGGATCGCCGCCCGCAAGTGCGCAATGGCGGTGATGGATTGCATCTCGATCGTGGTCATCTCCTCGAGCGGGTGGTCCAGAACTCCGGGGGTATCCACAGCTTGGAAACGGAGGTACTTGTAGTCAAAATGACCGGCAAACAGGGACTTTGTTGTGAAGGCATACGGCTGCACGTCGACGTCGGCGCGAGAGATTGAGCGCAAGAAACTGCTCTTGCCGACATTGGGGTAGCCGCAGATGACAAGAGTTCGAGTGTTGGGGTCGATCGAGGGCAGACGGCCAAGATGTTGTCGGACCTCGTCCAGGTACTTGAGGGGGTTGTTGAGACGCTTGATGATGGTGGCCATACGTCCAAGAGCGGCCCTCTTCAGCTGCTTGCACTGGAACAGTGACTGTGCATATTTGAGGAGGCGCACATAGTCGCGGCTGATGGACTCGATCAGGTGCTTTGCGGTCGACAGTTGGCCGAGGGCGATTCGGAAATGGTCGGCATCGTAGAGGGTGTGCAAGAGATCCTTGTGGAACGGATGTATCTCATTAATGCGAGGGAAAGATTCAAGCACAGCTCCGAATTTCTCGGAAAAAGTCCTATTATAGAAGCATTCAGAGTCAGCTGTCAAAGTCCCAGCTTGTCTCAAGACCTGCCGCCTGCCAAGTCCGTGTTGCACAGGCAGAAAACCGGGTCGCCCCTCTTCCTGCAGTCGCAAAGATGGTGTGGAAAAGCTGCTTACTCTTGAGTGAACTTGACCTTTCTCGTGTAGAAACTGGAGCAGTCAGCTTTTGGTGGTTTGGAGAAGTTTTGGTTTGGGTTCACTCACCCACGAATACGCGAGATCTTGAAGCCTGCGCGGATCTGGGTGGGGAGTCGTCGCTGTGTGCGGGAGAGGACAATGTCGAGAAACTCCGACGATGATGGAACAGGAGGAATGTCCTTCCATTGTGTCTGGGTCTTTGTAGGCGGCATTGTGGGCGTGTTGTTGACGCTCAAGTGGCCGGTAGGTGGTATGGAAGGAGAGAATGATGGGTGGCTACCGAGGGAACTTGCATAGGCAATTTTTTTTCTGATTCCTGCACTTCTCGACTCCCGATAAGGGGCTTATCGCCTTGTGGGCTTTACCGCCTGCAGCCTTGGGAAGTTAGTGTGTAACCTGCGGGTGGGGTTATGGTGCGCGACAGGGGCAACTTTCCAAAAACCCACTTTACCTTAGTACCCAGACAACCTTCCTACCCAGACAACCTTCGTACCCAGACAACCTTCCTACCCAGACAACCTTCCTACCCAGACAACCTTCCTACCCAGACAACATTCCTACCCAGACAACATTCCTACCCTTCTAACCTTCCAACCTTCTAACCTTCTAACCTTCTAACCTTCTAACCTTCTAACCTTTTAACCTTTATTTATTTAATCTTTATTTATTTAATCTTTATTTATTTAATTTTTATTTATTTAATTTTTTTATATTTAAAAATTTTATTATTATAAACTTTATTATTATTATTTTTTTATTTATTTTTTTATTTATTTTTTTATTTATTTTTTTATTTATTTTTTTATTTATTTTTTTATTTATTTATTTATTTATTTTTTTATTTATTTTCCTATTTATTTTCCTATTTATTTTCCTATTTATTTTTCTATTTATTTTTTATTTATTTTTTATTTATTTTTTATTTATTTTTTATTTATTTTTTATTTATTTTCTTATTTTTTTTTAATTTTTTTTATTTTTTTTATTTTTTTTTATTTTTTTATTTTTTTTAATTTTTTTTAATTTTTTTTTATTTTTTTTATTTTTTTAATTTTTTTAATTTTTTATTTTTTTATTTTTTTATTTTTTTAATTTTTTTAATATTTTTTAATATTAATAAATTAATATAAAAAAATTAAAGAAATAAAAAAATAAAGAAAGAAGAAAGAAAGAAAGAAAAATATAAAGAAAGGAAGGTATAGGGAAAGGAAGGAAGAGGTTGTCTGGGTATTGAGGTAAAGTAGGTTTTTAGAAAGTTGCCCCTGTTGCGCACCATAGGGGTCAAACATTTGGGCCTGCAGGAATGGATGGTAGCACCCTGGTACCGCCTGCCAGTGAATTGAATTCTTTATCACCTGCTGTAGTATAAGCTGTGTGCATACCTATTAACCTGTACCTGCAGGGAAGCCATTCTTCCAATATCATTTGGCTACTTGGTTCCCTCCACTGATTGTTAGTCTTTGGTTAGAAATCCCAGTATGTTGTGGAGCAGCCTGGCTTAATAATCACATTGTGAGGTACCCTCTCGTCACCTATTGGAACATGGCCTGCAGGAATATTTGATTGTGATGTGACAAGTTCCAATGAGATAGAGATCTTTCAGCGGCTTTTCTTTGGGATCCTCTACTCTTGAATGTTGCATACTGGCTACCTGACCTGACCCGTTTGTACGAGCAGGTTTAAGTGGAGAAAGTTCTCCCTTGTAGGATGTACCCCGACTAACACAGGTTTGACCTGGACCCCTAGGAACACACCCATGCATGTTCGTCTCCCAATCGATAACGATAACGACCCATATATTTTTCTTTGGGGAGCTGAATTGACTGCGGGGTCACCCATACTTTTTTTCTGCAGTTCATCGGTGTATTTCACCAATTCATACTATCCAACACTGGATTTCAGGATTCAAGACACCAGAGTAAACCTGAATTGCTGTCATATTGACCACACTCGGAGAAAGACTCAAGATGGCTGGACTTGCACCTTACAAAGCCGACTTCCTCCAGGCGGCCCTGGAGGGCGGGGTTCTCAAGTTTGGCAGCTTTGAGCTCAAGTCGAAGCGCGTCTCGCCCTACTTCTTCAACGCTGGAGAGTTCTACACTGCCAAGCTCCAGAGCGCCATCGGAACCGCGTTCGCCAAGGCCATCATCGAGGCCAGCCAGCAGAACTCGGACTTTGCCTTCGACATCGTATTCGGGCCCGCCTACAAGGGCATCCCGCTCGCGACCCTGACGAACCTGAAGCTGGGCGAGCTTGACCCGGCCACCCACGCCGAAACCCTGTGCTCATTCGACCGCAAGGAGGCCAAGGACCACGGCGAGGGCGGCAACATCGTGGGAGCCCCGCTCAAGGGGAAGAAGGTGCTGATCATTGACGACGTCATCACCGCCGGGACGGCCAAGAGGGAGGCCATCCAGAAGATCCGCCAGGAGGGAGGAACTGTTGCTGGCATTGTGGTCGCCCTGGACCGGATGGAGAAGCTGACTCCTCCCGATGGCGACGACACCAAGCCCATGCCCAGTGCGATGGGTGAGCTGCGCAAGGAGCTTGGGGTCCCAGTCTTCGCCATCATCACCCTGAACGACATCATCGACGGAGTCAAGAGCAGGAAGTTGGCGTCGGAAGACACCATCAAGAGCATCGAGGAATACCGGAGCAAGTACAAGGCCAGTGACTAGACTGGCTCCTGCTCCGTATCTAGCTTCATTGCTAGGTGAGTCTCTTTTCTACCTTCCGATGCCTTTCTATCATCCCTTAACATGGAGAAGCAAAGGTCCGCAATCCGAAATGGATGTCAACATCCTAAACGCCTCGCCACCCTGTGCAATTCGTAAAAGTCCGGTCACTCGTGTGAATCCAGTTTGCCTGGTCGCGCGACGGCCAGGAGACCAACGGCCATGCTTACACGGCCGAGCTGTGTCTCCACGGAATCATCCCCGCCATAGAGAGGCGGTGTCGAGGCAGCATCACTTGGATGACTGAGCGGGTCCCGGGAAATCCATCACCATATCATGCCAGCCTCCTCCACCAAACTCAGCCTTGCTCTTGCCTGCGTGCCTGAATCCGAACCGCTCATAGTAGCTAACAAGGTACTGTTCAAAACATCAGTATGTCTTTTGATGACGGTGGGATCCCAGTTCCTGTAGAGACCAGAAGGTGAACGTACGTCCTGGCAGATTAGGGCCACGCGCTCGGATCCAAGGTTCTTCATCTGCTGGAGGAACGACTTCATGATAAGCTTGCCGAGGCCGCATCCCTGCAGCTTGGGCGACACGGCCAGCGAGTGCACGCAGATGGTGCGTCCGCCCTCCCTGTGGCCCTTCTCGACGCGCTGGGCCTGCGAGGCCTGCCAGCCCGCGGGGATCTCCATGTCGCTGTCCTGGACGGTGCTAGAATTGGACGCGGTCGCGATGATGTGCGCCAGCAGGACGCTCTTGGCCTGGTCCGCACGGTCGGTCTCGACAGGGTGCGCAGTCGCGAGAGTCTCGATGTCAAAGTCCTTGGCAAGGTCGGGGACGACAGTGCAGAAGACACCCAGGCTCAGCTCAGGACATTTGGTCAGACGGTACTCAAGCTAGACACGCGTGGCTGGTCAGCCAACCACTTCTTTACCTTCAAACCTGTCAAATGATGGGAATAGGGGGGAGGGAGGTGCAAACCTTCTCAGGAGAGGCCCTGTGCTTGGGGTTAGAAAAGGCGGCATTCTCAAGGGCGACAGTAGACCGCAGATCAGAGATGCCAAGAGGTCGAATGTTTGGGGCAAAGGGAAACGGGAGGATCTCCTGAATGCGGTTCTCCTTCACCTTCTCCTTGTGGTCACGGCGCTTGGAGCTCATGGTGCGCTGGAGCTCGGCAAACTCCTCGTCAGCCTCCTCGTCCTCGATGGCGGCATCGTCGTCGTCAAACTGACGGTCCGGCTGCTTGGAGGAGGCCATGTCCAAGGCTTTGCTGCAGTCCCACAGAATGGTTTCTTCCCAAGGTGAGGTTCAAGAGGCTGCGGCACGCAGTCCGGGCGAGGTTGGCCTGTCTGAGGATGGTTAGACTCGTGACCAGGCAGAGCGAGGCCGTGAAACACGAGTTTGGGCAGCAGGATGAGAGTACCGTGACACGGCAAACAAGAGGGCAGGAGTGACTCCTCTGGTGGGTGTGGTGTTTGTTCAGAGAGAGGGGGAGAGGATGAGAAGATGGAGGCAGTTGTCAAGGTGAGACAGCTAGTAAAAGTATCTCGACTTTGCTTTGCGTAGATGCGTGGAGTGTCTGTTGGTGGGTGTCGAGGCAGAGGATGTTGTGGAACCCTGAAAGCGGGTACCTAGGTAGCTTGCAAGGTGTGGTGGGGAAGGGGAAGATGGATGTGGGACGATTTGGCAGGCCTGGCCTGCCTTGGGATGCCCTTTTTCTCCTTGCTTCTTGTGCAAGTATTTCACCAACCGGGAAGGAGAAGAGATGGCAGGCCTGGCAGCTGTTGAATATCCGGGTGCTGTCTACTCAAGTAGGCAGGATGAAAAGGAATGGGGCTTTGAGGGAGCTGGTGTCACTTTCAGATGAATGGGTCCAAGGTGAAGAAGGAGGACTATTCACTCCGCAGGTGTCAGTTACCCGGCATGTGGCAGATTGAGCCCACAGCAGACATACGCACCTGGCCCAAGTGACTGAGAGGGACCGAGAGGGACTGAGAGAGACTGAGAGAGTGACTGACTAGCCCAGGGAGACTGTTTGGGCAGAGAGGTCAAGCCAAACTAGACAACCAAGTAACGGGTCAGGCACCGCTCCCTAGTAGGAGACCCACAAGGCGGATGGACAGACGGGAATGTGTACTCTAGAATGAGTAGTAGTAGGCTTGTTCTTGTCAATTATGTGGATGGTGGGGTCCAGAATGGTCACGCGCAGCCGGGACCCCTGAAGGTTAAGACTGCATGCTGGGGAAAGGGAGTCAAGGAGGACTAGGGAAAGCTGCCAGAGAGCCGTCCAACGTGGTGCCCGGATGCTGCCAGGCTGCATGGATGGGGGAGTGGACGAGGCTGTTTCTGTGTGGTTACTGCACAGCACAGCACTGCTATACCACCGGGACGCTATGGTCAAGGCATGCGGCATGGGCATGCGTGGGTGCATGTGGTGGAGGGACTAGACTATCACGTTGCCACTTTGCTTTTCCTGTGGGGAAGCTGTAAACGAAAGCGAATAGGCCAGCTTAGATATGCCAGACTACCACAGTCCTGTGCAGTACTACCTGGAATCTTCTCCCGCACCAACCTAACCTAGTTGGCAAGGGGTGGGGATGAGGCAGAGAAGCAAGGACCTGTGAGACACCTCGGTGAGCTGCAACTGCACTGTAATTTATTATGGCCCTGGAGCCGGCAGGGCCTGGCACCCAGAACATCTTGGTGGTTGCTGTCCATGTCTCAGGAGGGCTGCCAGCCAGCCGGAGATGGCCCATCTATCAATCATCACCAGCAACAAACTGTTGTGGCAGCCGGCCGAGTTGTGTCCCAAGTGGTCAAGCTGCAGCCCCCAGCCCGGCTCCATTGAGGACATTATGTATGCATGCATGCATGGCATATGCAAGTAAAGTAGGCAGGTATTGGTAGGAAATACCCGGTCTTGAAATTCCTGCATAATCGGTACCGCAAAGGCCAAAGGGCGGGAGGGCTCGGTATAGGTGCGGTTGAAATGCAGCCAGATTTTCACTTCTCCCATGCAGCTAGGAAGATGTTCAAGTAGATAGATAGATGGAGGTTTAGATAAACGGCTGCAGGACGGCTCGCCGCAGGAAGCCGCAGCACCTTTTTCTGTCCGGTGGTACACTTACCTGCCGTGGCAGCCAGTGACTCGTCAGTACTCCGTAATGGCGGGCCAGCCCAAGCCTTGCAGGCTCCTCCCCTCCCCCCAGCCCTACGCGCCTATATATATAATATAAGCACATGGTGGGGATCAAGTTACCTGGTTGTGGTTGTCGGTATATCAAGATGGTTGGATCATTGGGAGCCTGGATATGCCAGGCCCCCTTTCCCAGCAAAAGGCACCGTGCATCAGGCTGTCCAGTCCTCCCAACGTGCCGATATGGCTCTTGGTTGTTGCACAGCAGGCCGTCGAGTCCCCAGCACCTGCGGGCCCCGCCCATTTCGGTAGCTGTTGTGCAAAGAGTCGCGGATTTGCGTATAATAGTGACGGCCCAGGCATCCCACACGTACCTGCGTGGGCGGTGACTGGGCCATGTGGTCAGCTGGGCAACTACTGTGGTAGCATGGTTGGCTTGGCTCGGCTCCCCTCCAGTCGGGCTCTCTGGGCTGCCTGGATTCCGGAAGCTTGTTCCACCGTCACCTTAGACCTGCGACCTATGTGAAAGCTTCGGTGGTGTGCCCAGGCAGCCCAGCCTAGTGTTCTCCGTTACGCTACCCTCTTTGGCAATTTGTATTACTCAGCTGCCTGCCTGCCTGCCTGCCTGCCTGCCCGCCCGCCTCGAGAGCAGCATGCGACAGGACCTCCAGTGCCTCGTAGGGCAGGCGTCGGCTGGGGGCCCATTCGGGCTAGCTAGGTACCTGCTTAAGTACCTACCTGACGACGACAGTTGGACGACACTTTTCCCTGCCTGCCCGCCCGCCCCCAAAAACCGACGGGCCGCCGCCATCTTCGTCATGCCTGCCTCCCACGCCCGGTTGACTGCATAATTCCCGTCACACCTTTTTCTTTTGTCCGCCAGATCATGCCTTTCTGATCAGTCTTCTTGGCCCCATCTTGCTGCTACTCCATAAACCAAGGGCTGTCTTCTGCAGGAAGCCACTTTAACTCCCGCCGGCCCCCACCGCCGGCCGCCAGCCAAGTCAGTCAGTCACTGTGTCAGTCGGTCAGCAGAGGGCCCAGACCCGCTCGGCCTGGCCTGCCCCTCCAGCCGTGTCCCCCCCGTTGACGTATTCCGAGCTTCTACCTGGCCTGCCCTACGCTTAAGGTTTCCCAACCACAAGACCGGGGCCAACGCGGATGTTTCCCTTTTCACCGATTTCCCCCTCCAACTGCGGAAGATCTGGATAACTTCTTTTCTTGTACATCACCTCTCTGCCCCAACACTCGTTCGCCCAGTCGCTGTCTACGTCATACCGTTCACCATGTAAGCTCTCTCTCCTCCCCCCCCCTTCTACACATCTCCCGGCACCGTAGCATCCGTGAGGCTGACCTGGTCTCTCTCACCAGGAGGATCACCCTGAGCATCAACAACCCGGAGGCCGAGGACCAGGACCTCCTGTCCTTGGACATCTTCTCCGACATGACCCTCGAGACTCTGCGAAGCTCCATCCATGCCGAGACCCGCATCGAGCCCAACGCCCAGCACCTCTACCACAACGGCCAGCTCATAAGCGACAACTCCAAGACCATGGAGCAGCTTCAGATCGCCGACGGCGAGATGCTGGCCCTCCACGTCCGCGACATGCGGGGCAGCACAGGCGTGCCCGCCACCAGGGAGCAGCAGCAACCGCGCAGGGCGCCCACCGAGCAGGACCCCGAGCTCATCCGCCTCCAGCTTCTGGGTAGCCCCCCTGAGTATCGCGAGGAGCTCCGGAGGACCCAGCCCCAGCTTGCCCAGGCACTGGACGATCCGGTGAGGTTTGCATCGGCCTTCAGAGACGTCTATGACCGGGAGCGCCGGGAGCGCGCGGACAGGCAGCGCCAGATCGCGGCGCTCAACGCGGATCCCTTCGATATCGAGGCCCAGGAGAAGATTGCCGAGATCATCAGGCAGGAGCAGGTCATGGAGAACCTACAGAACGCAATGGAACACAACCCAGAAGGTAAGGTGGGCCCGCCCGCTGTGGCAGCATCCTCACACCATCTCTGCGGCAGGCGAGTACGAGTGAGGCTAGTGCGCTGACTGGACCTGCAGTTTTTGGCCGGGTGCATATGCTCTATGTCGACATCGAGGTCAACGGCCACAAGGTCAAGGCCCTGGTAGACTCGGGCGCGCAGGCAACCATCATGTCACCACAATGCGCCGAGGCCTGCAACATCATGCGGTTGGTCGACAAGAGGTTTGCCGGAATAGCCAAGGGTGTGGGTACTGCCACGATTGTTGGAAGGGTGCATTCGGCCCAGATCAAGATTGGGTCCCTGTTCCTGCCCTGCAGCTTCACCGTCATGGAGGGCAAGAATGTCGAGCTTCTGCTGGGCCTGGACATGCTCAAACGCCACCAGGCAAGCATCGACCTTGCCAAGGACAAACTCATCATCCAGGGTGTTGAGGTACCCTTCCTGGGCGAGGCCGAGATACCCAAGGACATCGAGGAGGCATTGGAAGAGGAGCCAACTGTGAAAGGGCCCGGTGGCACGACCATCGGAGGGCGATCCGGTGCCATCACCCAGCCTGACTCGTCTTCCGGCGCCCCGGGTCCCTCTTCGTCGGCGCCGGCGCCAGCAGCTGCGCCTCCAGCAGCAACAACCCCTGCTCCCGCCGCGCGAGAGCAGCCGCAGTTCCCTGAGGAGGCGATCGAGAGGTTGACGCAGCTGGGCTTCACACGCGATGCTGCGATACGGGCTTTGGAGGCGACCGGTGGAAACATCGAGTTCGCCGCCGGCCTTCTGTTCCAGGGGTAAACATGCACCCGTCTGCTCATCGCAGGTCGGCGGCGTTGATAAGTCGGGATTCGAGCAAGGGCGAAACGGAATGCATTTGGGGCTACTATGATTCTTTTTTAGACTTAAGGCGCGCAACAGGAACGGTTCGATCGGTAATGCATGTTGCATAGCAGAAGGGTTGCATCTGCGGGCAAGGATGGGACCCAGGCACCACCACAGCCGACAGTGGCATGGTAGATATTGGCACAGACCTACAGGGATTGAAGGGGCACCTCTCAGCTTGTCACATTAGAGAGTAGAAGGCCGACTCCCCTTAATAGATGGTGACCACGTGGCACACGAGTTGAAGCAAAGGGTGTGTGCATTTTCCTGCTGATGCTTATTGTGTCCACGGGGCGGCCCGGTTCTCACCCCTCATGCATGCTTTCCGACCGCGAACGTCCCCCCCCCCCCCGGCTGAGCTCATCGGATCTTGTAGACGCAGGGCTTCAGCACGGCGGCCTCGTTCACGTTCTTGGACTCGTCGTCGATAAATTTGGGCTTCTTCAAAAAAGCCGGCTTTCCGCTCAGCCTGTCCTTTTCCTCCTCCTTCTGCGCGCACTTGCCCTTGACGGCGGGGGCCGACTTGACGAAGCGCATCGTGACGAACATCTTGTTGCTCAGGTCGACGGCGTCGGCCCCGCGGCCTTGGTCCTGCCCCTGCAGCATGAAGCCCCGCTTGTTCAGGACGTCGACGAACGCCGACACGTCCGTCTGCTGCCTCGTGTCGTCCTCGCCGTCGACCTCGACCAGCAGCGTGGCCTCGTTGGCGGCGGCCTCGGCCGCCTTCTTGGCACCCTTCTTGGGCGGCGGCGCCGCGGCGCCCGCACCCGGGTTCCGCCTGTTTCCGACGCTGTGCTCCACCACGCCGCCCGGCCCGCCGCCCTTGCGCATGCCCCCGCCGAACCGGCTCTTGATCTCGGCCACCCAGAGCTCGCCCTTCCACCGCAGCACGCGGTACGCCTCCTCCACAAAGTCCACCCAGTTGGTGCCCATCAGCGCCAGGCAGAAGATGGCCACGTCCACGGTGCCGTTGGCCAGCGGCAGGTTCGCGATGTCCGCCTTGGTCACCAGCGGCGAGGGGCTGTGCAGGTCGAAGCTGAGCACGTCGACCTTGAGCTTGCCCTTGTCCCGCTGCAGCTCCGACGCGAGGCGCGCGTCGCCGCACCCCAGGTCCGCGATGGTGCACACGTTGGTCGCGCGGTTGCGAGGCAGCGGCTGCACGTCAGCAGCAGCAGCACCACCACCACCACCACCCTGCTGTTGTTGCTTGCCCCTGGGCGGGTGGCGCTGGCGCGCACGCGTGCGGATCTCGGCGAGGAACCTCTCGACCGGGTTCTGCGGCCACACCTCCACCTGCCGGCGGAAGCCCTCGTGGTACTCGGTGAACATCTCGGGGGACTCCTTGAACAGGTTGAAGGCCTCGGCCGAGGGCCGGGTGTAGAGCGTCTCGTTCAGGTGGCGGAAGCGGGCCGAGATGAGCTTCTCGCGCATCGCGGCCTGCAGCGGGGTGAGCTTTGGCGGCGCTGGTACGGGCGTGACGGCCTTGGTGGCGGCACCCTTTGTCTTTGGGGTATCATCTGTCTCCTGGCTGTCCTTCTTCCGCTTCTTCTTGTCCTTCTTGTCCTTTTTGGATGGCTTGGCGTCCGCGTCCGCGTCCGCGTCCGCTGGCTCCTGTTCCTGCTTTCCTGCTTTCTTGGCAGAAGGCTTCTTTGGGCTGGACTGCTCGTCCGATTTGGCATCACCTGAGTTCAGCTTTTGCCGCTTCTTGGACTTGTCCGACTTCTCAGGCTGCTTCTCCGTGTCCTTGGGCTGAGCCTTTTCTGGCTTTACGGGCTTTTGCTTTGGTCCCTTGTTGTCGATGACCTTCTCCCACATGTCGCCAATGTTAGAGGGCGTGACATTTTCGGGCTGGGATGCCCTCTTCCTCTTTTTTGACTTTTTGGCCGGGGCGTCTCCCGGGGCACCTCCAGCCTCAGGCTTGAGATTGTCTGCCGAGACAGACCAGCCCTTGACGGCAAACATGATGGCCGGCGATGCAGTGATGGTCACGTGTGAGTGACGGCGGTGGCAGCGATCAGCTGCAAGGTGTGCCGTCGGCTTGTGAGGTCGGAGGTTGTGAGATGAGACGAACCGGCTGACTGAATTTGAGCTTGTATGACCTTTTTTCCCCGAGCCTAGTGTAGAGCAAGTAGGTAACGTTGAAAATTTTAGGCTCCACTTTTTAACCTACCGGGGCGGAGGCGGATCCCAGCGGGGTCACATCTCTTCACTTGGGCCATTTTACCAGAATGTACCAAGTACTATACTTGAATCGGTTGATCGGGTACTGTTCACGCAGGTACTGCAAGAGGCTGCATGCGGGCCCAAACCACCCACACAACCCTTGGGAACTGGGCAGCGCATCGAGTCGGCATCCCGGACGGACTTGCAGGAATTGGAGATATTCGGAAAGAGGGAAATTCCGAGTTGTCTCAACTCGGAGTGGCCCCTGAACGCCTCTGTGGTCGGCGAGGATACTGTTGTTTGTGGTATACACGCGTACAAGTCTACCGAGGTACGTACATGGCTTATTCTGACCCTGGCATCCACCCGCCCACCTTCCAGGGTTGCTCTTACATATCTTCCCACAGTAGCAGTAGTACGTGCCATTCTTGACCCAAGAGACTGTTTCTCAGCCGGGAGCTATAGCGCCCGGCAGAGCTGCCCAAGTTGCCAAGCCAGCAGCGAAACCATGAGCTCCGAGTGCTATCGGATGACCAGATCTTGGCTCGAGATAGAGTTCTGACTGAGCGTGTACCACAGTATGTACTTATTGATGCCAACGTGTGCGCAGCCACTGACGTCCCGAGTAACCGCCCAAGTTACCCAGACTCAGACTGACTACCAGTCCACCACCAGCCACTCCGAAGCTTAACCAGACGGCGACCTCGTTAAATGGCCCTCGGGTCTCGACTCATTTCCTCCTCTTATGCACCCATTGCATCCACAGCTCACCGCAATTACACGTACACCTGCATTTGCAGCTTTCCGCATCACCAGCCCCTCAGCCCGCGAGGCGGATAGTGACCTGTTCCCTCCCACAAGGTGACACCCAATCCTCCCCTTCTCCGCACGCGATGGCGCCTTTCCCCAGATCTGCGTTCGCCTCATCTCCTGCGGGACTTGACGCCGGCCTGGGCCCAGGGCTGCAGGACCAAAGTGGATCCCCAAGCAGCTTCTGCCAGTCGGCCAGTCTGCCAGTCTGCTTGCTCCTCAGCAGCCTCGTCATCCCCCATCCAAGGCTTGGTCCACGCGACTCGGTAGTTGGTTACATCGCTAGTTTCTGGCATGGAACATCCTCGACCTCACGCATCTCACTAGTCAAGCTGTGCACAATTTGTGCAAGCACGAACCCCTCCATTGCGCTCCTTGACCCACCGAACTTGCGAGGCCATGTCGAGATCTATGACCCTGGCTCGCTGCGATCATGCCCCGTTCGTCTTGCCGGGATTATTACAAGCTATGAGTTATATATGATTACATGCTTAAGTATGCTCCCTTATCCGTGGGATGTATGTGACAGCCAACCATATATTTTTGATAACCAACAACACCGATAATATTTCCCTACTACGTTCACGTTTGTGTGGTGAGGCCCCCAGTCCGGGCTCATTATATGTAAAGATGTCTTTAGAAAGACTGGTCTACACATTACTCCTTGGGGCTGTCCATGCTGTCCCCTATAGCGAGTACATCCTCGCTCCTTCGTCCAGGACAGTATATCCAGTCTCTGTTTACCAGGTTGGCGGCACCGTCGACAATGCTGAAGGTCTCGTCGGCGGGGCGAACACAACGGTCACCATCTCAGGGACTGCCCAAGGCGGACAGAACTCTTCTGTCACTCTAGACTTTGGGCGAAACATCGCCGGTCAAGTCTCGCTCAATGCACCAGAAGCAGCGGGCCCAAGTGCTGCCGTCTGGCTGACCTTCTCTGAGTCCAGTTTGTGGGTTAGCAGCTACGGCAGCGACGCAGTTTCAGATGATGGACGAGACGAGCCTATTCCATTGTCCGTGAGCGGAGGGTCTGGAACTTATACCGTTGAGAGAAAATACGCTCGTGGAGGCTTCCGTTACCTCACTTTGGTTAACAATGGGACGGCCGATATCCAACTATCAGGCCTCGCTGTGCTCTATACTGCGGCACCTACGCAGGATCTACAGGCTTACACGGGCTACTTTCACAGCAATGACGAGCTGCTCAACAGGATATGGTACGCCGGAGCGTACACAAATCAACTTTGTGATATTGATCCTGTATATGGCAACGCCCTGGTCAACGCCGGTCCCAACTATGTACCGAGACCTCTGCAGCCATGGTATTACAACTACACCATCACCAACGGAACCAGCGCCCTTGTCGACGGTGCTAAGCGGGACACCCTCGTCTGGCCAGGCGATCTCTTCATTTCTGGCCCATCAGTTGCTTACAGCACGTCCGCATTGGACGCCATCAAGAACTCAGTGGAGTCACTCTTCCTCCTCCAGACACCGGAGGGCATTCTGCCCTATGTCGGCGTGCCATTCCGCGACATAATCAACCAGACGAGCTTCACTTATCACCTTCACAACCTCATTGGTGTCTATAATTACTACTGGTATACCGGAGACCAGGCCTGGCTACAGACCTATTGGGACCAATTCAAGCGCGGCCTGGCGTGGTCGCTCAGTAATGTCGACTCGAGCGGACTGATGAATGTCACTGCCTCCGCAGACTGGCTCAGAGCTGGTATGGAAGGGCATAATATCGAAGCTAATGCGATCCTGCACTACACACTCAATCTTGGTGTCAACCTGGCAAGTGTGCTAGGGGACGATGCTGCTATTTCTCAGTACCAGAGTGCTGCGGCCGGGATTAAAGGGGCTGCCAACAGTCTTCTTTGGTATGTATGAGCTTGAGATTCGTGCATTGCAGAAAAAGCATACTGGGTTTCTGGCTGTGACGATGGCTCGCTGACAGTTTGAAAACAAGGAACGAGGGACTGGGGTTCTATACGGACAACGAATTCACGACTCTCACCCCTCAGGATGGCAACAGCTTCGCCGGTACGTGACACTGAGGAACGTCGTCAGGATTACTGTGCCATTCACTAATACTCGGTTAGTCCTTGGAAACCTCACAGAAAGCGACGCACAAAAAGCTTCCATTGTCGCCAACCTTCAAAGTCGCTGGGGCACCTACGGGGCACCAGCACCCGAAGTGAACTCAACACCAGCGACGATTTCACCCTTCGCCACGGGGTTCGAGCTCGAGGCACACCTCGTGGCCAACAACCCCACGGGGGCACTAGACCTCATGCGCCTCCAGTGGGGGTTCATGCTCGACGACCCGCGGATGACCAACTCGACCTTTATAGAGGGCTACGCGGCGGACGGGGGCCTCGTGTACGCGCCGTACAGGAACGACGCCCGCGTCAGCCACGCGCACGGTTGGTCCTCGGCGCCGACGAGCCTGCTGAGCCGCTACGTCGCGGGGATCCACCTGACGGGAGCCCTGGGGCGGACGTGGAGGATCGCGCCGCTGACGGGAGGGCTCAGCACGGTCAGCGCGGGGATGAGCACGCCGCTGGGGGCCTTTGCTGTTGAGGTCGCCGCCGATAGCGGGTCAGGGGCCGTCACGGCGTTTGGCTTCGAGGCCCCTGCTGGGACGACGGGTGACGTCGTCCTCCCGCCGGGAACGGAGGGAACCCTGACGAGCGATGCTGGGGAGTCGGCGGTGCTTTCTGGCGGGGTTGCCACTGGTGTTGGTGGTGGCAGGTGGACCTACTCGGCGTAATGAGGTAATATTGATTAGGAATAGATCTCGATGAGTTGGATGAAAAAGCCTCATATTGCTCTTGCCCTGTTGGTGATGGTTTGTATATGTGACGTTCACGGGCATAGATCTCGATGGGATGAAAAATATGGTGACACGCTTCGTATTGCTCCGTCAATATCACCGTGGATAAGAATAGTTCCTGTCTGTTGGGGGTTGAGACCACAAGAAGCCTTGGTCTAGACCACGGACTCCTCATGTCCGATCAAGGAGATGATGGGGATAGGCGTTCGGCCGGCGCCGTGGGCGACATCTAACCCAAGGTTGGTGATGAGTACCTCCTCCGGTCTTCGGTATGACTTCTCCTCCCTGTACTCCTTCGGCGAGATTCAAGGCAGTGATCAGCACGAAATAGGGCCGGCCAGGCGAGGAAGGAAACTCATTTAGGAGGAGGTCTGAGAGCACGGAATTCCACCCGGGGCTAAACCATGTAGCTCAAGGATACACGAACAACGGCGGCTCAACGGCGCAGTGTGAGGAGCTGTCAGAGAGTTTGGCGGGATGGAGCAGGGGTGTTTGAAGGGGCCCGCGACTAGGAGGAGGCCACTACTACTAGCTGCGGACGTAAAGTGACATTTGTGGCTTGGAGTTTGCATTGTCCCCAGGTTACGCTATCTCCCAACTGCCGTACAGTGGTCCCCTGGTGGGAAGGACAAGCCTCCGGAGTTGAGTGTGTTGGGTGATGCGACACATTGGTGAGGTGGCCGGCGTAGGACAGGATCGGCCGTAAGGCGCAATGGTCCTCGTCACAGTGAGGAGTTGTGTGCCTGTTGGGACGGAGGGCAAGCTCCCCCGGCTGGAGAAGGGTCATCTCGGGAGCCTGAGGCTGTCCAGCCGCGACGAGCCCATCACAGTGTTGACTTACAAACCGAGGCTGCCCCAGGAGTCAAGCCGAGTGGCCAGCTGCTCTGAGGACCCGTGCCCGGGCTTGTGTGAGAGAGGGTTGCGTGCCGGCCACGAGGGCCCCAATTCGGGAACTTATGGGCCCATTCTGGCCACCAGACGCGTCCTTTTGCGCGCCATGAGTACGAGATAGGCCGAAGCTGTGCCGCATGAGCCTGAGGACGGCGCGGGCTGTCGTTCAAGGATGCCGGCGGTTGCCAGGGCTGCCAGGGCTGCCAGGGCTGAGCTGGCTGGTAGGCCTAGCAGGGTTATCTCTGGGGGCGGCGCACGGGAGATGCTGTTGGCATGCGTCAAGTGCCATCGGCCCGCGCAAGGCCACACGAGCCCTTGGAGCCCAAGACGAGCAGACGAGCCGTCATGAACTCTAGCGGATCGCCCGTTGGGAAGGGGGCGGGTCTGAACTCGTCCCAGCCCAGCCGGGTCCGTGTGCTTCTGTGGCGGGCTTCGGAACCCGCCGAGCGTCGTCGAGGTCCCCAAGATATGTCCGACGAAGCACTTGTCCAGTCTTACATATCTCGTCCGCTTTGATTGCGAAATTCTTTTGCTGCGAGCCGTGGACGAGAAGGGGGACTTAGCGCAGGCCCAGGAGAGGGAGGGAGTGCAGAGTAGTCAGAGGAGCTGAGAACTTTTGTGGCGCCGGCGCGGTGCTAAGCGCGACGGGGTCTCTCAGGGCAGCGCATGTAATAAACCTTGGAAGGCAACCAGCAGGAGGAGCCTGCGCCTATGGCCACGCTTCTCAGAGCCTCGACAGCCGCGACGACCGGCTTGAATGGCTTAGTGAGCATCTGTCGAAATCCGAAGAGCCCCGAAGCAGGTACATCGGGATTGTACCTGGTAGCGGTGACAGGGCAGGAGGAGGAGGAGGAGGCTAGGAGGCTAGGAGGAGGAGGCTAGGAGAACAAGGCGGACGGCCTGTCAGGTCCGCATCGAAACGGCCGGTTCCGTTGTTCCCGCTAGCTCCTGTCAAGTCAAGATGCTGCCCAGGCCGGCCCTAGCAAGCGCCGTCGATGGCAGGTTTTCATGTTGGCTGTAAGGTCGACGCCACAATATGCAAACAATCCTTTGTCGCCTTACATGTGAGTCTGTGTGGCATCTGCAAGGGATGGATGTCAAGACAACATCCCGACCTCGAAAACTGATGCTGTCTGTTCTGTGTATGCTCGTTGCTCCGTCTACTAAGCCATCACCGTCCAGGGTTCCAGGGTTCCAGGGTTCAGCCTTAGGGTTGTAAATGGAGAAGGAAGGGGGGCAAGGGGGGTAGTCCGTACTCACTCACACACTCACACACTGACCCTCTCTCTCCTGGGCCTAGCCCGACGCAACCACCCTACTGCAACGAGGCGCAACGACGAGACAGATCCCCCAAGATCTCTTGCTGCCACATTCGGTGGTTTGCGTCACACCGCAGTCCCCGTTGTGGAACATCGATTCATCACGATGCCACCATCCATTGGCTACCTCCGCCAGCTCTCCCACTCGCCCGTGGTGCCGTGGTGGCCGGCCAGAGAGGCCAGCCCTGAGATGGCTGCTACCCGCCCTGCCCATCCTTTGCCCGACTGGGCCTGCTTCTAGATGCCTTCGTCCGACAAGGTTGGTGCCAGTCTCCCAATCCATCTAGCCTGCGGCACAAGGGGAAATCCTCTGACACCCTCCTGGCCGGCCGGCCTGCTATGGCAGACGTGGGTATCCGGCGCGCACTACCCAGGTACCCAGGCATGTACGGCCACGCAGGGGAGGCTGCGGAGGCTGCGGCGCACACCGACAACCTTCCCAGGTTCTCTGCCCTGGGCGGCTGCTGCTGGCCGTCATGGGCGCACAAGTCCAGTCCCCTAGGACATCATCTGCTCTGGGCTAGCCAGCCCGCCCAGACACTCGACGGGAACAATGCGGTGTGCCATCTCCCTCTCGCCTGTCTGCCTCAGCCCCGAACAATGGCCTTCTTCCAGCAGATGCGCACTTGCACTCCGGCCTTGTGAGCAAAGCTCTACACGGGGCTGGGCCTGCTAGGACAGATACGTCTCTCCCTCCTTCCCGCTCGCCTGGTCATTGTTGGTTCCATCCATGGTCCCTGTCTACTGTCTCGTGTCTCCTCTGCCCATGCATCATCTTGGTTAATTCCTCCGGCTCCCTGGTCCTAGCACAGCGCCGTTGCTTCCCTCGGACTCCTCCTATCCATTGGACGTCGATCTATATCGCAACCGCGATACATTTGACGAGCTCTGTAGTGACAAAATAAATTATACCCTTGGGCATGGACTCAGGTCGTGTCATAGCCCTGGGTGCCAAACGATCCCAGCGTCTGCAAGGCGGTGCCTCTGGAGTATTTAGATGCCAGTAGTGCTCGTCTTGGTCCCGCCATTGCACTCAGCTTCAACTTCAGCTTTCAGCCTGTTGCTACGCGGCATATCTCTCAAACCATCAGTTCTTGACCAAGGCCTCAGCACGCGTGTACCACGGGCCGTTCCTGTACTCGAGCTTGACTCGACCAATTGCATGAACACTACATCTCTTCACGAGCCACGGGCACGAAACCTTACGCGTTTTCCTCCTCCCTGAGAGCCCTTGATTTGCCAAGCGCTGGATGCTCGACTGATCCTCATCCCACGTTAGCACGGCTTTTGTGGCTGCGGTGTGGGGAGACGCTGCTGTGTCTTGTGTTTCTGTCCCACGCGACGCTGCCATCGCCTTCGCGTTCCTCATCCTGATCTTTGCTCCACTGGGGAGAGCAAAGCAGCCTGTCTGTGGCAAACTCAAGCGGATACTGCCAGCAGGAAGCTTAGCTGGTTGTACTTTTCCGGCGCGGCCTATAGCCTACACGACACGCCTGGGGTACGACGAGAGCAGCGACTGACCGACCTCTACTCCGCCGGCATCTGCGAGTAGCACTCGAGTTACACTGGCTTGTTTCAGTCGGCTCTGTTGAGCAGCTTTATATACTGTTCTGGTCTGCCCGTCCCTTTTGTGCTTCGCACTTCTGGCCTTCCTAGCCCCCTCCTCATAACTGCGCACAACGGCGGAACAAAGTCGGACTGTCTTGCTCCTTCATTTCTCCCCTCAGTATATCGCTGTTTCCCCCAGATATCCTTCCACTACACCCCTCAAGTTTGCCAACGGGTGCTTCTTCAAGAGCTCTATCTCGTCATTTCCGGCTCAGTGTCTGGACCGCACCCGCGCTTCCCGGGGGCACGTTCTACTGGTGTGGGCCGGCTGTCGGACGAACATGTGAGGAGCCTTTGGGTCTCAATCAAACACTGGTTTATCGTATCGGACAATCGAAGAACTATTGTATCTCTCCGCGGATATTTGGGATACACTGTCATTAGGCATGGATTCAGTTGCTCTTGTGCCCGAAGGGGCCTCGGCCGACGGCTTCAGACCCCGAGAACTATCACCAACCACGACGAACAAGGATCCCTCCCCTCCTAAGAAGACGAATATTAGAAAAAGAACCAAGACCGGATGCCTGAGTAAGTCCCTTTTCTGTTTTTGCATCAAAACAAACCCCCAAAGACGCCCAGAAGCTGATTCCAGTCAGCGTGCCGAAAACGCCGCATCAAGTGCGACGAAGGAAAGCCCATTTGTCAGAATTGTATCAAGTCAAAGCGCCAATGCGAAGGCTATAACACGCGTGTTGTTTTCAAAAACCCTATGGGAGCGCTTCCTGGAGGGCCCTTCGGACCTATTCCTCACTATCATCCGGACCCAACTGAGGCTCTCGTCAATGCCCAGTTGTCTTCGACACACGCCAAAGCATCCTCATCGTCACAAGGGCCCCTTCCTTTCATCGCGCCAAAGCCTCCCAGTCTGGACTTTGGGAGTGCTGAGCACTATCAATACCTTGCAGCATTCCCTGGCCCGTTCCCGAGGGCCAATCCCCCGAATGCGCCTGGGTTAGGCGTCCACCAGCAACAGTACTTCATGGGCCAGATGTCCCCTGATCTGTTTCTCGCACAGCAACCTAATCACTTGATGGATTCGCCAGTGCAGATGAACCAGCCTGATTTACTCGACTTCTATGGCCCGTCCCATCCGCCGAGCCATCCGCTGCCTCAGGGCTCCGTTCCGCCAGCCCCCATCCATACCAACTTTGCAAGTATGGACAGGCTTGACGATTCGGCAATATTGCCAATATCACCACCTTTCTCTCAGCCTGCTTCGGCCAAGACTGATGCGGGAGACGTTAAAACGGAGGGTTGGTTCACTGATGAGGACGATGCCTCACTTGGCCTGATGGAGGATGGGCAGTCGCCAAACAGTACTATTGAAGTTTCTGGGCTTGCAATGACGGATCGTCTGAAATCTCCCCTTGATCCATATGGAACACAAACAAATCCATGCTATGGGCTTCCTGCGGACAACGTACTGGCCAACTACGCGCCATCGCCCACGGATACACCCTTGAACGACCCACAGACGGCTGAGGTGTTCTGGTATTTTGTTACCATGACGGCCCCCTCGCTGTCCATGTACGAGCGCAATGCAGCCGATCCGTCACGAACCTTCTCGGGTGACGCTGTCCTACCACCTCATCGCCACATATGGACGTGTGAGTAGGCATTTCCTGGGGTCACTTGTCAAGATCGCGCGGCTGATCCTTGTAGATATCCTGCCACTCGCGTCTCTGCAACACCCGGCTCTTCTTCAAGCGATACTCGCCATAGGGAGCCTTCAAATGGCCGTCTTGAAGAATGATGTGCCGACGGCGTCGTGGCTGCACTACGGCTTGTGCACCCGTCGCAGCTCCAAGAACTATCGAAGTGCAACAAGAAGAGCCGAGCCCGCCACACTGGCTGCCACGCTATTGCTAGGCTTCTACGAAGTGTGGTCCAGCAATCATGAGAAGTGGTGCACACACATGCTTGGGGCGCGACAGCTCATCAAGGAAACACCGTTCCGAGAGATGAGCAGGCAGATACTGGGAATCCACCAGAAGAGGCGGCAGCATCTCCTTGCACGGCGGACGCAGAACCAATATGGTGACTTCTCACCACAAGACAGCAACTCAAATCACGAAATTGCAGACATCGACCTGGGCTTGGTCAAAGACTTGTCAGGGAATCCCGTGAATTTTGTGAATGGTACAAGTGGGCCGGCTGCCCACTCAAAGACGAGGCACTGTACTGAACGCGATATCGAAAGTTTTGAGCACATGATGGACCTATACTGGTGGTTCTGCAAGATGGATATCTACCAGAGTACGCTAGGGGCTTCCAAGCTATTGTGAGTACCTGTTCGCCGCCCGTGATGTCGGTCTGAGGGCCAAGCTGACATCTTCCTAGCATGGAATTCGACCTGTGGACGCAGTGTCCCCCACGCGCACCGATAAATAGGATCCACCAAGTGTAAGAGCTTCAGTCCTAGAGGGTCATTCAACCCAGCTAACACTTGGTTGTAGATACGGGACTTTCGATCATCTTCTACTCGTTTTGGCTCGGCTGTGCAACTTTGTTGCCAATGACTTGCCACGCAAACGAAAGGCCAGGGAACAGGAAAACGGCACAAGCCCAAGAAGCCAGAACTCACCACCCCTATTTGCCGGCATGTTCCCGGGAAGGGGTGATATAAGATTGCCCAGAGGCCTCAGCCCGCCGCAGGAGCCATTCCCGTCGGCCGAGCAGATGCACGACGCCTTGGACCTCGAGACCAGCACGCAGAAGGCCCTGGAGGAGTGGAACGGGATAATGCAAGCGTTCCAGCTGTTCAAGAGCAGCCTCGGGCCCGACTTCGACCCCCTCAACGGTGACGCCCACCCGCCCGAGGATACGCCTTTTGGCCCGGCCTTGACGTACCACGCATATGCCGTCGCGGGCATCTGGATGAACTTCTACATGGGCCTGGTCATACTGCACCGCGCGCACCCGAGCATGCCGCCGTTCGCGATGGTGGCGGCGCACATGATCGCCAAGGAGACGGACCCTTATGCCAACGAGATCGGGCGGATCGCGGCGGGCGTCGCTGGGAATCTGTGCGTGGATAGCGTGGTCAGCGCGCCGCAGTCCTCGGCGCTGATCGAGTGCTGTTTCCCCATCTTTGTCGGCGCCGTTCAGGTAGGTTTGGCCCCCCCCCCCCCCGAGCGTACATCTTCGCGTGCCCCTCCCCCTCAAGCACTCCCGCATCCCATTCTGCAAGGCACATACTAACAGCCCACCCCAAAACGCAGTACCGAGGAAAGCTCCAGAGACAATGGGCAATCAGGCTGCTCCACCAGATCACAAGACACACCGGCTGGCAGACGGGGGACCAGATCGCCAGCGGATGTGAGGGGGCGTGGCGCAAGGCTGCGGCCATGGGCGTCGCGCCTCCGTATGAGCCCGAGTCGGAGTCGGACGCGCTCCGGCAGGGCTGGACGACACGCAGGCTTGACGAGCGGATTCAAGAGGTGGACGAAGGGCATAACAGGCCGGTGCTACAGAGGTCGGACCGGGCACACGTCGCGTTTGGGTTGCTCAGCGTAGAAGACGACATGGAGAGGCTGACTTTAGAGGACTAAGACGAAGCGAAGCGTGTGGGCCTGGAGGCATGCTCTTATATTCTGCCAGGGCATATAGTTACTAGTCACTTGTTGCGCGGGAGTTTTCAGAAGAACATGCGGGTTGAAAGTCGGCGGTGGTCTTGCACCCTGGGAGGTAATTTGATGTTGGCTTTCCATGTCGGATACCATTGTGGGTTCTTGTCTAGTTGTTTAAATCGTCAATAGACTAATGATACAGTTCTAAGTGCGAGAAGGTCCCTTTCCTCTGTTTGTTGGTTAAGCAGTGACCTTGTCATCACAGTCGTCTAGATCATGACGGCGCCCGGAAACCCAGGGCTTCTGCAAGGGCGAGCATAGCCTATTGTGCCTGAGCCCGATCCCCCCATATTCTCTGGATATCTGTCCGACGCTTCTCAAGCCATTCCAGCATCCACTCATCCAATGTGTCCTCCGTGACCTTTTGATCCCTTTCCTCCTTGTCTTGAATAGCCCGCCTCGCAATCCGCCATTGCCTTGGTCGACTTGTATATCTCCTAGTTTGCAGGAAGACGCTCGACGACCGCTGCCATCTCCTCATCGGTGTATATCCGGAAGCCCTTCTCCTTGGTCACGCTCGCGAGTTGCACGTTCTTGGAATCCAGCTTCTCCTCCATCACCTGCTTCAGGGTCTTGAGCACCAGGGTCTCTGCGTCTACCAGGGTGAGAGACTAGAAGGGAAACGTCAGCCCGCCATCCAATGTGGAGTACATCCCCCAGCATGCACATGTATGCTGCGCCCGCGCCATTTCTCACCTTGTGGTACTCGTTCTGCAGCTCCGCCTGCGCGCCCTCGCTTCCGCTGCCGATGGCCTTGGCGTCGTACCGGTAGAATGTGCCGCTGGGCTCGGCGTGGTACAGGCTGGGGCCGTCCTCGTCGTAGCCGGCGATGAGCAGGGCGACGCCAAAGGGCCTGCTCATGATGCTCTCCTCGCCGTCGGCGCTCTCGCCGAAGCGCAGGGCCAGGTCGCAGATGGCCTGGGTGCAGGACTCGACGCGCAGGGACTCGTTGTAGTTGAAGGCGTGGCTCTGGCACTCGACGCGGGCGTGCTCGACCATGGACCGCGCGTCGGCCTGCAGGCCGGACATGGCACACCCGATGTGGCGGTCGATCTCGACAATCTTCTCGACCGACGACGTCTCGAGCAGGGTCGACGTCACGCGCTTCTCGACGCCCAGCACCACGCCCTCGTTGGTCGCGACGCCGATGGCCGTGCTGCCGAGTTTGATAGCCTCGAGTGAGTACTCAACCTGGAACAGACGACCCTCGGGGCTGAAGGTTGAGATGCCCCGGTCTAGGATCTCGTTGGGTTAGCTGGGGCTGCTGGGGGGAGGTGGGGGGTTGCAGGCGGGAGGTGCTGACCGTATTCTGAACGTGCCATAAACATCTTGACGGTGGTATGTGAGTGAGACCGGGGGAGAGGATAAAAGTGTCGAGTGCTGTCGTGGGAATGCTGGTGCGGTGGGTTCGAGATGTGAGAGGATGGGCGGGAAGGTGTTTGTTTGACTGACGGTCGATGTCAATGAGCTCCAGACGGCCAGGCAGAGCAACTGCGTAACCAAGCTCAGCAGCCTGCCCCGGCGACCGCGCAGCTCGGGAGCTAGCTTGCAGGGATCACAATTAGCTGCCAAGCGATGAGTGTTGTACCAGTACGTGCCGAGTGAACACAAAACAACCTCACCGTCTAATTACATAGGTACCTTGGTGCCTTGAACTTGTGTGATAACAAATAAGCAATATTCTCAAAAGTATTTATTTCTACGGCAATGGGCCCGACAGATGGCTGTACACCGGCAGTCTGCTCTGGACATTCGTGGCCCTGGAGAGCTATTGGTACCTGAGAACAGCTAGGGGTCCCCAGTGTACTTACGTAGTGGGCTTTAACACGGGTGACGCGCCGGCGCTTGTGGAGAGCAGTCCTCATCTCAGGGTCGCAACCTTCAAGTCAACAAAGGCGAAACAAATTCCTCCGAAACCCCCCAGCGCCGTCTCGACACTTCCTGCAGCTCATGCCACCGGAGCCATATACCCAGCTGCGCGCTCAGACGTGACGGGCCTGCCACCATGTCTGCGCCCAGCAGACACGCAGCCTACGCCGCGGGTGACAAGACAGCGTCACGAATGCCCCGCGTCAACACCCGCGACAGCACCACGCGGTCCTCGTTCGAGTCCAGGTCACAAAAGGCAGGGACGGAATCGCCAGGGTCTGGGCCCGACCGCCCGCCACACAAGAGGACCTTGTCGGGCAATCCGCGGGTCAACAGCATGCGGTCCAACGACGAGAGAGAGCGGCGCACAGAGAAGCACACCGTCACGACCCGCGAAACCTTGACCTCCAGGACGAGGAGCCCTGACCGGAGGCATGTGCCGTCCATGTCGACCGGTAAGGCCAGGGCAGATTCGAGGAGGGCTGCCGACACCCCGTCAAAGGACACGAGGCAAGAGCCGCCTCCGCAAGGCACGATTGTACCCCTGAGAATGCGCATCATGGTACTATGCTAACATGCAGTCGACACAGCCCCTTGGGAGCCGGAGGCGACTCTTGTACCGCTCACCTCTGCGCCCTTGGCCTCTCGAATATCAATACCGCCGCTAGCATTGCATGCGCCTGCTTCAGTGCAGCCGAAGCCGCTGTCGGAGCTCTCGTTAGAAGCGCAGGAGGCTGCCATACTGGAGGATCTCCTGTTCGTCTTCATGGGCTACGAGGGGCAGTACATCCGTTTTGCGAAAGGCTATGACCCTACCGAGGAGAGAGATCGGCTCGCTGGCCCGACGCACCGCATCCTGTCAGGCCTGGACCCGAGCTTACAGGACCTGACCATGTCCATGTTGAAGATGGCAACATATTACACTGCCTTGGAGACATTTATCGACGTGCAGAGCCGAGAAGAATTCGGGTCCGTGAACCATGCGCTGTGCGCATCGATCCGGAAATTCTTGCAGGACTACCTGGTCCTCATTGCGCAGTTGGAGACGCAATTCCTCACAAACGACGCATTTACATTGCACGTTCTCAACATCCACATCCTGCCGACCAGCCATATGATGTTCCAACTTTATTCCCTCGCACATGAGCTCTTGAAGAGGAATGCGCTCTTGGACGAGGAAACGGACGAGTCTGGCGATAGTGCCGATGATTTCGACCAGATTCTGGAGCAGCTGAGAGACGGGGGAGACCTCATGCCAGGCAACATGACGGGCAAGAAAATATGCAAAGGAGGCGTGGTGTTAGGTCTCATCACCAAGAGATTAAAGACTATGTCTGGAGACCCTGCCGCCAGGGCGCTTCTGACAAATCTGCTTAGGGACTCTAGCAAGCCTTACATGGTCATGCTGAATGAATGGCTGCACCACGGCAGTATCAACGATCCGCATGGCGAATTCCTGATCAAGGAGCAGAAGAGCCTGCGACGGGAGAGGCTGGAACAAGACTACACTGACGAGTACTGGGAGAGGCGTTACACCATCAGGGATAAGGAGATCCCGCCGCAGCTGGAAGCCGTCAAAGAGAAGGTGCTCCTCGCTGGGAAGTACCTCAATGTCGTCCGGGAATGCGGAGGCGTGGATGTCAGCAGCGACGTCAGGGACAAGCCAAAATCCTTTGATGACAACCGGTTCCTGGAGAACGTCAACAATGCATACTCGCACGCGAACGAGTCGTTGATGCAGCTGCTACTGACGACGCACGCCCTGCCGGATCGACTGCGATCTTTGAAGCACTACTTCTTCCTCGACCCATCGGATTACTTCACCTACTTCTTGGAACTCGGAGCATCGGAATTGCGGAAACCAATGCAAGTTGTCAACATCGCCAAGCTGCAATCCCTGCTGGACTTGGTCCTGCGGCAACCAGGCAGCATCGTGGCATTGGATCCCTTCAAGGAGGACGTCAAAGTACAGATGAACGAGATCACGCTGATCAAGTCCCTCCAACGGGTCGTTAACATCACAGGCATAGAAGAAGGCGGTGCGCTGCAGCCTCTGAAGGACCAACCACTTGAGAATGACAAGAGAGCTAATGGCTTCACATCTCTCCAATTGGACTACGCTGTACCGTTCCCAGTGTCTCTGGTCATCAGCCGGAAGACAATATGGCGGTACCAGGCCTTGTTCCGTTATCTGCTGTCCCTACGACATCTGGAATCGCAATTATCAACGGCATGGCAAGTGCAGACCCGGGGTTTTATATGGTGCCGCAGAAGCTCAAGCAAGGAAATCGAGCTCTGGAAGAAGCATGTCTCGACGCTCAGGGCACGGATGCTGGTGTTTGTCCAGCAACTACTATACTTCTGTACCGCGGAGGTGATTGAGCCAAATTGGCAGTCTCTCATGTCACGGCTCAAGGCAAAGGATAACGACGCATCCAAAGGCTATACCCGGACGGTTGATGAGCTGATGCAGGACCACGTGGACTTTTTGGACACCTGCTTGAAGGAGTGCATGTTGACAAACAGCAAGCTCCTTAGGGTAAGCATAGGGCCACTGGTTCACATGAGCACGTTCCTATTCCCGTTGCTAACCAGTTTCCAGGTCCACTCCAAGCTCATGAACAACTGCACCTTGTTCACCGGCAGCATCGATTGGCTGACAAAGAACCTCGAGAGGGCAGACCCAGACCTGCAAGGGCCGACAAAACCAAGGAACATGACAGACGATCAATGGAAGCACGTAGTGGCGAGCCGAGAAAAGTGGCAGCTGGCGCATGGCGAGTCGACTAAGAGCCCCGAGGCCCTGCTGTCCGTCCTGGCGGAAACGTTGAAAGTGTGGGAATTCAACTTCAGCAGGCACCTCAAGATTCTCCTCGACGCGCTGAACCACTATGCAGCGACGGAGACGGTGGTTCTGCTCAGCCTCTGTGCGAGGCTGAGCGCTGCAAACCAAGGCACGGAGCATGTCGGGTTCAGGAACGAGGATGAGTCGACGCTTTGAGCCTTTCAAGAAAAAACAAAGATACCAATGTGTTGATGTAATTGCAAGTTCAATGGCGTTAGCTGGAGTCGTGACAACATGCTCATACCAGGCACGGACGGTCAACGAGCGTTGATGGAAAAGGGCACAGGAACGGGAAACGGGCGGCGTCTACTAAGTTGGGTCGATTCTGTAGATATTTCCAGAGATACCTCGTACGTACAGGCTTGCAACCATTCACTGCAGGTGGTCGGTCTGGTCTGGCTTGCCCCAGACTCTAAACTTCTACTGAATTATTCTGCATTGGAAAACGGCAGCAGCCTCCTTTTATACGATGAGTTGTTCCACAAAATGGGGCTGAAGTAAACGCTTGCGGTGGTCTCGTAAATACCTATATTCCTGTCTTACTTTACCTTAGATACTCTAGTATTATCAGTCATTAAAAGGTTTACCCTAGGGTTGCCCGACGCCGCATTCTTGTGGCCTGCACTTGAGCTTGACCTTTGCATCAGTGACTTGTTGCAGCTGCTCCGTTGCTTCACCACCCGTCAACCACTGTCAACATGCCAAACCTCGCCAATATGGAAGCACATAGCTCGCATGTGCCCTGCATGAATCAGAGTACCAAGGAGACAGAAAATACCAAGAGTGCTGTCGCACCGCTTCTTCGTCTCCCTCCCCATCTTCGACACCGTATCTACCTGCACACTGAATTGCTTGCACGATATGAAGATGAGAAACATGCCGTCCTTAATTTAAACGGAGTCAACCCATTACCTTCGATATGGGCCGACTTTCCTGGACAGCAATTCGGTTACTACGGCTTCCTTCTTTCCTGCCGTACGATATACGCAGAGGCATCTACCATTCTTTACCGCAGCAATAGATTTATTATTCGGTACTGGGAGAAGCAATCCTTAGCACCTCTACGGTACTTAAGACCTTCGTCGATTTATAAACTGACATACCTCAAGATTGTCCTCAATCAAGCTTCGTGCCACCACAAGGACCCTGAAACACGGCATGAAGACAGAATGGATATTTGTGACGATGAGCGATTCTTCAACACAGGCTACAGGGATGGAGACTATAGAGACCTTGATCCTCAATTGTGCAACACCCCTCTTGGAGTCAACCAGCCGGAGGGGAAGGCTTTGCTTGCCGAATAGTATTCTGTCATTCAATACCTGTCATCTTACATCACCCCGGATAGCCTCGAGCTGAGTGTTGTCTGCGACGTGCACCCTGGCGACACGGAGGCAGCTATGCGCATAGTTGAGCCGATGAGACTCATTCCGGCCTTAAAGAATTGCCATATCCGCCTGTCCAGAAGTTCACATCTCAACTGTACCAGATTGCACGGGACACAGTCCTCCAAGCGCGAGGCATCGCGAAGTCACCACTTCCAGCACACATCTCAGGCGCATCAGCGCTGGTGAGACCTGAGAAGGCCGTCGGCCCCGAGGCCGAGGTCGAGAGTCGTCTCCTTTCCCTGCCCCGCGAGCTGCGCTTTCGCATTTTGGAATACACAGACTTGATCACGCCATGGAAGGAAGTCGATTGGTGCCGCTACCCCAGCTACCGGGCCAAGTACACTGCTCTTCACCCACCGTGCTTGCATACGGAAGGGATCCCATGCAGGCCAGATCTGCATCATGGCTGCCGTTTCTTTAACTGCTGGGAGGCCACCGAGCAGCATCACCGGCGACCAGGTAGAAGAGATCCTGTCAGGATACCGCCGTATCATAACGCCTCTTGCCATCCTAGCTCAGTCCAAGGGCGGCAATGAGAATGAAGGGGATGAAAATCAGCTCCGTGAATTTCATGCTCGTCTCGCTCTGCCATGGGTATGGAACTTTGACGATCGGGCAATGATTGACGAGTACGGCTTGACATATTTGGAAGACTTTGTGGGGGATAAGCGCCGAGCGCTGAGAGAGGAGGCTGAACGAATAGTTATGGGAGACCGATATCAAGGGCTGCATGATTGGGAGAGAGGAAATCAACGGAACAGCGTCTGGGAGGGTAAGTTTTACTATGGCTGAACTCGTATTTTGAATAGAGCTGAGACTCATATCTCGCACAGGCGGTCACTCAAATAAATTTCTTGTTCAGCACCAGAAGTGACGGTACGGTACTTATATACTGCTAGAGATAACCAATAGGTAGATTGGTTATTATGGTCTTTTGGCCGGACGGTGTAGGCGTGTGGCTAGCAGTCGCGCCTCCCGTTGCACCAGATCCAGTCTGGTTGCCTCGGCATGGTGGTAGACTATAATGATGCCCTGGTGAAAGAATAGACTGTTTGATAATCCTTCTTGTGCTACTTGACTTTGAGTTTAAAAGTAAGTCATAAAAACCAGTCTGCTAGCTGGAATAGAGTAATTATAAGGTAGAAGAACTCTGATATAATGTTAAAGTAAGAAGAGTTTAAATAATGTTAAAAACTAGTTATTCTTAAGTAGACTAAATTTACTTTATTTCCTTTTACTTTGAATATTAACAAGAAGGTACTGATAAGTAACTTTTTAGGTGCTGAAGTTAAAGTTCGAATCGATCTTTCCTTCTTGGGCAGAGTGAGTCCTTAGATTTGCAGGGGGGTGCCAAATTACCCATATCGACCCTACATATGTACTCCGTACCCTCCCCCAGTCACTAGCTGGCGGGCTAGGCAATGATGACAGCACCCCAAGGTCACCAGCACCACCGCCACGTAGATGCAGCCTGCAGGAGACCATGTAACAAGTCTAACACTATCGCGTCACGACTTGCAGCCATTCTAGCCAAGTTGCGATTTTGTCACGCTCTTTTGCTTCACTCTTGACCTTTTGCGTCGATAATTCTGGATTGTATTCTTAAGGTGTCCTTGCGAGAGTTTACGAGAGGGGTCCTCTGCCAGAACCGGACCGGGTTTCCATTCCAAAACAACAAAAAACAACCGCCTCGTCTTTGGAAGACGGGCGCTGCCTTCGATTCATCCAGCCACGAGCTCCCTTCCTGATTGCCACCAGAGCTCCCGAATGACTCAATCGTAATCGGACTCACGACCGAGCTAGGCTCCTGGCACATAAACGCCCTCCCTCAGCAATCCGATAACCCCGCCGGTGCCGCGCCATCCCCCGTCCCTCCGTCCCCCGTCCCCCCCTCAACATGCCTCGAAACCGCCCAGCCACGACGGGCTACGAGCGCCTGGAACAGGCCGACCACTCCAGCGATGAGTCCGAAGATGACTTCATGCTCCAGAGCTCCGCGTCCTTGCAGGACCCCCGTGCCCCCCGCTACAACCATACGTCACAGCCGCGGCCCCACTCGGGTATGACCTCGCCGAGGGCACATGTGAGCAGCAGCGGCACGACCCGCCCTGGAGGGCCGAAACACAGCCGCGGCCGAAGGCTTAGGAGCAATTCGGGCGTCGACGTCAAGGCCATCAACGCACGTCTGGAGCGCTGGGCAGAAGAAATAGCGTCCAAGTTCAAGCGCGGCAAGAAGGGCAGGCACGGCGACGACGACGAACCGCGCCTTGAGATCCACCACAGCGTCTTCCAGGCCCCCGAGGGCGTGAGGCCCGCCACGGAACAGAGCCTGGCCGTCCCGCAGGAGGGCGTCATGACGAGGGACGAGTTCGAGTACATTGTCGACACTGTGCGGCTGGCCATCGAGCAGGGCGTGCACCCGAGGATGATCACTCAGGGCAGCTCCGGGTCTTACTTCGCGCGGAACCCGGATGGGAAGGTGGTCGGCGTGTTCAAGCCCAAGGATGAGGAGCCGTACGCAGCGGGAAACCCAAAGTGGAACAAATGGATCCACAGGAACTTGTTCCCCTGCTGCTTTGGCAGGGCATGGTACGTTGGGAGAGCTCTGCGGCAGTGGCCGTGGCCTTACTTTGACTAACACCTGGCAGTCTTATTCCTAACCTTTCCTACGTCAGTGAGGCGGCAGCCTACACACTTGACTGCCAGCTCCGGACTCACATGGTGCCTTACACCGATGTCGTATGGCTTGCATCAAAATCATTCCACTACCCATTCTGGGATCGCTACAACTACTCGAGGAACAGGAAGACATTACCTCCAAAACCAGGGAGTTTCCAGGTCTTCCTGAAGGGGTTCAAGGACGCAAACATCTTCCTTCGAGAACATCCCTGGCCGGACCAGTACCTGTCGGGTGTACGGACCAACGATATGCACCGAAACAGGCGCAGAAGGTGGGTGGATAATTGCCGGCCCCTTGCCGGCCGCCTAGAAGACGAAGGTGGAGAGGACGGGGCGGAAACCCCAGACCGAGTTCCCGGCCCGGATAACTTCATGTGGACAGAAAGTTTGAAGCAGGCTTTCAGGGAAGAGCTTGAGAAGCTGGTGATACTGGACTACATCATGCGAAACACAGACCGAGGCCTCGACAACTGGATGATCAAGGTGGACTGGGAGACCGGGGAGGTCTCAATAGCTTCTGAGCCTGTACACATGAACATGGACACGGAGGAGCAGCCGGACGGGCCGAGGCCGGTCGATCTGAGCCAGAGGCCAGCGCAGAATCGCGCATCGTATCCGTACAAGGCCCAACGACCTATGGAGGCGTCGAGTCCGTCGGATCGGCCACGGGATCCAAAAATCAGTATAGGGGCCATTGACAACTCATTATCATGGCCTTGGAAACACCCTGATGCTTGGCGAAGGTGAGTGCGGCCTCAGCCTTCTCTGCAGGCGAAGCCTTGCTAACAGAGACAACAGTTTCCCCTTCGGCTGGCTCTTCTTACCCGTGGACCTCATTGGCAGGCCGTTCTCACAGAAGACGAGGGATCATTTCCTGCCCCTTCTGACCTCGACAGCATGGTGGAGCCAGACGCAACTGGCGCTCAGGAAAATCTTCCAGATAGACCCCGATTTCCAAGAGAAGATGTTCTCCAGGCAGATAGCGGTCATGAAAGGGCAGGCGTGGAACGTGGTGGAGACGCTCAAGACGCCGGACCACGGCCCGCTGGAGCTCACCAGGCGGGCAAAGGTGTGCGTGTGGGACGACCTGGTCGAAGTCCCCGTGGCCGTTCCTATGAGGGCGACATCGTCCGAGATGCGCCGGCGGACCGAGGAGGACTTCCAGAAGGCCATCGAGGAGGAGATGGACATCGGCGCGGCCAACAGCTCGGCCACCCCCGCCGCCGCAGACCTGCTCGGGCTCGCCACGCCGCCCGCGGACCTGCCCCACCCGGGCAGGTTTGAGCTGTCGGGCAACATCACGGACACGGCCGTGGACGAGACGCAGTCGCTGGAGGACTCGGGTGTGTTCACCAACGAGGGCGCCACGGCGGCGTCCTCGCCCACGCGGACCAAGCACGACCAGCGGCCCCGGCCGGGGGCCCCGCGCTTCGGGACCAGCTACCCGGGCCCGCAGCGGTCGCACTCGACGCTCAACGTCTACTCGAGCAACAAGCGCGAGCGGCGGTACTCGTACGCCACGGCCATGGGCCGGCGAAACAGCAGCTCCATCGCCCAGAACATGTACGGCGGCTACGACGACGACATGGAGGGCGACCTGGGGTATGCGGCCGCCGAGGGAATGGAGGGCAACCAGCGCAAGGTCATCGTGGAGAGGCTGGAGCCGGTCAAGGCGCGGAACCCTGTTTTTACTTGGTGTTAAAGGGGGGAAAGAGTAGCGGGGGGCACGGCAAAGAGGAAAGGGCAGGTTAAACAAAACCAAAAAAACGATTGCATCTGGCCGTTTTGGGTAGACTGTAAGATACGTGGGTGGCCGGCATCATGCGAGGCGTCCTTTTACACGATTTCCACGTTTGTCATATCTTGATGGGATTGGTATAGATTGGGTTGCGATTGCCTTGGGGTTTGTTTGCTCTTTGCTAGATGAATTCTGCATGGTGGGACATCGGATGCTCGGCAAGCAAGGGGAAACCATCGCCATGCCTTGACAGCTGTTGCAGTCGACTGATGTGTGCTATCGTTCCGCGGTACAACCAATACAGCAAAGTGAAGCAAGCGAGTCTGCAAGGTTGAGGGTGGCCCTGTCTGATCATCGGTCTCGGGGTGCGTGCCTATCCTGTCATCAAAACTGCACCGATGAGATGATTCCCGGTAGCTACAAAAGACCATGTGTTGTAGCCGAACACGCGTTTTCGTCCCAAGTTGAATCCCGTGTCCAAAGTTGCTGCTTCCCCCAGTCTTTGGCCAGCCCTGACCTTTCGCTTAGGAGTATATCGTGCCACTAACCCAACCACGTTTATGCCGCTTTTCCCAGCTAAGCGTGACCAAGCATTGTTGTGAAGCTTAGGCAAAGGGAAGGGCTTCCACGTCTCCCGAACACTCACTATCCAATGCTTCTATGCCCTGCATGTTGGCACTTCGTGCTCACAGCTGAAAAAGCCAGAACATATTCATGCGCATGATTCGCCGAGTGCCCGCTGCAGATGCAGGAGACCATTAGATACACTCAAAGAGGTAAAGGACCTCCGTGCCTCCGGCCAGCTTCATGGCCCATGCCAACTCTTCCTTCGTCTCCTCACTTACCCACATCGTCTGCAGATCCCGTCGCTCTCGCTGTCCTTGTTTGTCTCAAACTTCGCAATCTCCTGCTGTCGGCGCTTTGACACCTCAACGTGGACGCCAATGTGGGCGTATGCGGACCTGGCGTGATGTATTGTTGACTTCGCGTTTTTCGCGGTGGTAGGTATCCTCGTCGTTGAAGGTGCGGTAGTGAGCGCAGCGCATACTATGCCCCCCTAACCTGTCATTCACGGAAAAAATACCTATGTTGGGCCCATGCCATGGAGCACTACCCCCCACACCGACCCGTCCAGGGACCTTTACTTTTATGCTTCCCCACCGCATGGAACTGAACAGAAGACCTAAGGGATAGAGGGGCCATGGCGACTTCATCAAACACTGTGAGGTTGCAACCGTGATCATGGACCCCGGCTTGTGCCTCTTATCTTGCGTTTCTGGGCGTACGAGTGCGAAGCCGGTAAACACAGCATCCCGCGGCTTGGTAAAAATAAAAGGACCCAAGCATCTGGGAACCCCTGGCCGGGAGGATCAAGCGCCGATGGCCCAACTTGCCTTATGATTACCAACCTGCCGGGCGTGCAAAGTTTACCCCCACTTCCCTCCTCATTGACGAGGCGTGTTTGTTTCTGTGTCGTTATCCCGCAGGTCAAATATCACACACATATGTATGTCTCGTTCCGGTCCCTGTTGTTTGTTGCTTGGCCGCATAGGTGTCTGCACGTCTCGTGCGAGACCATAGGACGGAGGCGCGGAGTGTTTTCCCCTTGGCTGCTGAGGCTGCCCCCGCTCTTGACTGGGAGTCTAATTAAAAAGGACAGGCCTGCAAAGTCGCGGCCACTGTTGACCCAGACCGGGGGACCAGTGATGAGATTCATGCACAATATATGCACGGGACGGCGAAGCTGTGAGACGAGCGATTGCAGATGTGGACGAAGGATATGGGCGGGAGAGCTGTGGCATGCCGAAACATCGTAAATCCCGACCTGGGATTCTGCTCCCTGATGAGCCCCTCCTCGAGTGGCAGTTGTGATAAACCAGATGCGCGGGATCTGAGAAGGCAATGTGCCCGTGGATTGTGGCGTGCGCCTAGTAATCCGACGGAATGGAAACTCGGCTCTTAGTGTCCCAGTACTTCGGGTCAAGGGCGTCCAGGGGTGGCCCTGTTAGGGAGGGTGACGCCACGCCCCGGGCCCAAGGTCGGGTACCCACTCACGGTTGACCTCAACGTCCGGCCCAACGTCCGCACAAAACGCGAGAACCGTTTTCCACGCCGCGGCCCCAAGCTTCGCGACCTTCCCCTTCCCGCCTCATCCCATCATGTTTCCGTCAGACACGCAACGGCCCGAAATAGCGCTGTGGCCCATCCCTTGCCTGGGATTGGAGAATTGGACCCCAACGCTCTCGTCGCAAAGGCCTCGTTTCATGATGGGTCCCTTTTCGCCTCCGTCCGTTCGCACGCCCGCCGTTCTCAGCGCTGCAGAGGGCCTGCTTGAGATCGCCGAGCAGAGGATTGACACGGCGGGGAGACGAGTGATAAGGGGCAAGATGTGGGCATCCTTGCCGTGATTTTGTATACCGCTTCCGGTCCTCTGGCATCCACCACCATTTCAGCGACTCGGGCTCCAGTATTCGACAGGGGGACCAGGCTTTTCGCAGAGTGCATACACAGTAGGTTAGACTTTGCTGCTTGGCCGGAGGACCCAGTGGTCTTCATTAGCCATCTTGTCGACTCGCGTTGTATCCTATAGGTCATGGGCCCGTTTCGCTCCTCCACCACTAAGGCTTGAGGCCCGGACAATGGATTAGTGGAACGACAGGGACCGGGGCGCGCCGCTGGTGACTTGCATTTGTATACTGCTGCTTCTGGGTGCAGAACGCCGCATGTGAAAGGCAGATCGACAGGCCAAATTCCGGTTCTCGTTGGGATAGCCCGGCCTCCCCATGGCCCGTAAGATCCTACCCGAATGGCACGTAACGGATGCTGCGAGGGACCTTCGTCGTGCAAAGCGGCTGTTTACCCAGCCCCGAGCATGGAGCGGTCTATCAGAGCAGGCCGCTTTTTGAGACCTCCTGGCTGGCTGATCCCCATCCCTGAACACACACGATGGTCAATGCCAGGGTAGGCCGAGCACTTGATTGACCGGATTGTCACCCTGCGTAGTGGAAGGTTCGCCGTAGTAAAGCTTCACTGTCTGATTCCAAGTGGCAAATGGCCTGACGCCGAGGCATAACCTTTGTTTCCAATCCCTTGATGGCGTGTGCCCACTCGCTGGATCTCGACGTCAACGTTTTAGCGCCTAGTCCGCGGTCATTTTCAGCTGCGGTTCTCTTCACGATGCTCCTCTATCTTCGAGGAGATTAATGGAAAATCTGCTTCCGGCTATTCCGAAGCCAAGGTCGCCAGGATCACCAGTCTTTGCCGTGCAGTGACAGCTCTGGACCGGGGCATTTGCGTTTGTTCGGCCGGCCTACCGTGGGACAAACCTGGATCCGATAGGACAACCACCCCGCGGGCACCAAAGGTCCCCGACTCCTCCTGCAGGACATCGTGGGCCGCCTCCCAGTGGCACTGTTTAGTCTGCTGTCCGCGTACCACGGTACCTGCGCTAATGTTGGGCCCTGGGCTGTGTGGACGAGCTTGCCGGGATGTATGCTTTTGGGTCACCGACAGCCAGGACAGCCAGACAGCCGACCCACAAAGGTTCAGAGTGGAAGCGGCTAGGATGGAGTTGCATCAGACTAAAACTGGCCCAGCCACCATCCGTGGCCCATCTGCTCTCGACGGGCAAGATGGTCCTTGTAATTAATACCACGTCTGGCTGCATGGACGTAGCAAGACGCAAGGCAAGCCGGCGCCGATACCAAAGGGCCATGCCGGGATTGAGCTTTGGTCGGTTCTCGTGTGTTGGCGCAGGAAGCAGTTGTATGTGTGCCTTTCTTCATGCTGGCAGGAGAATATGACTGAGCTGTTTGCTGGCTCGCCCAATGCAACGTGGCATTGGTCTAAGTAGACTGGTTCGAGCTGGGCTCAATTTTCGAGGATCTCTTGTGCGATCTCTTGTGTGTGAAACTGGATGCCACTGGGATTCTCTGTCCTGGTCAGTAACTTTCCTTCTGATCTCCACCCTGCTTCACCCTAACGTCCCTGTCCGCCTAACTTGAGAAAGGAAAGAGGTATCCACACTTGCAGTACGCTGGTCTCAATGCATTTATTGGCGTGTGCAGAATGGCAATGGTCATCTCACCCAGATTCAACGTTCTTCCTGGCAGACTTTTGTGTGTTGTCGGAGCCATCGATCGCACTGAACTGGCACTAGGACGACAGAGCAAGCTCGTGAAGCATTGATACTTCTGCCGATATATGTTAACGCCGATTCCCAATGGAACCAGAGTAACTTTCCCACTGCCTGGTGGTCATACCATGAAGAAGATGCTGAGACATACGATTACAACAGTGAATCGCAAGAAATCGCTGTGCCGGATGCTTACCTGGACACAGTCGAGATCCACGGCAGGCTGTTCCAGAAACACGCACTGCAGCACAAGATATATTTCGCCCCGGTTGATGAGGTAGTTCCCCCAAGACCCCCTGTGGCTGGGTCATGCTCATGCCGCGGACAGGAAGAAGCACAGCGCCTCCAGCTTTTCCATCACGTATTCCACATCCTCTTCGATAAGAGGCTGATATTCCCTGGACCGATACCTAGCCCGCGACGCATCCTCGACTGCGGGTTTGGCTCAGCAACATGGGTCTGCAGATCCCCCATTCCGGTTATTGTATACATCTGACTCTTTTGTGAAGGCGATAGAAGTTGCGGACTCCCACCCAAGGTGTGAGGTTATCGGAGTAGACATCGCATCCCAAATGAGCCCTCCGGACCTACCTCCGAACCTATACCTAGAGGTTGACGATCTGAACCAGAGGTGATATCCAGGCCCGAATGGAACAGGAGAAGGTTGATCTGACGAAGAGGGTAGGCTTAACTTCGATCCCTCTTACTTCGACATAGTTCACAGCCGTTGCGTAGCCGGCGGGATTGACGCCGACAGGTGGGGTGACTACACGAAAGAGTTGAATCGTGTCCTAATTCCGGGAGGATGGTGCCAGATGGTCGAGGTCTATTTCAACGCGCAGTCGAACAACGGCACGCTGACGGACGGTAAGTTCAATCCAAGTTATGATGAGCCAATCAGCACCGGAGTTGTTCCTCGCCCCTCTGATCACAACCATTCCCCATTCGAAGAGTGTCGTATACCAGGAGTGTCTGCGTGAAAAGCCCATGGTCACCTCTGCGAGCGTCAGGCAGACTGAACTGTGGCATTGGCGTGTTGGCATCTGGGAAGAGGACGCGTAGGGAAGAATTGTGCTGACACTGAAGCAGGTCATGGCCTTCGGCGCTGGTAGGTTGACATTATGCCAAATGTCGGGTCAAGGATTGACAATCGACAGGTCTCAGCTGTACCTGCAGAGCATCCAACCCGAAAAGAACGGCAGGGTGGGCCTCAGGCTGGAGGAGCTCATGAGGAGCGCAGGGTTCGAAAACGTCGAAGCACGAATGATGCAATTGCCCCTGTGCGCCTGGCCGGAAGGTTCGTCCTGCAACATTGCTGCATGCTGTAATCGGTGTTGGCGGAGATGCACTGACGAGAGGCTTTGCGTAGATGCACGGGAGAAAGAGGTCGGGGCCGCGAATCGTGAGAACATGTCTCACCTCCTCAGCTCCCTGGCCATCTACCCGTTTACTGAGAGACTGGGAATGTCCATCAACGAGGTGCAGGTCCTCTTGGCCCAGGCCCGCAGAGACGCTCAGGACCCGAGCTTAAAGGCATACTTCCCGGTGTGCGTGTTGCCCACGATTCTTGGCGATCCGATAACGAGACTGACTGACTCCGGGCCGGTTTGACAGATACGTATGCATTGGCCAGAAGAAAAGATAGCAGCTGAGACGACCAAGGGCATCGACCGCCCACTCAGGTGTCCACTTTGGCAGTCGGACAATTGTTGATTGGGGTAAACCCACCATTGATGCTTCCTGACCAGCTCGGGACATGGGCGGCATGTGCGTGGATAATCGAATGGTACAAGGTGGATCTGAAGCACGGTGAGACTTCAAAGTGTTCCCCACCCTTTTGGAGTGGGAGCATTGCCTTGGATCAGAGAGCCACGGCTGGAGAAAGTGCCTCTCACTCTGAGACAGCAGTACTAGTAGTTGCTCTGCGCAAGGAAGGGACCAACAGCGTCCTCCTGCCCTATTACCCGCTTACCTGAAACCAGCATTGCAGTTGTTGCATCGAGTCAGCGCGTTCTTATAGTAATCTCAATATTAGAAACTGAGATAAGGCACATTTGTTTGAGATGACCTGGGCCATTGGCTGTAACTCGGGGAAATGACCAGAAGCAGACTTCCACGCGGACGGAGCCTTGTCCACAAGCATTATAGTGGACCATCCGGACAGCACTCACTGTCAAACCATCTATATGTGTGTATAATCCTCTAGTATCAATTTCCCCACAGAACGACCTCTTATAGAAGACATGTGGGTAATCTCGTAAGACAACCTCTTATTCGTTCAACAGCCCCCTTGTGGAATAGCCTCCCTTTGACAACTCTTCCGTGAACAGCCTTCGACAGTGCCACTTATACAATGTACATAGATAGCAGGTGAGCAACTCACATGGATGCCGCAATGATGGCCTCTGGCCTCTGGCCTCTCGCCTCTACGTGTGGCTGTGTCGCTGTGATAATGTACTTATGCACGCGAAGACAGCCAGAGTAGTGAGCGCACAGTACCTCGGCCACCACGTGGGTGCAAGGGTAGCTCGCAGTGGAGCTCAACGGGCGGGAGGAGCTGGAGTGTCCAGGGGGGTGGCCAGAGCTCCAAGCTCAGGTTCGAATTTTCTCCATAACCAATTGACGGTTTTGTCACTCCATCCACAGCAACAACCATTGCCATTCCATTGTAACACCACCGCACCATATCGATCACTCCCACGGCAACAGCCGGAACAGAGAGATCAGTCAAGACCCTGCTCACCAACGCATCGTAGGAATAATGGCCACCAACTTCTCGAGTCGCGCCATCACCAGGCTTGCATCAACACAATTGAGACACTCATCCCCCAGACTCGCCGCTGGCTCCAGATGCCTGCAGACATGTCGACAGTACTCCGCCGAGGCCTCTCCGGCATCACCGCCGCTCCTGGCCAAGATCAAGACTGATCTCAAGACTGCGATGAGGGCGAAAGACGCCGCGCGACTGTCGGTTCTGAGGACAGTCCTGTCCGCAACCAACAACGCCGCCAAGACATCCTCCCCGATCAAGACCGACGTGCAGCTCGTACAGCTGCTGAGGAAGACGGCTCGCGGCAACCAAGAAGCGGCCGAGGAGGCTCGGGCAGCTGGCAGGGAGGACCTTATCGAGAAAGAGGAGGCTCAGGTCAAGATCATCGACGAGTACATCGCGGCCAGCGGGGTGCAGTCCCTCAGCCAGGACGAGATGAGGGCGATCGTGGAGAAGGTCCTCTCAGAGGTGAAGAGTGAGGGCGTGGACGACAAGAAGGCTTTCGGCGAGCTCCTCAAGCGATTGACGACCACAGGCGGCCCCCTTGATGGCAAAGAAGTCGACCGGAGCGAAATTGCAAAAATCGCCAAGGAGCTGACCAAGTAAACACCCTCCTGGACACGACAATCGCCGGCAGAGGCACCCGGCACCGATACTGTGTTGGAACCGGTGTAGACTATCTTCTGTATGAGACTACCCGAGCGTAGATTGGATGTGAAAATCGCAGTATCGGGAAATTCTCCCCTTTCCACCCAACCAGACAGACACAACAACACCTAGTATGAAGGTGCGATTTGGTCTAGACCCGCTCACAGGGCATCTCGGATCCGGAGTAACGGAGTCACGGCCGGCCGACCTATCACGACAGGGGCCCCGAGGACCCGAAAACGACTGCCGCCGAACGTGCACTTGGCAATGTCATGACGCTGCAGGCACGTGTGTGCGATACGAGAGGTTTGTCCGAGTCAGCGAATCTTGATCCAGACTCAGCTGCAAGCTCGACCTGGATCAACATGATAGGCTGTCGCCCCTAGGGCTAGCACACGTGTAGTCAACCCGTCCCATGCCTGCGCTCGTGGATCGGCTCCTCCTCCTTCGCTGTATGGCCATATGGTTCTTCTTGCCATTCGGTTGGCTCGGATCGTCGATGCCTACGGTGTTTCGAGCGCACAGTCACGGAGATTAAGGTCCAGAGCACCATCGCATGGCTGTCAGTCATGCACTTGCCGGGGAAGATTGACGTGCACCCAGGCGATCTGCAGGCCAAGCTCAACTATGATCGGCTAGGCCTACCTTGATCGTTGTTTTGTTTCGGAGCAAATGACCACATTACAAGGTTTACATGGAGCACCACAGTATTGTGGTTCGGTTGTCGTCCTTGCCTGGAACGTCTGCCAGCGCTAGGGCGACTCCAGGAGCAGCATTTAATGAGGACCGCGGAGCCCCTCACTCCAATTATCCTCCCCATGGGCTGACATCGTCCCACTTATTCACTCTTGGAACGGGATGCTGCAGTTTCTCGTGCAACCCGACCTGCAATTGCTCCGGTACTGTGGTCCCAACCCCAGCTGCCACTGGCGCTGCCTTTCACAACCCTTGAATATAAATGCGGCCTGAGGCGACCCTCTCCGGGCGTTTGATACTAAAGGGGCTACTTCCCACACCAGAGGCACGAGCCTGAGCCTTGTGCATATTGCTCAACCTAGCCTTGCTTTTGTCTTGACATTGGTCACGACCAGATCATGGCCATGGAACAACAATTCTTCCCAACGAGTGTCGACTTCTTGGCGTCCCCAGACCCAGAAGCTCGAGGAAGAAAACGACGGAGAGACCCAATCCACGTAACCTTCAGCAGGCCTCAGCACAACCCATCTACGGGGTCTACACTCCGAGGACGGTGCCGACACCGATCTCCTTCAAGGCTAGCTGTCGCGTCCCGCACAAACTCTCGTGGCGTGAGAGACGTCTCGCCATCCACGTCTAAGCGGCGGCTTGTCGCCGTGATTACACTATTGCCTGAGAACCACAGACGGAGCAAGAGCCCATCCAGATCGCGGCCGGGTGGGGAGCTCTCTGCCAAGCGGAGGCGACAGAGGACTCAGAGCCGGAGCAGGCCGTACGATGAGAAAGAAACGTTCTCTCCGATGACGCAGCCACCTGGCACAACCATTGGGTCGGGCTTCCTCTTTGCCCAGGAAAATGAAAAAGATGATATTTCCGGTGCATTATGACGAGGTAGTGAGGCTGGCTGGCAGGGCCTGAGACAAAGCCACAGTCGACAAGGAATACCAGCAAGGGTTATAAGATATTGCCCAGGTTGATGTTCAAGCCCGGCGTCCGTTCCGATCAGATGATTATCTGAGGGAGTTCAAAAGTTTGCGAGGCATGGGGACTGCAAGGCAAGGCCTTCCGATAATGCGCTTACCGGTGCGTGCGACAAGGACAAAAGTCAGGCGGAGGTGCCTCGAGAACATCTGAAGATGAGCACACTTTTTTATTCACTGGATCAGGATGCCGGTCAACTCATACGAAGTGTCAGGATAATTGGAGACTCTCAGCAGACCAATACGGTGGAACCCCGACAGGCAGCGCACGTGCTAACAGCTGAAGGCAGCAGAGTGCTTGGCAAGCCCCTGGTGAGGGTCGACAAAGAGCGTGGCATTGTTGCGGACGGTTCGCATATATAGTGTCTTGAGGCGGCAAAAGAGGCGGGGCCAGCCACTGGACCACCCGAGGTGGTCACAAGGACAAGCATGACCGGTCCAAGAGACAGGATTGCATGGTAACAAATCAGTGCAGAGGATGTGTACAGTATCAGTCAACGCCACACAAATAAATCTTCTTCGTCATCTCTGTTCTATCTTTGATTCAAGCTCTTCTATCACTCCCCACGGGAATGGAAGTGCCATTATCAGTAAGACAAGTAAGTGATTGATATGCATGTTGGCCAATGAGTCCTTGCAGTGGAGGTGACGTTCGTGGATAACTCATTTTCTATTGGTCACATGGACAGGATGGAGTGGTCACTTGGCCAAGGGGTTGATATCCTCAACCCGAATCTGCAAAACGCAGACGGTCAGCTGACGACCAAGCTCGTTGTATGTTGGGAGGTGGAGGAGTCGAGGTGGAAAAGGGTGTGTCGATGAGCACGACGACAACATTTGAACCTCGTTCATGATCCTGCCACGACATGGTTGTCACGCTGCCCGTGGCCAGAGGGCAATTAATGAAAATGCAGATACGCCTTGAGAGTGCAGGCCCTATCCAGATGTCTACGACAGAGACACAGGGCTGAGCCCAGACAGTAAACTAAGTGCTCCGTAGGCGGGAGGTATTTCGGCAGTGTACAAGGTGGAGACATGCTCCCACTCTCCAGTTTCTGAGTGGCACGTGCGCGATGAGTGTTTACTTTGGGTCTAGGCTGCCCAGCCTGCTGCACGGCTGTGGGAATGGTGGGGTCCTCAAGGAAGGCTTTCCGCTCTCCGCGCGAGTCTTTGACTGCATCATGTGCCAGGCCGGGGCATTTAGCGCGTCTCGCGATTTCCTCTTTCTTGTCTCTCATCAGGGCTGATGCGGACGACCATTGTAGATAGAGCTGTCGACTCATCGGATATCCCCCCCTTCCCCCTTCGCATCGTCCGTCCGTTGGCTTCGAAATGAATGCTCCGTCTTGGGCTCGCTGACGCATCCACCGTGCTTCTCCCTACGTAATTTTTTCCCCTTCATCTCTTCATTGCTGGCAGCGGCAGTCACTCGCTTCAGGGTCCTTCTGCCTTGCGCCGCACTGCTGGTGCAGCACGGCACAATCGCAAGCAGCCATACCTGAGGGACTTCACATCCAAACCGTAAGGCTCGCTTCATTTTAGACGGCCTCGCGCCTCGTCTGCCCCTCTCGACCTCTGCTGGCTCTTTTCTCTTTTATTCCCTCCCTCGCGTGCGGGCCTTTGGTTTGATGGGGCAGTTTTGCATCGAGGTCGCTTTCCTAGATCCCCAACAAGAGGCAAGACGCAAGCCTGTCGCCCGCCGTGACAAATCCTCCGTGACCCCCACGTCGAGAACCAACATACCATAAGCCCTCGACTACCTCTCCGCCCTGCCTTGTGATGACGGGTCCGGCCTTCAACTTCTTAATTTGATCCCCAACCCGTGCACCCACCCTCCTGGGAAGGTGTCACTGTCACCGCCCTGGACGTACGACTCCAAGGCCAGGTCCAGTGTCATCATGGCCTCGAGAAACCACCTCCCAAATGGTACTTTACATCTCCCCCCCCCAAACCTTCCCCAGGCCTGTCTCTGAGATGCATGGAGCATCTCTTGATTTGGGATAGCTACATGAGAATGCGCCCCTTTGCCATGTTTTACAGGAAACTTGTACATCTGATCTGACTATTAAATACCATCAAGGCCAACCCACCACCCCCCAGTTGCAGTCTTGGGACGCTGCTGCTTTGCTGAACCCAAAGGCGGCCGTCTCGGCCCAGCAGGCCGGGCCTTCCTCGCTACCCTCTCGGCCGCCCTCGAATGGGCCTCACACTGCCAATAACCATGCGCCCCAGGTCTCATTTCAGTTCTCGACCCCCGACGCTACCGAAAACTTCCATTCACATCCTCCTCGACCATCCATGACCCCAGACGGCACAGCAACCCCACGACAGTCGACTCCGAACGGTATGAGCTCCATGAGCTCCATGATAGAGCGCATGAATAATGTGCAAGATCGTAGTACCGTGCCGGTGGCGAAGCGACGCAGGATTGGCGAGGACCACGCGTCCAGGAATGGCTTCCACGGCAATGGCGGCAGTGGCATATTATCTGGCTACGTGAAGCAGAAACAACAAGAGGGCCAAGCCACTCCTTCCGTCACACCGCGTTCACAAAGCACTGTTGATCTAACTGGGGGTATTTGGCCATCCTTCCCATTTTGGACTTTGTGGTCCTGGACTCGTTGCTGACGGAAAATAGGGGACGACGATGACGAACTTGTCGAGGTCAAAGACCCCAGAGAACAAGAAGTTTGCTACGGTATGGTTGGGGGAGCCTTGGTTAATTGCCACATCGTTCCCTCGCCAAAGCCGGGGTCCCGAACCTTTGCGCCTGGTAGCTGGCCTCAAGTCAAGGTCGTCCTGAGGAGGATTACGGGGGACAGATCCAAGACTATCGAGGTATACGATCATACAAGGACGACCATTGGGAAATTGGACGACAGGACTGCCCACGGGCTCGCCCCGCTCCTCGATGCGAACGTGCTCGCCCTTCGAACTGATGTCATGATCGGCATACGACGACGTCTTCCTGGAGAGGAGGCTGGTCAGCCTATATCTAAGTCGTATCCTCTCCAACTGATGGTGTACGGGAAGTTCAAATACGCGAAAACCGTCGGTTCAAACCTTGAAAAGGCAGGCTTGAACCTTCTGAGCCCTACGAGGGTCGACCAAGGTGTTCGAGTCTTCAACCCTCTGGCCAAGGAGAATCGACCTGCCGCAGCTCCTAGAACCTACGCAAACCCCGCACCCCCTCCTGTTGCGCGAACCGAAGAAGAGATCCGATCCGATGTGCTCAGCGTCTTTGATTCATTGAAGGAAACAGAGGACCTGCCCGAGCAGGAGCCAGACGACCGCATACTGACTCCGCTTCTGAAGCACCAGAAGCAGGCTCTACAATTCATGACCGGGCGAGAGGACACGTCGAACATGGTGGATGAGCTGTGGCAGAAGCGGACTGACGCCCGCGGGCAGCTCACATACTACAACGTCATCACCAACGAGCAATCCCGCCGGGCACCCGTCAAGGCCCTAGGGGGCATTCTTGCGGATATGATGGGCCTGGGGAAGACTCTGAGTGTCTTGTCACTTATCACATCTACGGTTCACGCGTCGCTGCAGTGGGTTCAGGCGGAGCCCGTAGTGCACTCTGCGGAGGACAAGCGGCCGCCGAGCCAACTCCCAGACAGCTTCGCTCCACCGAAGCCTGAGTCCTTGGGTCTGACAAAACCGAAGAAGAACTCAAAGGCCACGCTTCTCATCTGTCCTCTGAGTACGGTCACGAACTGGGAAGAACAGATCAAACAGCATGTGCGGCCGAACTCGTTGTCATATCATATCTATCACGGACCCCACCGGATCAAGGATTCTGAGAGACTGGCCGAATACGACCTGGTCATTACGACCTACGGGTCTGTCTCAAGTGAGCTCAATGCGCGCTTCGCTAACAAGCGGGGCCCTCACCCACTCGAGGACATCGGGTGGTTCAGAATTGTGCTTGATGAGGCCCATATGATAAGAGAGCAGTCGACGCTACAGTTCAAGGCTATATGTAGGCTTCAGGCGAACCGTCGATGGGCTGTGACTGGCACACCGGTACAGAACAAGCTCGAAGATCTTGCCGCTCTGCTCGCCTTCCTGCGCATCAAGCCGTTTGACGATCGGACCAAGTTCAATCAGTATATCGTTGCTCCCTTCAAGCTCTGCGACCCTGACATTGTCCCGAAGCTTCGCATTCTCGTTGACACGATCACTTTGCGACGTCAAAAGGACAAGATTAACTTGCCAAAGCGCTACGATACGATTGTCAAATTGCAGTTCTCCAGCGACGAGCGACGCATGTATGATGCGTTCGAGAAAGACGCCCAGGTTCGTGTGAACGTCCTGGCTGGTCAGCGCGAGCGTATGGTTGGCGGGAAGACATACATCCACATTCTGCAGGCAATCCTGCGCCTCCGTCTGTTCTGTTCTGGCGGGAAGCACCTTCTGAACGAGGACGATTTGAGACTCCTCGAGGGCCTGACACAAGAATCCCCCATTGACCTCGACAGCGACGATGATGATGATAAGCAGGCGCTCACTGAAAATCAAGCGTACGACATGTTCAACCTCATGAGAGACACAAACGGCGACAACTGCATAGGATGCAATCAAAAGTTAGGCGCCAAGGAGGGCGCAGATATTGAATCAGAGCGCCAGGAGGAGGTCATCGGACACATGACGCCTTGTTTTCACCTGATCTGTACTTCTTGCATCAAGGAAATCGAGGGCGCCTGTGCCTGTGGGCATGCCCTTAACAGTCTTGTCGCTCTGCGTTTGACCAGGACCAACCAGGAGCACGATGCCCGCGCTGAAGCTAAGGGCCGCGATGCAAGTGGTGGCAAGGGGATCAAGGATTACTCCGGCCCCAACACCAAGGTCAGGTATCTTATCGAGGAACTCAAGAAATGGCGGGTTAAGGGCGAGGCCACCCCAGATGAGCCACCCTACAAGTCCGTGGTCTTTTCCCAGTGGACGACGAACCTAGATTTGATCCAATTGGCCCTCGAGGCGGAGGGAATTGTTTTCGTCCGCCTGGATGGAAAGATGTCCCGTACGGCCCGGACCCGAGCCATGGACAACTTCCGCGAGGACCCCAACGTCCAGGTGATTCTCGTCTCCATCACCGCGGGTGGACTGGGCCTTAACCTCACCTCCGGGAACTCGGTCTATATCATGGAACCGCTGTTCAACCCGGCAGCAGAGGCGCAGGCCATCGACCGTGTTCACCGTCTGGGCCAGAAGCGCGAGGTCCACTGCGTGCGACTGATCATGGAGGCGTCCTTCGAGGAGAAGATGCGCGTGCTGCAGGAAAAGAAGATGAAGCTTGCTTCCCTCAGCATGGACCGCGAAAAGGGCGTTGGCGGCGGTCAGCTTACCAAGTCGGAGGCGGCTAAGCAGAGACTGATGGATCTGCGCAGCCTTTTCAAGTGAGGCAAACGGGTCTTTTACGGACATGCCCTTCCAGCTGGCTTCTCTGGGCGGCCACCATTTCCAGTGGCGCGTCGCCCCTGTTCACTATTCGCTTGATGATTTTGCTGTTTTTAATCCGCAGAACTGTCGTCCTTGCCGCCCATAATATCGATCACAATCAGGGCTCTCCGGAAACTCGTCGAAACGGCGTTTCCGGTCTAATGGCAGTGGCTGATGACAGACCGGTTGAGGTTCTGCGCTCATCAAATTTGCATCCCTGATTTTTTTCTTCTTCTCTAGAGTCCACTTTCTGGGAGGCCGGCGGCGGGATTATGCCGTCCGGCCGTCACGCATCATACCCTCGGTGGGTTCAGGTGGTGTTCCGGGACGGGGGCGGGGGCGTCTTGATCACACACGGTCGGGTAGAGGAGAAAGGTCTGCGTTTTCTTCCCGGATAAGGTCGGCCGGCCATCACGGTTTACTGCCGGGGCCGCTTGTGTTTGCAGTTTCTTTTCATGCATCATAGAGGTCTCTTCACACGGTGCATTTTAATATGGCAGCTGGGAGAGAAAGGGCCGGCTGGTAGTCTCCAGGTACGGACAGGCAGCTAGCTAGCTGGGTGATATGGGTCGCCCTCGGGGCCGGCCACCACCCACCCCGTGCCGCACCAGGCAGGCACGTATTTACATTTTGAGGGGACATGGTCAGGGATGAGACATAGATACCCCATGAGATTCAATGAGATCAACCCGTTTGCTACTCACGACTCTTGTTGATGAGTCGAGAAGACACTTGGGATCTGGCTTGAATTGTGTGATCTTTTCGGAGACAGAGGCTAAGACAGACCCATTTCCAACACGATCATGCGAGGATGTCAAATAGGACACTTATTCCCGGGAAACAACAAGGAGCGCCTTGTCCGCGGTCTTCAATCTGATCCCGACTGTACCAGGCCCCCGGCCGCGCGTTTCCCGGAAAGATGATGTGGATCCCCCGTCTTCCCGGAAGTAGTGGTACTCACTTTCACTTCCGGGAATACAAGCTGTGTTCGGCTTGATACTTGGGCTTCTTGGGTCCCGCCTCTTATGGATTTACCAGGTTGGATTCGTGTCAAGTGGCCAAAATCCCGGACAAAGATATTCCCCGCCCGAGTAGAAAGGGCATCGGTCTCGGTGGGAAGGCTTTAAGCTGGAGAGTTGTCCGAGATGGATGGACTGAAGAAGGCATTTAAGATCCTACGTCCGAAAATGGACGTCAAGTTATCATCACTACGAACTTCTCACTCGAATGACGTCCCGATCAAAAGCACCAATTACGCTCTCCGAGCACGATTTAGGAGATAGGGTTCTCACTGTCTATCTTTCACATGCTACTGTATGATACTTCGCTTAGTGCAATTACACGCTAGGACACAAGTAGTCTCTCCATAATCCACAGCGCGATGGAAGCAATAAGATGGGCCGAAAATGACCTTGTTCTTCATGATGAGAAGACTATCTGCTATGCTCTTGCTGGTGGACAGACCCAAACATCTGACGGTGCGTCCCTGATTGTATTCCGGACAAAATAAATGCGCTCAAAACTCCGCCTTTCCATTACCCGGTAAAACCCTTGAACGCCTCTAAACCCAATCTTTTGCGAGAAAAAGCAGCGGTGCCAGAGAACGACAGAGAGAGCCCGTGCGGCATAACCCGAACGATCGTCACCGTGTCGTGGTGGCGCTAGCCGCGACGGGAACACCATCCCCGCAGCAGTACCACCCGGGGCAGTTTCTCTCCCCTCGCTGACTCGGGGAGGGTGCGAAATCAAATCCTTCGCACGCTCATGCAGCATCAGCGCTCGCAACAGGCATGGGGACCTTTGTTGGCTGATTGCCGGCACGGATGATGCGGTTGCCTGACGAATCGTTGACATACGACACGTCCTTGTTCTCCATCTGGGCGCGCTTCCAGATCTCAACCTCGCAGCCTCCGCGGAGGACACCGACACGCATCGTGCTGAGCAGGTTGTGGGCAGCGTTGGAGTGGAGGTAGACACCACCATTAAAGATGGCAGTGGCATCCTTTCCAATGCCTGAGGAGATGAGGGCCTTGCCACCGGGGTGGTCCTTGATGAAGTCGGTCACGTCGTGGATGACACCGGCGATAGCGACAAGGCCCCTGCCGTTCTTGGCCTGCTCGACGTAGTCGTCCCAGTCGATGACAGGCAGCTGCTCAAGAGGCACGCCCCAGTCAAGCTTGACCCGCTTCTGGTCAAGCTTCTTCTGCTGCTGCTGCAGACGGCCCTTCTCGATCTCGTTCTGGCGGAAGGTCTTGAGGTCGGAGGCAAGGCCGAGCTGCTTCCAGAGCCAGATGGACCACTTGGTAGGGTCGTACTGCCACCAGCTGATTGCGTTACGGTAATCGGAGGGGAACTCGTGGTGGAAGTTGTGGTATCCCTCGCCGAGGGTAACGAGGGCGGTCACGACGTGGTCCCTGGGGCTGTTGCGGTCATCGAAGGGCTGATCTCCGAGCCAGTGGGCCAAACTGTTGACACAGAAGGTTGCCTGCTGGACGAAGAAAATGCGGAGGATGCCGGCGTACACGTAGCCACCCCACCAGTCACCCCAGCCGAGACCGGCGACCAAGGTCGGGAAGACGACGCCCATGAAGATGACGGACTTGATGAAGTTCAGGTGCTGCCAGACGACGACGGGGTCCTCGTTGAGGTCGGTGATGTCGGTTCGGCCGATTCGCTTGGGGTTCTGCTTCATGACCATCCAGCCAATGTGGCTGTACATCAGGCCCTTCCTCACAGAGTAGGGGTCCTTGACGGTGTCGGTGTAACGGTGGTGGGCACGGTGGCTGTGTATTTTGGTCAGTATGTTTGTTGCTGATGGTCAAACGAAAAACAGTGCTTGGGAATTTTCAGCTTACTCCCTAGACCACCATCGGATAGAACCCTCGACGGCACCGGCTCCAACGGCAGCGAGGTAAATCCGGAGAGGCAGGGAAGCCTTGTAACTGCGGTGTGCCCATAGACGATGGTAGCCGGCGGTGATTCCGAGGCCGGTGTTGAAGTAGTAGACGACGGACCAGACGGCGGTCTTGAATTGCAGAGGCACCCAGTAGGTGGAAATTCTGATTCCAAGGTTAGTCACTCTTGTCTTTGCACAGGGGCGATTAGGGAGACTGACAATCCCAGCAGAGGTACGATGATGATGAAGGTGACGTTGAGCCAGTTGACGTGCTTGTGCCAGTTCTTGAGCGTGATGGGCTGCTCAGTGATGTGAGGCTTCTTCATGTCATAGGCCTTTCCACGAGCGGGCTTGTAGTCGCTGGTGCCATCAGGCTGGACCTGGGCGGGGACCTGGGCCGCTGATGCGGAGGCCATGTTGGGCGAGGTGGTGTTGTGCGGACGGCGAAGGGTGTAAAGGTCCAAGGCGAGCCTCCCTCGGTGTGGTGTGGGAATACCCAGAACACCTGAGGTTCTGAAGGTACCAACGGCGGCTTAAAAAGATGGGTGGGGGTTGGTGATTTGGGTCAAGAAGGAAAGAAACTGACACAACCGGCCAGCAAGCGGAATGGCGGGAAAAAGGTACCAGAGGGCGTGGAGCTTTATTATTATTCAAGACCCAAGCAGCAAACGGTCTTGTTGGGAATTGAGGATGCGGCAGGGGCGAATGGAACCGCGGGGGAGTGGAGCTTCCCAAGTCGGACAACGGCCCAGGTCCAGTTCCCTGGAAATCCTGTGCTCGTTTTGTCTGCTTCCGTTTTGTTGGTGGGTCCAAGAGATGCAGATGCTGCACAGCTTTTTTCCCACCCCTCGTGCCGATATCCACCGGGACAACTTACGCACAACAGCAAAGCAAGTACTTGTCAAGTGGCAAAGGGAACGGCAGGGAACGCCGAGGCCCGGGGACAGAGGGCAGGAGGAGGGCTCTCGCAGAGTCACCTCGCTCCCTGGCCGCCTGGCCGTGGATCTGATGGATATTCACCTCCCTTGTGGCAACCATCTGCCTGCCAACCTGCGTTGCACATGATGGCACACCATGCGCACGAGCTCATGCACAAAACACAGATCCAGGTGTGCGGGAGTGCGGGAGTGCAGGTGTGCAGGCGGAGGCCCGCGGAAGGGGACGGCAACTTTCACAAGACGGGCTCGAATGCAAATCTGGGGCACGCACAACAACGAGCCGAGGCTGACGGGGCGGTGGTGGTCATTGTCACTGTCATCCCGATCCAGCCCAGCCTGACAGGCAGACAGGATGCCCGAGATTCCGACTGATATCAGGCGTGTAGTGTAGACTACCGGTGTTTGTTCCTGGCCCCAGGGACGGTAATTCCCAACAAGTTGGGTCCTGTTGGGGAAGGGCAGGGGACGCACGCACCAGCCAAGACATGACGACCCCCACCCTTGCCGCTTTGCAGGGATCAGAGCTCAGCCCTGCCATTGAAATTCTGCCGTCTCTCTGTGTCTCTGGACCCCTGTCCTGCGGGCCTGGCAGCCTCTTCTCCAGGTCTGCCTCCGACTCTGTCTTGCCTCGGCGGAATGGGACCGGGTCGTGACCACCTGGCACCCACCCTGTCAGACCCGATAAGCCGAGCTGTTATTACCAGAGGATTTTGGACCATCTGGCTTGGGTGTGCGGGCGCCAATTGCACCGTGGCCATTGCATCATCACGGGAGCCGCACCTCGACCGTTACAGACATGACGTGAAGCCGACGATGGACTTACTGGCTTCCTGGCTAGCTACTATAGTGACAGCGACTGACTCTACACTAGAGAACAGACCGGGCCCTGGCAGGTAGCCAGACACAGCTTGACATACAGACAACATGGCACGCCAGCAACACGCATGGGCTCCAACATTCTCGATCAGGATCGACGAGGTGAGCAAATAAGAGTCACCTGGTCGCTGGCCCAGAACAACCTCCCTCGCCTCCGACCTTGTGGGTGGGTGGCGACAAAACCCCAAATGAAGCAATACCAGCGTTGTAGATTGATCTGCCCCCGAGATCGTGGGTCCAAAGCCACCGCGATCAGCATCGGCCGGAGCCAACTGGGCACAACTCACACCTGGACCTCGGCCTGCCTTGCCTGCCAGCCTGCCTGCCTAGCCCACCGTGGGATCTGGTAGTGTCAGGCACACGACTGTCATTATCCAGCATGTGTTCATGTAAGGTACACCACATACGGACGTACATACGGGATATGAGAGAGAAAAAAAAGCTTATGCGGACCACAAAATACAACGGGCCTTGTCCTGACCTCAACCCTGTAAAATCCACCCCCGGTATGCCTGACGGATCTACCAAGTTGCAAGCCCACAAAGCCAATGACAGATTACCACAAACGCTGCAAATACTACCGAAGCTACCGCGGCTGCGTGCCACCGGACCCGTCGCAGCTGCTAGCCACCCTAACGGCCGGGCCACCTTGGGACCCTAGCAGCCTGGCCAGCCCGCCAGCCCGCCTAGACAGAAAACAGAAGACCGAGCCGTTTTCTCAACAAATCGACTGTCACATGGTCCCGTGTTTCATCTCATAATCCTCGCGGGCCACGGGAACGCCAGTGCCAGACCTCGAGCTGGCGCCCCCCGAGACGAGAACCGCCCGCGCTGTCAATTCCGAGCCGAGGAAGGTGCTGGGCTCCTTGCTCCAATCAGGCCTCTTCCTCTGGAGGAAGGTACTTCCCGTGCATCCTCGCCGCTTCGCCGCCTCTGTGCGTGCCGCCCCTTCGACAGACGACTTGTGCATGGTGGTCCGTGCACTAACCCCCCGTGGGTAGGGGTTGCTGCTATACGTACTTTTTAAATATTCAAAGACTTGACTACTTAGGTACATACATCCATCTGGTAGCCTGCATCCTCACACAATCCCACCCGCCTGTCCGGAATGTATACTCCGGGGGCCCTGACGACTTGCCAGCTGCTAATATATCATATGCACATCAACTAATTCTTCACGGCAATATGCCCTGGTAGCCAAACACGGCTTCTTTTGTTCCCATATGATTTCATTACAATCGTACAGTCCACGACCGGCTTGTATGCTAGCTATCAAACAAACAATGCCTAAGGTCTCCTCGACCCACCGAACTACAGAGCCACAGCTCCCGGTTGGAAACTGTTCAGCCATCTCCGCCTTCCCAGAAAATGCCAATGATGAAAAATGAATAAAGATGAACTTCCACCCAGCCGCCTCCTCTCCATCCAACCACAATCAAATACACACAATGTGAAGTGGGGAAAAATGATATGAGATGACAAGAAGAACAAAAATAAAATCAGATGGAACTGTCATGTCTGGTCGTTTCGTCGCTGTCGTCTAGCATGGTTTTTGTGAAAACTGTCGCGCTGTGGATTCAGATAACCAGGTCACCGTCGATGTCGCGGGGCTTGCCCACCGAGTCCGAGGCATCATGGCCCGACCCGATACCCAGAAACTCGGGCGGGACGGTCCCGGAGTCAGCAGACCCCGACGACCCGTGGCGGGCCGCCGGTGTCGGCCGGCCGGCCCCGAGATCTATCAGGTGGTGCGGCGGCGGCGCCGTCATCTCGATCGCGCTGTCGACCTGTTCCCCTATTTCGGCTGCTCTTCCTTCACTCTCGTCGGCTTCCTTCGGAGGAGCCAGGACCTGGCGCGTGCTCTTGTGCTTCTGTACTTGTGCCTCACCAGGGACCAGAGCGAGCGTCCCTGGGGCTTCGGGTTCTGTGTTCCCCGACTCCTCAAAAAGAGGAAACTGGTGTTGTTGTGGCTGTGTGCTTTGTAGTGTCTCGTTCTCGTGCTGACTATTGATCCCCATGCTTTTTGGTGATGCGTCTTCCTCCTCCCCCTTTCCCTCCTCCCCCTTATCCGCCTCCCCCGTACGGCCGATCTCCTGTGCGTGCTGCAGTGGTGCCTCCTCCGTCAAGTGGTTGGCAACTGGCGGGCGTGCTGTAGGCACTTCAACAGATTCGGAGATCTCTGCCAGCGGTGCCTGCTTGTCACCATTGAGACACCCGTGGTACGTCCCTACTGGCGCCGCAGATTCATCCTTTACGACTAGCTCCGGTATGGGCGGCTTCTCTGCCATACCCACAGGCTCATGCGCATCGATGTTCCTCTCAGATACAGTATCTGGTCCGGCGTGTCTGCGCATGGCCTCGTCCGGGGCAACATCGCTCTCGGTGGGGGTCCTCGTTCTGTCGAAACTGCTTTCCATCGGCCGCGACCACGGTGGATCATACCTCCGCTCGCGATAGCCACCCAGGTCGCTTGGCATTGGACTTGGTGGTGATCGGCCCCTGGTCGGATAGAAGTAGGGCTCGTGGGTTATACCAGTGGGGGAGTTGACATAAGTGTGACTTCCGTGAGACCACTCTGGTGGTGGCTGGACGGTCCTGATGACCCGAGGTCCATCTGACTGGTACCCATCGACAACGTATTCTTGCAACGAGTGCCCATCGTCGACAGATATCGACGGCTGCACCCGACGTGGAACGTCTGTCTCGGTCCGCTGAGGGAACATGCGCAACAAGTCGATCGCCTGCATCCGGTGTCTCGGATCGTCTGCGAGACAAATGCTAACGACAGTCCTGTACCATTCCGGGACGTCTACGTCCTCGGACAGCCTCAGCGGGCGGCCATGTGTCTCTGGCTCGTCCTCCTGCTCCGCCAGAGCCCATAACACCATCCCCAGCTGATACAGGTCGGATTTCACACCGATGTACATGGAGATGCGCTGGTTGCTCTCAATCAGCGGAGTCGCTTCTGGTGGTTCCCAGCCGACGGGACATCCTCTCCTGTTGATGTCGATTATCTTGGCGTTGTCCTCGTCGTCAACAACAATATTGGAAAGGGTGAAGTCGCCCTGGACGAAGCCAGACTCGTGGATTTCAGAAAGACCCTCCACAATTTGTCGTGCCCACCTTTCCCGCTGAAACCATGGGAGAGCGTGGTCGTGGTCAAAAAGGATATCAATGAGTGCGCCCTGTTCTGCATAGCTGATGAGGAGACCTTTGACACGCTCGCCGTAGTCATCCACAATGACACCGTGGAATGCAATGACATTACGAGAATTCGACAGCCGACTCAAAGCGTTGATCTCATAAAGAAACTCGTCGACCGTATCTGGTCCAGGAATCTCCTTCTTGATCAGTGTCTGGCCTCTGATTCGGACCTTGTACACGAAGCCGGACATGTGGGAGTCAAAATCAATGCTGCTTTCCCTTATCCTTCGACATCCGAGGTGCTGAATCATCCGGACGGTGGGATAGTGGATTATCTCCTGCCTAGCTGTCAGCATCACGGTCAATTTTGGTTGGGTAGATGGATGACCCACATTGATATCTTCAACGACATGCACGTGCAGCCTCCCGTCTGTGGTCTGCAACTTGAGATTGGTCACGGTGTCGTAAAACTGGATATCAACCAAGCTCTCTCGGATTGCCTCGTATATCTTGGCGCTCTTATCACGTTGAAACTTGGTGTGGAGCAGGTCCATCTCGAGCGAGTTGTCTGGTGCGTTTCGGTAGTCCAAGGATATGGTCACCCTCCGCCAGTGCACATCCTTCTCACGGTAGGTGACAAAGAACTTCTCCCTCTTGGACTTATCCCTGAAATGCATGGAAAGGTTGAGGATCCAGATACGCTCCAGTTCCTCATGGATCATGGCATCGTACTGGGAGGTGGTCATGGACGCTGTGTCGTTGACGGACTCAGCCTCATGCGGAGGTGGCAGGTCTTCTCTCATACCCTCGTCAAGGCTGATTGCACCAAGAAGGTCTTGTATCTTCTCACCCACAGGACTGCTTGGTATTGATGGCGCAGACACAGGGAATGTGCGCTCATCAGTCCTGATGAAGTCAGGCGCACTTGCCCGGGGGTCAGCAGAGTTGAGTCCGCCCTGGGAAGCATGCAGCCGCCTGTCGACGGAGACGGCTCTCCTCTCGACTGGTGTCGGTTCGACAGGTTCAAGGTTGTTGCGGACTTCATCCTGCTGTCTCTTGAAAGTCTGTGTCCTTGGCAAGCCAGGCACTACCTTTCGTGAGACCCTCCGAATCAGACCAGGGCGCGGCTCATCCTCACTCTGGTCTGTGGACGGATCATGTGCAATTTTCTCCGAGACTCCCATTGTGCCATTGCCTTGTCCGAATATCCTCCGCCACATACTCTGCTGCTTGGCCTGAGGATTGACAGCCGAGGTTGGGTCCAGCTGTGCAGGATTGGCCTGAGCCATGAGAACTGGGTACTTAGGTAGCCAGAGCGGTAGTGCAGGTCGAACAGGGTGGCAGGCGTGCTGGAAGATGAAGATGGACAGGTAATTCTGAGGAGCAAGAGGCTATGATATGTTATTCATCAGCCCTGGGCCCTCATGTAAGGCCTGGCGGTGGGGTTGGCCGGCAGGCCGGCCGACGTTAGGTAGACACAACCGAGGATGGCGGCGAGACAGTCTCAGTCTGTGGATGGCTCTCGGGGATTTGTGTCCTGCGGCCCCCTGTGTGATTGCCTCGCGGCGGCCTCGATTCGAGGCTCGAAGGCAGGGCCTCAGCAGGCTGGTGAGGACGCGAGGCTAAGGAGACCAGCTGCATCGAGCGCGCATGCGGGCATTGGTTGTGTGATCAGCCGGTCCCAGGTACACAAAAGTGGCCGCGATTTCTGGCCGGCGGCACAGGCAGGAGAAAAAGCAGGCGGGAGGAGAGGACGACAGAGGATATTAGTGCAGAGATTTGCGTGACAGGCAGGCCCAGATAGTCCGTGGCTGAGGCAACACTTGCGGGTCGAACCTTGGGCGGCGGCCTTTTCCTACCACAGCTTCGACAGACCGACCAAGCAACAGGCCCTCTCCAGCTGCCGTCAGGCAAGACACACGCACACACGCACAACACGTCAGGCGGTGCTACTGTGTGGGGCACAGACGATATAACAAATGATGGTACTGTGTAGAAAGGCTGGCAGCTGGACTCCGAGGAGGCGGCAACAGAGAGAAATAAAGTTTTGTTGCCGAGGGATGCAAGTAGGAGGGGGAAAGAGACGAGGAGAGAGAATGAGAGAATGAGAGAATTAAGAATGCGTATGCGGGCGGCGGACAACAAGAGGATGGACGTCTTCCTTTCTGTATTTGACGCATACACACACACACACTCTCTCTCTCTTTCTCGCTGTGTCTCTGCGACCTTGAAGAGCGTGGTGCTCTTGTGGGCTTGGCGGTCAGGGCAGGACAAGACTGATGCGGACTTGTCTTTTTGAGCAGTTTGTTTTCTGGGACCCTCGACCCCTGCCGGCGATAGGAGGGACGATGCAATGGGATGGAGGATGGGAGAATAGAGGAGCATGGGGGCATGGAGGGGTAGCAGAGGACCAGTGGAAGCGCGGAGGTTGGGCTGGGGGGCCTGGGGGGGTGGCCAGGCTGGACCGGGGAGGCTGGCAAGCTCGGCCGTGGTGCGGGTTGGGATGCTTCGGACAGGGGAACCTTAGAGGCAGGACCAGGGTCAGAATGGTGGGGTCGCACACGTGTTAGAGCAATACTGGGACCGTATCCTCCTCCGTCGCCAGTCAGTGCCTACCTCATGACATCGTTCTTGCTCTGGCAGTCTACCACTCTGGCAGTCTGGTAGACTTGCCCAGACTGCCAGACTGCCAGACTGCAGGAGGTACTCAGGTACTGTACTGTGTACTGTAACCACTTTTGTGCCTGACACACCGACCCAAGCCACAATGGGCCGTCGTCGCCATCCTCTTCGATTCCCCGGACGAGACCCTGCCACCATCATCACCCTACCTGGCAGACCACCACCTCCAAGTCCAGGATGGCCAGACAGCATTGACCCTGCTAGGCAGCCCGGCAGCGAACATCAAGGCCCAATCTCGCCAACCTGCGTCGGTACTGCCTGCGGGAGTACCAAACAATGGGATTCGACTTGGTTCGACTTGACTTGACTGACGGACTGGCGATGCTTTCGACCAGCGACCAGCTGGCCGGCCCGCCAGAACGGGATGAACTGATGGCACATGCAAGATGGTGATAGTGCCTGTATGCTCCCGAAGATCCGGGCAGTACGGAGTATCCATCCAGCACGCATTTCCACTCTGGTATCCAGCTACCAAGACCCCACCACCCCTGCCCCGTCCGCGGGATCTACCTATATGCCAGACCACCCCTGTTGCCCTGGCATCGGGTCTTGAGCCTCACGGTCCGTTCGTCAGTCACTCCGTCCGTCTCTCACCGCTTCCCCCTCGGGCCATACCATACCAAGCATACCACTGCCATTGTCTCACTGTGTTCGACTCCAATGTCCGCTCCCCAACAGGAAAAACAGGGCGTCGGCCAAGTCCTGGTCAACAACCCCTGTGGCATCATCGTCATCGTCACCACCAGCAACAGCAGCGTTGCGTGACCTCGATCTCAGTGCCTGACTAGACTGGGGCTCCAAAGAATGGGTCGCCAAAAAGCACTACCCAGCACCTCGCAGCAGCTGCCTGGGCAGGTGATAGGCCAATGGGACAGCGCATTGATTGGGATGCAGCCCCCGGCCGCAGCCAATGACGCTGGCAAGTGCCCGACTCTACACGGTAGATCCGGCGGGGGGCAGGAGCCCGCAGTCACGGTTTCGTGTGTCTCTTCTCTCTGTTGCCTTGGCACGCCGCGATTTGGAAGACCGGGGCGGATCAGCCATCAGTTCTGGCAAGCCTCAGTTCCGCCGGGGCCGAGACCGTCGTTCGCGATATGGGGTGTCATCGAACCCTCGCCTGGGCAAAAATAAAACCTTCGTCTCGGGCTGCACGGAACCAGCCAGACGCCAAAACCACTCATTTGATCTGACGTCAGTCAGGCGAGAGTGTTCATGATGATGCCGGGCCCGCAGGTTGTGTGGATGCACGATGCCGCTAATGTTCTGACGTGAAGAAGATGCGAAGTGTGGTTCCGTCGTCAACGGGCAGATGTCCACCGGGAGGGCGCGTGTCAGCCCTGTTCCCACGGAACCACAGTTATTGGGCGCCGGAGCATTTTGGCGCGCCTTTTCCTCAGCCTGTCTCTGTCTCCTGCCTCTGGACCGGAACAGTCTCCGTCGATGCAAGACATTCCGCACGAGGGTGCCAGGTGCCAGCCCCTTGGGCATCAGGAGGAGGTCTAGGCCGACCTAGTCTAAATTCCTTCCAAAGCATAACACAGCCCGGCGTGCCAGCCTCAGCTGGGCGTGCGTGCGTGCCTCTCTGTCAGTCTGTCAGTCTGTCAGGGGGCATGTGCAGAGGAAAAAGCGGGCTGACTGATCCAACATCCGTCCCGGCGGTAGCAGTAGTCAGTCAGGGTGTCGGTCTCCTTGGGCATCAATGCAAAAGACTGTCATATGGCGCGGGTGGGGCTGACGAGCCAAGACTGGCTGGCAGACGACCGCCGTTCTACACACATACAGTAAATGGTCCCGCGCGAGAGTTCCAACAGGGCGCAGGCGCAGAATTTGTGTGTTCCCTTTGATCGGAGCCATCATCGTGACCTCGTATTATTATCACGATTTCGATTTGCGCATGGCCGAGCAGGGTCCCCATCCCGATTGGGTTTTGTCAAGGGAGAGGGAAGAGAAGCAAGCATCGAGCGCTTGCCGTCAGGTGATCCCCTCTGGAGGGCAGCACAAAGACAAGCAATGCTTGCCCATCTCCCGTTCCCAGACGGTGAGCGCGGCAACGCTAGGGGGGTCGCCAGTGCTTTAGGGACGACCCGCACGATCGTCTCTCATTCCCGTCCAAGGATGGCCTGTTCTATTAATCTATGGGCGGGGGACTCAAAGTCAGTCGGTCATTCTTCAACGGCTAATCTTGCCCAGCCCGCCATCTGTGTCTTTCTCTTGCTACAAACAACTGCTTTTTCTCCCCCTTCGTTCAACGTGCAACGGCCAAGCCAGGCAAAGACAATCCGCCCTCTGCCACCCCTTCCCGTGTTTTATTATACATGATGCACACGGGTATACAGAATCACTCACACGAGCTTGTTGTGGCCCACTATAAACCCCATGGGCAAAGCATCAACCAGCCCACCAAGTCCACAATGTGGGGTGCCTCTGCCTGGCGTGGGACCCCACCAGTCCACTCACTTAGTTACCCAAAAGGGACAGACCACCGAAAGAAGAGGCGGGTCATCAACATCATCATCAACAACAACACCAACAACAACAAGAAGAAGAAGACCAAAAGGCGGCAGTGCCCATCCGGCAAGACGACGATCGATTCGCCAACAGCCCGCGCCGACTCGTCCGCCCCGTGAAATCGTCGCTTTGGTTGGGCACCGAAGGGCAGGTAAGAAAAACCGCGCCGGTTGGGCCTTATTATAGCGGCATCGGGGTACCTACAGCACGCTCTTCATGCACCCGCCTAAAATAAACCAACATGGTACAGTAGTGCAGCAGCAGCAGCAGCAGCAGCGTCGTGCAGTACAGGACAGAAATCATGGGACGAATGGCGGGAAGGGGGACACGAGAGCCCCGGGCCCCGCTGTCGGCTCGTGACCAACACCACAGGCAGGGTATCTGTCGTCTCCGCCTGCCCTTGCCCTGCCTCGCCTAAGCAGGCCCCACGTAAGCACGAACGAAGACAGACGCTGCTGCGTGCTGCGTGCTTCGCATGCTGCTAGGTTGCTAGCTGCACGGCCCAACGCCGTGCGACCCCGAGAGCTGCGAACCCAATGAGCCTGGGTGAGGAACAGTCCGCCCTCCCTTTTGCATCCCCATCCCACCTGCCCACCCGTGTGCATGTGTGTGCATGTGTATGTGTAAAAACGGTGCGCTGCGTAATTGGGTCTCGGGTAAGGCTACAGGCCGCAGAGGCCTTGTCGTCCAGTCGCCTTCAGCTGGCATGCAGCTCCGGATGGTTCTGGCTTAGAGTCAGAGGCAGCAGAGGAGGGTGGGGGGACACAAAATGGGCGTCGCAGTGCAACGCGTCTCCGTCCCTCTGGGCTGTCCCAGATCGAGGCAAGTGTTCTTTGTGCCTGTCGAGCTGGACGTCACCCGTCTTTCCTTTTTTTCTTCTTATTTCTTTCCGCACTATTGGTACATGGCTAGTGAAATGTTGCCCGACAGAAGACCTGGGCGTCTGCCGCTGTTGTAATATACATCTATAGTCAATGCGTAGAGGGGAGATTTGCATTCGTCACTCGGCCCCCTTTTTTGCATCTAAACTCTGACAGCCTGCCCGCTGTCCCCATTGCCCAAAGCATAACCAAGTCATGCCTGAAGTTCATGCCCGCACGCCGGTAATGCTCATCCTGTATGGTCTAGAATTATATGGTATGCCAAACTGCCCGAATAAGGTGTGCCCGGTGATGGTGTGACTACCCCCGATGACTCTACTCGCTCTCGCTGCCCTCCTCCTTTTGGCTGCTGCCATCATTGGAGTCTGGGCCCTTGTACTGAGAAGCCTTGTCCGTGTTGGCCTTGTCGTGATCGAGATTCGGGAAGATGAGATCGAAGATCTCATTGTACCAGCTAGCTGGCCGTCCTTCAATGCCCTCTTTGATGTTCTGCAGCAAATGTCAGCATCTCCAGTGGATTCGGAACCAGTATAGGACAGCTCGTCCCGGTGCTAACTTACCTCGGGAAGTTCGAGCCAATCTGACAAGTTGTCTTCTGGAAAGATGATCATCTTACATCCGGCTCTTCGTGCAGCAACCGTCTTCTCCCTCAGCCCGCCTATCCTCAGCACCTTCCCGGTGAGCGTCAGCTCGCCCGTCATGGCCACAGTAGGGTCCACTGGTGTCTCAAATGCAAGTGACAGTAGAGAAGTCGCCATCGTCACACCGGCAGACGGCCCATCCTTCTGCACCGCGCCCTCCGGGACGTGCACATGGACCTTGGCGTGGTCGAAGAAGTGGTTTTGAGGGAATTTGTTGGCCATCAATGATTTCGCGAACGAGTAGGCGATTGTGGACGATTCCTTCATCACCGTCTTCAGGTTGCCGGTGATCTGTAGCGCCCCAGTGGACTTGGGCTTCAGGGACGACTGCAGGATGGACTCGACGTACATCGCAGCACCTCCCATCTGCGTCCAAGCCAGGCCCATTGTGACACCAGGGGGCGTGACATCGTAAAGCCGGTCGGAGGTGAACACTGGTGGCCCGACGTAGTCCTTCAGATTGTCCTTGTTGATCGTGACCTCAACAGAGTCTGGTACCTTCAGTGCCACGCGAGGTTTCTCCGTCGTCTCCTTCTCCGAAGCCGTGGCTGCTGATGCAGGGTCTGTCTCGGCGGTCTTCTTCTCCTTTTCTGACTCTTCCAACGCTGCCTTGCCCTCGTCGGTCAAGGCCTTCTCTTCGGGCAGCGCGTCCTCACCAAGGTCCTGGACAATCTTCAGTGCAGACTTCCTATACACCTTCTCAATCTGCTTCTTCAGGTTTCGTACACCAGATTCTCGGCAGTATGATTTGATGAGCTCTTCGATGGCCTCGTCAGACAACTTGACGTTGGCATCTTTCAGGCCTGCCAGCTCCTTGGCAGCTGGTGAGAGGTACCGTTCTGCGATGGCCATTTTCTCATCTGATACGTAGCCAGAAAGTCTGATCACTTCCATACGATCGAGAAGAGGCCTGGGGATGGTATCAGTCATGTTCGCCGTGCATACGAAGAGGACCTTGGACAGGTCAACCGGCACATCCATGTAGTGATCCAGGAATGAGCTGTTCTGCTCCGGGTCCAAAAGCTCGAGCAGGGCTGATGAAGGGTCCCCCTGGTATCCACGACCAATCTTATCTATCTCATCGATCAGGATAAGAGGGTTCTCGGTCTGGCACTTCTTGAGAGCCTGGATAACCCGACCAGGGAGTGCACCAACATAGGTTCTCCGGTGACCCTTGATCTCAGCGACGTCTGTGAGACCACCAACGCTGAATCTGTAGTACTGGCGATTCAGTGCTCGGGCGATGGACTTGCCGATACTCGTCTTGCCAACACCCGGTGGACCCACGAAGCAGAGGATCTTGCCTTCGACTGTGCCACGCAGCTTGCCAACTGCGATGAATTCGAGGATGCGGTCCTTGACATCCTTGAGCCCGTAGTGATCCTCGTCCAGCACTGTCATTGCGTTTTGGATTTCGAAGTTCTCAGCGCTCCTCTGACCCCATGGAATCTGCGTGAGCCAATCCAGATAATTCCTTGTCACGTTGAATTCAGACGCCGCTGGCTCGAGGTGTGCCAGTTTGTTAATCTCGTCGTCAAACACCTTGCGCACGGCCTCCGGCATTGCCAACTTGTCGGCCTTTTCCTTGAACCTTTCGACCAGCTTGTCCTTCCCGTCGGATTCGATGCCCAACTCGCGGCGGATACCCTTCATCTGCTCCATGAGCCAGTACTCCCTTTGCCTCTTAGTTATCTTGCTTTCCACGTCTTTTGTGATTTTGGACTGCAACTGCGCGTTCATGAGTTCTTTCTTCAGAACAACCAGCGCCTTCTGCATCCTCTCTTCAACGTTCAAGCTCGAGAGAACCTCCTGCAGTTCGGCCGAATCTCCAGCACTAACAGCAGCGGCGAAGTCGGCAAGCTTAGCTGGCTCGGCCGTGACGTTGCCAGTAGATTGACTCATGGAGAAGGTCGATATCTGGTCCCTGAATAGGCTATTCATCTGCGCAACCTCCTTAAAAACATTGACAATCTCGTTGGTGACGGCGCGGATGACTGGGCTCTTGGGGTCGTATGGCTCGTCGGTCAAATTCTCGACATTGACCAGGCTGACCGGGTACTTGCGCAAAAACGATGTCGGCTCGTATTTCTCTGCGCTGCCGTCTGCCTTGGAGGCGACAGCGCTTTCTTCAAAGCTAGCCACAACATCACCCTTCTTTTCAGGTGACGCGTCTTCCTCGGCAGGCTTTGCTTGTGGTATCACCTCTGGCTCTGGCTCCGGTGTCGCGTTTGCAGTTGGGGTAGGGGTAGGGGTATCGGTGGTTTCGGACGTCTTGGCCTCACTTTGGCCGGGCGGGATGAGGGTTGACAGCTTGATACGTCGGTGTGGATATAGGATGGCGGTCAAGCTATTCTGCTCTCCATGGACGGGGAAGGCACTCGTAATCTGGGCAAAGACGCCGGTATCGTACACATCATCCGCGTTGTGTATGACGTCGTCGTCTGCGTTCTCGTCCTTGAAAAGAAAAGCGCCGACGTAAGGTTGCCCCCGCTTGATCATTTCGGAGACAGCTGCCGCCACGTTGGGATCCTTAATCGTGATCGCCTTGTAGAACCCGGGGAAGAGTGGCCTCCTGGCGATTGGTATCGCCAGGACCTGAGGGTATACTTCCGGTACCGTTGGCTTCTGTAAAGCTCTTTCTGACTTGCGTCCCTTGCGTCCCCCATCTCCCGAGCCATCGCTTCCGGATCCAGATCCAGCTGCACCGCCGGCGGCACTGCCTCTACCATCTGCGGGGTCTGGTTTGCCTTCGCCGCCAGCAGGACCGTCGGCGCTCGACGATTTGGCCTCGCTGATGTCCTTTTGTATCTCCTCCCTCTTCTGCTTCAAGTTCGCCTCGGCCTCCTCTTCTGAGAGGGGCTCGATCGCATTGTCGAAGAACCCTCTTCCCTTCTTGTCGGACAGTATCGCAGATGTGGAGAATGGCGATCTCGTCGCAGCGTGAGGACTTGACCTCGAATTCTGAGACGTAGGGACAAGCCTGCCGCCTGAGCGACCCGTGGCGTTCGACGAGAGTCCTGCGGGAGCTGATGGGACAAGTGCCCTTTGCAAGGCCCGCGAGAGGTGGCCCGGCGTGCCGGGCCTGGAGACTCGCTGTCGGAGAAGCATTGCTGGTGGAATGGAAATGCTGCGTGCGGACAGCGCTTACCCGCGCGAGTATGGAGGGTTGAGAGACGAGCTCGTTCGCCAGGTCCCGTCGAGAAACACCAAGGGGCTGAGGACAATTTGGGAAGAGGACGATAGGGTTTTGTTAGCGGCGATTGCGAACGATGGCCATGGACTTGTTGGTTTGTAAGGCAAATTTACTCTCTTCGTCATCACCATCGGTGGCTAGCTTCGGCTGGGCCCGACTCTGCCGACTTCGCACCGGTCAGCGCACGAGCCAGGCTTGTGCCTAGGTAAGTACCCCCGACCCAATGAAGCTCTTGTGGGCAAGTGATATTCCATTTTCTGAGAACTTGTTGCTACTATACACACTCTGTTCACGCTGACAGACGGTCCCACTGGATCAGCTCCTCCAGAAATGTCTATCATGGGATCACCTGAACAGGAAAATACCTCATAGTTTCCTTGAAACCCCCTCGAGTCCCTTAAGCCTTGACCAAACTTCCAAGGTTCGACGGCGTTAGGCCACGACTCGTACGGCCAACGGCACTTGTTGGTAGTGAACATTGACCTATGGGGCTGTGAGACTATACTGAGGTAGCATTGTCTCCAATTAACCCACACCCATGACAAGATCCTCCCAGGAAACGCAAACGCCGTAAGCAGCTACCGCGGGATCGCGGCCGACTCCCTCGGGCCCTTTTGGTCGAGGATCCCTGCGTGGTCTATCTTATCGAGTCACTCCGTACGGGTGAGGGAAGGCTAGACCACCCAGCTCCCCAGATTTCAGCAAGCCCACCCCACAGTCGTGCCACTGCAGGGGCCCTGGCTACCAAGATGGCTATATAAAACCAGCTTCTTGCAACCTCGGAGAGCCTCTAGCCCCCGAACTGTGCCTGCTTACCACCCAGCAACGTCGACCTCACACACCCAGTACAACATCTTGTTACAGCGGACGGCATAGTATATCGTATAACGGGCTCTTGATATTAGCGGACCGGCTGCCGTTTGACCGACAACTCGCTCGGGCTTCCCTGCAGGCTTGAATATCATTTCGTGCTTGCTCTAGGTCCGGTCTATCGATTGCACCAAGTGAATCCGGCCCACCTAGTCACTTTGCTAGGTTATATACACTGCTCCTATATATATCTTACTGCGCTGTATCGAATACTCTCGGAAACACGCCTGCTGACGCCGTTTCACTTTGTCGTTGCGCTCCACCCGTGCAACCTGTTTTAAACTCGTCCCCAAGTCCGGTCTGGGCGAGCACACGTATACACATACAACCATTCTTCAAGATGTCCTCCCAGGATTCAAAGGACGTCGCGTCGAGTGTCTCCAAGTTATCGCTCGACACGCAAAACGCCAAACAGCCAGCCAGGCCAAAAGCAAAGAAGGAGCAGGTCGCTGATTCTTGGGAAGACGAGGACCTCTCGTCTGACACCGAGACCGAGACCGACAGGCCCAGCAACCCAGCACCCTCCGAGGGAGACCCGCACGGGACCTCTGCCCCTCCACCGACTCCTGTCACCCCGAGCTACGGCCAAACTTCATTCTCCTCCACGGATCCGACGGGGGGCTACCACATCTCGACAGGGTCGTCCGGCGGCGCCCCCGCAGCCCGGCCGGAGAAGACAGATGCTGTCGCAAGGAGGATGATAGCAGGCGCGCTGGGCATGCGGGCGCCCAAGCTGACGGAGGAGCAGAAGAACTATGACAAGGCTGTGCGCGAGAAAGAGCGCAAGCGCAGGGAGGAAGAAAAGGCCGCGCAGAGGCGGAGGGAGGAGGAAGCTGCCAAGGCAAAGGCTGCGATGTGGGACAGCTGAGGAATCGCAATCTTCACATGCATGCGGTGCCCTTTCTGGTCACAGGCATCTGGGCCTGCACTACGAGAACTTTGTTGCTTGTTTCGCAGGCCTGGCTTTCCCTAGCAATGGCTCGGGGGAGGGTTCGTGGTTATAGTCCCTGACGAGAGACTATTTTGAGACCCGGGTTGTGACAATGGAAGATGGAGGCCCTTTGAATTAGTACTCATGGCATATATCTAAGCCCAATGTATTGTTATGCATTTTCTGCTGCACAAGACTCAGGCGTGGAACAAATTGGTGTTCCAGTAGGGATTGCTCAGTTTTGAACCCCTCGACGTGATCATTTCCTCTCTCCTCCGGATGAGAATGCAGGATTACTGCTCACAGCCCTTGAGAACAACATGCTGCCCCTTCCACAGCATCGACAGCTGCGCCTCCCCGTCCTTGCCGGCATGCCGCATGCCCACCCCAAGGCCCTCGAGCCCCTCCTCCTCGGCCCTGCGGTTCCACAGCATCTGCTGGACGTGCCCCTCCCGCGTGCACGAGATGAACCCCATGGGCCACCTGCTCCGCGCCAGCGAGTCCCTCACGCCCTTGGTCGCGGGCTTCTCGGTGACGAAGACGCCCAGCACGCCGTGGCCCTTCCACCCGACCGGCGCGCCGACGAACGCGCCCTCCAGCTCGCGCACCAGATTCGGCGACGACTTCCTCGCGATCGCCTTGCACTGCGCCAGCACCCTCAGCGGTTCCTTGGAGGACGGGACCGTCCATGTCCCCAGCAGGTCGATGCCGTAGTCTGAGTGGCCGCCTACCCTCCTCAGGTAGAAGCCATACTTGGAGAGAACCTGCGCGACCATGTACTCGTAATGGGTGCCAACGTATAGGGTAGACTTTGGGTCGAGTCCTGACCTGTCTGCGTATGCCAGGAAGGAGGGCAGGTCATGGTGGTTGTTGGTCGGCGGGTCTGGGTAGATCAGGGTCGAGTTGAGTCTGGTGGGCGTCCATGGTGAAGCCAATGGGCTCAGTATCCTGGCCAATTGTGTGGTCTTTACGCGTCCCAGCAGGCGGAGTTGCTGAGCGCTCAGCCCATGACGTGGGATAGTTAACATCACCGTGACATGTCTGTTGTTCAGAGAGTTCTGCCACGGGTGATTTTCCAGGGCTTGGATTTTAATCGTTGCCGAATCGATCCCAAGTGCATGGTAACCTGCCTCGGTACGGGATAGGTACCGTACCTAGCACGCAGCTTAGGGAGCTAGGGCCACCCTCACTCCAACACCCCTGCCAGACTACCTGGTACGTGGGGGGAACTTCCTCGCCCGACAACTTGACCGGGCCCCGACAGCAACGCCCTCTGACTTCTCGTGGGAAGCTTGCAAACATGGGCGACCGATTGACCCAGCTCCAGGATGCTGTTGATCAGGTAAGTCACAGATCGCACCAAGTTCTGACCTAGTGTACTAACCGCAACCCCAGCTGGCGCAACAATTCGTCGCATGCATCCATTTCCTCCATCGATACCACGATCGCGAAACCCTGGGCCCCAAGGACCAGGTCAGGGAGGTGAAGCCGGAGGAGGACCGCAAAGAAAGTGAGCCTCGGCCGAACAATCCATGACCCATCTGCCTACCCTAACTGTCGTCTAATGATCCCTCGGAACAGTCTCGCCAATCCCAGCCGAAGAGTTCAAGGCAGGCCAGGTTGAGCTTGCGCGCGACCTGGTGCTGAAGGAACAGCAGATCGAGTTCATCATATCCTCGCTCCCGGGGCTTGAGAACAACGCGGAGGCCCAGGAGCGCTGCATAAAGGAGCTAGAGGAGGAACTACGCGTCGCGGACGCGCAGCGGCAGGATGCGATCCGCGAGATGAACGAGGTTCAGGCCCAGTTGGACCAGGTCATCCGGGGTACAAAGCGGCCCTGAGGTTCTGCGGGCATCAGGAGAAAAATGCATCATGGATAGGCACGGGATTGGCGATGTTTTTGGCGTTCGAAAGGCTAGGCGTAATACGGCGTTGAGGTCCATGGATACCCACAAGGAAGATAGCCGCTCAGAAGGATCAGGTCATCTTCAGAATTGTGAAGCATATTTACTACAGAGATCAAGTTGAGTTTATCCAATGCATGACATGAACCTATCTTCAGCTTGGCGTTTACTACTTGCTGGACAAGCATCAAATGGCAATTCGATAGAGCGCATCAAAGTAAGCAGAGAACGGCACACTACAAGCAACACATACACAATGCGGAGCTCCTCAAGGTTTCGCACAGGACAATTAGTTTATCAGTCTCCCAGTCAACAATTAGGCAACCATACAATTCGTTCTTGGTCCCAGTAAGATCTAATTCGGGTATCTCTATGTGTATCTACAGGCTTGCTATATCTATCTAAGCCTTCTTGAAAAATTGCGGGAAAACGGTTCTCAGCTCCTCTAGGTGCCGGATCTGGTACTTTGATGCTTGCGTCTTGGGGACCGGAACGTCGTCTTCGACAAGGTGTGCTGTGTTCCATCCATATTCCTGGGCCTTGACGCAATTACCGTAATTGTCATCTGTGTTCTCTGTCAGCAACCGTGGTTGCTGATATGTCTTTGACGTAAGCTATATGGACGAGTGAAGTGGTACTTACCAACGAAGAAGCAGTCTTCCCACTTCTCAACTCCGGCATCCTTCATGGCCTTCACATACGCATCCTTGTGCGGCTTGCATGTAAACGGGACTTTGGAGTAGTCGCAGTACGTCACGCCTTCGAACATGCCCTCAATCCCTAGAAGGCGGATGACCCTTTGGGCATGGTTGATATAGGCGTTGGTGAAGAGCCACAGCTTGACTTTGCTCCTGTCGATGTCCTCGAGCAGCTTCTTGAGCTCCGGCCGCGGCTTGATGACGCCGTCCAGGGGGAGCGCGTCGTCAACTTTGGCGTTGTATTCGAGAGGATCGATCTCGTGATGGCGTACGAGACCCTCAATTGCAAGTCCATAGTTGGTGTAGTACTCTTGGTGTAGTCTCACTGCCTCTTCCCTGGGCAGGTTGAGGTGCTTCTGGAAGTAGGTGTCTATAAGATCTGCCATAAGGTCATGGACTTTTGCGCCTGTGTTGCTATCAGAACAGTGTTTCGGACACATAGAGGTCATCCTTACTCTTTGGGTATAAGCAGTTGTCTATGTCACTGTTGTGCGTGTCAGAATGTGACTGTTCAACATCGACTTTGCAGGGTGCCGACTTACAAGAAGAAGACCTGCTTTGGTGCTGTGGCGCCATTTACCACAGGTTCTTGGTCCTTTGATGCCATTGTGCTTGTTGTCAGCCTGGAGATGGATGCTTGGAAGCGTCTGATAATGTGTTGAGTGTTGCTAGATGTATGTGCAGCGGCCAACTGTCTATTCGCGCAAACGGGCGTATTGAGAAGCGGAAGGGGGTGTGTTAATTTGAGATTGAAGTTGCTGTTGTGGCGTAAGTTGGGTGTAGTTGAAAAATGTCTCTTAGTGAGAGTCGGACTCGTGAGATGGAATCTCATGTCCCAGCCGTTCTTATATGATGTCTACAAAGACGAGGGTGATTGTTGAGAGCCAGACTAGAGGGAATTCTAGAATTGAGTCAGGCCGGCTGTTGCCAGTCTGTCACTGCCAACCCAGGCTCAGCCCCAGACCCTTGAAGGCATCGGGCTCTAGTCACCCAATAATGAAAGAAATCAAGAGGAAATCTTCCAAGTCTAGTGAGATTTGTGACGCAGACAGTAAGACAGATGTGAATAAAGTAGCCTTCAAAGGGGCGATTTTGTTGACATCTGAAAGCAGCAATGGGCAGTCAGTCAGTGCCTTCCACCTCTGTGACATGCCAGGTTCCCAGGTTCCCAGAAGGTACAGGAGGAGGTACAGGGACTGCGACCAGCAAGCCTTACGTAAGCGATCGCTGGCCCAAAACGAGCTCGTCAGACGAGTTGCAATTTCGCTCTGTGCACACTTCGCTCTGCACCCAGGGAGGACAGACAGCTCGGCAACAGCCCGGATGTCTCCTAGGATCCATCAACATAAACCTGTCGACCCTCGATACACGTACTAGCTTGCCCCATTGCACACGGTACTGCTCAAGCGGTGTATAAGTATCGCGGGTCCGCCTTGCTAATGCACGTCCTTCTTGAAGCCACAAAGTAGAAATTCTCTGATTTTGCGCCTGTCCGAACCACCTACAAAAGCCGTTCCATCACGATGGCCCAGGGTCCTGTCAACACCCTGCCATCAAATCCAGTGCCTTCAATGGCGACCAAACTTCCAACTGCGCTATCAGAAGAGGAGGAGCATCAGCTGCGAGAGTACGAACGCATCTTGCGGTTTCGGGATGAGGTGCTGTCGGGCGCCCACCCGAGGATCAAGGTGCCGGCGCATTTGGTTGCTGCGAAGAAGAGCAGCGAGTCCCGGAGTCCCGGGTCGCTTGCCTCCGCAGCACCACTTGGTCCGGCTGCGTTGATGAACAAGGTGCCAACAGGCCCAAGATCCACGACTGCAAAAGTGGCGAGCCCGGTCAGCGGGTCTCAGATTGCAAACAACTTGCGCTCGTTCAACGCGAACGCGAATACTGCTACAAACATCACCTTTGGTCATGGTTCGTCCTCTGGCCACACAAACAGTATCCCTGGTGTCCCGACAGGCCCCAAGGCTGCTGTGCCAGCCCAATACCGCGAGCCTTCGGGCAGCGCCCAGTTTGATCCCGTGCTGCTCACAAAGTCTGACGACCTGATCAAGGCTGAGCTACAGCTCCAAAGGAAGCGACTCGAGGGCGCGCTCAGCGAGCAACTTCAACAGCATCGCGCGGCCAAGAACTCGCATGCAACAGAAGCTCTGGTTGATTTTGATCTCGCTGACGTTCTCATGAAGGCCCTGAAGCTGGTCCAGACCTCTGCTCTTCAACAGACTGATGCAAATCTAGCAGCTAATGCAAGCGGTACTGATGGTGATTCTCCTGACGATGATACCTTCTACTCTAGCAAACACGACACGCCTGAATCCCACCAGACGCATCGCTTGCCCGACCGCGAAGACTCTGGAGACGCCCAGACCCGCGAAGATTCCCACTACGAGCCTCCCATGGTCATCGAAGCCAGCCCAGTGCCTGATCACCGACCTGCGGTCGCTATGCCACCATTTGCCCTGTCAAGCGCAAATGCAACTCAACCTCAGCAGCACAGGGCGCAGCAAACATTAGTGCCCGGCCCTCCAAATCCTGCGATGTACTCGGGCGGATACCAGAGCGGCATAGAAGTCGCGGTTACAAGGAGCGCAGCCGGTGTGCCAATGGAAATCACCTCGTCACAAGAGAGCGGGGAGGCTAGTAGCTCGAGAGACTCTGGCCAGGCTGGTGGTGATCAACAAACGGGCCGTAACCATCTCGAGTCTGTCGCGCAGCAACTGATCGACCAAAGCTTTGGTCGCCGTCAGTCGCCGATTCTTCGTGCGCACAACCTGTCTCCTATTGCCCCTCAGCCTGCACATGTCTCTCCTCTGGCTACTGCCCGACAACCCCCAGTGCCCCGACCTGACGCCCCACCAGCTCAAGCGACCCCTGCGCAAGTCGTGGCGCTCAGAAACGATCGATCCAATGGCTCGAGTCCGGAGAGCTCCCCACAGGGCGGCAAGCCAGGCAAGAAAGGCAAGAAGAAGAACAAGAGGAAGGCTGATCGCATGGCTGCAAATGCTGTGCCATCGCCTTATATCAAGCCGGAACCGCGGTCTCCTTCTCCTCTGACTGCGCCCCAGTTTACGAGGCCCAACAAGCGGCAGAGACAGGCGCAGCGACCAGTACAGCCAGGCTTTGATCAGTCTCGCGTCGAGGAGCCTGTGGAGATTGCCTCTCCACACGGCTATCCCTCACGAGTCTTGAGGGATGAGAGAGTTCCTTCGGGGTATAGTAGTCCCAGCGGGCCGCGCCCTCGCCAAGATTCTCGCCCCATGATCGTGGCAGAGCCACCAAGGTATGAGAGGGACTACCATGATGGAATCCGTCCTGCCGAGGCTGTTCATTACGTACGACGCTCTCCACCCGGAGCACCAGCATATCCATACGCGCCTGGTGAGGTGCAGACCATCAGGTCGGTTTCACGCGCTGCGGTCGAGAGGCCGTACCCATATTACGATGTTCGAGACGCTCCGCGAACTGTAGTGCGACAAGTGGCGGATCGTGGCCGGTCTCGCTCGCCCGTCATGGTCGAAGATCGCTCACCAGCTGTCATGGGCCCTCCACGTTTGCCGCGCTCAAGAATCGTGCACGTGGACGAGTTTGGCCACGAGTACTTGGATCCCGCCCCGAGACCAGAGGGCGTGGTAACCAGGCGCTCTGTCGTTCCACGGCCGGTCTATGATGATCGGGAAGAATATTACGAGATGCCTAGGTCAACAACGGTGATCCGACGTTCTGTTGCACCAGCAAGTGCTTACGGTGAGCCTGAAATCATCTACGAGCGGCCTGCCCCGTCAGTTCGTGCCAGTTCTGTCATTCCGGGGCCCCAGCGATATGACGAGGAGGTTGTTTACCACCGACCGGCTTCTCCCTCGGGTTATGCTACCACGCGCCGTGTGGTCACCCGTCCAGCAGAGTACGCAGTCCCTGAGTATCGGTACTACCGCGAGCGGGAGTACCCACCTGCGGCCCCCGGCCAAGCCGGCGATGACTATTACGAAGTTCGGAGTGTACAAGATCGACGACCAGCAGATGATGCCCCGCGAGAGTATCGAGTCCGGGCCACGACGGTGCGCCCTGAGGCGGCCCTGAGGCCGGAGGTAGTCAGGATGTCCAGCGTGCGGCCCGAGCCCGTCCCAGGCGGCTACGGTGCGCCGATCCCACTGGACGACCGGCAGGCGATAGTGCCGCCTCGCCCGTATAGCGCTCGCCCTCCCCCTCTTCCTCCTCAGCAGCACATTCAGCAGCAGCAGCAGTATGTACGTCCCTGGCCAGAGTACGAGGCCCGGCCGTATCCGGAGCAGGTTGGGGAGGTCGGCGATGATGGAGCTGTGACCTACTTGGAGAGTGCTCCCAGAGAGATGTACAGATGAAGCGACCTGTGGAACAGGCCGAGCTGTTTTTTGGTAGCAAAATGAAAAGATCATGTTCACACACACTAGGCTTTGAGTACATTTGTTCAGTCACCGGGCACATGGTGGTGTCCAGCGGTGACTTGTCTGAGGCAGCGTTGTGGCCTTGTGTGTGGCTCTCGCGAGCGGGTCAGCTTGTAGCGATTCGGCATTCAGTCGTCACGTACAACAAACAATTCAAAAGCAATACATCTTAAAAATGGCAAGTTAGTATCGCACAGCCTCCTACAACATCATTTTACTGGAGGTTCATCTATGGAATATTCTCCCATAGGGCGGTTGTCCCACGAGGGGTTCTCCAACATCGAATTGTCCCGGAAAAGGTTGTCCCGGAGACACAGTGATCCTAAGAGACGTCGATATAATAGGAAGTTGGCAGTGAGCAACGCCCAAGTGTTTTGTTATCCATATTGCGGCCACGCGGTGGACACATGAGTTATCAGCAGTGATAGGTATGATTAATGAAATCCGCAAGGACCTGGTCTTCTTCAGCAGGTTCCCCAGCAGCCAAGCCCCGACCACAGCAAGCGGACGGGCACGCTCTCACATGCAAAGAGGTCGTACTCTTATCCAAGGGACCCGCCGGCTCAGATCTGGTGACCGGGCACTCAGCCTCGAATCAGGAAAGTTGTTAGTGTCCGAGTCGGCCCAGGGCCGCACAAACACCCTCCCTCGCATGATTAACTATTCTCCGGTCCTCAGTGCGGCAGTGAATAATTTCTTTTCTTTCTTTTCTTGTCCCGCGAAAGGAGCCCCAGGGTCCCACAGGCTAGCTACTCGGGGATCGGAGTTTATTTCCAGTGGGCGCGCAGGTGTCACCTGGGCCACGACTACCGGTAGACAGCCGAAACCAGCTCCGAACTCTAATAAATTGGTCCCCAGTCGAGAGCGGTGAGTAGTGTGGGCGGGCGTTGCACAGAATAGCAGTAGATCAGATTCACAGTGGCAGGTAGCCGTCCGTTGCAACAGGAGCGAGCATTTCGCCCCTAGTTTGAACCCGGAATAGTGCGGGTGCGGGAAGCTTTTCTCTGTTCGCATGGAGAGGGAGCGAGACGTACCCATCGCAAATGGAGTATGGGGCGGGCTCTTTGTCGCGTTCCCCGTGCTGGGCCCGGTGGCAGAAAACGGGTTAGGCCTCCCTCCCCACATGCGGTAACACTTGGGCTACTGTGGTAAAAGTGGGCAGTCGATCAACCCCGAGCCAAGAGAAGCTCGGGGGGTTCTTGACGGACGGACGGCGCCTACCTCGATTGTCGTTGCTGAGTTGCTGAAGAAAAATCGGCCTGACATTCCGCGACAACCCGGAGCATAGCGCTGACCATGCAGGCAGATACGTTCCTGAAGGGAAGTGACCGCCTTCCCACCCCGCGCAAAAAATGGTGGGAGGGAATCAGCGAGTAATAAGCCAGCGCGGTTCCAAACGGAGAACAGGCGGGAGAGGGCAAGATTCTATCGGCAGAAGATTCCATTCCTGCGAGGCGGCGGCGGCGGCGGACAGGCTGACGGGTCAGAGCGAGCGAATCCGGTCGAGCGAGCGAGCTCCTCTGTTAGTTTGTGGGAGCATGCGGGCGCGTGCGTTAGGTGGTGCGTGGTTAATGTTGTTGTTGTGTGGGTGGGTGGGGTGGGGTGCTTTTTCTCGAGCTAGGCTGTCCAACGACGGCTGATTCGAGAAAGCTGAGCTTGTGCTCACGTGAAACCTGTCCAAGCCGATGGTGACCTGCGAAGGATGCACAGTTGGCAGCTGAAGGGGATTGATTCTCGAGTCGGGCAAGGACTGTCTGAGACAACCATCCAAATCCAGTCCAGTCCAGCCCAGTCCCAAGTCAACTGCGATCTGGCACCGGTCGTCTGCCTTTGACAGCTGCTAGGTCGAACGCGGGCGGTCTTGGAACAGCTCGTCGCTTTTCGGAGAGCCGAGATCCTGGCGTGTCTGGCATCTGGCGTCGCGGTCTCTGCACGGAGAAGATGGGATGAAGTCATTGCTCCTGTGGCCCTTGTGGGGATTCTGGCCTGTGTGAGGAACCGTGCGTCGAATTGCGCGTGTAACCAGGTTGGGAGAGCATAGGTGCGTACTGCGTATGGCTGCGATGTCTCAGTCGGTGCCGAAATAGTCACTTGTCACTTTTTCCACATGCTAGCCCCCCTTGGCCGGGAGCATTTTGACTTGAGATTGGCACACAGAATCATCAGACAATCGATCCACGGATCTGGCTGTTCTCATCCTGTGCTGGCCTGTTCGGGCCCCTTGAGCAGCCTTTGCAGCCGGCAGACGGCAGACCGGCCAGACTGCTTGTCCATGTCCAGGATGGATCGGTCGTGGGTTACCAGGGCGGGGTGGATGGCGTTGCAGTGGCCGTGCCCCTCGCTTGTTGCTGGCCTTGCAGGCAGTGATGGAGTGGGCATGGAAGGCTGGGAGGTACGGATAGACCCATGCAGTCGTCATTTCGTTTCCAAGCCCTGCGCCTGGCTGCCGTCTCTGGGCTGTGTGGGCGTCCAGACAGGATTGGCGTCGCGCTGGGTCTGCCAACGTTTCGATTTCCAAGATGGACCCCGGCCCCGTACTGTGCAGGCAGGGCAGGCAGGGCAGGCAGGGTAGGCAGCCTGCTGCAGCCGGGCAGCCCCGCGAACTGGCGAGGTGTGGGTTCGTTCGTTGTTGAAGAAGCGGATTGCTGGAATGGCCAGCCCACGAGTCCTGTCAGTCGTCCATCAGTGCCGACGATCAATCTATCAGTGGGCAAGTCCCTGCATCAGGTTAGACGGGGACGGAGCTGGCCTGGGCTGGCTGGCTGGCCGGGCCAGTCCGGCCAAGGTTCAAGTTTCCATTCCCAGTCAGCCGGCCAGTTCAGTTGGACTCGACTCGACCGTGCTGGAGAACTGGACTGACTGACTTGATTGACGGCAGGCTGGCTCCCATCCCGACTGGTTCGTCCACAGTGCCAGCCCAACAAAGGGCCCACCTTGGCACATCGCTCAGTGCCAGCTGGGCACGGGGGTTGGGATTGGGGACTGGGGTGGTGTCTGGGTGTCTGTCTGGGTGTCAGGGTGTCAGGTTGTGTGTGGGTGGTCAAAGTCAAGGGGGCATATGCAGCTTCTTTTCCTCGCCTGGCGTACTTCCCCACCAGGCAGGGCTGATGGTCTACCTAGCCCTGGGCAGATAGATGCCTCCCTGGCCCGCGCGGACTGGCCTCTGGTTGGCGCTGAGCAGGGCCCGCGCTACCTGGCAAACAGTGGTCCGATGCTACCTAGGTACCTGCAGGCCAGGCATTTGCCCCTCTGCTGCCGCCGCTTCAGCCACTGCCCAGTCCAGAATCCAGGTTGACGCACAGGACCCAGGACCTAGGTACTGGCTGGCCTGGTCTGACCAGGCGGGCGCCGGTGCTGTCACGCTCACCGTTACGGTTGCTTTGCCGCTGCTGGTTGCTACAGTACATGTTGGCAGTTTGGGTGCTCCCTCCCCCAGCCTGCCAGCGCGTGTTTCTCATGGCCCTGTGGTGTGCCCTGTGCCCTGTGCCCTGTGCCCCCTGTTCCCCTCCCGCCAAAAGGTTGTGTGTGGTTGTGTGCTTCGCCCTGCCCGGCCCTGCGCTGCCTCGTGTCTAGTCGTGTGTGTGTCGTGTCGTGTCGTGTTGTGTTGTGTTGTTGTCTCGAACGTGCTGCGCTCACTCACTACCCACCTGGGTAAGGCACATACCTGCATCGGTGCTACAGGGAGCTAGCTAGCTCTGCTTACTGCGCCTGCCTCGCTCCCGGGTTCCCGTCCTGATTCCTTCGTCCTCGAGCACACGCATCCTCTCTCCTATCTCATTCTCCCTCCTCTTCCCACCTTTTTGGCTGCCGACCGGGCTGCAAGTGGAATAGACAGAGCACACAATTGTTTTGTGGTGCTTCTCTTCTCTTCGGGCCCCTTTTCCCTTCTGTTCCTGCGGCGCGAAGGCGGCTTTATCGTCCCATCCCATCCCATCCCATCCGCCCCCCTCCCACCACCCTTTTAACGCCATTCCCGACTCCGTCATTCCGTCCGGCTCAGCCCAGCCCAGTCCCAGCCCGTGACTGCCGGAACTACTCCCCCTCCCTCACCACCCCCCCAATCTCTCTCATCCTCTCTGCCCTCACCTCAGCAGCTGCAGCGGCAGACTCTACCTCCGTCTCTGCCACCGCCACGCCCGCCCATCCCCCAATCCTCAATCCTCAACACCCGTCCTTGTCCTCGTCCTCGTCACCCGTCTTCGTCACCCGTCCTCGCCCTCGCCCTCGCCCTCGCCCTCGACCAGCCCCCCGACCCCCCCGACCCGACCAGGACCTCGACCCCCCGACCCTGAGTCTCGACCCGGGCTGCCGTGTGGCCTCGTCATTACCCATGTGGACATCATCATGAACGCCATGAACAAGATAGCAAACATGAGAAACTGGTCAGAGCGGATGAGTCCCGCCTTTGGCATGTCTTCAAGGCCCAATCTCGGTGGCATGTCCATGCAGGGTCTCCATCCTCACCACAAGATGGCGCCTCAGGGTGCTTCCCCCATAACTCCACCCCAGATCGGCGACTCCATCATACACCATGCCTTCAACGTCCCCTTCGCCTCCGAGCTGGCCGGCCCCGACACCGAGGATATCCTGCATGCCACCACCGACGCCGTCCTGCGCTGGACACATCCTGCCGAGGCTCCCGATGATGTCCCCGTCTACGAGCTCCCCGTCCACACCGACAACCTCGCCAAGCTGAGGAAGATGTGCAAGGACATCACCACCAGCCCCCTCCCCATCGAGGCCCACGTCATCTCGACCATCCCCAAGCACGTCAAGGGCCAGGTCACCACCGTCTGCCTCTCCGGCTCCCACGAGCTGGTCTGGCAGACCCGCGAGAAGATCCTGAACGAGACCCCTCTGTCTCTGGTGTGTATACGCCCAGCATCATGCATTACTTCCCTGCTGTCTTGACGGGAAACCCTTCGACTGACCCCAACAGCGTTGCACTACCGTCGACATTGACGGTGACATGGTCGCCGACATCAACGCCGGCTCACTGAAGCACGTCGTCACCGAGACTATCGACAAGATCTCCGCCTTTTGCGGTGTCGACATCTTCCTCCTCGGCCCCAAGCTCACCCCTATCGTGGATGGTGTGAACGGTGATGTCGAGGTTCGAAGAGATCAACGGTGGCGGGTTGCCATTTACGGCGACATTCTGTCTTCGGAACACGCAAAGACGCGCATTCTGGTCTCGATTGACCAGTGGGTATGACTCACTACCAACGCCGACCTCCAAGACGATCTCGACTAACTAACTCTCTGGGCAGCTGGGTCGCATCGTTGACATGTTCCACATGGACTTTACCCTGCAACAGGCAATCTGCGGTCGTAACAGGAAGAACATCAAGCTGATCGAATCTGCTACCGGCACTGCTATCTACTTCCCCCCGCCGTACTCGAGGTACTTCCGATACTGTCCAAAGAACGCATCGGCCCGGGATCCCAACGAGATCATCATCACCGGAGACAAGCCTCGGCAGATTGAGCTCGCCAAGATCAAGCTGCATGATCTGCTCAGCCGGTGCAGGCTTTACGTCAAGGATGTTCCAATGCCACCGGAGAAGGTCGATACAATTCTCTTGACTCGGCTGGACAAGGTGCGAAAAATCGTCGAGGCCAATGGAAGCTACATCCAGTTTCCTCCCTTGGGATCGCGGTCAACCCCAGTGCGGATCCAGGCCACCGAGAATCTACACATTGAGCGAACCGTGCGGGAGCTTATGTCTCTTGTAAGTCTAGTAGTGAAATATGCTCTCTGGGGCTCGACTGACGAGATTGCAGGCTGGCCAGTTCTACAGTGGGTTCTGGGCCGCCCAGCCAGATGGCCGGCGGTTGCCTGAGGACAACGACATCAGGCTCATGCTTGGGGACATCTGTGCCAATTCTGACGCCGAGATTTCGTTCCAGCGCCTGTCCTTCACCATCGATGGCTCTGACGATGCTGTTAAGGCAGCCCTACACGTGATCTCCCAGATCAAATTTGTGACACAGACACAGTACACCATCAGGGTCAAGATTGAGCTGGCGAATGAGCACAAGGAGTTTGTCAGTGGCAAGAAGAACGGCAAGATCAACAAGATCATGGGACAGAGTACGACTTGAACCCCCGCGCATGACGAGGATTGGAGCTTCGGCTAACCAGAGGGATAGGCAACGTACAAATCATGTTCGAGAACTTCGGCGAGTACAACTTCAACATCGACGTCAACGCCTCTTCCTACGACTCGATGAAGCAGGGCTTGGGCCTTGTGGAACAGGAGATGCCGGCGTCCATCTCATTCCACGTCCCTGACCAGTACCACAAGCGGATCATCGGCATTGGTGGCCAGCACATCCAGCGCATCATGAAGAAGCACTCTGTCTTCGTCAAGTTCTCCAACGCTCAGGAGCGCAGTAAGTCCCTCGCATAACATTCTGGCCAGGTCTAGGATGTCAATAAGCTGACGTCCCTAGATGGTATGATCCGAGAAGATGATGATAACACGCTGGACAATGTCATCTGCCGCACCCCTGCGCGAAATGCTCAGAACCTCGAGCTCGTCAAGTCCGAGATCTTGGAGATGGTCGATCGTGTCGACTCAGAGTTCACTTCTCAGGTGGTTCCTGTCGACCGTTTGTACCACCGTCAGCTGCTCGCTCGCCTCTCGGACATTGCAATCATGGAAAAGAAGTGGAATTGCAAGATTATCTTCCCAAGCACTGAGCAGGCCAGCGACGAGGTCACCTTCACTGGTCCTCAGTGGCAGGTGCCTCTCTGTGTGGATGAGTTCTTAGTATGCACTGAATCACAAGCTTATGTCTCATCTGCATATTTACTAACTGTCTCTAGGGCATGGTTCCCGACAACCACGAGCTTGTTCTGGCCCGAACGCCAGCTCTGATCAAGTACCTGGAGTCTCCTGAATTTGTCAACGAAGTTGTGCAGAAGCTCAAGGCACAACACGAGGTTGACCTGACTGTTCATCAGAACGCAACGGAGCTTACCGAAGATGGCAAACCGACAGTCACCCTACTGTGGACCTTCACTCGAAACAACGCTGGCGGTCTACGTGATGCTATGGAGCTTCTACACGGGTGCTTTGCTACTGCGGGTGTCGAAGAGACCATCATCAAAGGATCTATGCCAAGGCCCAAGTCGGACACTTTTGAGGAATCCCTTCAGTACTTCGACTCCAAGCTTCTGCAGCACGCGCCGACAACAGTCGCTACTGACTCGCCCACGAAGACTGCCTTCGGCGATGAAGTGGCCCGGGAGCGCAGCACAATCTTCGACAAGCTTCGCAAGCCAGGGAGCATGTCGTCGATCTCGTCCTTCTTGGACCGCCGCAAGAACAGCTCTCACTCTGCCAGCAACTTCTTCAAGGGCTCGAGCAACGTGTCCAAATCTTCTCTCATCTCCATTGAGTCAACCCGCAGCTTTAATGCTGAACGTAACCCCTGGAACGACAGCGGTGTAAACTTACCCGACGACGATAGCCCCTGGCCAAACCGTCCCTTCGGCAACGGCGCCGAACACAAGCCGACGCCCAACGGCATCGCCCAGCCTGGCGATGTCACCCCCCGCCACAATACCCGACAGTCCGCCGACAGCGGCCGTCCTTCCACTGCTCATTCTACGAATTCTGGATACCCCGGTCCTATTGGTGGGCCATACCATTAGATGTCTTCGTTTTTAGAAACTCTTGCGTCAAAATACCCGGCTGGATATACCCTGGCGTAAAAAAATACCCGGAATGTTGTTGCATTTTGGTCGGCCCGATTCCCCTCGGTTCTTCACTTTTGACTTTACAACTACTCGATGTCTACCCCGGTTTCAGCGTCGCCTGGCCCCGAGCATGTGCGCTCTCAGAGGTCGTGCCATCTCGGGAGAGTGGGCAAGACCTGTGACCTAGGCTCGAAAGGTCGGAGTTGGCCTCGCCTTTGCTGTTGTTCGATTTTTTCCTCAGCGTTTCCTTTTTTGTTCGAAGGGATCCTATCATTTAGTTTCGTTTGAAGATTTCAGTATATCATGTCTTCGTTTTTATACACCCGCATGAGACAGTCAACGAAGGACATATATCATGCTTGTCGTTTACCCTTTGTTGGCCGGCAGGGATGGGTCCTGATGATGGCGGAATGCACGTTGATGATACCAGTTTCCGAGACGGGTTGTACGGGCCGTGAAGGGTCGATGTATGAACGAACAGGACGGGAGGTGGACTATGGGAATCGGGAGCGGTACAAGGTTCATCGGAAACGTGAGGTCATGGAACTGCAAGGAAAGTCTCTTTTATGGTTTATCTATAGCGATGGCAGAAATACAGATGATACCCACTCAACTCAAGTTGCAATCGACGGTAGGAAGAGAGTGACTGTAACCCCCCCCCCCCCTCCACCTGACATCAGTTACGAGTCGCTAAGAAGTGCCCCCATAGAAGACCACGAAGAAGCGGGAAGCTGAAGATGGACCAAGTGTTGATAACTGTCCTGACTATTATAAGAGTGATGAGTCGAACTACGATACTACTTCTTGCCGAACAATTTCTCAGACAAGCCATAGGTTTTCTCGTTTGCAATGGACTGTACATGGTCGTTGGTTCAAAGCAATCTCATACTTCTGACATTGGACAACTAGTCTGTAGACTGTTTGTGTGCCTATTGACACGCATGGGGAGGAAGCATTCACATAACCACAATAACATCTTGAAAAATTCACCACAAGTCGTTAGCGGCCAACTTGTGGCCTCAGTGCAGTATATAGTGACCTACACACATCCCACGCAAGGCTACCTTACAAGGAGTATTTGCGAGGAATGTTGCCCTGTATCAGGTCAGCCCGTATTAGGTTCACACATGGTCTTCAGCGAGATAAGAGGCTGTCTCGCACGAGGTTGACCCAGAGGGGATTAGCGCGTGGTAGGTGATCCTGTTGGATATTGTCCTTTCCTAAGGTGAAGACTGCCCAGACGGTTTACCACATCGATGCTGGAGCCGCAGGGCAGCCGGCCGGGTGGGGCTCAGAAACGCGGGAGAAAGTGCATCCTTGAAAGGGCGGAAGGATTTGAAGGACAGCCTTACACGCTGCGAGCAGTGAGAAGACTCGTAGGGAAATCAGAACATGTTTGACTTTGCTAACTACCAGATGCATAATGCAATACCAATCTCGAGACATGCTAAACGCAGACTACCAGAACTCAAAATGCAAATGCATACACGCAACCATGGATCACACTCGTTAAAGCACCCATCAATCATATCCTACCAGACAATTTCCAAGATCCCGAGAACATGTGCAACAGAATAGGTCGAGACCGCCCAAAGGCGTACGGAGCCCTCACCCCCACCCCCGGCCCAAGTCAGGTCAAGCCGCGGGCTCAGTGTGCTGGCTCACATCCCTGCTCCTCTCCTTCTGCATGGTCAGGATGATCTCGGTCAGCCTGTCGATCTTGGAGCTCAGCTCCGCGATCTTGACGTCCATGTCCGTCGGCGCGTCCATGTCGTCGTTTGCAATGTCAGGGTCGGGGGCGGGGACGCCAATGGCCGGCGCGGAGAGGGGCCTCAGCAGCTCGCCCGGCTGCCCGGGGCGGCGCTGGTGCGCATACGCCGCCGAGGACGCCGACGCCGGGCGCACTTTGGCGCGGGACGCCCTGCGCTGCGCGGCGGACCCGCCGCTGCCCAGGTGGCCGGGGCCCTCGAGCCCGCGGGGGCCCTTGAAGCCGTTGAACTCGTCGCTGCTCACCTTGCCCTTGACGAGCTCGTAGAGCAGGATGGCGCCCACGATGGGGAGGTGGGTCGCCTTGAGCAGCACGATGCGGGCGGCGCGGAACTTGTTGTCCGAGGGGAGGCAGAGCCGCAGGGGGCGGAAGATGGCGAGGGCGAGCAGGTTGAAGGGCGGGTAGAAGTGGGTCAGGCGGTTGGAGGTGGAGGCCTCGAGGACGTAGACCGAGTAGACGTAGAGGTACTCCTCGCGGGCGTGGCTCATGACGCGGGAGAAGGAGTTGGACAGCATACCCGTCAGGGAGCCCATGAGGAGGATGGAAGAGAGGGTTACGAAGATGAACATCAGGGGCGGGCCGAAGAAGGGGTCGATCTTGTTCATTATGTCGAAGCCGATGTAGCTTGAGCCGTCTGGTTGAGGGGGCGGGTAGGTTAGTATCTGCTTGCAATTTCTCAAGTCCCATCACAGCGTAGCTTGCCAACGGAGTGCTCGAGGTATACTTACAGAAGATCTTGGCCAAATTCATGGTCATTGCTGGAAGTGTCTGACAGGAGAAATTTGTTAGTATCCTCAGGATTTGTTGGCAGATGCGATAGGATTTGCGCCATGACTTACGAAGGTATCTCGCGCGACAAGAGTAAAAGTCGTCAAGAACCCGAGATAGACTATAAAGACAAGAACCATGAACTTCACGAAATCCTTGCCCATCTCTTTCAGACAAGGGATGAGGGTGCCCCAGTACGGGGAGAGAGATAGCACTGAGCAGACTCGTGGCACCATAAACAGGGCCAGGAGGGCCAGGACGTCAAAGGACAAGCCGATGAGATCCTCGTCATGCTTTGAGAGACCAACAATTCCTTGCACAGTGTTAGAATGAGATCAGACGCAAAGGGACCCTAGACTTACGCAACACGGAGAAGATCAAGCCAATGCAAATCATCGTGATATCAAATAGGTTCCATATCTAATATGGTGTAAGCAATCCATCACAAGACATGTAAATGGCCCGCGCAAGCTTACATCGGTGGCGTAGAAGATTGACCCAGCGTCGACATACTCGCTCAGCTCATCGTAAGCAAAAGCCAAGAACCAGATATAGAGCAAGATTTCGTTGACGCTGATCTTCTCTGGGTTTCTCTCGACCAGGACGGAGTAGTACAGAAATAAGAAGATCATGAAGAAAATGACCTCAAAAGACTTCAGGTACTTGGGAACCCGGAGGCGAGAAAACGGATCGGCAGTTGCCTTGTTATAGAACCGCGGCCGTTTCTCCGAGTCGACAGCCAGTCCTGGCGGTTGTATGTTAGTCTAATGATTGGATCCGTGGTGGTGGGAAATACACACTGTCCCAGAAAATGATATCGCCATTCCAAATGCCAGTAACGATCTTCTGGACGACATGCTGACTGAGAAAGCGCTTGGCGTCGGCAACGGCAGCAATCTCGAGGGCGTTGAGGGTTACGAAGGGCTTGGTGGGGTCCTCCTCCTCGACCTCGTCGTCGTCATCCGAGGACATGGTCAGCCGCGAGATGGACTGCAGCAGCTGGTACCGCTTCTTGCTGCCGGTGTGGGCGAGGGTCTGCTTGGCCGAGTTGACGGTGCCAGCCAGGCTCTGGGCGAGCAGTGCGGTGCTCTCGTCGGCCTCGTGCGACTGGCGGCCGTTCTCCTCATCGCGAGCCCCTGACGAGTCCCCGATGGTGTCGTCCGGGTCTGGGATCTCGTAGAGGCAGCACTTCATCACCTCCCTCTCCGAGAGGTGGGTCAGGAACCGCCCTGGGTGGATGTCAGGTTAGCAGTGGCGCAGAATGAGGTTATGCTCGAGGATATCAATTCTTAGTTGACATAAAAGTGGAGTAGGCGACTCACATGCCACGATTTCAGCAGCATTGGCCCGGGCCTCGTTGACGCCCTTGTCCTCTGTGGCAGCGCCATAATGCCATTTTAAAGCCCTGTAATGTGTTGATCAGTGAGCTGTAGTAAGGAGAGAGTAGGTCTTGCCTCGTCTCGTGAAGACATGTGTGCATGCAGGCCCATATGTGGAGCTGTGCGGATCGCTCGGTACGCCCCAGATACCCCACCGGATATGCATGCTGTGGACCAGACCTTGCAGATAGACCCATCGGAGTCAATTGACTTACAAGAGGGCGTTAACGATGGCAGGATGTGAGCATTCCATGGACAAATGCTCGACCAAGGTCCGCAGACCCTGGCCTGCACTGGTCGTGCGCAATTGTTCGAAGGTGACGGGGAGGACAACCACGGCATTGAAGTAGCTGTCAACAAGAGACTTGTTAGCATTGCAGACTGCAGGGAACTCAATGGGGGTGTCATCCAGGCCACACATCACACATACATTGACAGCTTCTTGATCATGTCCCTGAAAGAGTCATCATCCTGGATATCAGGCAGCTTGCAGAAGTCAAACCGCTGGCCCATTGGCGAGGGCGAGCGTGGGGGCTCATCAGCCCCGGCTGGCTTACGCGACTTGACGCGTATAGGCATGCTGCTGCTGGCTTCCCAATTGAGATTCTGTGCTGGGACCAATACTGCCACAGAGCTCGACGCCTCGAGGACGACAGAAGAAGGAGAATTGCAGCGGCTTGAACTCGAGATAAGAAGCAAGTTCTAGACACAGGCTTTTACCCCACAACCACGAGCCTTGGTCGCCTGGTCCCCCCTACCCCCAGATCTCCCAGGGGCTAGATACCTGCCCAGGCAGGGCGTAGATAGGGACCCCGCCGGCCTGGTAGGAGCCCATAGCCCTGGCCTTGAACAAGAGGGACCCCTGCTTCCTGGCCTCGACGCGGTCTTCAGCTAGATCCCATCTTGCCTAAATTTGTCTCGCTTTCAATGCCTGCCACCTGCCCTCTGCCCTCCACCGCTGTCAAACACCACTTCAGCAACACAATTGGACGACCTAGCTGTGGCTGCATTGTCTCAGTCCTACCGTCGACCACGCCGTTGACCACGGCTAGTGCAACGGAGGATGAAAAGGAGCATCACGACAAGTCTGCCTGCCTGCTTTGCCTGCACTGCCAGTATCGAACCAATATCGACCCCAACCACTGGCCTGCGAGGAACACGACCAGGCCAAGAATCCTGAAACAAACGCTGGCTACTGTAATAACAATGCCGCCGTGCCGAAGAAACTCGAGGCTCGGAAACAGAAATCTCAGGAGCGGCCACAAGCGGCCGGCCAGCTTACCGCAGGTGGCCACTTACACCAACCTGCAGCATACAAAAATACACTCAGTGTTTCCCCGAGGAGCAGTCAGCTACACTATTCTAGTCAACAACACCAACGGTGCTCCGAATCGTCGCAACTCCCAACCGCCTTCCTTGCACTAGCCCTGAATTATCGCACCATGAACTACCTACATGGATCACTAACAGCCCCCTGGATGACCTGTTGCGGGCTTGTGTCCCACTGGATGAACCTACAGACCGGCCTGGCCTGTTCGAGGTGCTCGGCTGTTGTGCCGTGTGCTTGCTACACGGCCTCTGCATGGCCCATGGTGCAACGTCTTACTGCCTTCGGGTGACTTTCGTCTTATAATTCGTCTCTGTACGTCGCGAGAAACCAACCGGTACACATACGAGATCGAAAGCACCACAACCTGTCGCTGTTCAAGACCCAACGCCATCCCCATCGGCCAACAGAGACTGCTTGGCTACCTAGGGGTGGAGCCTCAGCCCCTAGTGTGACCTTTGAAGCGATCCGGCCGGTATTTTTAACGTCACGTACAAAGAATCTGCAACGCATCCCGACACAACTGTCGAGTCGGTACGATGGTTGTGTACAGGCTTATGTCCGTGGCGCAAGAGACAATGCTCACGACGCATGCATTACTGCCGTGCAACTCCACAGAATGTTCCTATCTAGGATTCCGGTCGACCCAGACGGGTAATCATGGCCACATGACGCATAAATGGGTGATGCTAGAAGCATAACCTCGGGGTGCACAGACATCCATTACAGAAACCCAAAATACATTGGTCTGTCGGTAGCCTACAGGCTGGCATGGAGCGATTCTTTTTCTACCAACACATCCTGGCAGCCTGTAACATGATCAAGGTTTTCGCAAGCTATCAACATCAAGGCTGTCGGACAGCCTGACAACTAATGACCAGCACATGCCCAGCAGCCTGGCCGCAGGTTGAGGGTCTTCCCCACCAGAATCGTCCAGCTGCTTGGCTGGGTCCTAGAAGAATGCCAGCCACTTTGCTCACCAAAACCCTGTCGGACGAGCGAACGCTGCCCTCACGGTAGGCATCAATATATCTGGAAGCCTATTCGCTGGATGTGACGTGTCCCGCGAGCTTGACCAAGGAAACCGCCATGCTGTGCAGTGCGGCCTCCCGGAGAATAGAATCGGCTCGTCGACTGCCGAGGCCGCAGCAGGGCACATTCACACCACCGGGGCGCAAGACTGGCAGACTGGCTTGACTGGCACCAATCTCGTGCGGTCGATCCTCCCCGGAGCCAATGCGGATCTCCGCATGGAGAGGCATCCGGGCAGTGGCAAATGCTCCGGCACCAACATCTTTGCTGGAGGCTTCCTGTTGGAGGCCACCTCCAGCTCTTATACTGGCCAAGCTGGACCCTTTGAGCGTCTCCAAAGAAGCTGACATCATAACGTCGCATCGGTCCGGGTTGCCGTTTGGCAAGTCACTAACAGCCCTGGATACCACATGAGCCTGGTTACCTGGCAAGCCTGGCAAGTACTCCGTACGGTATCTGGCGATTATCAGATCCCGTACCGGCCTGCAGGTCCATGGTGATCACGAAGGATGTGACACGCGAATCGGAGTCTATGTGAGGCACAGACCCGCAAGACCATCCGGCTCTCGTGGGTCGTTGACTCGCTCGTGTATGCAATTTTGGCCGTGTGCTGTCCCCGGATCACCTATACTATACATCTCGGGTGCCACCGCCAGGAAACAACGGCCTAGGCACTAAGACGCCAACGGTAGACGGCTTTGGCCCGTGGCGTGCCTGGCGTGCAGGGCGTGGCAACTGTTTGGAGGGTGCGCGAGGGGACACTAGCCGCAGCCTGCTCGCTATAAAAAGCAGCAGGGGACATCTTCGCCACCTCTGCAGTCACACCCTGCGTCTGCAAGCCATCACTGATCAGTGTGGCAGTGTGGCTGTGAGAACGGATAGTAGCACATTGACAGCGAAACGTCAGGCCCTCGATTGGCTGTAGCCGTGCAGGGGCATTTGGTAGGCCCCCTTCGAACCATCAGACTATTTTCTTCGAACCCGACCTGCTGTCTTGTCTTTGCAGATCTGCGTCAAACCGCTGCGGCGGAATCGTGCACAACTTTGACCCTACGGCCCCCCCCCATTTTGCTGGAGGTCGATGGGCGCCTGTGTGGATACATTCTGTACACAATGAGAGTTCTGTACGCGCTGGAAAAACTCGCTCCGCTCTGGCTCACAAAGAGCGGCAACACGAGATGGAGTCAAGTGGAATCCATTGTCGCCGCCGGGCGCCTCGACTAGCTTCACGACTGCCAACATGGCAGGACGGCCAACATCACAATGCACCGTCGGCAAGCCAGCGAGCCTACTCCACCGCCGCTAAGCCCCTGGTGTCATTTTCGCACAGACGGCACGACCCTTTCACCCTTTGCACTGGGCCCTCTCTTGTGTCCATTCCTGAATAGGACCGCCCGGCGGCAACACGATAGACAATTAAGGATGTTAGGCCTCTTGGGCGTTTCCGCAAGATCTACACTACTAAAGTACAGGTAGCGATCGTGTGCTCTATTCTTATGGCCCCCAGGTCCTGGAAGCTTTTGGACCCCTGTACCACCATCGGCAGCCCTGTGCGTTTGTGCACCTGCGTGTTCGGGAGGGTGTGTGCCTGACCCTCGATGGGCATATGCAATATCCCTGCTGATGCGCCATCGCGGATCCTCCCCTGTCAACGCTGCCACTCTTTTTATTCCTCACTGCCTCGCCCGCTTTCCCAGCCTGCTTACTTGTTGGACCTATTCTGACCACTTCCCACCTTCGCTTGTCCTTTCTTGTCCTTTTTTCTGTTTTCCTCTCATTCTCTGACAGAGACACATCCGTTACTGTATCGATTGGTAAACTTGTCGCCGGCAACCTGTTCTACTCAGACTCTCGCTTGGAATCCCAATCCCCAGCCACCAAGATATCACTCGATGCCCCGGCAACGCATATAAACAAATTTGTGCAAAGATGTTCCAAGACATCTTCGTCAGGCTGCCCAAGCCAACAGCCCTCCTCATCATTTCTAGCCTCCTCGGGGCGACCTCAGCACACATTCCTCGTCAGACACCCACATCAGTTCCGTACCGGCCACTAAACGTTGTTGCGTACCCACCAATCGCCGCTCCAACGTCACCACCGGTCGATCTACCCACACTGAACGAGCTCCTCAGAAGACAGGATACGAACACGATATGCGGCTACATAGGAGGTGACCCAAACCTGCCTGCGACCTGTTCAGCGGGGTCCCACTGTGTGTTAGACGCAGATCACGGCGCCGTGGGATGCTGTCCAAACGGGGAGGAGACATGTACCTCAGGTGTCTTCACGGGCTGCGTCGACCCCAACAGTGGGCCACAGACGGAGGTGAACCCATACGTGTTCACATGCACCGGCAGTAATGTTTGCTACAAGAACATCTTCGAGGGGGGCTACTCGCAGTTTGGGTGCGGCACAGCAAGTGATCTGGCAACATCTGTCTTAGCCGGCGCGGGAGGCGCGGCCGCCCCAGTCTCACTCACAAGTGAGCGCATCAGCTTCACGCAGAGCCCCAGCAGCCTCGCCACACCAACCACGCTCGGTTCGGCCACCCGAAGCGACTCATCATCCTCCGGCTCGTCCTCATCGACGGGGTCCGTCACCGACACAACGTCTGACGCCTCGTCCTCAACTACCACACTCACCTTCGTGCCGTCCACCACGAGCAGCAGCGACCCAACCTCCTCCGGCTCGGAGGAGACCTCATCGAGCAGCACGGCGGGCAGCACCGCAGCACCAGCAGCAGACGGCGGCGGAGGCGGGGTGAACCGCACGGGGGCGATCGTGGGCGGGACCATCTCGGGCGTCGCAGTTCTCGCGGGCCTCATAGCGGCGGGGATCTACCTGTGGCGGCGGCGGGCGGCAGGCAACACTCGGAGCGGGCCAGGCCCGCGGCCGGGCGACACGCAGTATGTCAGCCCCATGTCGGGGGCGGGATTCGCGCCAGTGGGCGGCGGGCGGGGCAGTCCCAACGGCGACGGGTCGCGGGGAGGCGCGGCGAGCGTCCGGGGCAAGACGATCACGCACGTCACGGACGGGCCCAACTCGCGCAACACGGTCTTCCACACGGGCGAGTACCAGCCGCACCACAACGACTACCACTACCCCGGGCAGAACCCGGCGGCATGGGCCGCGGGTGGCGCCGCGGCGGGAGCTGCCGCCGGTGCTGGTGGTGCGGCGGCGGCATACCACGGGGCGTACGCGACGCCTCACGACGGGGATGACGAGATACCGCTGCGGTACGGGTCGCCTGAGATCGACGACTTCTCGCGCGGGTTCCACGACGCGCTGAGCAGGATCGGCGAGGAGGACGAGGAGGACCTCGAGTCGCATGTCAATGGCAGCGGCATGCCTGGCACCAACAACACCGGCGGCGGCGGCGGCAGCGGGGACCTGGGCGAGTCGAGGCCGTTGTGGCTCCAGTCGCGACGGCTGTCCAGAAACCACATGTGGACATGAAGGAAACGAATCGCCTGTACGATGTGATGTTTACGAGTTGGGCCTGTGGGATTATACACTTGAAAGGTCCAAAGCACTGGGCTTTTTTTTTATAGACGACATGAGCGATGTTCCCACGAAACTACGGTGGCATACATGGGCTATACCTCTACCTAATATCCAGGATTACATGTATATAGGTTTCAATATGACTGCAAATACAACACACATTCTCGGCCACATTTGGTATGTCCCCCAACGGGCGCCAATGGTCTGGCACTTGGCAGTTGATCGGCTACGACGCAACCAGCCATTCGGTGAACTGTAATTTACACACCTTTCGATTGAGGCATGGACGTCCGTCTTTAGCGCTGAGGCCGGCGTCTCAGCCGGGCAGTACGCGCAGGGGGGTTTGACATGTTCAAGTCGAGAATTGGAGGGACGTGCCAGCTTGTGTCCGTGTGTTACTCTAATGAAGTAGAATAAAGAGACATCACAAGGCAAGAATTGGATCGTTATCGTGAACTGTCAAGACCAGAAAGGCACACATCTACAGTACACATTAATGTGGGCAGGCCAGACGGAAGCGCAAGCGAAAGCGAAACAGTCAGTGTCTTGGCTGTCATATAGACGGTGGCAGGATAATAATAATACCAAGAAAGTCAAAAAGCGGGCCGGCCGAACGACGTCCTGACGTCAGACGGCCAGGACGGCCACGCGGGGCAGCTCCTCGAGCTCCAGCGGCTGCTTGCTTGGTGTGTAGCGGGGCAACGGTTCGGGCAGGGGGCCAGGGGCTTGACTCGCTGTTCTGCCCGATCCTCAATTGATGCGCATCATGGTGAACAAGCCTGGCAGGGCGGGACTGCCTCGGTCCAACAGCTTTTTTTTTTGGTCCCCAGTGGGCTGTAGCGTGTGGGTTATAGGTCGATCGGGCTTACCAATGGGTAGAGCAGTGCGATCTGGTTTTATCTCCGATCAATGGATGGGAACTATTTGGTTGCTATGCGTGTATATAAGAAGCTCGATCCCAGGCGTTTTTGTATCGAGCATGTGAAAAAAAGGTAGTCAGTCAGTCCATCACCAACACACATCTCACAACAATACCATACCACTTATACAATTATACAAGTTTCTTCACAACACCGACACTATGGCTCCCAAGATTCTCGTCGTCCTCACCTCCCACGACCAGATGGGTAACACTGGCAAGCCTACCGGATGGGTATGATATTTGATTTCCTCTCCCACCTTGAGCGTCCATGACGAGGAATGTACCCGGAACAGGGACCCCTCGAATATGGTCGCACACACAACACCAGTTCCGAATTCTTTCTTGCTAACAAGTGTGGTGAATAGTACCTCGTAAGCTCTCCCCGTCCTCCCCGTGGGACCAACCAGGACCGCCTCGCAGAGGCAGAGAGCCCAGCACTAACCTGAAGCCCCTCCCCGCCCCTCAGCCTGAGCTCGCCCACCCCTTCGACGTCTTCGTCAAGGCCGGCGCCGAGCTGGAGTTCGCGTCCCCCAAGGGCGGCGTCGCCCCGCTCGACCCCTCGTCGGTCGAGATGTTCAAGGACGAGAGCTCCGTCAACTTCCTCAACAACCACAAGAACCTCTGGGAGACGACCAAGCCCCTCTCCGAGTTCGCCGACGCGGCAGACAAGTTCGACGCCGTCTTCTGTGCGTACAGCGCCCACCCAATCCCAATCCAGATAGCGAGTCCTTGTTTATTGCCATAGGATACCGGACTAACAACCCCCCCCTCCCCTCAGACCCCGGCGGCCACGGCCCCATGTTCGACCTGGCCACCGACGCGACCTCGATCAAGCTGATCGCCGACTTCGCCTCCAAGGGCAAGGTCGTGGCGGCGGTGTGCCACGGCCCCGCCGTGTTCGTCAACGTCAAGCTCGCCGACGGGACGCACCTGCTCAAGGACAAGGAGGTCACGGGCTTCAGCAACGCCGAGGAGGACCAGGTCCAGCTCAGCAGCGCCATGCCCTTCATGCTCGAGACCGAGCTCGACAAGGCGTCGGGCGGCAGGTACGTCAAGGCCGCCGAGCCCTGGGGCGAGAAGGTCGTCGTCTCTGGCAATGTCATCACGGGCCAGAACCCAGCCTCGGCGCATGCCATTGGCGAGGCTGTGGTGAAGGCCCTGAAGGCTTAGGGGGGCAGTAATTATCTGGTGTGACGGGCTCAAACGCAATATAGTAAAATAATATGTTGATGACATGACAATTGAGCGAGTCTTGTGCACCTCGGCGTCTCGGATATGTCTGGCTGTCACAAACCACAACTTGAACAACCCATGTATCAGTTCTGTCGAGGCTGTCTAGTTCCAGTCTACAAGACACGCCACATTCTATCAAGCTTACCACTCTACGTGACAAACCGTATATATCAGAAACAGCACAATTTACCCCACCCCCCGAGGTCCCAAAAGAATTGCGCCACCATAGACCAAGTACTCAACCCGAAAAAAAAAGAAGAAAAGAAAAAAAAAAAAGGCCACAATCAGCAAAGGCCTCAGAAGATCTCCCAGAGCGGGCGAGGGAGCGCAGTGCGGATCTTGAGGTCGACATCGCGCACCCCGACATAGACACACCTCCGCGCGGGGGTGCCGACGGAGACGGACCGCGAGACGAGCCCGTAGTAGTCGGAGATGGAGTGCGTGAGCCACCTCTTGAAGGAGGCGCTGCCCTCGTCGTCGCCCGACGAGTCAAACATCATGCCGCGGTCGACGGCCGGCCCGTCGCGGACCTCGCGGTGCGCCGACCTCCAGGACGACGACGAGGAGCCGTCGCCATCGCGCGCCGGGGCGGCAGCAGCATTGTTGTTGTTGTTCTTCCTGCGCCCGACAAAGACGACCTCGTCGTCCGACATGTCCGACTCGTCCTCGTCAGGGGCCGCCAGCCCCGCGGCGCGCTGCCTCTCGGCGAGGAAGTCCCGCACGGGCTCCTCGAGCGCGCGCAGCCAGGCCTTGACGCCCGGCGTGCGCTTGAGGGTATCGCGCAGCTCCCGGGGCACCCTCCCCGCCGCGCCGCCGCCGGGGCCGCCGACACCCGCCACCCTCCTGCGCGCGGCGGCCGCGGTGTTCTTCTTCTCCTCGGCCTGCTGGCTCAGGCCCCGGTCCCAGAAGACGGCCACGTGGTAGGGGACGTGCTGGACGGGGTGGACGGGGCGCGGCTCCCAGTCGTGCGGCTCGGGCGGCTCGACGTTGGGCACGTCGGTCAGGCGCTTCATGTCGTAGCGCCTGCGCTGGCGGGAGCCCTCCTTGCCCTTGAGGAGCAGCTCGCGGCGGCGCAGCGAGTCGCGGCGGGACGGGGGCCGGCGCGGTGGGGTGATGGATGTGGTGGTGCCGTCGGCGGCGGCGATGGTCACGCGCCCGGCGGCGGCTGAGGCAGCATCGTGGTGGTGGTCGTCGAGGGGGATGCCGAGGGGCCTTCCGGTGGTGCCGGCGGCGGCGGGGGACACGCTCAGGGCCTCGAGGGCCGAGATGGTCCAGGCCTCGATGTCGATTGGGCCAGAGGCCGCTGGGGACTGCTGGGGTTGCTGCTGCTGCTGCTGCTGCTGGTTGGGATTCGATTGCAACCCGGGCGGCGGGGGCACGGCGCTGTAGATGGCCATGAGTCCGGTATATACAGGTAAATCACTCAGGCAGCCCGTTGCCGTGAGAGGAGATATAACAAAAGAGGGCAATGTGCAAGTCAGAAAGGGCCAGCTCAATGACACATGCCTAATAACTAAGGACTCATAGTGGAATAGTAGCCTACGTCGTCGATAAGACTCGCCGCACTGGTCGGCCAATCGGAGCCATTGCGGGGTCCGCATGCGAACTCCTGTGGTGGGGGTCACAAGGCTGGCTGTTCAGGGGCTGACCCTATGGGTAGGGTAGGGTTCGACCCTCCAAGTGGTCCACCTCATCAGCCAGATACCTATTTAGGTTCTGGCAGTGGAAACAGAATATGTCAACCACTTTATTCTCCTCACTCGTAACACTTGCCATGTCATGGAATGGAAGCCTCTGATTGCTACGACGACAATAGCTACGGCCCTCCCTTCTGTCACGCCTATCGTGACCAATCAACTTACATGGATCAATCCTTGCACTTCTCCTTGAGGAATCACATTATCGACCTCGCAAAAGCTGATTGTAGATCCAGCATACGGCCACTGGCGTCGTGACCTGGTATCCAACTTCAAGAGTGGCACATGTGGCGCGAGAAGGCTGGACATGTGGTTGTCAAAGCTGCTTGATCAAGGACTACTTTCAGTAGCAACGTGGAAATGCCCTCAACACGTACGTACCAACGTAAGCAGAATGCAGCATCCGGTATACTACCTACGCATCGACTTCGTTAGGGCGGATAATGCTAGACGTCTTGAGGCTTCATAAGCTACCTCGAGGTGTCATGTCGACCACTGGTTCCTATGTCGTTAATAGTAGCACCACTCCCACCATTCCTGGCAAGGAAGAATTTATCACGTCTTATTAAATGTTTTGTAAAGGCCCCAAAGCATCATCTACTATGATAATTCGTGTGAATAGAAAGTTACCCCCACCAACGTCCGGCACTGCACTCACTTTCACCCCAAGAGTCTGGCCAGCCCAAAGGCAGAGCAGCTGACAGATGGTCCAAGGCGCTGCGAAACCAGCAACTTTGAACCAGATTGTGGTTCTTCCCCAGCTCCACGCCCACTGTCTGTGTGTTTTGGTGTGGGGGTTCGCCTGGTGCCTGGCCGCCGAAACACGCTGCTGGGACGATATGGCTTGCTCGCAGGGCCTTCGATGAATGCGTCATCAGATCTAATGCGGTATGCGTAAGGTGACAAGGACATTTGATTCGGTTCTCTTCAGCGTTCACTACTGCTTCCGATGCCTCCAGGTTTGAGCAGCGGCTGCCTCTCAGCGGCTGCCGCAGCCTCCTGCCGATCAATGATGTCACCCAGCTGGTCGTTGGAGACGGCGTACTGCTCTGGGTGTCCCGAGTACGTGGTCGCCGTGTTCTCGTCCAAGCCATTAGTATACACACGAGAATGAGAGCGGCGAACGCCGGGCCTAGCGGTCTCGCCACCCGACCCCTCGGCGAAGATGTAGTACAGCGCCATGCAGAGCAGACTTCCTTGCATGACGGCAGTCAACAGGTATATGCCCCACGTGCTCCACCCAGCCCAGCCCAGCCTGGCGGCCAGACTCGCGGCGAACAGGAAACCACCAGGGGTCTGGATGCACATCATGGGGATGCTCAAGCTTCCGACATGCTTGAGATGATAGGTCATGGTTATTTGTGGGATGTACTGGATAGCAGCGAGGCCCGCGGCCAGCACGCCGTTGAACACAGACCAGCTAGTGAGGTGCGTAGGCAGGGCGAGGGCGAAGATGGCGGTTAGCACTATGGTGAGCAGTATGTGGACCAGGACGACGGTAGCGACCATGACCGCAGTCTGCCAGTTGGGCTCCTCCTCGGCATCCTCAAGCTCCTCCTCGGGGACGGTGGCATCGGTGAAACGAAAGAATACGAGGAACAGGACGAATCTGATGTCGGGAGTCAGCCACACTGAAGGGGGTTCGGACGAGCGAGGTTGCTTACATGAAGGCGAAGCAGACCCACTGCATGCCGAGCTGCACGATGCCCAAGACGCCGGCCATGCACTGGAAGGTCTCGAGCTCCTTACAGCATCCGGCATCTTGGATGCTCTGGGGCTGTGTGAGGATGTTGGCGAATCCCGCAGTCGCCGAGGTCGTACCAAGCAGGACGAAGTAGGGTGAGATGCCCTCCGAGGTTCGGCGGGAGATGATGCGGTAGTGCTGGGGGAGGTACGAGATGAGGAGGCCGACGACGATAATGCTAGTTCCAGTCAACAGCTGCGACCGGGCGAGGACATGGGGACACAGGCCCCAGCCTGGTGCACGTACATGGAGACCACAAGGTTCACGAAGCCCGGGTCACGAAGACGTTGACACTGATCCTCGGGCGACTCCATCGCGACACAGGCCTCGGTTGCACCGCACAAGTCTCGATCCTGACCGAGCGAAGGGTAGAAGCAGGCAGTCCTGTATTCTTCGTTGCTGGAGCTTGCAGGGCGCAGACGGTGGTTGAAGAGTTCGCAGGAGGTGCTGGCCGAGAGGGCGGGGTCCCGAATTTGTACTGTTCTTGTTTTGTTTTGTCGCAGCAGAAGACGAGACAAAGGGACCAGACACAACAGAGACAGAGTTCCCCAGTGATGTCAGAAGGCGGAACTAGGATGCACGGCCGTTGGGGGCGCTAATGAGGATGAGGACGAGGAGCGTGGGACACGGGGCATGGGACGAAGATGCGAGACACGGAGCCGTCCAACGCGTGCGAGAGAGCCCAAGAGGGAGGACGCAGGGGGTTAAGGCAGTCGTGCCTGACGATGATATCGCACGCCTGGACGCGCAACTAGGCTGCCCAGGTGTTTCGGACCACAGCGCACCGTGACGTGTGTGCAGAGCAACGGTACGACAGTACTTGCACAGGATATCACAGTACAGTAGACTTCAGGATACAGCACGTCGGTCGATGATGAATGATGGCAGGTGTGGGCGCGGGCGCGGGTGCAGGTGACTGAGGCGCAATGACCGAGGGCAGGCAGCTGCAGCTGCGGCAGGGAAGGAAGTAGGGGAGGCAGGGAGGCATGCGGGCATGCGGGCAAGCGGGCAGGCGAACGTGGGGCCTGACCAGGGGGGAGCTTCTAGCGCCTTGGGGCGGATTGCGACCCTGCCAGCCTGCAAGCTCAACCCCAATGCCGATTGGGTGCTACATTGCCTCTGAGACCCACCCAGCTCGCAGGGTGCTGGACGCGGCAGGACCCATCCAGCTTTCCCGTCGAAGCTTGAACACCGCACTGCGCCAGACTGCAGACTGCAGACTGCGCGGCACGGCGGAACGAAGCTCGAGTGACAGCTCACATCCAGCTTGACCTCATCACCGCTCACTGCAGGTTTGGGCTCAAACACCAATCAGCCAGTAGAGAAGACCATGGAAGAAAATTATCATATGACCAAGACTGCCAGCAGCGAGCCGTGAGCCGGCCGGACAGAGCAGCTGGCAACGAGTCGGTCTCACAAGATGCCGGCCGTGGCACCACATGTCGATCTGGTGGCCTCCAACACGCATGGCCAGGGTATAACCGAGTCCGTCTCGAGGTCCCCTTCGATATACAAGGCCGCTCAGTGGTGAGTCTCTGTCATGACGGACGGACGAAGAATATGGCAGTTCAAAAGCTGACCGGGATTGTACAGGACTGCCGATGGGACAACCGTCATCGCATCCACATATGATCACCAACTCTGCAGCTTCGTCGTCCCCTCGGACCTGCTTGAGCCAAGGGACCACCCTCTTGTCCTTCGCCCTCAGAAGACCCTCAGTCTCCCAGAGACGACCAATGTCTTCGCACCGGCTCCTTACTTCGCCCTGGAGGCCCCCGAGACTCACCACGTGCTCGTCGCCTGCCGTGACCACCCGATCCAGATATTCCGGGCTCTCCCAACCACGCCAACCCCCAGTGATGACCACCATGAACCCCATCACCCCGGGCTGGACGAGACCAGCTCCCTGTTCTCGTACCGCCTGATCTCGCCCCAGACAGAGGCCTACCTCCCCGTGCACTCGCTCTCCTGGCCGACCCCAAACTCCGCCACCAGCCCGTCCTTCTTCGTCGGGAGCAACAACCTCATCGCCCAGTTCAACCTCCACCGCATAGGCGGCGGCCCGCAGCACGTCGTCCACACCATCCCCTCCAGGCGCCACATATCCAAGGGCAACGGCGTCGGCATGCGGGGCACCGTGTCCGCCCTGTCCATGCAGAACGACGAGAACTACGTCCCGACCGGCTTGCTCGCCGCCGGCACCTGGACCCGGTGGGTGGGCCTGTACGACTTTGCCCGAGGCGGTGAGCGCGTCGCCACCTGGAGCGTCGCCGAGGCGGCCGCGTCCGCGGCTGTCCAGGAACCCCCCTGGGGTTCGCCCCAACGTGCCACGGCCCCGGCCCCGGCCCCGGCCCCGGCCCCCAGCGGAGGCATAGGCGGCGCCGGCATCATGCAGACGGCATGGTCGCCCGACGGGCGGTACCTCCTCGTGAACGAGCGGCAGTCCACGGGCGTCCTGATCTACGACGTCCGCGTGACGAACAAGGTCCTCGGCTTCCTGGCCGGCCGCGACGCCCTGACGCACCAGAGGCTGGACCTCACCGTGTACCCCGACTCGGAGGGCATGGGCGGCTTCGAGGTCTGGGCGGGTACCACCGACGGGACGGTCAAGGTGTGGCAGGGCGTCGGCAACGAGGAGGGCTGCATCTGGCCTTCCTGGGACTTCTCGACTGTGGGCGAGCCCGACGTTGAGGATAGGCTGCCGCGCTCCCCGGTCGGCAGCGTCGCTCTCCACAAGTACGGGTCTGTTGTTGCAACATGCACGGGCGGCTGGAGGGTGACCGGAGAGAAAGACAACGGTGATGTGGATGATAATCAAGTGTCCTCTGATGACTCTGATTCCTCATCCTCAAGTGCCAGTTCGTCCGAGGACGAGTCGGATGCATCGTCGTCGTCCAGTTCATCATCCACTATGCATCGGCCTATTGGACGATATCCTGCCAATCGCACGTTTGACGAATCCTATCTGAAGATCTGGAGCATACGCACAAACTCGCATGATGAGGCTAGCCCCAAGGAAATGGCCACTCCGGGGCTGGAGAGTGCTCAAACGGATGTCTACATGGGCGTGCCTTATCGAGACGCATCACGTATGGACTCATATTCTATGGATGCGGAACCGGCAGGTTGAGTCCTTGATAGTAATGACACTTTTTCTTTTAAAAAAAAACAAGTGACTGGAGCTCCTCTCTTTGAATTGATAGAAACAAGTCTTCTTTGTGATCGGCCTCGAATTTGTTTCGATCATGAAATTGCGACTATGAGTGTGTGTATTGGTTGGTTCCAGAGCAAATAAGCTCCTCAGCAGGCGTTCTGACTACCTGGAAAATGCGAGAGGAATTGCGATTCACGTACCTGCTATCCATCGCCGCCGCTCCTCCGGTGGCGCTCCAGTTCAAGGTTTATTCCAAATCTCGTCCACAACTCGACTGACGCGCTCCATTACCCGCGTCCCAACCACCGGTCCAAAGAGGCGCATCCTGTCATTCCGAGTCATCGTGACGAAGGCGGCCAGCCCGTGCTGCTCTCCCGCCGTGGCCGTATCCGCCTTGGGCACTTTGAGCTGCCCAGCCACCATCTGCGCCGCGTAGGCATTGAAGCCCGCCCTTCGCAGCCACAGCTCCCAGAGCGTCTCGTCTTCCATCAGGCATGCCTGGAGACTGGGGTCGGACTGGCCATATCGACACACAAGAGACGCCACCCACCGTGACAGTGTGTCGTCACCGCCGCCGATATAGTACACGAGAGCCTTGCACCACAGCCCGCTCGCAAAACCCTGGAAACTTGTGAGCGCGGCCGCATCCGAGGATGACATCTCCCCGAAGGTATCGTCAGGGCCGCCCTCGCCCCCGACGAGGATGATCAGCCGGCCGTACCGCGGGGCAATCTTCTCGACCCTCTCTTGGACGCTGTTTTTGGATGCGTGCGGCCGCGGCTTCTGGCGGACTTTGATCATGGACGTGGTGATGATCCCGGTTGATGGTGAAAGAGTAAGATCCGCATCAAAAGCGAGAGGCGGAACTACTTCCGTGCGGGAAACGGAGCCTGGACTCCAAACGGAAGTGTTGTGTTTGTTGTAGTCGCGCTCCATCAGAGTGAGGCCTGGGAGTAGGCCCTCAAGGCCTTTGATCAGGTGCCGAGGGGCGGTCAGAGAAATAATGATCGTCAACGGAGCGGATGGGGTCTTGATAGATGGGTATTGCGCCCGAGCAGGCGACTTTGAGCACGAATCAGAGTCCCCTCCTGTTGATTTTCCGTTTTCGCCCGATTCCTGGGCCTTCTTTGGCTGATTTCCAGGAACTTGAAGCGCCGACGTTGCATGTTCCGCGGCAGGAAAGTATTTGCTGACGGACCACTTCTTTTTCGGCGCATGGAGCTCCATGAAGTTGCTCAAGAGTTTCGTAGATGCGCCCGGAGAGCCTCCTACAAGCAACTGACCATTGTCGCCGATGTATGTCGATGGCAGCCGCGGCTTCTTCGATATTGTGCTATCCGACGCATCGAGCACTCTCTTGATCGCTCCAAATGAATTTGTAATGCGCTGTTTCGGCTTCTCCAGGTGAACCTCGATTTCGTCATCCTCAGTCATGTGCTCGAGTATTGCCAGTTTTGTTCGTTTCTGGACGAAGTCAAGACTACTGGGCACCCCGTCACTATTGAGAGATATGATGAATGACTCGACCAGGTCGTCGTCCGCGTCTATTGTCTCCTTCGTAGAGACTTTGCTTGCCTCGGAACCGATTGGCCGCCATATTAGCTTGCTTTCGATGACGCTGTTCCGAGGCCATTGTGGGAGCCTGAATAGACTTTCGTTGCCGCATTTTATGTACTTGAAAATGGCTTGTGAGTTGTTTCCTAGTCGTTTCCACTCTGGTTCAGGAATGGAAAAGTCCATGATTGGCACCGGGACGCGAGCTGTTGCATCAGCTGCATGGAGTTGCTCTTGTTCGACCGTCTTCATGGTCAAGTCTGCGACACTCGCTAGCTCTTCTTCAAAATCATCGTCCGATAAATTCTGAAGAAATTCGGCCGCCAGCCCATCGATATCCATTTGCTGGGCCACAAAGCTTCCGAACGCTTCGGTTTCAGATAGAGACTGCTCTTGGAGGGGAGAGAAGGGCAGTATTGGTGGTTCAATCTTGTGATGATCGAGATTATATTCTGTTGATTGCTCGAGGGAAAAGTCGGTGTTCAAAAATCCCTTCTTGTCCTCTTCTGAAATTTCCACGTCAAGGAACCTGTCGAGGATTGGTGATGTGGGCTCGCTCCAAACGTCTCCAAACTCCTCGAATAATTGTTCTTCGGCAGCTCTCAGATCATCGGCGAATATAGAAGAGCTCGGATCAGATGGTATGGGGATCAGGTAAGCGTCATCTGGAGTGACAGACTGGTCCTCGTTGGATTGCGGGTTGATTGGCAACTCCAGCTTTTCTAAACCTGGGTTCTGTCGTGCTCACCGTCAGCCAATCATGCAGAAAAGAGTTCGCGGTATGAGAAGCTATCATCGGGAGAGTACAGCATGTAAGAGGAATTTCGTAACCGTCGAAGCATTATTCCTTACCCTCACCCACTTTGTACCTTTAACCTCTTCCAGGAGAGACTTCCACTGTTCCTCCTCGTCGTAATCATCTTTCACAATGTCAGCGAGGAATTTCAAGGCGCTTCTTGTGATCCCCAATCTCTCGTTCTCAAGCTTTCTCAGAAGTTCGTTGGCTTCTGAACGAGCGGTGTCAGGAAATTGCATGCCCTCGCCAGTGACAAGATCCAGCGGCAGTCGGTGATCCCCAATACGCACTTCTCTCTGGGTTGCTAATTCTTTGCGAAATTCTCGCATGTCGCGCTCGTCGTCTGTTCGCAGAAGTGGTAGTTCAAGCCTCAAGTGCTTGGTGTTTCCAGAATTCATAATCCCCCGTGTCAGCGACTTGACCTCGCCATCCGTGAGCTCCTGGAGGGCCTCGTCTCGAAGCTTCTGGGCCGACTGGGAAATCGCCAATGTGTCTCCAACGCGGGGCACTGGGATCTCTAGATACGGAAGGTGGCTGGCGTCGGTGAACCCGTCCTCAGTGATGGACGGCAGAGTGCTTTGGACAAGTGGGGCGAGCAGGTGGGACATGGAGAAGGAATTGAGGGTGTAGTCCTCGATCAAATTATGCTCATAGGCATACTGCAATGCCTCATCATTGACTCGGGCATGCTCATCTTCGTCCACGTATGCGAAGGCCTGTGGGCCAAGGTCGTGGCAGTAGCCCTCTGGATCCATGACTGCTGCCGACGACTTGCTGGATCGGAACTGGGTTTTGTGTAATACTCCAAATATTAATGTCAGTGCCGTGGAAGAAATGGGGAGGGCAGAGTCTGGCTCAAGGGAATCTGGAGTTGCAATTTTGCTCTTGGAGGGACTTCACAAGATGCCTCTCTGCAAAGGGGAGGTGCGCCACATGACCCTTACTGTACCTGCCATCGGCAAACCCTGGTACTTGCGTAACTGCCATGGCTATGGGTTTTGACTGAGGCTGATGGAAAATCTCATAATGCAGAGGAAAAAATCACAGAAGTGCGTAGAGCGGCACTGTCTCGCTGTCTAATTCCATGCATACTTTTCGTTGGCAACCCAGTCCACCGCCGCCGTCGGCTCATCCCCGTACCACATCAGACTCGCGATGCTGTCCTTCTCCCTGTCGACAAAGCCATACTCGATGCCGCTCCTGTCGACCGCCCGCCTCAACAGCCCCGAAGGGTTCCACATTTGGATGTCGAACGACCGCCACTCGGCAGCCTCGGCCTGCGCGACCCGGATGATGGCGCTGAAGCCCTCGGCGACATAGTCCTCCGAGCTGTTTTCGTCCTCGACCACGAAGCGGAGGATGTGGAACGTATTGCCCTCGATCTTGTCCAGGCCGCCGTAGTAGCCCCTCGTCCACACCGCCCAGATCCTCCTGCCCGGCTCGCCGAACAGCGCGCCCCTGGCCTCGGGGATCTTGTGGAAAATGTGTTTCGTCATAAAGTCCTCGCGCATGAGGTGCCAGAGGATCTGGTCCAGCTCCGGCACCAGCGCCGCGCAAACCTTCTTGTCGCTCGAGGGGAGCGCCCTCGCCTGCTGCTGCATCTTGCCCCTCAGGAGGTTCTCGTCCAGGTGGCACAACATGGCGAGGTCGTGGTAGCCCAACAGCTTCACGCCTGACGGTCGCGCCTCAGTCCCTGCAGCAGCCGGCTTGAACGAAAGGTGAGTGCTCTCAAATGCTTCCCATCCCGTCTTGGCGTAGAAGGTCTTGCCGATGTCAGAGTACAGCACCGAGAACAGTGACCGTGCGTTTCCGTTCTGCTCGCCCTGGCCCCCCTGGATGTTTTGCTTTCCTTCTGACCATTCCGCCAGGATCGGGCCCAGCTCCTTCATCATCCGTGATGCATAGCCTTTACCGCGGTACTCTGGGTTGGTGAAGACAGAGGCCACCCCGTGGGCAATTCCGTCTTGCACCACCGGCCCGTCTGCGCCGAGCCGGCTGGCGAGGGCCCGCTTGCGTAGCGACTCGCAGCTTGCGTAGATCGGTCTGTTGTCTGCGGGAGCATTCTTGTCCGTCAGGATCCAGTGTGTAACTCCTCCATTCTTGGCCAGAGGCACCGTCATGAGAAACTCCTCTCGCGCGAGATATTCCTCGATCTTCAGTGCAGGGCCCCACATGGGATGGTGGAGTCCCCAGACATGTTGCAGCTCAGCCTTGGTCGACTGTGTGAGCACCAGATCGGGGTGCTCTGCAGAGGGTAACCCATTGGCAGAGGAGCCCATGTTTGTGTTCAACCCGCTTTGCGGTGACAAGTAACAAATGGCAATTGTATTCTCTCCGTCTGGTCTTCGCCCTCTCTTCGATCCCCTGGACGATGGTAAATGGTTCCCTAAAATACGTGCTGTGAACGAGCTAGAAGTTCAGTATATCAGGCTCTGGGCCCGCGTTTAACAAGTTCCTAGGCCGAGCCGAGTCATTCGGTCAGACTTGGAGGCTAAGTAGATAAGAAACTAAACGAGGAAACCTCACCAACTCGGCCGAGCGACGTTGGGCGGGGACTGGCGGTCTATTTGTGTCTTGGAACACTGCCGTTTCTATCCTGCTGGACCTACGAGACAAAGGGCCAGGCCACGGGGTTCAATGGTAGGGGTTCTCGAGGAACGTGCCGGACTCTGATGTGAGATCTCAGTCCGGCTGTGGATCCCTGCATTTGGCAGGAGTTCCACATTCCTCCCCAACCCCATACAAGGAAGGTCACCCCCGAACCGGAGGAGCCTGGAGTACCCAGGTTCAAGCTTTCCCTTGTCCAGTATTTCCCCAGATTCCCAGATTCCGCGAAGACCCGTAATAAGGTCACGCAGGCAGACGACTCAGCCCAGACGCAGGAACAGAGCCGGGAGGTGCAAAAGCTGATCATGCGCGTCCTCTTCCAGGCGGTTTCGAAACGTAAACTTACGTCAAAATTAGCATCTCGAGCGTCCAGGAACTTGGCGGGCCGGTCGTCCTTGGGCTTGCCGTTGCAGCACACGAGGAGCAAGCCGGGGCGATGGCTCGAGCCCGGTCAGACAGACGCCAGCGCCAAGCAAGGAACGACGCCGCATGCCTAAGCCGCTGGTTTCCGGCCTGGGGGTCGTGGAGATACGGGGGCGCCGGGGCACGCGGCAGACAACAGACCTCACTATCAGCGGGAGTGCAGGGTTGTCGACGATCGCGAGTCCCATTCCTGCGTCAGACGGCTGCGGGGAGTCCTCGAGTGCTTGTGGGATTGGACACGACGCGCACGACCGCGCATCCAGGTGGACCCAGGAGGTAACAAGGAGTATCCGGCAACTGCCAACTGCATAAACCTCAACCTCACCGTGAAGATAACATCGCCGAGCTCGGGTCTCATACTAGTAGTGCTACGGAGTACTTGCTTTGCTGGTTAGTCCAAGCAATTGGTGGGCTGCTGGCACGCAGTGGCGGCTCCTGGGCGACCTGTTTGAGGCTCCGCCTGCGCAGGGACAACAACTATTATGAGTTTTTGTGACAAGGCCTTGATAACTGCACCTTGGCATTACCTTGATCTTGTGTATTTGCTTGAAGACTTACTCCTGTTGCTCACAAAATTGTAGCACTTCCCCAGCGCTGGAACGTCCATCATAAGCAGCAGGTCTGGCTTCCATGCCCATGCGCCACCCGACTATACACATATCAATCTTCTATACACCCTGGCTTTTTTGCTACTTTGAAAATGTCTTTCTTACCCGATGGTTTCATCGCTATACTTGTCCACATTTCATGGTGCAGAACATCCAAACAGCAAATAGCTTTGCTTATGGCACGAGCAGGGGTTTGGTCCGAATTCAACAACCTTTAGGAAAATCTACAACAGATCAACTACACTGGCATGACTGGCAGACCATCTTCTCAAAGATTAAAAAAAGACACGAAGTCAAATACCTGGTAACAGACGCTCAATATGAATATTTTTCTCTTCGTGTTAGAAGGTGCATATCACTGTGATCATATCGTATCCTGGCCGATACATTGCTCAACAAAGCACGAGAATGGGCTGTCCAGGTAGCTGCCCTATTGTGCCCCTAAATGGAACGTCGTGTTATGGGCACACTAAGTTCTGGCATGCGGGTGGCTCAGCACAGACCACCAGGTCGTCAGGAGGGTTGGAGGGTTGCTTTCTTCCTGTCTGCTTTTCTTAACTCCAAAACTTCGCCTCTTTCTCGCGATGGGCACAACTCACAAACCCACCACGTTTATTTGCCAGACATCGTTGCGACTGGCGTCCAGCACCTGACCCCCATTGGCAGCAGACAACCGAGACAACTTGAAGTGTTCATCTCCAGGTTCTGGGGATCCGCACTCTCTGTGTGTGTCCTGGTGTGGACTTAGACGTTGACACGACGTCGCGCCTGACCTCAAGTGCTGCGAATTGGCAAGGAAAAGACATTATGGGTCGAAAGCTTATCACGCAGCACCATGATTGCGACAGGCCGGGGTCATCATCTAATCTTAGACGCTGTGGTCTCTGATTAGTGATTACCTGTGGCTGATGGTAGTCGTCAGGCCCGTGGGGCTCTTGCAAGATCCCATTTCCGGGGCGGCGCAAGGCCTCGTAAGCTGGTCCCGGCTGATTGGCTGGAGCCCCTGGACGACCTTGAGATGCTTGCGCAGCGCCAGAGCCATTGAGTTTGAGCGACGTCGATGCGTTCTCTGGCCCTTCTTTTCCCTTCAGGTCTTGAGGTTTTCTGAAAACCTCTTATTAGGACTGCGGCTTGTTCTCTAGTTTTGTTTCTGTCTATTCTCGAAAAGAAGGACAGCGATCCTGCCCGTCCTGGTTTTATTACAGACCTTGCGTGTTAATGCCGAACATCCCCGTCACTGGGCTGAGCCTCAGAAGACACGGGCCTCAGTGGGCCATTCCGCTCCCCCCCACCATCCGAAGCGTCTTGACAAGTAACCCTCCCCTGTCTCGTCATATTCTTTATTATATCGAGTGACTCTGGTCGCAAGGCTCAGTCCTCTTCTTATTCCTGTCACTTGTTCATTCGTCCGCTTATTCTCTTCCTAGTCTGGAGTAACTCATAGTACTTTTCATCTCGTCTATTTGTGTTGTGTTGCTTTTCATGTGTTTTGCTGTTGTCTCGCTCTTACAACGCCATGCGCGGTCTCCACACGGCCGGTGTCTTACTGGCCCCGGCTCTGGCAGGAGCTATTTCTCTTGAGGGCGAGGGTGAGTTGGAAGCCGTATCCGGGATGAAATTGATCGATTCAATTTCCATGACTGACATATTTAGACTCGATTCCTAGAGCCTTCATCAACGTGCGCCTGCCCGAACCCGTCGACTCGAACGCTAGCTCGGACCTGGTTTTCCGATTCGACGTCAATGAATCCCAAGACGCTTGTGGATATGGAAATGTCACCATCAACGGCCGGAAACTATCAGAGGACGGCCATGGCTCTCTGAACATGTACGGCAACCGCGTGGTTGACGCCTCTTGGAACTTGACCTGCGTGACCTGGAACGACAAGCCCAATGAGCAACTGCTAAACATGAAGGTCGAAAATGTCAATGGTCAAGCCGTCGAAGATGTTGGATTCACTCTTAGATTTCAGCAAGTCGCACCTGTCTGGATCTCGGATGTCGAAGGGGGTGCTTCCATGACCCGTGTCCACTCAAGCGGTCAGGGTCAATCAAAACCTCATGACGCCAACGAGGGGATGGATCTTGATTCCGAGCTGGCCGAGCTGGACTATCTGAGGTGGCAAATGGCTGAGCTAGCCCAATTAATCCACGCAAAGGAGCATCGCCTCGCCAAGACCTTTGGATGGAAGAGGCCTCACTGGCAAGGGCCCCGTATTCACGAATGCGACAGCCTCAAGTGTGTCATTGAAGCAATTACCCATACCGTAAAGGGCGCAGCATCGTCCATCTATGGAGGCGGAGGGAGACACAGGAATCATGGCCCGCATGCCCCTCATGAGCATCATCGAGGCCCTCATCATCATTTCGGGAAGCCAGGGCACGAGATTCACAGCAACGGGACTCGTCCTTATCCACCTGCGAATGGTGAATTCTGGGAGAACCTGCATTCCGACGGTTTCAAACAACCCGAGACGAAGGGAGAGGGGCAAGAAACAGGCAATAAGAATGAAACCGAGCGGCCTGAAAATTCCAGACCCTCCCGCCCTGACGACCACCCTCATCCCGATATGCCCTGGGAGACCGAGCTCCGTCGGCATCACGACAACATGCCTCGGCCCCATGGTCACGAAGAATCCCACGGCCACTTCCCCCATGGGCCACCTCCAACCGCAGGACAGCCTCCACATGGCCCTCCCCATCGCGGCCCTCCACCACCGCATGGGCATCATCCCCACAGACCACATCGCGGTCCTGGTTTCATCCACATCGCCTCAGGAATCGCCTCGCTGGTCCTAGTTGTCATATTTGGCAGCGTGCTGTACCAGCGCCACGTCCGCAAGTCCATCAGGCCGCCCCGACTCCACCGTAGCTCCAACGTCCCGTGGTACAAGAGGCTCTGCTTCGGACCCAACTACTCGGAGCTTTCCGAGGACGAGGAGAAGGAAGCCATGCTCCGAAACTGTGGTGACTCCGACTCTGATGACGAGGACGACAGCGGCGTCGTCGCAAGGGACATATCCCAGTTCAGGACAGCGGCCGACGTGGTTGGGGAGATGGTCGCGGCCGAGGACGCACGTATGGCGGCACACTCCCGCCAGCCATCCTTCTCGCCGGCGCCAGCGGCTGGACCGGTGGAAGTGATGCAGCCACACCGATACCACATGCAGCAGCAGCCTATGCATCCTTACATACCCTCTCACCTCATACCCGGCAACAGCATCCCAATGACCATGCCCACGGGGCAACTAAGCCCGGACCCGGCCACCATGGCCGCGATGGCAGCTATGTTCCCAGACCTGGCGGCCGACTACGATATGGAGCTGGGCGACCATACGCACCACCACGGCGGCGTCGTCGGCGCCGGGATGGGTTTCGGGGGCGAGGAGCTGCCCGCGTATCAGGAGGCGGACAGGCGGAGCGAGGACGACGAGTCTGAGATCGCGTCTAGCGTGGTGACGGACGGGTACAGGCCGGGTTGCTCTGGGTCGTCGTATACTCCTAGCGAGTCCGGGTCGCAGGGGGCTAGTGATATACTTGGCAACACGAAGAACTAAGTATACATATATGTGCATTTATGTGTAATAATATAGAGATATAGGGGCGACAAAACTACGAGATACCCGACGGATGGTCTATTTCATTTTTTTGCATCTACAGCATGTTGAGTCCCAACTAAGCCCACTGTTTACTTAGATTACATTTCACCCCCATTTCTACGGTTTCACTGTTACACTTTCGACCAGCAAGGATGGAATCTCAAGCACTTGCTATGCACACTGCGGACCCTAACTTCACCTCCTCTGCCTCTCTTGAACCCCCCCCCCCTTGTACATCAGCTTAATCTCCGGAGGCATCCAAAGCGTCATGCATGATTTGTACATGCAAATATAATGTCGTGTTCAAATACCCTGTTCTGTCTCTATGAGCATCAGATTCGCGAGCGTTGAGTAATGTCAGGCACATTTTGGGAGGCGATTCAGTCGACCGCCATCTTTGGAGGACACAGCGGGCCAACGAGGTTAAGCTCGGCTACTTATCGGGTCCTATCGGATGGATGCCCCACACTGAGCCCCACCCTCCATGACGCTCCAAGCACAATACCGACTGTTCTAGGCCGCATCCCCAGTTCAATGTCAAGTTGTCAGTTGCCACCGTGCAACCTCTTGATGCGTTGTAGTTGATCAATTTTCAGCAGTAGAAACGATAGCTACAGCTAATATATAAGAACACTTCATCTATCACACATAATCGTAGCCAACATACGGAGTACGAGTTACGAGGCCTAGCAGCACCTCGGCAAGCTTGCCAGCTAAGGTTACACACAGATAGCTACCTAGCTAAGCTCCAACTGCTCCAAACTTACTTCTCCACGGATCTTCCCGGCCGCATCATGGACATGCAATACTCGGTGATCAGCAGTATTTCTGGAGATCCAGACGTCGGATTCGCCACTCTTCGAGCCCTTACCATCATAGCAGAGGGGGCTTCGAGCTTCATGTATGGCAAGAGAGCTCTAGCCCAAGGTACCTAGGTATTGCCAGATATGATTGTAACACAATGGGACACAGTCTTATCGTCTTCAAAGGACATGAAAGTAGACAGTTAGACAGGCCACATGCAACAAAACCTCGAACGATATGTAGCATGACAGGGATCCATCGCACGACAGCCCTCGATAGCCCGGGCAGCTCCAGCTTTCTCCCCGCATATCAGTGCCACACAGGGGGAACCAATCCAGCCATTACAACAATGGGACCCGGAATGGAAATATGTCGCGTGTCTAGCTAATGTCAAGCTGGCACCCGGTCCCCACTTCCCCAACAAAACCGTACCGGGTATGATTATATAGCACCCCAGTCCATCCCGCCTCTCAAATGGCCCTCGGGACAGACCGCTTGGATCTCGTCTCTTGCATACCGCCTGGATATCTATGTGCCCGTAAATATATTTCCTGCCAGTCCCCCTACCTAGAATATTGTAATTACAAAGAGAAGCCCAGAGGTACAAGGCCGGACGTTCAACACGCTCGACCATCGCCACGACTCCCATATTTCACACATTGACTTCTCCAATACAACACAACGCCATCATGGATCACGCCAGGAACACCACGCACCGCGTTGCCACCCGCGCATTCCCGTAAGTACAGCCGCATGCATCCTTCTCAGTACTACCCTTTCCCATACGAGCTCCGTTTTGCCTGTGTATCCCATCCACACCCAAGAAAAAGAAAACCAACACAACCCAAAACAAAAACGAAAACAATAAACTTACCAACCCCTCCGCAGCGCCCGCCACCCCCGCCTCGCGCTCTTCGCCCTGACAGCAGCCGGCGTGGGCCTGGCCATCAAGTACAACTCGGACAACCTGGCCAAGAACGAGAGGGCGCAGAGGTCGACAAGCCACCCCAACTACTATGTCTCAGTCGACAGGTCTGGGGGAGGCATCTAGAGAGGAGAACTATATGGGACCACAGAGAGAAAATCTAAAATAAAATAAAAATGAACCATATGAAGGAGAGCACGAATGGAACGCATCAAACAGGGATACAAAAGACACCCCACCTGCAGGTTATCTACGGCGCAAAGGATATTAAACCTTCCAAAATGGCAGCGGCGCCTGTCCATGAGTGTGGTAGCAGCATAGGCCGGAAAGAAGGGCTGGCTGGTCGGCGTTTGTATACGAGCCGAAGACACATCTGTTTAAGAGGTCAAATCAACATGCACATGTCACATGGACACGCAGACGATCCTTAAGGCGTTTGGTCTGGTTCCTAGGAAGGCAATGGATATTACGGCTACTCTTCAATCGAAGCAATATTCACAAATAGCACATCGCAGAATCCTAAGGTCCACTGCGCAAGATTCCATAAAACACAAGACAAACCACATGCATTACTCACATATCCTCGTTTCTCTTGCGTCCCAAAAATGCCGGGGTCTCCTCTCAAATGCGAAAAAAAAAGACTAACTAACACAGACAAAAATCATACAAGACGAGCTCAACTCGAAACAGAAACGAAGCAAGCCCTATCCCAACATGCGGAAAGTATGAGAGTGGAAATTGAGCAAAACAAAACACAACGCCATCTCACTAATATCACCCCTGGCCATGCCGGACAGTAACAGGTTCTATGCACACCGATGATGTCTCGAAAGAAGCCAAACAAGAACAAGCCAGTAGCATGCGGGTTTCCCTGACCTCCGAAACAAGAAAAGGGAAGAAATAATATAGCGCACGAAACACTGTAGAACGCCAATTCGAATGCAAGCCCGGCTGTGCAAACCGAGCCCTCCGCTGATTACAGCTCAGTAGGAACTCCCCTTGCGCGTAAAGCTCGGCCGCCGCTGCTCCGCGGCAGCCTCGGCACCGCCTTCAGACCCCGAGTCCTCACGGCCCTGCCTCGTCTCGGGCTCCTTCCCCTTCCCCTTGTAGTCGCCGCCAAAGGTCGACTCAACGGGCGACCTCAGGATCACGCTGTTTCGGTTGGACTTGTTCCCGCCCCGCCGGCTCCCTGGCCGCGAGCCGCTGGCCTTGCCGACCGAGTTGGCCTTGGAGCCTCTCCCGCTGTTCCGTGCGCCACCAATCGCGGCGCCGTTTCTGCCCGCGGCCTCGAAAATGGTGTAGGGCGTTCTAACCCCGTCCCCTTCCCCATCCCAGACGATCGAACCGCCTTCGCTGGCCGAGTTGCGGGCGGTGGACGGCATAGCGCTCGACCGCTGCAGTCCCCGCATTTCCTTGACCATATCCGAGAAGCCCTCTTCCAGTGTTTTCATCCTTGCCAGCACCAAGCGACTCATCCGGTCTCGGTCGTTGTCACGTTCTCGCTGTGCTTTGTCGGTGGCGCGAGGACCACCGGGCGTGATCATACCGGTTGCCATGGCCATCTGCGTCACGAAGCTGGACGGAACGCCCCCGAAGGCGTCGTCAGCCCCAACGCCTGCGAGATCTGACTGGACGTCGAGCAGATCAGAGGATGACATGCGACGCGTCTTGGGTGGTCGACGCGGTTGCGGGTCGGCGGTCATGCCAGTAAAACGACTTATGAGGGGAGCCGTGTGCATATTGTCACGAGGTGGCATGATCGGCCTTGGGCGGGCAGAGCCAAGATTAGCAGGACGCCGCGGTGACTTGTATCCGGGAGGATTCTCTGCGCCTGGTGTCGGACGGCCGCTTAAAGGCCGAGAACGAGGTTTGCTAGGTGGGCCGGAAGAGGAATCATCGTCATTAGGCGGCAGACGGCTGCTTATTGGTGGGTTAAAGAGAATCGTGTTAGAGGACAAAGTACGGTTGTGCATGCCGGCCCGTTTCGGGGGAGGTGGTGCCAGCTGGTGTGCAGGCGAGCGGTTCGACGAACCAAGGGAGGTCGATATAATGCGGTTGTTGAACCGAGTAGCAGTCGGAGTTGTGAAGTAGTCGTCTTCGTCCACCCGCGATCTTGTGATACTCCGTCGACTGGGAGCAGTCGCGGCCTCATCCTCATCTTCGTCGTTGGTAACAAGCTCGTCATCCGCATCTTGGTCCTTCAATATTCTGCGCTCCACGTGGTCCCTCCGGTCGACTGCATCCATGGGCCCGTCCACGGTCGACATGAGTTCCGCGGGGTCACTCATAATCGACCTGACTTCGGAAAGATTCCGGAGTCTCACAGGCGTTCTCTCCTTGCTTCCGTTGAGCCTCCGTTGCCAATCTGGTTGCGCACGACTCTCGATAACTGATACGTTGTTCGGTGACTCAGGTATGGTCTCGTTCCGATCCATCCAACTCCTCACGGCGTTTTGAGTCCGCTTGCGCTCGTGCATCCTCTGCGTACGGAGCGAAGCAAAATCAGGCGTCCTCCGGAAAACCTCCTCCAAGGCGCGGTCCTGCTGAAACCCGGCAACCGAACCCTCTCGGATACGAATGGTGGGGCTAAACAGCGAAGACCTTCCCACGGGATTCATGGACAGCGCCCTCGCCCGGCTCCGTTCCGGGTGCTCGACAAAATCTGTCGGCTCGAACATTGAGGGGGAGAGGATGTATTTCTCGTAGAGGAAGATGCCGAATAGCAGTGGGAAGTGTGTGATCTTGATGATGGTTCGGTTCAACCACACGAAGTGACGTAGAGGCATGAAGTAACGAAATGGCATCAGCATCCACGCAAAGATGTTGCCAGGGGCAACGTAAGAGAAGAGAGACTGGTCCTTCACCATGGCGATTGTGTTGATGGCAAAGAGGAACCTAGCGCATTCTGTTAGCTGTGGATGCGCAATCTTTGGTTTGGGGTGGCGCCTCACTGATGCTCTTCCTTTGCGTTCGAAGCGATCGACATGAAGGAATTGGTCAAGACAGTGATGAGGATGGTGCTATCGATCTGGTCAGCGCGTATCGGAGAATTAGGTCGCAGGCTAAGACTCACACTACCACGAAGTGACAGATAATCAGGAATAGGACCATGAGTGTTCTGTCAATCCAAGTGTACGTAGGCCAGCTAGATGATTGATGTCAGCGTCAGGGTTCAAGAATGGCCGTTTGTGACGAGCAGAGCTCAATTCAAGTGTTTTGGAAAAAAGAAGCCAGACTCACACGTCCCAAGCCGCCGGAGTGAAACCCATTAGGATCTGGAATATCTTGTATGCCACTTCGGCGGCATCTGCTTTGGTGTTTGTGAGGAAGAAAACGAAGAAGCCGCTGCACGAGATGAAGATCAACACGAAGACTGCGGCCAGGTCTACGCTCATGATCCTCATCGCCAGAAGGATCTGAGAAAAGTAGGGGTAGTGGTCGAGGACCGAGAATATCCGCGGCAGCAGCAGGACTGCATTTGCAGCCAGCACATCGTAGGCATCGACGCCATGATGCGAGTCGACCAGGAACACCGTGTAGATGCGCATGCAGTAGTATATAATCAACAGGAGGAGGATCCCCAAGTCGAAAATATTCCAGAAGCTCATGATATACAACGAGAAACCTTGCTCGGTGAAGCCTACAAGCTCGTCCATCATGAAGCCAGCGCTCCAGAACCAGAAGATCAGCTCGAGGCTGGTGATGCGATCGGATCTCTCGACAAGGACTGCCAAAAAGAGACAGATCAAGATAGCCAAAGAGCATGTGGAGAAGAACTGCCTGTATCGCGGCACACGCAGTCTGGAAAGCTTGAGCAAAGATGCGTTGCGCGGGTCATAGAGAGAAACGGTCCGCCTGGCTGGGATCAGATCCATGCCGGTGGGTTTCGGAGGCTGCAGTCCCTTCTGGAAGCGAAGAAGTGGTGTCCGCTCATTGTCTCGCCGCTGGGGACTGCGCCCTCTGTAGGAAGTGATAGACTCCCTGAGGTTTTGCCTGTGCAGGTTGTCGGCAGAGGAGTAGAAACTGATCGCGCCGTTCCATATGGCCTCAAGCTGCTGCACGACAAGGGGGTGGGCCAGGAAGTGTTTGGCAGAAGCACGTATGGCAACCTCGAGGGTTGAGGTCCTCGCTGCAGCCTGTTTTGGCTTTCCGTCCCGAGGGGTGAGGGGCGTCTGTGTGCCAGGCGCACCGGGCATGCCCTGCATGGGGTAGAAATCATAAGACAGGGCATCGATAAGCTCCCTGGTGGAGTAGTCCTTGAGGAGCTTGATGGCGAGGAGCTCGCAGACCTTGGCCCTAGTGCTACAGGTTCCGGCGTTGCCAGGGTTGAGCTGTCCCTCCTTGGCAAACTGCAGGCAGTTTGCCATGAGGGCGTATATGGTAGCCCTGGAGAAATGTTGGGTGCGGATCTGTTGCTGCATGGGCTTGACCAGGAATTGTGAGACCTGGGGCGACCTCAGCTGGTCCCAAGTCAGGGCTGTCTCAGTCCTAGACTGGACTATCATCCGGATTGTGTGGGTGATATTGTAGACGGGCAGGGAATCGAGGTGAGACTCGGAGAAAAGAGGCAGCACGGCGCCCCTCGCGGGAGGGCGCCTGCCACCTCTGTCCTCGTCATTTGGGGAGATGTCATTATCGTTGGCGTCGTCTTCGTCCTCTTCCTCATCGTCGTCATCGTCGTCGTCGTCGTCGGCTTCCGTGAAATCGGCGGTGGCATGTCTTGTTCGAAAGTAGGGCCGGCGCTCGTCCTCGGTGTCGTCGCCCGCACCACGGCGACTGCTGCTTCTGATAGACTGAAGCAGGTTCGTGAATGGCAGCATCCTCCTCCTGGCGGGCATTTTTTGGCCCGCTCCGTCCATCAGTCCTCCATGAAAAGATCGTATGCCTCAAGACACGGTGGAGAGTCGTAGGCAGGCTGCCTCGTAATACTGCGACGGGGGAATTTCGCAGCTCGGCCAAGTTTTGGGGGCTTGTTGGTCGCGGGGGGATCTCGTGGGACCACAGGCTGGCACGCTGCAAGCTCCAAGATCCAAGCTCCAAGCTCTAGGCTCCACGACCGAGGCTCGGGTGGCACGCCGGTCACGCAAAGCTGTGTTTGTCTGTGGGGACGAGGTTGCTAGAACAGCATCGTGCCTGCCAGCGGGAGTAACGGGCAGGAGGAGGAGAAAGATTGTTGACAAGAAGGAATGCGCGCGCAAGCGCGACCGCCCAGGACCGGGAGGGCAGTCGTAGTGATCCCAGGTTGTGCCAGGGAAATGTTGCCCCAGGGCCAGGGCCAGGCCAGGACGATAGTGCCAAAGCCACTCGAGCGACCACCCAATCTGCCAATCCGCCAATGTGCAGCGATAGGCCTCGCACTGTAGCCTGGGTACTTTGGTAGCATCGGGGAGTGCAACCCCCTAGCTCCACACCGCCCAGGCGGGATGCATCATGTATGCATCACATGCACCGTTATCACCAGTAGATTAGTCTCGACCGTTAGCCGCATGCGGAGTCACGAAACATCGTCGGCCGGTCGAGATGAGGTGAAGCCGTAAAGCCCACCTCTGTCTGCATGCTGTCTCCCGCACCTCGAAACCACGGCAATTGCTGGTTGGGCCGGCTTGCCGCGTCCCATCTCCCCCCCGAGGTCCACAGCATGCTCCTTTGTGCGAGCCGTTGTAATAAGCACTGCCGAAGTCGCGCCACCAGGCCACCTGCGGCTTCGTGATGCAGACTGCGAGCGGGGCCGCAGCATCCTGGCCTGCTGTATGACAAGATCCGAACCTGGGCGGCCTGGGCACTCCCGTATGTGGTCATGCCACTTGCACGTTATCCTGGGTTTAATACTACCTCCAATATTATCCCACTATCCTCCCACAGTGCTGGGTGCTAGCATCGCACCGGCACCCTGGAGATACAGCCTCACACATGCGACAGAGACGCCAAGTGTTTACCAGCAGCAATCAGAGGCTTCCATGCTGAGACTAAGTACTAGTAGTCTCACTGTAGTTCGCATAGGCGGTGAACAGTTTTCTGGTGTGGTGTGTACTGTGCATTAGAGAGGTGCATACTAATAAAGACCAAACCGTGGGGGCACAGACGGTCAGCTCATGCGCATGTCAGGATGGGTGCCGGGCTGAATAGTCCGGCCCATCGTCAGATTTGCCATACTACTAAACGCCAATATGAGATAAAAAGCAGGCCAAGACCCAATGATGCATTTTTTGATCTTACACGCTGATGGCCTACCTCCCAATTGCCAGGTGTAACGCTGCCTGCCTTCTATCTATATGGCCATTGGCCAACAGTAGCTCGGATCCGAAGCCTGGGCCGCCGGGTCGGAGCGTGAGCCGCAATCGCAGCTGGCTATGTCATCGTCATCAGATCTCGGTTGTCCCGTGTGCTTGCATCCCTCAACCTGCATGCGTTGTAGGTGGTTGAATGGCAGAGCCTGGGCTGCTCCATGTTCTTGCAGCACAGTCAGCACCCGTCCTGGTATTGTACTTTTGTACGCACCATACGTCAAGCCATGCCACATGCTAGTCTTGACCAGTCTTCGACAGTTCAAACAAAGGCCAGGCTCGGACTGTGCCAATGGTCTGGCAACGGTGGCAGCCAGAGGAGGAAAAAATCTAACAATTTATCGTGACTCACATGACCTTGGATCGACACGTCGACTTCGGCAGCAGAGAACACAAAAAAACAAATACTCGTCTAATTGTTCCACAGCGCTGGTTTGGCTCGAATCCCGATCTGGGCTAGCTGCCCCAGGATCTCGAGTCTCGAGTCCCGACAAAGCAGGGATGCGCGATTCATTCCGGCTCCTCCACCCACGCGTTGTCCAACCACAGCCCACACTTCTGGTCAAACTACCTATCGATAAGCCTCTAAGGGCAGAAAATTTTAGTGACTTAACCAAAAGCTTGGTGGGGAGAAGCTGGGGTCCGGTCAACAGGCTTCTGACATCCCACTTCACTTGCTTATTGCCTCCCGCAATTCGCCTTGTCCGTATTTTCTTCTTCTTTTTTCTCCCCCTCAACCCACCAGTTGAGGTTCCTGACGACATTCTGCTATACACAATAGCACCCTGCGGGTGAGACGAGGCTGCCATTGGCTTTCCACCCCCTCATGCTCGGAGCTAACTGAGCCCTCTTGTCCCAGGAACCACCATCCACTACTCGAGCGAGCCCTGCCGAGCTTGCTGCCATCTTTGGCACCGACTCGTTGAGCTCCTCAAATCGCCCGAGCCTCTAGGGAGACCATTCTCGATACCCCCTTCTTCCTATTGACCATGGCTTCCAAGGCCTTCCCGCCAGCTTCGGCTCGCCTTAGCGGCCAGAACGAGGACCTCTTCTGCTTGGAGCTCGAGGATGGCTCCGCCTACCAGGGCTACAGCTTCGGTGCTCCCAAGAGCATCGCCGGTGAGCTGGTCTTCCAGACCGGCATGGTTGGCTACCCCGAGTCCGTCACAGACCCTTCCTACCGTGGCCAGATACTCGTCATCACATTCCCCCTAGTTGGCAACTATGGTGTCCCCTCGCGGGAAACCATGGACGAGCTGCTTCGCGACCTGCCCGCCCATTTCGAGTCGTCCCAGATCCACATAGCCGGTCTTGTCACCGCCTCCTACTCGGGCGAGGACTACTCTCACTTCCTGGCAACTTCTTCGCTCGGCACATGGCTGAAGGAGCAGGGCATACCGGCGATGCATGGTGTTGACACCCGTGCATTGACCAAGCACATCCGTGAGAAGGGTAGCATGCTGGGCCGCATGCTGCTGCAAAAGCCGCAAGGCGCCAATGGCATTCCTAATGGCACCCTCGGCCAGGCGAACGGTGTCCCCCAGGCCATGAAGGACTGGAAGCCGTACTTTGACACCGTTGATTGGGTCAACCCCAATGAGAAAAACCTCGTAGCAGAGGGTGAGTGAAAGTGCAATGGGCCTCGTGTCGACTTTCTGCTCACTTCTCCTTAGTGTCCATCAAGGCGCCAAAACTGTACACGCCTCCCGCAGACATCGCTGTGAAGCACCCGTCTGGTAGGACCATCCGAATCCTCTGCCTCGACGTTGGTATGAAATACAACCAGCTTCGTTGCTTCCTCAAGCGAGGTGTAGAGGTCCTGGTATGCCCCTGGGACCATGACATTGTGGCGCAGGCGGGCGAGGAGTACGATGGTCTGTTCATCTCCAACGGACCGGGTGACCCTTCCGTCCTCGATGTCACCGTAAAAAACATTGCAGCGGCCATGGCAAAGAACCGCACCCCGGTGTTCGGTATCTGCTTGGGCCACCAGCTGCTCGCCCGGGCTGCCGGAGCCGGTACGACCAAGCTCAAGTTTGGTAACAGAGGTCACAACATTCCTTGCACAAGCCTGGTCACTGGAAAGTGCCACATCACATCTCAGAACCACGGTTTCGCCGTCGACAGCAAGACTCTCCCCTCAGACTGGCAGGAGCTCTTCGTGAATGCCAATGATGGAACCAACGAGGGTATTGCCCACGTCAACAAGCCATACTTCAGTGTTCAGTTCCACCCCGAGAGCACTCCTGGCCCACGTGACACCGAGTTCCTGTTCGATGTCTTCATCCAGACCATTACCAACTGCGCTTCGGACAGCAGCCTTCTCTCAAAGCCAGTTAGCTTCCCCGGAGGCACGGCGGCACAAAACGAGGCAGCCCACCCTCGCGTCAAGCCCAAGAAGGTCCTCGTGCTTGGCAGCGGTGGTCTCAGCATCGGCCAGGCTGGTGAATTCGACTACTCTGGCAGTCAGGCCATCAAGGCCTTGAAGGAGGAGGGCATCTACACTGTGCTCATCAACCCCAACATTGCCACCATCCAGACGTCCAAGGGTCTGGCGGACAAGGTCTACTTCCTTCCGGTGAACGCCGAATTTGTTCGAAAGGTCATCCAATACGAGCGGCCCGATGCCATCTACGTCACCTTTGGTGGCCAGACTGCCCTGCAAGTCGGTATCCAGCTCAAGGATGAGTTTGAGGAGCTTGGAGTCAAGGTCCTCGGCACACCGATCGACACCATCATCACAACCGAGGATCGTGAGCTGTTTGCTCGCAGCATGGAGTCTATCGGTGAGAAATGCGCCAAGTCTGCCTCAGCAAGCAATGTCGATGAGGCCATGATAGCTGTCAAGGATATCGGCTTCCCCGTTATCGTGAGAGCCGCCTATGCTCTTGGTGGGCTGGGCAGTGGCTTCGCCAACAACGAAGCCGAGCTTCTTGACCTCTGCAACAAGGCCTTCGCTGCCAGTCCTCAAGTGCTCATCGAGCGCAGTATGAAGGGCTGGAAGGAGATCGAGTACGAAGTGGTCCGTGATGCCCAGGACAACTGTATCACCGTCTGTAACATGGAGAACTTTGACCCCCTGGGTATCCACACCGGTGACTCGATTGTGGTTGCTCCTTCTCAGACCCTGTCTGACGAGGATTACAACATGCTTCGAACTACTGCCGTCAACGTTATCCGTCACCTCGGCGTGGTTGGAGAATGCAACATCCAGTATGCGCTCAACCCATTCTCAAAGGAGTACTGCATCATCGAAGTCAACGCAAGACTTTCAAGATCCTCGGCACTCGCCTCCAAAGCTACTGGGTACCCTCTTGCTTTTATCGCCGCCAAGCTGGGGTTGAACATCCCCCTGAAGGACATCACAAACACGGTTACCCGGTCCACTTGCGCGTGTTTCGAGCCCTCTCTCGATTACGTCGTGGTGAAGATGCCTCGTTGGGACCTCAAGAAGTTCACTCGAGTGTCGACACAGCTGGGCTCTTCCATGAAAAGTGTTGGTGAGGTCATGAGCATCGGCAGGAGCTTCGAAGAAGCGATCCAGAAAGCCATCCGTGCGATTGACTTCCAGAACCTGGGCTTTAACGAGACCTCGAACGCCCTCATGTCGATTGATGACGAGCTGCAGACACCATCGGATCAGCGTCTCTTTGCCATTGCCAACGCGATGCATGCCGGCTACACTGTTGACAAGATCTGGGAGCTGACCAAGATCGACAAGTGGTTCCTTAACAAGCTCAAGGGCTTGAGCAACTTCAGCAAAGAGATGGCACAGTATAACACTGGCGACATCACTTCAAACCCGAACATTCTGCTACAGGCCAAGAGACTCGGGTTCTCGGACCGACAGCTTGCCAAATTCTGGAACTCGAACGAGTTGGCGGTGCGTCGACTGAGGGACGAGGCTGGCATTATGCCCTTCGTCAAGCAGATTGACACCGTGGCCGCCGAGTTCCCGGCTATGACCAACTATCTGTACCTGACCTACAACGCAACAGAACACGACGTCAAGTTTGACGAACATGGTGTTATGGTCCTGGGCTCTGGTGTGTACAGAATTGGTTCATCCGTCGAGTTCGACTGGTGCTCGGTCCGGGCTATTCGCACGCTCCGTGAGGCTGGCTTCAAGACCATGATGGTGAATTACAACCCCGAAACTGTGAGCACCGATTACGACGAAGCCGACAAGCTCTATTTCGAGAACATCACCATCGAGACTGTTCTTGATATCTACCAGTTGGAGTCCGCAAAGGGTATTCTCGGCGCCATGGGTGGTCAGACACCCAACAACATCGCCCTGCAGCTTCACCGAGCTGGAGCCAAGATGCTGGGAACGTCTCCTGAGATGATTGACTCGGCCGAGAACCGATACAAGTTCTCTCGTATGCTTGACCGCATTGGTGTCGACCAGCCTACTTGGAAGGAGTTGACCAGCTTCGACAAGGCTAAGGAGTTCTGTAACATCGTCTCCTATCCTGTCCTGGTCAGACCTTCTTACGTACTGTCCGGTGCCGCTATGAACACAGTCTACTCTGAGGCAGATCTGGAGAACTACCTGAAGCAGGCAACGGATGTGTCACCTGAACACCCGGTCGTCATCACTAAGTACATTGAGAATGCCAAGGAAATTGAGATGGACGCTGTCGCCCATGACGGAGAGCTTGTCGGCCACTTCATCTCCGAGCACGTCGAAAATGCCGGTGTGCACTCGGGTGATGCGACTCTGATCCTGCCGCCCCAAGATCTGGAGAAGACCACTATCGAGCGTATCGAAGAAGCGACTCGCAAGATTGCCGTTGCGCTGAACGTTACTGGACCCATGAACATTCAGTTCATTGCCAAGGACAACGATATCAAGGTTATCGAGTGCAACGTCCGTGCGTCTCGTTCGTTCCCCTTCGTCTCCAAGGTCATGGGTGTCGACCTGATCGAGATGGCTACCAAGGCCATCATGGATGTGCCTTTCGAGCCATACCCTGTGGTTGAGAGGCCTGCCGATGCCGTTGGTGTCAAGGTCCCGCAGTTCAGTTTCTCCCGTCTGTCCGGAGCCGACCCTGTTTTGGGAGTTGAGATGGCCTCGACCGGTGAGGTTGCCTGTTTCGGTGTTGACAAGTATGAGGCATACTTGAAGGGTTTGATGTCCACTGGTTTCAAGATCCCCAAGAACAACATCCTGCTCTCACTGGGATCTTACAAGGACAAGATGGAGATGCTTCCGTCTATCAAGAAGCTGCAGGAACTCGGGTACAAGCTCTTCGCCACAGCAGGTACTGCCGACTTCCTCCAGAACCATGATATTCCCGTACAATTTTTGGAGGCACTACAGGAGGACGACCAGAAATCCGAATTCTCGCTCACGCAGCATTTGGCAAACAACATGATCGACTTGTACATCAACCTGCCCTCCAATAACAAGTACCGCCGCCCAGCCAACTACATGAGCAAGGGTTACAGGACACGAAGAATGGCCGTTGATTACCAGATTCCCCTGGTCACGAACGTGAAAAACGCAAAGATCCTCGTCGAGGCCATTGCCAAGCACATGGCTCTCGACGTGAGCATCGTGGACTACCAGACCAGCCACCGTACTGTTGTGCTCCCTGGTCTGGTCAACATCGCCGCCTTCGTGCCAGGCATTGTCTCGGAGAAGAGCCGCGACTTGGAGGCTGTGACCAAGGCCTCCCTCGCTGCAGGTTTCACCATGATTCGGACCATGGCTGTCGGCCGGGAGGGCGCTATCACAGATGCGCGGTCCTTGACCGCCGCTCAGCAGAACGGCAAGTCTGGGATCTACTGTGACTTCAACGTGTCAGTCGCTGCCACCTCATCGAACGCCAACCAGATCAGCCACGTTGCTGGAGAAGTGGGTGCCTTGTTCATCCCCTTCAACCACCTGTCCGACAATATCAGCAAGGTTGCCGCCGTCACTGCCCACTTCGATGCTTGGCCATCACACAAGCCAATTTTGACAGATGCCAAGCTCACCGACCTGGCATCGATTCTCCTTTTGGCCAGCCTGCACAACCGCAAGATCCACGTCACGTCTGTCACAAACAAGGATGACATCAAGCTCATCGGACTAAGCAAGCAGAAGGGGCTCAAGGTCACATGTGATGTGTCCATCTACTCTCTGTACCTGTCGCAGAATGACTACCCTCAATGTGACTTCCTGCCGACTGTCGAGGATCAACGCGCCCTGTGGGAGCATCTGAGCGACATCGACATCTTCTCCATTGGCAGTCTGCCTTACCAGTTGGCAGCTGCCGCTGGTGCTGAGGTCGATGCCACGGTTGGAATCGCCGAGGCCCTTCCCCTGCTTCTCACCTCTGTAAGCGAGGGCAAGCTCACCGTCGACGACATCAAGAAGCGTCTGCATGACAACCCCGTTGAGATCTTCGAGTTGCATGACCAAGCTGGCACTTTTGTGGAGGTCGAGATCGAGCGTCCTTCTACAGTCTCCACCACCGCTGGCTGGTCTCCAATTGCTGGACGTGTCGTGAGGGGAGCTGTTCAGCGCATCACATTCCAGGACAAGCTTGTCTGTCTTGATGGACAGATTCTTGATGGACCTGCCATCGGAAAGGACATGTCAAGACATGGCGCCTTGCCGCCACCCATGTCGCCGCTGATGAAGCCAGCCTTGCAAGCTGCGGAGACCCCACGAACGACGGATCGCCGCTCCTCAGTAATTGGCTCAGCGCGGCCGATCGTCAAGCCTCGCGGCTTGGACAATGCGCTGGGTCAGTCGTTCAAGAACACAGTCTTCGAAGACTTCGGCCCATCGCTGCCTCTCCAGTCCTCCCATGACAGCCCTCTGCAGGCGCTTCTGGCTCAGCCGCACTCGTTCAAGATGTCTCACGTCCTGTCGGTGACTCAGTACACTCGTGCCGACCTGCACCTCCTGTTCACCGTCGCACAGGAGATGCGGACCGGGGTTCAGCGTGAGGGCGTCCTGAACGTGCTCAAGGGCCGTCTGCTCTGCACAATGTTCTACGAACCCTCGACACGAACGTCAGCGTCGTTCGACGCCGCGATGCAGCGCCTTGGCGGGCGAACTATCGCCATCTCCACGTCGACTTCTTCTGTCAAGAAGGGCGAGACCCTCCAGGACACACTGCGGACTCTTGCCTGCTATGGAGATGCCGTCGTCCTGCGCCATCCTGAAGAAAGCTCGGTCAAGGTCGCAAGGAAGTTCTCGCCTGTCCCAGTCATCAACGGCGGTAACGGATCCAAGGAGCACCCCACCCAGGCCTTCCTGGACCTCTTCACCATCCGTGAGGAGCTGGGTACCGTGCAGGGCCTGACCATCACCTTCGTCGGAGACCTGCTCTACGGGCGCCCCGTGCACTCGCTTGTCTACCTGCTCCAGCACTACCAGGTCAAGGTGCAGCTCGTCTCGCCCAAGAGCCTGGCGCTGCCGCCGCAGGTGTACGAACAGCTTGTCAAGTCGGGCCAGCTCCTGACCGTGTCGGAGACCCTGACGCCCGAGATCCTGGGCCGCAGCGACGTCCTGTACTGCACGCGTGTGCAGCAGGAGCGCTTCCCCAGCAAGGAGGAGTACGAGGCGGTCCGCGGTGCGTACCGCATCGACAACGCCACGCTGAAGCATGCCAAGAGCAGCATGATCGTCATGCACCCGCTGCCGCGGAACGAGGAGATCGCGGAGGAAGTGGACTTCGACCCCAGGGCGGCGTACTTCAGACAGGTAAGTCTCCTTCCCCGCCTGGGCAGAATATGTGTTTGCTGACTCTTTCGCACAGATGAAGTATGGTCTCTACACCCGCATGGCTCTCTTGGCTCTTGTCATGTCCAACTGAGAATCTTGTGCTGCTGTGTATTTAGACTGACTTGCTATTTGCGTGTTACGAAAATTTCTGGACGGGTAAAATCTGGTACCAACAGGATGGTGCAAAGAAAGAGAAAAGTATCTGAGAGTTCGAAATGGTTTCCGCTCTTTTCTTTCTCTTCGCATTTTTTTTCTTATAAATTAGACCCGTAAAAGGTCACAGACCAACGTATACAAAGGCATCAAGTAGACGTAAATGGGGCTCACACCCTGGATTTTGGTTAGGTTTGTGTGTGAATACGCTGGGTGTATATGTTAGTTATGTATGTATGTATGTTTTGTATACGTTGTATGTTAGGTGTTTGGGTGGTGTGTGTTTTGCGTTTGGGTCGTTTTTTGTTTGGGTTTGGTGGATGGATTTTTGTATATAGCGTATTCTGTGTTTTCAATGATACCCCCTCCAGTTTTCTTCTCGCTCTTTGTTCACTATTGTATTCTGCGTCTGGCTTGGCGAGTCTGGTCTGTATCTTCGAAGCTGAAAACGAATTGACAGATCGACAAGTCATACACAGCCTGGTCGATTTCGTACACCAACAGTTCAGCTATGTGTAATGTGGGGGTACGCGACGAATGCGCTGCCACCATCTGGAGCTCAGCCGCGTTCGCAGGATAGCTGCACATGCGGTGCAACCCAGGCAAACAGGGTCGGATAATTCTACATCATGGGAAGCAGTGGCCGTCAAGCATTCTGGCCACCTTCCACAGCCATCTTAGCCGGCCGCTAATCTGCAATGCACACCGATGGGTCGACAAATCAGGTTGACGCCCAGAAGTCTGCTCAGGGGGCTGAATGTCCAGCGATACGCAACGTGTACAGCGCATATGGAAAAAGGAGGCCCACGCGTTCTGCATTTTCAATGAGGCTCTAAATTTCGTGGCCTGGTCCCCACTTGCATTGTTTCTCCCTGTTCTCATGACGTTCAAGAACCAGCGGTCTCGTCAGCGTCTCTTGCGGTTCTCTGCTTTAGCTATTACCAACAACCTGCACGCTCTGTCAACCGGTCAGTGAGACTGGTTCCCATGAAATTCCATGGTCAACTTTTGAAAACCTCGCATACTATCCAGGATATTCAAAGCAAAATGCGGCGTTTCACTCAGTCCCTGCAGTATGAGGCTCGTCTCCATAGACACGAAGCTATTTCCGAGGCCCACGAACAAACATTTCGGTGGCTACTGGGTGACAACGAGGACGACAGCCAAGTCAAGAGTGGATTTCCCCAGTGGCTAGAGTCAAATGACGGGATTTTCTGGGTCACAGGGAAACCAGGCTCCGGGAAGTCGACTTTCATGAAGTTCGTTGCCGGTGCAGCACGGACGCGTGAGCTCTTGGATCGCTGGGCATACCCGACCATTCTTGTTGCTCATTATTTCTGGAGCCCTGGCTCATCGATACAGAAGTCCCAGGAAGGGCTTCTACGATCGTTGCTTTACGAGATGTTTCGGCAGTGTCCAGACCTTATCCCTGTAACTTGTGAAGAACGATGGCGGCAATTAGACGACCCGGCTGTGCCGAGTGGAACTTGGTCATCGACCAGCCTGATGGAAACCTTCAGAAAGGTCGCTATGGAGACGTCCCTCGGAAGGGTCAACTTCTGTTTCTTCATCGACGGTCTTGACGAATTTGGAGGATCCCATGGGGATCAACTTGAGCTGGTTTGTCTCTCGCTTCTCCTCGTCCCTTGAGGTTTCGGATATCACTAATCCTTCTTTCATCTCGGGCAGTGCAAAATGGTGTGCGAGCTGGCTCAGTATCAGCATATCAAGCTTTGTGTATCAAGCAGGCCATGGAACGTATTCGAAGACGCATTTGGCGCAGGCCCCAAGATGTACATCCATCATTTGACGGGGAACGACATAAGAAATTATGTTTCCTGTCGTCTTCGCGAACACCCGCGGTGGATTGACTTGCCATTCTCAACCCTGGCCGATGGCCAGAGGTTGATCGACCAGATCGCAGAGCGTTCCGACGGGGTTTTCCTCTGGGTGGTCTTGGTGACGAAACTACTCCGCGAAGGAATGACAAACCGCGATCGCCTCGCAGACTTGTGCAGGAGGTTGGACAGTTTCCCACGAGAGCTCGGTCCACTCTTCAGACATATAATGGACTCTGTGGAACCCATATATCATGTGAAGATGGCGACCATGCTCCAGGTTGCTCTTGTCGCAGAGAAGCCACTCCATATGCTCATGTACGACTTCCATGACCTGGAGCATGACGACGAGTACCACTATCTAAAAAGACGTTTCGAGCCACTTACCAAGGATGAGTTTTCCGATGTCAAGAGCCGTGTACCCTACTATATTGATAGCAGGACGCGAGGCTTGCTTGAAGTCTCAAGCTCCCAGGAGGTCACCTTCCTCCATCGGACTGTAAAGGATTATCTTGCCGAGCATGCCCTCTCGATTTTCCCAGAGATACAACTTCCAAAGGGCTCTTCACGAGCATTTAATCCGCACCTAAGCATTCTACGCGCCTACGCGGCATGGGTCAAATGTGCGGTTCCGGACACACTATGTCGGCACGACTTTGCAAACTACTACTCCAGCAGCGAAGCCACGGACGGCATCACGCCTAGCATCCTCAAGCTCACAACGGAGCTGATACCCTACGCCGTTCACCTGGATCCGCTGAGCCGCTGGGACCGCCGCATAGGCGAAGTCGTCGATGACATAGATAACAGCATCGCAACCCTGATATCTCGGACCAGGTCCTCTGCTGGCTCCGCATGTGGCGAGGCGTGGGGCGGGAAGCAATTGAGGCATGAGCATAGGATCGATTTGGACAGAGTCACATTTCAGGAAGATTATGAATGGAAGAAAGCGCTGTTCTTTCGGGAGAGCCTCATCAAGGCAGGTGCCACCAACTATGTTGCCGTCATGGAGTTGAAAGAGCCAACCATCCGGGAGCCACAGGACAACAAGAGATACTTGGGCGGCAACCACTGTCTAAACACCGAAACAACCCGGTATGGTCACCAAGGAATCATTTCGCATTCTCTGAGGTGGTCTTGGAAAGTATACCTGGTGGTTTTGAAACGGTTCCTTTTCATACTGTGCCCATTCATATGCAACCTGAGCTCGGGTCTCATTAAATGCCTCCCGCACTTTCTTACTCGTTTATTTTTGATCCCACTGTTGTCCTCTTTGGTGAAGTTTGTGTATGGAAATGATGGCTAGGGATTAAGATTCGTTGCCTGTATGTCAGACTGGAAATTCTAAAGCGAAAATCATTGCGTTTATCCATAGAACACATTTCTTCCTACTCATTGACCACTTCCTTTCGATTCCGTTGTCTCAGCAGCCGCCGGTAGCGGCCCTAGACATGGGCTACATAAATAGGTACCTCACCCCCGAGAGCTTTTCAGTAGAATTCATCCTTCCTTATTCTTATTTGATCAGTACTTAGAAGTGGCTATTTTGTCCACTTTCTTGCTTATTGCAAGCTAACCGTAAACCGTGAAATCGAGGGCGGGAGGCCCCCAGACCCGGGTGCGAAGCCCTCGCCCCCCGGGTTCGCCGTTTGACAGTGAATAAGCATTTTTCTCATGCCTTTGTATTTCTCACATCCATCGGCCTTCTGTAAGACGTTCAGCTGGGTGATCGCCTGCTCTTTCGGCTTATCTTGAAACAATCGGAAGAGCTCAGCGGTGTCACTAGAAGAATGAGAAAAGTCGAGTCTAACCGGTGAGACATCGTTCCAATGTGCATGGCAGTATCTGTTGTAGGCCCGCTCGCTCAATTTCATAGCACTCCAATCGCCACATGCAAGCTGTCGAAGACGATTGCCTATGTAGTTATTCCTCCGTTGCTCCGGCTCGTTAGTTTGATCTCCTCAAGTTTACAAATTGGAATGGCGTGGTACATAGAGGTGGTGCCAGTGTCATGCAGCTGGCAATTTGATATGTCCTGACATATTTGGTATTCGAATTGATTGGAGACAAGATCCCAGAAGTTCTGGACCTCGGCGTATCAACATTTTGAGGTCACATAACATCTGGTGCCGAAGAATCTGCCTTGGGTACCTAGGTACCAACTTGGCACTTCGAAGCAAAAATGCACATGCCACTGGCAAAAGCCGAAGCCCTATATGCATCAAGGCAGCACCCGAGCCTCGCTTGAACAACAGCTGACGGTAACCTTTGCTCTCCGTGATTCAATGTGCGGTCAGGAAGGCGACATTCACGGGTGTTCCACAAACCTTGTATAAGTAATTAAGTTGTACTAAACAACGAACCAGATAGTAGGACCCATAGAGCCCTAGTCACCCAAATTTACATACTTATTTTCAGCCAATTCATAGAACGTAAAGAGATGTTTCTAGGGTTACACTTTTACTGTGAAGAGGCTCAAAACCGAGGTCCTGGTAATATGGGATGCAAGCTAGCCGATCGGCCTGTTCCGTTGCTCCGCAGTAGGTGTGATGGATCAACAGCTGCGACTGTTGGTTCAATGTTATTTTTAGAGACTCTGGGGTTGGTGCCCGCCCTGCAGCGGCAATCAGCCACGCACGATTGTGTGCTTGTCTAGTGAACAAGGGGCGTGGGTAAATACTACGGCCTCCGCAAGCACAATGACTTCTCCAGGTTCACCAACAAAAGCCCAAACAAGTCGACGATATGTTGGTACCATGGGACACAGAGATCAATTTCGCGAGCGCCCTGCTGTTACACAGCTGTGTCACAGTCGTTCTGAAGGAGGCGTTCAACGTGATTGAGATCGCGCGGCGCCTCGTCCTACGACGGTGGACTGTTCAGTCGCTCAAGGGTGGCGAAAACCGCCAAGACCGGATCGGGACTTCAATTGTGCTGGACGGCTACACTTCAATATTCTCGCACGACCTGGATGGCGACCTCGCGGAACTTTATTTCACCAACACAGGGCTCGGTTTGCTCGCTGTATCGCTGGCCTCGAGCGTGGCAATGAACTTGTTCTTGCCAGGCCTCGTTCTAAACGCTGTTGTTGCCGCAACGTTTGCAGTCGCTTTTCTGGCTTCGCTAGTCAACGGCAAAAAGGGATTGTTACTACCCATATTGGCACTGAGGCGTGCTGGACGGTTCATTTGGTCTGACACTCCTTTTGTCAATTTCTTCTCCGTGATATATATTGCGACCGTTCTGCGGGGCCAGTCAACCTTGCGGCTCCAAGATTATGTTACTTTCCGCAGCATCGCCGTGCTGGAGCTGGTTTTTATGAAGGGGAGACTGGCGGCGTCTTCCCCCGAACAGCAGATTGCCCTGGTCAGAAGGCTCGTTGCTAGCGAGTGGGTAGCAGTAAACGCCGTGAGTGCCACCTAGAATATGGATTATTTAACTGCACTAACAAGGAACAGAATCGAGGCAATCAATACCTCGATCGGGTGTACCCATCCGCCGAACGCGATGACATGGTGACTTTCACCACGTTGCAGAGGCTGTGGGTCATGCTCTTCAAGACCAGTATCAGCTATCACTGTGGCTGTCTGAAGGGTTCTCTGGGTCCAGCAACTGTCCCACTGCCAGATCTAGGGTTCTACGCAGATGGCCCGTCCAAGGATTGGAAGATTTACAGGGTCTCGGAAGACGTAATGATTTTAGCCGATTGCCTGGACACGTCTACTCCCAAGAACCAGTGGGGACGTTTCATTTCTTCGGCTCATGGGGTTCTCCTTCGTCGGCTTGGGAAAGTTAGGGTCATCTATCTCTTGAGGCTCAAGACTTCCGCTGAGACAGGCTGCATCTCATTGTGGCACTCAAACATTAACTTGGTTACAGGTGTTTCGAAGCAATGGCTGCTTGACGAGTTTGATCGTTCACAGCCTCAGGGGATTTGTGTTGTTGCAGGTAAATGAGAGTCTACGGTTACGCAGCCTTGAGAGAGCACCTGAGGTCTTCAAGCCGGCAATCATGACAAACGCGCTTGAAAGGCTGAACGAGCGCACGAGATGATAAGCGGATATACTATGTTGGCAAGAAAAATGTGTTTATCCAGTCGCCGGTCTCGGGTGTGCGAGCGCGGCCTCAACGCCTACTGCTTCATCTGCCTGGGGCACAACGATCGGGGGAGCTGCTGCCGATGCAGGGTGGTCACAATCACATGGCTGCACATCAACTGCTCACCTCGCCTTCCCCCGCGGGGAGAGGCAGCGCCTGCACTGTTGCTGGTACGTGGCCATGGACCAGACGCGGCCCATCACTCAGGGAAAGAAGAAGCGCATCAACCTCAAGATCGCAGACGAGCACATTGGCATAATGGGAAATGGCAACTAGGACACACAGAGCTGGTACCACAGCCAGGAGACCAATGTCCTGTTGAACAAGTAGCGAGGCTGTGTGCCGTGCTTTAATCGATGGATTGCGCAGGATCCAGAACACGCAGGGCATGGGTGAGTTTGAGGAGTTGGCATTTTCACTCTCCGCCGGTCTGATGTGCTCATGGAACAGGAGATTTGAGCTTGTGCTTGGCTTTGGTTAAGTATGTCGCTTACGAGTAAGTACTAAGAGGCTCGTGATTGCAGCAAATAGTGTGTGTGAAAACACAAGCATCCACACAATCTATTCTTGAATAATACTTCTATGGCACCCGCTGCCAAAACACATCCTGTTAATGCTTCTTTATTATCCTTGATTCTGAACCCTACCCCGGGGTGCCTCAGAGGCACTGAGAGTAGTACTGATTTGAAACGGAGCAGGTGCTTCCTGACGCGCAGCAAGTAGCGCCGGTCCAACCAGTCCCGCCACACTGCCCGTACTTGGCAGCACAGGAGCCGCCTGAGGCGGCGCTGGTGGTCGTCGATGCGGCAGATGAGGTCTTTGTAGACGTGGCGAGCGTGGTGGACGAGGTGGTTGCCTTTGATGTGGTTGATGTCTGGGGGCTTCCGCCACCCGAGGCACCACATGTGAAGGGGTTGGGGCCGGGAATCGTGTAGGTTGATGAAGAGGTCCTGGAAGGAAGGAGTCAGCGTTTCTCAAGACCATGCAGAGGACATGAGTTTTCAGGCGTGTCTTCTTACATGGAATAAATGTTGATCAGCAGCCCAGGGTCATCCGCCTGATAAGAATGTCAGTGCTTGAGTGGCTTGATCAACTTGGACGTATACAAACCTTATAAATTCCGGGGATGCTGTAAGTTGCCGGCGTGGAAGCCCCCGTGCCTCCCACAACGTTGATTTGAGCACACCTGAGAAAAATCCCGTCAGTCTGAATAGATGGCAGTCATGACAACCAAGAGAACTTACTCCATGTAGAGCTGGGCCCCGCCAGAACTGCCAGCAGAATGCAATGCTATCATCTCGGCGCGCAACAAGTATTGCCCTGGGGCGATACAGGAAGGAATAGTGATGGCGTGTATACCCCCGTTATTGATCACCTTTGAGGTGCCCCATGCACCTGCATTGTAACCGTCTTGCTGGATCTTGAACCTATAGGGTGCGAAGCGTCAGCACGACTGATATCTCTCGTTGCTTGTGTCTCTCTAAGCCAAAAGCCTTACCATCCACCACCGACACCCGTGTCCGTCAGAGCGTTGTCAACCTTCTTCATATATGCCAGGGTAGGTCCCAGGTGCGACGCGTCCATAACATCGTCCGACCCCGAGGTCAAAGTGTGCCTCCAGATGGCGTTCACTGTGGATCCAGCTTGCACCGTGATGACTTGACTGGCCGACGCTGGGTCGTTAGGTGGTCCGTTACAGGCAAGACTGTTTGAGGTGACATCTTGGATAGGTCCGTCATAGGTCGGAGTCCTTATGCCATAGCTGACTGGATTCGTCGTGCCACCAGCGCCGAGCTGGACAAAGATGGTATGTGCCGAAGCCACAGAGGCGCTAAACAGGAGGGAAGAGACCTTCATCTTAGTTGTCACTGGTGATCTTCTGCCGATGTCTGCCTAAGAGTTGATCGAGTACAGGACCTGTGTGATGCCGAGATGTTCCTGACCACACCAGAATATTCAAATACCCAGGCGCATCACTCATAAGTATATATAGCTGCCATGAAGTCCAGGCCCAAGCGCGATACACCCTCCATCTCCCGTCAGCATCACGCGGCGGTCCGGGCCAGTATCTTCAGTGTCGCAGTCAGATTAATTTATCCAGCATGAGCCATGCCCTTCGCAGCACGGTGGTGTGTCCGCGCTACCGGAGAATCTCGCGAGCAGGGGCCAAAAGGGGGCCCCGGAAAGAAACTGGCTTCTCAATCGGAAGGTCTCCCCCCGTCGCTAGTGCTTGGCGAGGGTGTACAACGTTGATTCCCCACGCGGCCGGGTCGCAGCCAACGGCGGAACCATACTTGGGTCTAGATGCCCGGAGAAGCTTGATTGACTGGTTGTCTGGGCAAGCAGGCAAGGGAGTGCGGTCAAGCTCGTGGCTCGTGCGGAAGCTTGATGTGATCACCTGCGGCTACACTGGGCGCTAGGCCGGCTCCCTTCCCGATGTTCAGCGAGAAGCAATCGCGATCATGGGAAAACAGGTTGATGTGCAGATTCTAAGACATTCCGAGACGGGACATCTTCCTGTCATACTAGTAGCTTGGTCGGGCAGTCATTGCTCAGCTCCAAGATGGGAGTCACAGACGATTGGTTTTGGGCGGGGTTCGGTTGTGAACGATGTTTACCTTGGAATATGACCAAGAACTATAGGCAAAGATGTCAGACAATGAGATCTTGAACGTGTTGTGCTATTATAATTTCTGGGCCACAAGACATCATCGTGAGTGTGCTTAGCGAAATGCCGTTGCTAAACCAAAACATATTGCAGTGGTCCTCTGACACATCGGTAAACTGGCAATTGAATGTGACGAAACGTCAGCAAAATGGTCAAGACCCCCAGTGGTGAAAATGTCGCTTGACGCGCTCTAAAGTATGGACTGAAGAGTGGCCTCCGGGCGGGTAGCACTTGAGCCTCCAAGGTTATGATATGGGAAATTTCAACGAAGGAGGTATGACCAGTCAGTCGTTGACACTCGATTTGCGGAAGCTGACCTAGTCAGTGGTGGCTGACAGCCGGCTTATAGTGATGACGGTACGGTGATAAAGATGAACACGGCATAATTGGCATTCCCCAAGTGAGGGACACATCGAGGAGAGAGACGCAACATGAAGCCTCGGAGCAAGAATTGAGCAACAGCAGGAAGGCGAGGTTGATTAGTGGGGAAGAGAGAGACAGCACTGCTCTTCTGGGCCTGCTAAATCAATTGATGGATGGATACGCACTTAAGTAGGTACCGCGGTACCCAGGTACTGCTGGTGAGGTACGGTGACGCGCCTGAGCGCGTTGCGGGGAATCCTGTGGGGCTGAACGGCAGCCATGGCCAGGCCCTGGCAGCTCCCCCCACGCCGCCCGAGCTTAAGCACTTTATCTCCGTGATCTGCATCATAAGTCTTGCCTACACCCTTCACACGGTCATGGAGTCTCCAACGTCACCAGATTGAAGCATTTCCCTCCATGGCCATCTAATGATTCTTTCCCCTACACCAGCCTGTTGACTGCCATGGCGTACATTGCACCCATCCACCGGCCCAGCAGCATACGCCATGCTCTGCGGGCAAGGATCTTCGGCGATGAAGAGAGCCTGGTGATAGCGTAAGCATCCGACGCATCCTGGCCGCCCAGCTGCCCGGCCGCCCAACCCGACGACTGCTAATCTGCGCGCAGAAAGACGAACCGGCTCGAGATATATGGCCTCGTCGAAAACCAACTGATCCTCCGGCACTCCAATGTCATCAATGGGTCCATCTCCATGCTCCAGAAGCTGTCGCCAAAAGACAACACAACAGACCTGCTCTTCGTCGGCACCGACAGGGCCCAACACTTCACCCTCGCTTGGAACCCCGAGATAAGACAGCTTGAGACAATACAATTTAACCAGGATGTCGGCGAGAGGTTCATGCGCGACTCTCAGAGCCAGGACAAATGCGTGGTGGACCCGACCGGCCGGTTCATGGCCCTGCACCTGTGGGAGGGAGTCCTGACCGTGGCGCGGCTGCAGTCAAGAGGGCGCAACTTGAATCAGATAGACTGGATGGAACAGCCGCGTCTTTCAGAGCTCTTCATCAAGTCGAGCACCTTCCTTTACTCCGAGACCGGGCATCCCAAGATCGCCTTCCTTTACCAATCACAGGCCGACGCTCCCGATGCAAAACTAGCCACATACCGCTTCACCTCTGACGACAAGGATACCAAGGCTTCTAATTTCGACCCTCTGAAAGATCGAGAGATTTCAAAAGACGTGGCCGACCCGGGAGCCGCCATGCTAATACCAGTCCCAAAGGTGGAACAGGAGAAGAGGCACAACTTCCGCCTTACCGAAACCAACAATGCGAAGGCGTACCTTGGAGGTGTTCTTGTCGTTGGCGAGACTCGCATCACTTACATCGACGACACGACCCAGGCAGAGGTCACGGAGCCTTTGAAGGAAGCCTCGATATTCGTCGCTTGGGCCCCATACGATGAGAGACACTACTTGGTGGCGGACGAATATGGCAGGATGTATCTGCTTACTATCCTCACCAAGAACAATACTGTGGAGGTTGACCGGCTGCAGATGACAGTAATTGGTAAAACATCCCGAGCGAGTTGCCTCGTCTACATGGACAACTTTCTCTTTGTCGGCTCGCATTACGGAGACTCTCAATTGTGGCGGGTTGATTTCGAACAGGACGCGGGTCGCTTCCTCCAGCTGGCCCAAGTGTTCCCAAACAACGCGCCAATACTCGACTTTGCTATCATGGATATGGGCAACCGCGAAGGCGACAGTCAACTTGGAAATGCCTACTCCTCCGGTCAAGCTCGTGTCGTCACGGGAAGCGGTGTCCATAAGGATGGAAGTCTGCGTAGCGTGCGAAGTGGCGTTGGACTCGAAGATATCGGAATCCTCGGAGAACTCGAGGACGTCAGGGGTTTATTCTCTCTGCGATCTAGCGGCTCCGACAAGGTTGACACACTGGTTGTCTCGTTTATAACAGAAACGCGAGTGTTCAGGTTCGACTCGGCCGGAGACGTCGAAGAGGTGGAAAGCTTAAAAGGCCTGACGCTCGATTCACACACACTCCTTGCGGCCGATCTCGACAATGGAAGGCGATTGCAGGTGACGACCAATGCCGCGCGGCTATACGATAGGGACAGCGGAACGGAAGTCGCATCGTGGGATCCACCGACTCACGGCTCGACAATCACAGCCGCCTCGGCAAATTCGAAATGGCTAGTGATATGCGTGGACGGGAAATCACTGATCTCTCTCAATGTGGAAAAGGAGCTTGTCGTGTCAGGACAAAGTCATAGCAGTGACCAAGACCAAGTGGCCTGCGTTCATGCGTCACCTCACTTGATTGACGTCGGCGTCATTGGTTTCTTCACATCCGGCAACTTCTCACTGGTGGACTTGGCAACATTGGAACCACAGAAGGGCGAATCACTCCGCAGGTCGGAAGACAACGCCTCCATTCCTCGAGACATCGCCTTGGTACAAGTTTTGCCACGCAAAGTGGGAGGCCCAACACTCTTTGTGGCAATGGAAGACGGCAACGTTGTCACGTACAACGTAGCGGCAGATCTCTCACTCAGCGGTCGCAAGAGCGTGATTCTAGGCACACGACAAGCTCGTTTCCATCTGCTACCTCAGTCTGACGGTGTCACAAATATCTTCGCGACCACAGAGAACCCCAGTCTTATCTATGGATCAGAAGGCAGGATCGTGTACTCGGCGGTGACAGCCGAGGATGCGACCTATGTCTGTTCCTTTGACACAGATGCTTACCCCAACTCTGTGGTTGTGGCGACCGATTCTACCATCAGAATTTCCAAGATAGACACGGAGCGTAGGACACACGTCAAGTCGCTGGAAATGGGCGAGACAGTGCGCCGCATCGCATACTCTCTGAAAGAACAGGTCTTCGGACTCGGGTGTATCAAGCGCGAGCTCAAGAACGGAGAAGAAGTAGTGACAAGCTCTTTCAAGCTCGTCGACGAGGTTGTGTTCGGGAACGTCGGCAAACCATTCTTTCTGGACCAGGCGGCTGGCGAGATAGTCGAATGTGTAATCCGGGCAACACTTCCAGACTCATACGGAAACCCGGCTGAGAGGTTTCTGGTGGGCACCGGCTTCCTACCCGCAGAGGATGTCCCATCGCCAACAGACAACAACAAGGGCCGACTTTTGGTGCTGGGGGTTGATAGCGACAGAAATCCCTATCTGCTCCTCAGCCACAAGTTCAAGGGCGCCTGCCGATGCCTAGCCGTAATGGACGACATGATCGTGGTCTCACTCACCAAGACCGTGATAGTGGGCAAGTACTTTGAGGAGTCTTCTACATCGGGCAGACTCGAGCGCGTGGCATCGCACAGGCCATCGACATATCCTGTGGACCTTGCTGTGCACGGAAATATCATCGCGGTTGCAGACTTGATGAAGTCAATTAGCCTACTTGAGTTTATTCCCGCGAAAGATGGCAACTCTGCGATGCTGACGGAGCGCGCCCGTCACTATCAGTCTGCTTGGGCCACGGCTGTTTGCCACATCGAAGACCAATCGTGGCTGGAAGCGGACGCCCAGGGGAACTTGATGGTACTCAGGAGAAATCCAGATGGTCCGACTTTGGATGATCAGAGGAGAATGGAGACCGTCAGCGAGATGAACTTGGGTGAGATGGTCAACTGCATCAGAAAGATAGCAGTCGAGACCAGCTCAAGTGCCATGATTGTGCCGCAGGCATTTCTCGGAACGGTAAGTCACTATGAACTCAGGACCAATGCGAGTCACAATATTGACATTGTTACAGGTCGAGGGTTCCATCTACATGTTTGGAACAGTAGCATCGCACGCGCAGGATCTCCTCATGAGATTCCAGTCCAGACTTGCGGACAGGATACGGACACCGGGAGATATCCCGCTTGACAAGTACAGGTCTTTCAGGAACGCGGAACGAGAGGGCGAGGGACCTTTCAGGTTCCTTGACGGAGAAGTGCTTGAGAGATTCTTGGATATGGACGAGGAAACACAACAAGAGGTCTGCCATGGACTGGGGCCCAGTGTTGAGGATATGCGGAATATTGTGGAGGAGCTGAAGCGCATGCATTAGATGCTGTGGTCCTGTCTCACTAGCTGTAGGCTACAGCCTCATTGTATTTTACATGTGGTAGAGTAAATATCATGACCGACATGTCAAGTAATTTTCTATATTTCGTGGCATTGCCTAATGGAAAATGAATTCTGTTGTTGTCAAACATCTGCTTTGAAGTTACAGGCCGTACCCTAACCCCCTCGCACGCGGAGGCGGGGGCGTAAGTTGCCAAATGGATGGCTCGTTCCCGTCAGCCTCGGGTCTTACCGGATGATTGAGTGGGTCCACTTGGCCGTGGGCGTCAGCCCAATCAGATGCAGACCGATTCCAATTGGCAAGGCCTGTTTTCTCAGGCACTCGAATTTCTTAGCTGTCGCCCGGGGTCTTCCAAGCTTTCGCGAAAAGAGCTCATCGTCGTCGACGTCAATCCACAGCCCAACCACCCCCACACCACCCTTTTCCTCACGGTTATCGTCGTCGCCATGGCCTCGCTCACGACCGCCGCCCGCGCCCTCGCGCGCTCCTCCGCAGCCGCACCACGAACCGCCGTCCGATGCATGTCCGCGACCGCCGTCCGCCCGTCCGACAGCACCTACGAGAGCCCGTTCCGCGGCTCGCAGTCCACCACCAAGGTCCCCGACTTCAGCCACTACGCCGCCAAGAATGGCTCCAACAAGAACCTCATGTACCAATACTTCATGGTCGGCGCCCTGGGCACGATCACCGCCGCCGGAGCCAAGTCCACGGTCCAAGGTGAGCCGACACGAGCAACCTCCGGGAGAAGAGAGAATGTTGGGTTGGATGCGACAGAAGGGGTCAATTGGGACGGAGGAACCCAACTGGACAACCGAAATTGTCGGGAGGGAACGTTGGATGCGAGATGAAATCCGGGGCTAACACAAACGACGTGCAGAATTCCTGAAGAACATGTCCGCATCTGCCGACGTCCTGGCCATGGCCAAGGTCGAGGTTGACCTTGCATCAATCCCAGAGGGCAAGAACGTGAGTGCAGCTGGTGCGATGTCTACTGTTGGGAAGGTCCAATATCTGACGCGTGAGGCGCCGTACAGGTCATCATCAAGTGGCGAGGCAAGCCCGTCTTCATCCGACACCGTACCGAGGCCGAGATTGCGGAGGCAAACAAGGTCAACGTCGCGTCCCTACGTGACCCTCAGCAGGACGACGACCGTGTGAAGAAGCCCGAGTGGCTGGTCATGCTGGGTAAGCATACTGCCTGCCCAATTCCCCTGCGGCCCCTCGGCGGGAGGCAGTCCCGAGGCTGGCACCAGTGACATGACAGCACATGGGCATTGAGGCACAGCTTGGACTAACACGTAACAGGTGTCTGCACACATCTGGGTTGTGTGCCAATCGGCGAGGCCGGTGACTTCGGTGGTTGGTTCTGCCCTTGCCACGGTTCCCACTACGACATCTCCGGACGTATACGCAAGGGCCCTGCCCCCCTCAACCTCGAGATTCCCGAATACGACTTCCCCGAGGAGGACAAGCTGGTCATCGGTTAAAAGGGCTCGGCAAGAGCGGGTGTATGAGTACGGACGAGACGGTCGGTGACGGCCGCCTCCGCCGCCCCTCGAGACCAAACGGGCGGAGGCGACGTTGTCACTCTCTTATAGACGGCAACAGACAGCAAAGGAGACCGCGAGGGGGAGAGATACATCGGGGCGGGCATTTTCTAGACTGGCTCGCTGCAATGCCATTGTACAAAAGCATTCGAGCAGAGAAAATCCACACAAGACCTTTTCTATGTTAGCCGCCGCCGCCGCCCGGCAACCGATCGTCTGTGATATCACGTTCTTTCGAACAAACCATGACCGGATCAGCTTGATCCCACTGATGCATGACGGCAGGACGGGTGCCCGATGTTGATGATAAGACTTCGCGAGGCTATATGGAGTCGAACAAAATTCGGACCAGCTAACAATCTAGGGTTCAGAGTTCCTGTGGGTGGCTCTTGGTAGGGTCCGTTTCAGAATGTGCCGGTGACAGTTTTCTCCCGCGGGCGGCTACTCCTTTAAGGAAGATCCCGACCCAAGCTTTACTACTGTGTAGTATCGGCCGCAATCGACCTCGCCTCAGGGTTGGCCAAGCAGATTCACCAGCGCTGGCGCCCTAGGCAAGATCGTCGACCCGGCACGTCAAGCGGACGCCACCACGCTTCTCCAGCAAGGAGTCCAGCCAGCCGGGTGGGGTCGTGGCCGCCTCTGGCAGCCGTTTGAGCGGCGGTTCCGACATTCATGCAGCGGGACGGCGGCGGGTTTCTGAGGCATGTCATCTTGCATGACAGGACTGTCCACGAATGATATTCTCGCCATGTGGGAATAGAGTTGGTTCTGACAGGTTCGGCAGGCAGGGCCAGGATGACAGATGCTGCCGCAACTCTGTCATCCTCCCGGGGCGCTGGGTGTGGCTTGATTTGCAATCCATTTATGCTCCTGGTGGGTGTTTGGCCAGCAGTGCTCCGAACCGGACTCTGGGCTTTGGTGACCGATTCGTGTCAGGGAAGGGAGACTAGTGAACTACTAACGAACTGAAAAAAAGAACTACGAACTGCCATTGCCAAGACAACGTCGCTATCGGGCGTTTGACCCAGCGCGCCTTACAGGGTGTCCGGGACGCCCAGGCTGCGCTCTACAGATGTATTTTGAGTGGTGGCTGAGGATAAAAGTTGTCTATATTCACGTATGAAGGGGACAAGTCGAAACGATCACTAGAGTGAGTTGACGGAATCTTGCCAAGACCACCGAAAATACACATCGGGGTTTGGGCGTGGTACCAGGCGTGCGTGGTCGGATATGCCAGCCCATCATGCTTGGAAAAGCGCATTTTGACAGGTGGGGGGTTGCATGAAAATAATCTCGAGTCCAAGTCTCTGATGAGCATGAGGAAAAGGTCACGAGCAAGACACCCGATGTGAGCCTTGTTCGGTTCTTGGTTCGGAGCCTGACCAGCCCACTCATGACAATTCCTCCCCACCGATGCTCCCATTCCATCCCATATCGCGTACGAGATCGCTAGCATTGATGATTTGCAAAACAGACGTTCCGGCGATCACGACGCTGTGTTCATGGGTTCACATGACTAACTGCCTGGGAAGCCTTGACCTTGGTCCTGGACTCCTGGCTGTTGGGGCCGAAATCCGAAGCAGGCAAGTGGGCCTCACCCTTTGAGGAGGTGGGGCGAAAACTGCGAAGCATCGCCTGTCAGAAGAATAACCCGAATGTTGCGAAATAGCCACTGCGTTGGAGCACGCGCCTACGAAAGGGGTCGTGGCCTCAGGCTGGCCAGCCCTGCCAGCCCTGCCAGCGTAGGAGAGTTGAGGCTCAAAGAGGCCGTCTGGGGTACCCCTGCATGGCCAAGACCTCGCTTAATCAGCCGCTTGACCTCTTGTTGACCGTGGGCCCCTGGCCAAGATGAGACGCCGTGTGCACGATCTACGTCTGATGTCTGGACCTCGGACGAGAATGCATTTTACCTCTTGTCCCAGCCAATTCACCCGGGCCGGACGAACACCTACCCAGCACACACACCGAGGGAGATCTGCAGCTTGTGTGCCGAGTGATTTGCGCGCCCTCTTCCCACGCCACGATGGCGGCGTGGCTGACTCTCGCGCCTATGCGTGACGCACGCATGTACAGCGCGACGAGCCACGCCTGCTCGTCATGACCGGTACACATGTCGCCGAACGACCAGGCTTGGGCCATCAACATCAAGGCTCAGAAAGTCAAAGACGTGATGCGCACCGAGGGTTCCAATGTGCCGAGAATGAAACGACGCAGTGAGGCTCTCACGGACCCGCCATCACGTCGGGTGTCCTCCTCGCTTCAAACTGCCGTGGGCCGACCGAGGATGACAAGCATCAGAACGGCCTGTCGAATCTCAAACTCTAATGGAAGGGTTTGCTCCCGCAACTCTGTCTCCGGACCTGTCCCTGGCGCCCAGGCAGATTTGGCAGCCCTGGCGGTAGATCTCTGTGCCTTCTAGCCGAACCACCCCCTGCCTGCAGCCACCTTGCAGGGGCCCCATACTGGCCCCTTTGGTGATGGTTTCATTCCGGCCCTCACTCCTGCCGGCGATGGTGAGGATTCATCCAAGGGGCCCGTTGTTGGCTCGTCATTGGCGTCTGGTATCTGCCGCTAGGTGGAATGCAGGCCCGTGATGCCACAACGCCCGGCAGGGTCCTGCGTCTGATGGTAGTCCGATGCCACGGGACGGGAGCCCTGGCCGCCATCGTGGGGACTTCCGTCTTGTTCATCTTTTTTTTCCTTTCCTGCTCCTATATATCCTCTGAGAAGTCTCGTGGCCTACTTTCTTTTCGTCCCGTCTTGTTCATCCGACATTCATTCATTCATTAGTTCTGCGAACATTACAGCTTGACGCTCTTTTCATAATTCTTCAACAGGCCGGACCTTTCTATATTCGAAAAATACCCTCTTTTACCGTTCGCCTTCGCTAAAAATGAAGTACCAAGCTACTATTCTCGCCCTCACGGGCCTGGCTGCTGCTCGGGGGTTGCCCTACTCTCGCATGGCCAAGCGTGAGGTTCCCCAGGAGCACGCTCACGAGAACATTCTCCGTGTTGTCAACACCAACCTCAAGCTGGACAACCCTCTTGAGATCCAGGATGCCGTCTTCTCCCTTCTTGGAAATGCTGCCGCTGCCAAGGGCGCCCCCAACGTCGACAACCTCGACTGCCTGCAGCAGATCGTCGCCGACCAGGCCTTCACCAACGCCAAGGCCGCTGGCGATGTTGACGGACAGGCCAACGCCATCATGTTCCGCGCACTCGAGCGCAACACTGGCAAGGTCGGCCTGGCCTCCGTCCTCTGCAACGAGACGGCGCAGAACCCTGAGATCGCTGCCATCACCCAGCACCAGGACCCAGCCTCCGCTGAGGCCTCGGGCAACAAGCAGATCGCCCTGGATGTCGCGACCCAGCTCGCCTCCATCGGTGCCGACCCCAACCTGGCCATCCAGACCGGCACCTTCGCGCCCGGTGACGTGAACGACAACACCGGCGCTGGCAACACTTGTGACGACGCCGACGATGCTGCTGGATGTATCAATTCCCAGAACCTTCTCGTTGCTGATGTTACCGAGGATGAGATCGCTGCTGCAGTCGGTGGTAAAGCCTCCAAAGGTTCCGCTGGCGCGGCCGCCTCTAACTCTACGGCCGATGCTGCAAGTGGCGCTGCAGAGGGCGCTGCAAAGGGCGCTGCGAGTGGTGCTGCAAGTGGTATGTTCACTCTTATAATCACCGACACGGATAACTTCAACAAACATACTGACTCTCGGCAGGCTGCACGAGAAGTCGTGCACGCCGCCAAGCTCAAGGCAACAACGTACAAACCTTCACTGGCAACCTGGGAGGAGCCGCCCCTGCTGTTGTTGACTCCGGGGATGCCAAGCGTCCCTTCTCCGTGAACGGTGCCACCTTTGTGAACGAGGGTGCCGCTATCCAGCGCAGCTGCGCCGTCCAGCACAACGCCTGCGCCAACGCCGCCAACTCGGGCCAGGGCGACTTCAGCGTCGCCGACTGTGGTACCCAAGGTACGTCATGTTGCCATTCCATGTCAACTCGACAACATCTACACAGCCGGTTTACTAACTACCCATCACCAACCTACAGAGGACGAGTGCAACGCCGCCGCCAGCGCCAAGAAGCTCCGCAGGACCACCCGCAAGCTGCGCGCCCGCCAGGCCAACCTGGACTTTGGCTCCTGTAGCAACCCGGCCATTGAGTTCGCTGCCGGCCTCGACGGCCGTAAGGAGGAGGCGTTCGCGCCCGCCGACTCGGCCGACTTCAACCACGGCAGCGCCCTAAACATCAAGGTCATCTCGGGCTTCATCTGCGGCCAGCTGGAGAGCAAGTGCAAGGCCTCGGCCGATGCCGTCAGTGCCTGCAACGACGCCGCCAGCGCCGCCGACGCCGAGAAGGGCCAGGCTGCCGCTGATGCCTTCAACTCTGCCCTGGGCGTATCTGCCTAAGCCGGGGGTGATTGAAACGTTTCCATTGTCTTTTTTTTTTCTTTTCGGGTTTCATGACTGTGTATACTACGTCTTCCAGGATAGGGTCTGTGTGGTGTTGTGCTTTTTGTTCTTCGCCGGGATTTGCGGTTGGTGAGCAAGGCGCGACGGACAGATAGGAAAATGTGGAAATGAATTTACGCCCCAGACAAATGCTACCTATTGCGTGTGGATGTGCTCAGTTCGTTTGCTCGCAAAATACTGCTCACTCAGTAAGTCATATCTGTGCCACTTCAGAAGTGAGACATTGCAACCTTGCTCTGCATTGTGACAACCCCTGCGCCGTTGAGGGTTTCTTTGTCACCTGTCTCCCTGAGACGACTGTTACCCCATGAATCACTCAGGCGTGCATTGGTATTAGAAATAAGTCAACCGTACGTGGCTTTTCAATCACATGTACGTACCGTGCTCTGAACTTTTCTATGATCAGTCTACTTAGTATCATTGATCGCTGGATGAATCAACACATGTGCAAGTAGCAGCCATATTTGTGATGTGTCATTCAGAGCGGCGGATTAAGCTACAATCTTGCCCCTCCTACAATACAAGGTGACCATTTCGAGAACAAGATAAAACGATTGACTGCCCAAATGCCGTAAAATACTGAAGCTGCCAACTTCAAAGGTTGGAGGACATTCTGAGTGTTTGAACAAAGGAAGAGTCAAGCAGAATTGAGACATGCTCTTATTAATATGTCCTCGCAGTCTGGTGCGATTTAATTGCGCTGTATGCAGAGCATGGGGTGTCTGTCAGTCTCCACCAAGCTGGCGATTCAGCCTCAGACATACACGGCCACTCTAGTAGGTGGTGCGGTGAGCTCGAAAATGTGATGCTTTTAGTTAGCTCTCTACCTAAAGGCATGGCAAGGCACTCAACTATCTCTGCCTCAGAGAAACGTGTGCTCTTCTGCCATGAAAGAAGCTCGCGATCATCAACTGCCTCAAGTGCTTGATCTCTCATCTATCATTTGTCAGATCGTCAGATTGGTCATGATGCTGCCATACTCCTTCACCACCGCGCCCCCTTCCGAGCCAGAGGGTTGGGATGCTGCCGACATCCTGGAGCTCACCAACCCTGTCACGAAAAGATGGTCGTGCCCGACCATGACCCTGCGGAACCGGCGCTGCGAGAACGTCGTCAGCCAGGGACGCAGCATCCAAGTCACGACCATGATCAACAACATGGCCATCCAAGACGCCCGGGTGGTTGTCAGAGACGAGAACCGCGAGCTGACCAACCTGGCCCGGGGTATGCTCTGCCCTAGGCACGTCAGCGACGACAAGGCTGCGGGTGTCGTCGCGCTTTGGAAAAACCATATCAAGACTTGGATGCGCGCCCAAGCCCAAGCCCAGCCCCAAGGAGTAAAGTACACCCCACGAGCCCCAGAAGCTGCATATCAGCCAAACAGCGCCCCAGCTGGGCCTCCACCTCGATACACGCACATACCTTTGGAGCAAACCGCCAAAACACATGACGTACAAATCCGCCAAACTGTGTCGACGGTGCTCGATACCTCCTTATCGTTAACCCAAAGCCCAACATCACACCCGGTAACACCACCGCCGGTGACACCACCACAGCCACCACCACCTCCTTCCTCAACCTACGGCGCCACCTTCGACGCCGACGCGCTCAGACAGCTCATGACCAAGTTCACCCGGCTTACAGATGAGATCCAGACCCTCAAGGACGCGAACCGAAGGCTGCGGGACGAGAACGCGTGGATCGCCGACAAGGAGAGGGAGACGGCCGCGGAGCACCGCCGCACAAGGCGCGAGCTGGACGAGGTCGAGGAGGAGTGCAACGTCCTCGCCGAACAGGTGGACGAGCAGTACGGGGAGATAAACGAGCTGCGGGCGCGGGAGGACAGGCACCTGGAGAGGATCGCGGCGCTGGAGGGCGCGGCGGAGAAGAGCGGCCGGGCGTACCGCAGGCGTGAGAGGGCGCCGGCGGTGGCGTCTGCGCGTGTGGTGAGGAAGGAGGATGATTATGAGGACGAGGACGAGGACGATGGATGAGGTGTGATTTGAGATCTGGGTTGTTCATTCTTCTACTGGCTACCAGGTGTCTTCGGGGATGGTTATTTTGACAGTACGGTGCTCATTGTACGGCGAACACGCACATTGGGCGTGGTGGTTTTGTATGTACGGACTTTTCCTCCGCAGCTTTCTGTATCTCGTTCTGGTTCAGACATGGCTGATGGATAGGAGAAGAGTCCCTTGGCTATCGGTCTGCCATGTCCCCCGTGGCTACTACTTGAGAGCCCTGGAGTGTTGGTCTCGGGATTTGGCATTGGACACCCTCTGTCAAAGCGTTGATTGGGACACCACAAATCATTGGCGCGACACCTTGATGTGTTACTGCAGATCCGTTGCAGGAGCAAGGGATAATTGAGGTTGCAGATGCTGAAAGTAACGGTCAATCAACCCCGTGCAGTTCCGAGCGGCAGGTGTCGTGGACATGACATCACAAACTCGGCGAGGGGTCAACAGACTTCTTCTTGCCTCAACTTTCAAGAAGTATTCAACCGACGTCTTTTGAGAACCACCAAAAGAACCTCGGAAGATTCTTCATCGAAGAACTCTGACTTGTGATTGATTTGGTCCATCTACCAGTGCGGCGACAAAACACAACATGGTGCAGATCTTCGCCGTGCTGGCCTTGGCCACACAGGCTGTCGGAAGTGCTTTGACGAAGCTGGCGGACAATGCACAGCACGTACTGTCTGATCCCGAAATCAATTCAGCCACAGATGCTTCCACAGTCATAGATGAGTGCGTATCGCAGCGCACATCATCTTGTTCCGGATTTCGCTGACTCAGTTCAGGTTGAAGAAGGCTGAGATCATACCAACTGGTTGGTCCTGGGCAGATATACCTATACACATGCAAAGTTCCATGACTGACATCCCTGTTTCAAGTCATCGATGGGTTCCTGCCATCTCTCCTAGTCGGTGTGGACTGGCCCTCGAGCAAGCATGCCGACCTAGGGAACACCGTCAAGCCCAAGAAGCTACAGGACGAGCCCACCATCACCCTCACCCGGCCCGGGTCCGAAACGGGCTCTTGCCGCTCCATCGCCAACGTCACATACACTGTGACCATGACTGACCCCGATGCACCGTCTCGCGATGACCCGAAATGGTCCGAGATGTGTCACTGGATCGCCACGGGCCTTGCCGTCTCAGACGGCGATCAAGACTCGTCCTGCTCCTCGTCGCTGACGCTGTCTCTGGCGGGCCTTGAGGAAGTCATGCCCTATAAACCACCGGGACCCCCTGAAAAGACAGGCAGGCATCGATATGTCTTGATTGTTTTCGCACCCGCCAACGGGACCACGGACCCCATTCACCCCAAGAAGCCTGAGGACCGGCAGCACTGGGGCTATGACTTTGATGGCGAGAGCGTTGGCGTGCGCAGATGGTCTCAAGAGAACGGGCTGGTGCCAGTCGGTATGTTTGCCTTGCTTATATCCTTCGCCATCTTTTTTCTTTTATTCTGGTACACATACCGTAGACAACCCCGCCTACCAGGATGATTCAGCTGACTCTAGCAGCCGCAAATTTCATCTACTCCAAGAACAAGAAGCAGTGATGTATCAGTTGGTTCTCGGATCTGCGAATAAAGCATCTCGGTTTCGACTAACCGCGATAACTAACATCTGCTGTCTCCATTAAAGTGTTGGAGATTAGATGGCAGTTTGTGACTCAATGGAATGACTTTTGTTCGGGGTCCGCTACGCGGCAACAGTATCTACACACTGCACTGCTTGGGAAATGCTCCCTGCGCAAGTTTCCATAACGCGAGTCTCTCTTGAAACAACCGTTTTATGACACGATATAGTGTAACCACAAATTCACAGGTGGACAGAATGGTCCAGTTGCTCTATGGCCTGAAGAGAAAAGCTCTAAATTGCTCAGGTGTTGATGACGTGTTGAAAGTGTCATATTCTGTGGCTATCGTTGCCCGTGCCAACAGAAGGGTTGCCACCGTGAAGGTTACCTAGGTACCCAAGTACCTAGGTAGGTAGGTATTGCTAGTTGGTTGGCGGCTGTGCGCGATGCACAGCTGATGCAGCCAGGCTGTATCGTGTCCAGGCCACATCCGCACTCCTTGGACCCTAAAAGTTGGTGACAGCTCACTGGCGTGGTACAGAAAAGAGCCGGCACGGGGCTACCATTACATCTACCTAGGCACCTACCTAGGTAGGTAAGTACAGACATGTCTTCCTAAGCCGCCAGCGACAGACCGCCAGCCACTAAACTCTGCCATTTTCCCCCCATCTCACACGATCAAAGGACTACCCACCCCCGACCTGCCCACCAATTATCCCTCGTCACCTACGCACTTCAAAGTTCCTAGCAATCCTACCTGGCGTGGCGTAAGGCTCAGGTCGGCGTACCAAGGCTCGAGGCGGCGTGCCTAAGTAGTATTCGTTTTTCCATGTTACCCCAGGGTAGCTTGAAGTCCGAGGTGACACCGGCGCGAACCTAGAGTGCGTTCTTATTGTCAGCCCCCACGAAAGGTCATGGGTCGGCTGAGTGCGGTGCGGAAAAGAAAAGTAAGAAACCCGACCCCCTCTCACCTCCCTCACACTCCGCATCAGAAGGATAACGCCCTCCACATATTCCTTTAAATGGCAAAAGGGTTCGGGAGAGAAGCACAAGGTGTCGTCAACTGCGGGAGAGGGAGCGCATCACTGAGGGGGTCCGCACCTATGCAAAAGCACCGTCTATGATGACAGGAGACGACCGGGTGTACGGCCACATGAGGACGACACGCCCTGGTTGTCCAGAGCTGAGATGGCTGTTAGGACGGGGCATTTGGCCCTGCTGTTGCCGAGTGGCCTCAGAGGGAGGGATAGGAGAGCGGTGGTCTGGGTCGTGGCGGCCATCCCCGCGAGTGTGGGCGAGAACAGCCGGGCCAAAAGTCAAGGAAAAAGTGCACATGAGGCAAAATGGTAAGGCCGTGTGTTCTCTCTGGGGCTGAACCCAAAGGGTACCCGGATAGAGAACAAATGTCATGGGAGGGAGAAGACAGGCAAGAAAAGAAGGGGTACAAACATTGCCAGTGGATCAGAATTCGACTGAAATTGAGAGTGGCGGTTGTGCGTGTTAAAAGAGTTGTAGAAGAGAAGAGATCGAGGAAGAAGATGGAGACTGGAACGAGGAGCAGCCCAGGTTTGTTTACTTTGCTCACGAAGAGGTTGCTACTTGGAAAGATCGAGGCATGATTTGTGTGTACTTTCCTCCCCTTCCACACCGCTCACCCACACACAATACAGGAATGGCAGGCAGGATGGATCACGGTATGGCATAATCGGAAGCAGTGCTCTGTTGCCAGTGGTGGATGCTACTTCCTTCTCCGATGTTCTCATCCGAGGCATTCCCTATTCGCCCCTTCTCCTTCTGCACAGACAAATATGTGCAGAGGGACTCCAGCCGTGTTTCTATCCCACATGTATCTTTCGCCCTTCATCTACATCCACAAAATGAAGTTAGTGGCCCAGGAGGACTTGATCCGAAAGAACCAGACACACCTGCCAGCCTAGCTAGATACCTAGATATAAAGCTAGGAGATACAAGGATCCACAAGACGCCTGGTTGAAATCGCACATTCCAAAAATGGCCTGGATACTACCCTAGGGTAGGTCTCCTTGTCGATAGATATTAGAGACTTTTCTGACCGAGATGCCCCTGTGTCACGAACGGTATGACAGCTTGTATTGCCAGTGGGTCCTTCCAAAAGTAGGCATAGAGACATGGAAATCGTGAGTCTGTTGAATCCACGGCTTAAAACACCACAGTCTGGCATGGGGGGACGGGGGCCGCAGTTGAGTATTCCAATGAACAGTACATGCCCAGTTCAAAATAAACAGAAATACCTTTTGTTTCGAGTCTGATTGCTCTGATAGTTTATAAGATGCTGCAGTCAAATTCAAGGAATTCTATATCATAAACACATCACATTCATCGTATCTTACAGGAGACCATGGGCCGGTGACTTCAGGGCCAGTTCCGAGACTCGCCTTTGGGTACCTGTTCACAGCCAAGCGTGTTACATATCGGATCCCGCACCTAAAGCCGTATCACGCACATGTGTCTTATGAAATATCAGGCTGTCAGAATCAGCACTTATTAGTACATACCTACGCACGCTTGACCGGTGTATCCCACCTGATACACCACATCGATGTGGCATGAGTTGGAAACCCTAGCTTGGTCTGTTATATATTGATACCAAGAATCCGTACCTTAAGGTGTAGATGCATACATTTTCCTCTTAGCTAACTGCATGCGACCCATTTACCACCTTGCGTACCGATGGTCTTTCGAAAAGACCTTGGGATGTCCAGCTATTGACCCAACTACGCCTAGAGATATAAGAGTATGACCTCGCAAAGACAAATCAAAACTTGACAAACTGGAACAAGGCACTCGCGACGTTCGCTCTCGGCTCGAGGAAGCCGAAGTCTCACTACCTTGTCAATATATCACCCGACAGCCTGATCTTGACGCCATAGAAGCTGTAGGAGCTGGCTGGAACGGTCAGAATGCCTCGAGTCATCAATACAACTTACATCACCTTGCACGGCAAACCGGAGACTCTCACCTCCAAGCAGACGGCAGACCTGAAGATATCCAGGTTTGCGAGATCAGCTAGAGTGGGCTTACGAATATCACGAGAAAGACGAAGTGCGAGGATTTCTTGTTTTCTTACTCGATGGCAAGATCCGCCACACCGTCATGGTCAAATTTCTCAGGGCAAACAACAGCGTGGAGCAACAGGATAGCAGAAAGACCCCAGGATCACAAACGAGGAATGAGCACTAGAAGTGTAAATGGTATGAGTAAAGAGCGAAGTGGACCGAGTTCTTGGATATGATGACCACATAAATGACAGTTTCCAGTGGTCTGGAGTCTTGGGAAGATTGTTCAACACATTTGGTCCACGTCGGAAGTTTGACACCACCGATTCGTTTATGAGGACAACAGATCAGTTGGATAAACTCGCTTTAGAGGAAAATGACACAGCCCTTATACTGCCATTCATCAACATATACCTCTCCAACCTGCTCGCCTTGTATTTCGATTTCCAATGCAATTATCATGGATTGAAGCCCTCCACATGCTTTGCCCCCTCAACACCCGACAGCCACCCTACCCGGCGCTCAATGAAACATTCAGTCCGGGGCTTGAGCTTCCCCTCAGCCAGGCTGAAGTCATCCACAGTCCCGATGCGCAGGATGCTCATCCCGGGATATCCAGACGACACGCGATACATCAAAGTCCCGCACGTGGAACAGAAGTAGTTGGTCATCTTGTTGCCCGAGGACACCGTCTTGGCCTGACCCCAGCTGCTGAGATTCTCCTGGCCCCGCAGGTGCCTGAGATACTTGTCGTCTATGCTGAAGTTGGATGCGAACATCGACGCTGTAACCTTGCGGCAGTCTGCACAGTTGCACACGAATGTGTTGATGAGGCCTGGGCCTTGGGTTGGCTATAGATGCCGTCAGTGGCTGTTTGTGGCGCATGTGTTCATGTTCATGCACATGGGCTAGGGATGCCAGAGAGCTAGGGGTTTGGACTCACAAATGCTAGCTGAACAGCACCACAGAAACAGGTTGCTGTTGCCTCTTCGTCTGTTGACCAGCCGTCTTCGGCGACAGTGATTGGAAAGTTGGCGTTGGTATTGTTGGCCGCCATCGTTGAATAAGCTGGCTAGATTTGATGATGTGAGTTAGATTGATGCGAATCAAAGTGTGTGCGTACGGATTAATGAACTCCTTCAAATTGGTGGAGCAGTTCCTCTTTATATACTTGGCCGGATTCTGAAGATAGCGGAGGTAGCAAAGCAACTCCGGTGTCTTATATGAAGACAAATCATTCAGTATTGATTGATTACGCACATCAACACACTTGCATACCATGGGCGGTTTCAAACGTGCAGGTTGGGCACATCTATTTCCCCGAAGCCTACCCGCAGCCTAATCTTGCCCTGAGTAAGCACACCAACACTTGTTCCGTATCAACTTGCTATTACCATTCGAACGAGACGACCGTGCGACTTATCCTACTCCCACCCGCTAGGAACCTGTAGATATCAAGAAGGTGATGTCATGACACCGGAAGATAGTTAGTCAAATTCATGTAACCACTGGGAGACCTGTCTTCGGGTCTCGATTCCTTCTGGAACACCTAGCAGAGATGCATCGCTTCAAGTGGACTTATTAAGTGCAGAACTAGGCTGCAGGAGGGTCAGCACGTAGCCCATAATTCCTTCTTAATTGACCAATCCCCTGATGAATCACAGCAGGGTCTTCTCATGTGGCCTATCTCACGGTAATATTTAAGCCTCGATTACCTTTTACTCGCTAATAGATGCCCCTCTTTCAAAGTCAACCACGATCGATCCAGACTAACATGTGCCACCGGCGATGAAGCTGAGACGGTCCTCGCGACCTATGGCAAAAGAAGGCTCAAATTGTCTGCGAAGAATTGTTGATTCAAAACTAGAGTTGCCTAAGGAATAGTACGGGGGAGGCAGCGAAGCTGCAATCCCGCGTCGCGAGAGGTATGGAGGCCACTTGGGCTGATAAGATAAGCAGAGTGCACGGACCTACTGGTTGGTCCTGCGGGCGTTCAGCCCATGGCCCTGACAGAAGCCTGAGAATGCATGAAATCTCATCTGAATAGTTACATCAAGATATATGCTCTCATAGAATCGAGTGCTACAAATGTCAGACAATAATGTCGATTCTAGGAATGGGAATATGCTTGTAGGTAATTAGTAAGCATGCAAGATTCTACCCCAGCCATGCTATGTACTCTCACGCCCTTGCTCAGGCCAAAGCCAGTGCTGCTGTGGGATTAATATTCAACCTCGGTCTTGACCCAATTTTGATGACCTCGCATGTACGAGAACTTTTGGGAGCTTCATAGTCCCTGAGGCTTACATATCCTCAAGCGAAACGTGGGAATAGATACTTCCGATCGTCATTCGCCGCCGGAGTGATTGCTCCTCCTCAGAATTATATCTAGTGCCCCCCAGCTGTCGGGGTCGCTGTGGCGAAAAGATGCAGGCCCTGCCACTGGCTAGACAACCTGCCCTACGTCCAGCACCCCGCAGCAGCGGGCGCGCCATACCCAAGCCTCTCGGGCCCCCACAACCTGGCGATAGTCGACTACTACCTCGACACCTCAGCCCCGCACTTCTCTCACATCCCCGCCACCCGCCTCCAGATAAACACGTACAGGGACACAGTCATGCCCAGTGACGAGCCGGAGCGAGAACCTGATACGAGTTCGAGGCCGACAAGATGGCTACGCAGGTAGGGCTCTCGCCGGACGAGGGGCCCGGCGGCACCAGGACGGTCAGGGCAGTGAGCAGGGACGAGCTGTTTTCCGGCGCCGACCTACCTTGTGATGAGCGGTATGCTGAGAGTGCTGAGAATATGGAGCGGTGGCGTGTACATTCAAGGTATCCAGCATTACAAGTTTGGGGAGCTGTTTCAAAAAGGTGACATTATCTCAAGGGCGCAAAATCACACTGCTGACCGAGCCCCAAAAGAGAGACCGCCGGACCAGAGTGGGAGTAGGTCCACGGTGGGTATAAGAGCGCCTGGCCAATCATCTTACATGCATTGAAGCCCTGCTGAAGCCCCACCCCAGGTCCCCCCACAAGCTCCGTCAGGTCAGGCACCGCAATGGGGCATTGAGTGGCCCACTGGTTTGTGGAACGAGATGGTGAAAAAAGAAAGAGAAAAAAGAAAAGAGAAAACATGCAACAGCAGGGATTCGCTGGTCGTCACCGACCCAACTACTAATCTGCCTCTCACAAGCTTGATTACAGGAGAGCGAACGGGATCCGATATTTTCTTGTGGATATGGTCGCATGTGCTGGTTTGGTTGTTCCGCTGACCTATATTCTGATTTGAATGCGCGATGTGGTCTTTCGGCTCTTGACCTAAGGCTACCTACCTAGGTCCTCACCAAGCATGGAAGTGTGAGTCCACTTGGCCACGCCTTGCTCTTAGCTCAGAATAGATCAATTCGAATTATATAATAGAGGTCAGAATGTGTCTTTGTTTGAGACATCAGAATCCCAGTCTGACGTCTCGTCGGGTTCTGTTTCCTCGAGATCTATTTCCGCGTCCACTTCTTCCTCCTCCACTTCCTCCTCGTCTGGGAAGCCTCCAAGTGCCTCGGCACGCAGCAGCCGGTTCTCGAGGTCGATGACTGTTTCGAAACTCGTTGTCTGTGATGCCATCAGGTAGAGCACGTTGCCCAGGACCCTCGAATGCACGTTGGAGCCCCTGGCGACTTTCAGGAGCTCAGCCTGCAGGGCACGAGAGGCGTTTGACTTGTAACCTGATGCACATGTAAGCCATGGTTGAGAATGTACTCTTTAATGGGGGATTGGACATACCAGAGCCTGCGGAATCCTTGACATGGATCGCCAGCACGCTTCCCACAGCCCAAAGACCCTCCACTTCTGCCCTGGTAGACAGCTCCTTCACGAAGTCACGACTCCAGACACTCCACACAAATGGCTCGAGACCGTCATTTACGTGTATGTCGTCGGGAAGCGAGGAGCTAACCGTCCAATCTTGTACAAACCTCTCCCACGTGCCGTCTATCTCCATACGTCTCATCGTTTCCAGAGTCTCAATGGCCACCTGGCAGCCGACAGCGTGGGCAGTGTAACTGTGACCATGAAGCAGGGCGTCGCTCTTGTCGTCACTCTCAAAACAGCGGAAGATGGACTCAGAGGCGACAGTAGCAGCAAGAGGGATTAGCCCCCCCGTGAGAAGCTTGGCGTGTACCGTTATGTCCGGGTGCACGCCGAGTAACTTGGCAGAGCTTGGGCAGCCCAGTCGGTAAAGACCAGTGAAAACCTCGTCGAAGACAACAGGGAGCCCCTTCCAGGTTTTGGTGTCCTCAGGATCTGGGTCGGGGCAAGATTCGGAGAAGAGCTTGGGGTCGCTCCGGACCACGTCCACGAGGGCCTGCTGGAAGAGCGGGTCGGCCAGGATCATGCCCCCGGCTCCCAGCACGACTGGTTCGAGCATGAGCGCACCAAACTTGAATCCTTGGTCTCGGAGACCTTGGAGGGTGCGGGAGATATAGCGGGTGTAGTCACGGTACAGCTCTGTTTCTGAACGTGATTCCAAGTCGAATATTCCGCCCAGTTCGGGGAACTCTGTCTGGGCTGCTGAACTCCCTTCAGCCCAGAATGCGGGCGGCACGTCAATTTTCCATTTTCCGTTGGTCATCTTGACCGTTGGGAAATCGAACCAGTAGCCTTTGCCCTTGTACCACTCGATCTTCTCGTTGTAGGTCCCGGGCTCAGAGCAGTCCATTGCACCAATGGTATCACCATGATAACTACCCTTTAGGCCGAGGATGCTCAACTCCTCTCTCGGCCCCCAGCCATACCGTAGCCGGGCTGCGCGGAGGGCCATCTTGACAGCCACCTCGGTACCGGTGGACCCATTGTCGGAGTAGAAGACACGAGAAAGACGCGGGTTTGCAAGAGTGCGGAGCAGGAGCTTTGCGAGTTTCAGGGCCGGTTCATGGATTGCCTCGGCAAACATGACGTGTCCGTAGCGGCCGGCAGCATACGCGGCGGCGAGCGTCAGTTGCGGGTTGCCGTGGCCGAGACCTTGAGTCCACCAGGAAGCAGAGCCATCAAACGAAGGACGAAGAAGTGGCGTCGATCTGGCCTTCGATCTGGCCTCCGAGTTTAGGTCACGGTGGCGCGCGCGTTTTTCCGCATCAGATTCCCCGGGGAATCTGGGTTCGATGTCTCTGGGAGGCCCAGGGGCGGCGGAAAAGGCCTGGAAGTAGTCACCATACGCAGAATCGATGGCGGTGATCTTATCGGTTGTCAGCAGCTTCTGTTGGGTGAATGGGTACCATATCATCTTTTGAGCATCATCTGCCATGCTATCGAGTTCTTTAATACGCTTCTCATGATTCTTTGCCAGAATGCCTAACATGGCCTTGATGGGAGTGGATCTGCCCTGAGAGTTGTAATAATCATGCAGTAGCCCTTGTTCCTTCCGAGCGTCCTCATGACGCTCATGTGGTGGGCGCACGGCGACACAAGGGATTCCCCGATCCTGAAAGTAGGATGCGAGGTACTCATGATTCTGGTATTGCTCGTTCTTAAGCAGAAGAACAGACTGGACATCATAGCCTCGCAGGCGGAGGGACTCATATGCTGTGATAGTTGCCGAGATGCCGCCGAGTCTGTGGTCACCAACCAGGATAGCAGGCAGCCTCAAGGGCCGGTACAGGTCGGCCTGGGAGGTGCCAGACGGGCCGGGAGAATGCACGCCGCCAGCGGTCTCGCAAAAGAGCCAGCTGTCCAGCGTGCGAGACCCATGTCCGTAGGCGGCAGCGTGCCTGGCGTGCTTAGAGGCATGAGAATGGACGACAGACAGCAAGTGCTGGTCGGAGATGATGCGCTTTGTTACCGCAGGTGAGTAAGCAGAGCACCTAACATGAAGGTGACGAGACTGGAAGGGTGTGAGGAAGGGTGTGCCTTTGACTTACACGCCCGGAATTGGTTGCGGCGATGTGAGGGCTGACCGGGTCTTTGTACTGGACAAGTGTGCTGCTGGTGAACCATTCTGGTTTCGGTCCTTGTTGGGCGAGGAACCTCGAAAACACCCTACTGACGTGTTCTGAATCGGAGTCGCCTCTGGGGCCGGTGGACACGGGCTTGAGGTAATGCACGCCCTCTTTGGGCCGCCTGTGTCGAGCAGCGACGCAGAGGATGGTTGACACGACAGTCTTGCCGACGCCAGTGTTGGCGCCCCAGATCTGCAGAATGCGCAGTGACGGGAACAGCAGCCCGCCAACTGGCCCGGTGCGTACCGCCATGACTGCGGATGCAAGTCTGCCTCAATTGAGGTGAGGGTGCAGCATCGAAACGCCTTACTCACGAGGCCCTTGAGCTTGCTCATCTCAAACTTCGAGCTCTGCGATGCCCAGGCGCCCCACCCTCACCACCCTGGTCATGTAATCCCGTCTGCAGCCGTGGAGGGGGGGGGCTGTACTAGGGTCAGGGTCCATCCACATTTCGGGCCAGCGGTGACTTCAACCGGACCCGGTACATAGGCCATGTACCTCCACTAGGTACTTCAGTACTTCCCGAGTCCATTATATTAAGATTTGTTGAGGTGCAGAACGCAAGGGTGCACATGTGCAGATAGCAATTACTGAGGCTAAGCTGCGGTATGGGCTTTGGAGACCTCGAGTTTCGACGCTGATGAGAGCCAGAATACACAGGACGAGCAGCCTCTGGCCATCATCTGAGCCCCCGGCGAGACGTCGGCGACCATGCCCCTCCAAGACTCGCACACAACCCTCGAGTCGACCTTCTCCTCCTTGATCTCACGCCGTCGCTCAAGGTCACTGCTCCGCAGGCTTACGACAGTCCCACCAGGGACCGTCGACTTCTCATCCAACGACTACCTGTCCCTCTCAACCAACCCCGAGGTCCGTCAAGGATTTCTCGACCTCCTGGGGCAAGAGGGGCATAGCTCCCGGGCCGGGCAGGGCGATGAGCACTCAACGTCTCCGCCGCCGCCGCAGCAGCTCGGGTCGCGCGGGTCCCGCCTCTTGGACGGCAACCACCCCTTCGCGGACTCACTCGAGGCCCTCGTCGCCGAGCACCACAACTCGCCAGGCGCCCTGCTCTTTACCTCGGGCTTTGACGCCAACGTGGGGCTGTTCTCATGTGCCCCGCAGCCTGGTGACTTCATCGTCTACGATGAGCTCATCCACGCCAGCGTCCATGATGGCATGAGGCTGTCGCGCGTGGCCGCCACAAAGCGGGTCCCGTTCAGGCACAACTGTGTCAATGGTCTCCGAGGAGTGTTACAGGAGCTGGCCAGGGGAGACAGTGGGGTACGTGAGGGAAGTGCCAATGTCTTTGTGGCCATGGAGGCTGTCTACAGCATGGACGGAGACTTGGCACCGCTGCGAGACATGATGGATGCTGTCCATGAAGTGCTCCCGCAGGGCAATGGCTATGTCATTGTAGACGAGGCGCATGCAACGGGAATTTTCGGGCAGCGTGGTAGGGGTTTATGTTGCGAACTGGGCGTCGAAGACAGAGTCTTTGCTCGGGTGGTGACGTTTGGCAAGGCTCTCGGGAGTCAAGGTGGTGAGTACACCCTGTTTTTGTGATTGGATAAACATTACATGTGTCTCATCTCTACCATTTCCAGTACTGACAAGTTAAGGGCTGCAGCGGTCGTCCTATGCTCAAAGATCACTAGGGAATATCTCATAAATTACGCCCGGACGTTGATATACACGACAGCTATGTCATATCCGTCTCTCGCCAGCATCAGAGCTTCATACGACTTCATGATGTCAGGCAGGACGGAGACACTGCTTGGCCGCCTCCAGTATCTCATCCGCCTCACGCATCACCTACTCGCCGGCGTCGTCTCCAGCCTCGCCGGAGACCATTCAGCCCCAGCAATACTTGCCTTGAGGCCGCTCGACGACAGCGTGTCTCCAATTATTCCCGTATTCACGCCGCACCCGCGCAGCCTTGCCAGTCACTGCCAAGCGCGGGGCTTGATGGTACGCCCGATAGTAGTACCCACGGTACCGCAAGGGACCGAGCGGGTGAGAGTATGTCTGCATGCGGGGAACACACAGCAGGAGGTCGAAACTTTAGTGGCGGCGATGGGTGAGTGGGCCGCTATGAAGCTGGATGAAAAGCATCACTCGCAGACTTCCCAGCTGGAAGACACGACGCAAGTGGGCGCATTAGAGAAAGCAAGACTCTGAACTTTGCCTCCAAGACAAGGTTGTTTTCGCGTCTATTTGGATTTGATCTACTTTCATGCACGTATAGATCTGGCAGAATCCCTCTTCCTACAGCTCCGGCTGCGGCTTAGGGCTCTTCTCAAAGCTCTTCATAGGCACCAGGCCCCAGCGCTTGAACATCTCGCCATCTTCATCCCAGCCGTTGCACTCCGTTGTAAGCATCTTCTCACCGGTGAAGATGGCGTTGGCCCCAGCCATGAAACACAGCGCCTGCTTCTCCTCGCTCATCGTCTTCCTGCCCGCGGCGATGCGGATGATGGTGCTGGGCATCAGGATGCGGGCCGTGGAAATGGTGCGCAGGATGGCCGTAAACTCGATGGGGGCCTTCTCGCCCAGCGGCGTACCCTTGATGGGCACGAGAGCGTTGACGGGGAAGCTCTCTGGGTGCGAGGGCAGCGTGGATACGGTGTGGAGAAGCCCGATGTGGTCCTCGGCCTTCTCGCCCAGGCCAAGAATGCCTCCTGAGCAGACGTTGAGGCCGGCGTCGCGCACATGCGACAGCGTCTTGAGCCGCTCGTCGTAGGTTCGTGTGGTGATAACCGAACTGGTTTGGGTCAGTCATCTGCTACGGATCCGAAAGCAATACACCTGGGAGCATCCCAAAACATGAAAGACGAGAATCTGGTAAAAGAGAAGAGTGATGCTTACGGGTAAAATTCGCGGCTGGTATCGACGTTGTGGTTATAGGCAGTCAGGCCGGCCTCCTTGAGCTCCCTGGCCTGCTGGTCGTCGATCATGCCCAGCGTCACGCAGACCTCCATGTCGAGGGCGCGGACGCCCTCAACCATGGCCTTGATGTTCTTGAGCGAGTTCTTGCGCCCGCGCATGTCGCGCCACGCGGCGCCCATGCAGAACCGCGTGCTGCCGTTGGCCTTTGCCGTGCGCGCCGCCTCGAGGACCGCCTCGACGGGCTCGACACGCTGCGCCTTGACGCCAGTCTGGTAGCGCGTCGACTGAGCGCAGTAGCTACAGTCCTCGCTACAGCCGCCCGTCTTGATGTTCATCAGCGTGCACAGCTGCACCTCGGCCGGGTTGTGGAACCGGCGATGAACAGTTCCCTGGCCAGAGGAGGCAAGTCAGCTTCATGTGGAGCTTGTGTGAGTAGATTCGAGGTGACTCGCCGCCTGGAAAGCAAGGTCCATCAGCGGGTGGTTGTAGATGGCCGAGATCTCCTCCTTTGTCCAGTCATTGCGAAGGCCATTGGCCTTGACGGCCTGCTTGAGAATATCACTGGTCGGGCGCTCTGTCACAACAGGTTCCGTCGCCGGACCTTGGGGCCGGGGAGTAGGTGGTGGCACATGTGCATTCTCGATGACATGGTCCTCGACTACCGTCGACATTTGGCGGCCGGGCACGCCAGCACGACTGTGGATCCGGGCCGCTCCTTTTAACCGGCGGGAGGGCAGAGAAGCAACGGCGAGCCGCTGTCCGGGTCCCTGAGCTCGGGACAGCGTCAGTCGCAGAGCTGATCCGGCAGGAGACAACATCTTGTCAACTAGTCCTTGGATAGAAAAAGAGACAAGAACTACGAGTATGTCACGTATAGCAGCATTTCACCCAATCTGTACGAGAAAAGCCCTCAGTTCGCTGTTATGGTCGCTCGGGCGAGTCGAAGGACCCCCGCACCTGTGTGAGCACCTGCACCAGACTTCTTCGCGCTCGCTGCAGGCGACCCGGGTACCTGGACGGTCGTGTCTCAACCGCAGGGAACCGAGGTAACCAGAACCTTAACCCCCCTTGGCAGGAGATCTCGCATACGATCATCTCACTCGCGATGCAGCCGCTAAGTCAAATTGGCGGGCTCCCTATTGGCTGGTCCCACTCTGAGTCAAACCTAGAACTGTTGAGGAGCGGTTCTGCGGGTGCGCACAGCCGTACTAGTTTGATGGGCCAGGCCCATCGATGACTCTACGTCCTGGGGTGGATGGGTTCATGTCTGTCCAGTGCCATTTTGGCGGACCACTAACGATGTATTGCTACAAGGCCTCTGAAGTCTTCTTGGCCAAATTGTGCGTCTGGAGGGACGGAAGGACAGATCGACAAAGAAACAATTGATACTATTTCACAATGCAACCAAAGAACTACTTGCTCTCTTTGAGGAAGAGAGTAATCAAAGGGACAGACAAAGATAAGTCAAGATTAGCAGCAGCATTGTAACGGGAAATTCCACTGACACCATGCTATTATATATGTTTGCGAGTCGCGGCAGCAAGGCAGTTCAAATGTTGAGAGCCCACCTTGATCAAACAACTCATCGACAGTTCACGACCACAATCAGGCCACTCTCCGCAGCCCCCACCAATTTCGAGTTCATCATGGCTCTCAAACAAATGGAACTCGAATCCCTCCTGGTCGAGGCCGAGAACCCAAACTTCGTCCCATGCCCTCGGATATCGCTCTCGCTCGACGCGGGAAAGCTCGGTACCTGTGGGATCTGCCATGAAAGCCAGCTACTCCTGAGATCGCAGAGCAAGGGGCAGGACGACAGTACCGTGGCTATCCTACCCTGTGGGCATATAGCGGGGTACAAATGCCTTAAGCAATGGTTCGAGGTCCAGCAGTGTTGTCCCTTCTGCCGCCTCCCCATGAATTATCAGCTCTGCAAGCACTCATCCCGCCTCATAAGGCCACTAACCAGGGAAAATCTATTTGGTACGCCCGAAACACTTCCAGCGGGAGGTCACCTCCCACCCCAGTGCTATGAGTGCTCCATTGAGACTGATGCTAGCGTACATAAGTATCTTCTTGGGGCCATGCTTGCGCAGTTCAAGAGCCTGAGGACTGAATACAACAAGGAGACCCACGAGGGCAAGAAAATTGACCTCAAGTCTCAGCTCGGTACTATTAAGAAAAGAATAGACCAGGCTGTTGGCGAGTTGGCTGCCTATCCGGCCCGCGCTCGCGCAAGGTGGTGAGTTACAACGGCCGGGTTTCGTTGCAAGTTTCATTTTGTGTGGAGCAGACAAAGGCCAGGTAAGTTCAGTAGGAAACAGGGAGATCTGTTGTTAATAAAACAGGTAAGTTCTTTTATCAATAATACCCATTGTACCTACCTACCCTAGGTATCAGAAGATCTTTATACATCACGAGACTACCTAGGTAGCCTGCACCACCCCAATCTGTAAATGTGTAAAGTCCTAGTTCATACTTAAGTACCCACCAAATTGCCTATTCATATTATTTTGAACATGACATCATGTTCCGATCAACTGTTAGAAAGGTGTGTTCGAGCACAAGTGCAGACTTGACCGATTGCAACGCTTTGAATATCGCAAATAGCAGTCAAATACCTGCGAAACCCTTACTCGTTGCCACATCACCGTAAAATGTACCCACTACATCAGAAGCTCCTTTTGAATCAAAAACCTCGTTGGCTGTTACTGGTGTTTACTATAATAATAAGTTAGCGAGCGTGGATAAGGTTTGGAGTGCAAGCCCGGCCCTTGGTCCTCAAGCACCATTAGAAATATCATGTTTCAATCGGGATAGCCCTTTCATTTTCCTCATTTAGTGCCCTTAGTCAAAGGTTGTTTCCTTCGATAAAGTGAGCGTGCCCGGAATGCCGTAGTGCACTCAACAGGGATTATCTTTCCTCGTTGCTCTCCGTACGGGAGATTATTCCAGCAACCTAAAAACCCCATCTCAGGCTTCGTCTACTTGGACAAGACGATAGGGTTTTCGCTTAGTTCGGAATAAACAACTTTATTTGATGAGAGTATGGTCCAGATGATTTCGATATTACACCCCACCCAGGAGAGGCTGCCGCAGTAATTATGCTGAGTCCGCGGCATATCTGATACGATCAGCTGCTCAGACAATCATCAACATACCCTCAAGCTACTTTGATGAACCGAAATTTGAGAATCTTTTTGGGATCTATCTAGGCATAGAAAGCTCCCGAGATCACACATTTCACTACTACTGTACATGCTTTTGACACGAAGAGCTCGGTTTACTCTCTCCAATGTTTGCATGCAGTGCGAGTCCACATATTCATTTCTCATCACATAGCAGGCATGTAATGCTAGGCAACATGATCGATCAAACCAAGAATTTTTGGATACCTAGGTAGAGTCGGGAAACAAAGGGCGTCGACCAAATATGAGGTTCCGCTTCTATCAGTCTTCCGCATCTGGAAAACAATTGCACGAATTCATTGTCTCGGACCTAGAAAGCACCCCGTTCATGGTGCCAAACCGTGTCTTTGACCATGTCGGTAGTCAGGTGCCAAGAATAGACAGTTACCTACCGTGCAGCTAACGCCAGAGTGCATTCCAGATTTTCCTCCAAACCTCCTATTCCAACAGCTTGTATGCGGCTTTCCTGACCCGACCTCCCAATTGTTCATCAATGAGCCCATCTTCATCACCATGGACGAAATGCTCACGGTGGGGAAGAGGCCCATTGCGCTCAGAGTTCGTGCAACTATAGACAAATGCGTGCCAATAATTGAATCATTACAACCACGTTTTGCAGAGTTTGCAGATGTAGCCAGTCTGGTGGGATTAGCACTCCAAGGTCTTGCACGGTATCACTGGTGGTTTACATCAGAGGAGCACAAAAGGCTCATCCACGTTATGCGCCTCGAAGACGACTACTCACGAAATGCTACTTTGATCGGACGATTGGTGAGAAGGTATTCCGCAAGTCCCGACCTCGCTCTCAGACAAAAGAAATTTCTGAACCGGATGTACCATGTACTTGGCTGGTGCCTGAGGGATGCTCTCGAGCTGTACGAGGAGTCTGAGAAGGAATTGATACGGGAGGGGGTCAAGATCTATATGAGTGAGAGCGAAGGATACGGCGAACATGAAAGGCTAAACGCGTCCTTGTGGGACTTTCAGCAGAGGTTCCATTGGAGACAGCTTGACTCGAGTAGGGGCTCCAACAAGGCCATCATCTACCCCCCTACTGGCTTCGACACCGGTGGATCATCCTTTCAGGCTAGGAATTTCGTCGTGAATAATCAGAGCTCCGGAGTCCTCTCAGTTGAAGAACAAGCTACGTTGAAACAACTCCTCAACACCCTCAGCCAGCCGGATACACCAAGGGACTTGCTCAAAGGTGATGAGAATGGTCCCGACGACAGCAGCGGTTACAGATACATCCCGCCCCCTGTTCCGCCTCCCAAAGCACCTCGAAAAGCACCTCAAAATGAGGTCCCCGGAATCCTGAAAAGGGGTATGCGTGAGAAGGTGATCAAGACTGTACACTGGCCAGATTACAAGAAATCCGAGGTGCCGTCCCCCAGCGCAAGTGAGAGCTCTCCGTCACCAGGTGACCAGGAAGAAAACAATACGCGTCCAATAGTGCCTCCTGCAGTCTCTGCGAGTACACCTGTTACGGATCCCAGGGATCAAAATGGTCGTCAACCTCCATATCAGTTCGTGACCACTGACAGTGAGGCATCAAGCTCATCACCCGACGGCGAAAATCCGGCCTCGAAACCTCCCAGGCCCCAGCTCGATGGCGCCAGCCCCACGAGCTCCGAGTCCTCCAAAGATAAGAAGGCCCCCGACACAGCCAAGCAAGGGCTGGAAACACCCAGCGATGAAGTCCACTGGGATCCCCCTGCTCAGCCTCCGTCTTCGATCTTGTCATCTGGGTTCTCCGACATCCCCTGGCTATCCTCCGACACGGACGACGATTACGATGATGCTGACGACGATTCTGAAGACGAGCCCCCCCAATGGCACAGCAAGCACGGCTACAGATCACCCCAGCACGTCGGGGAAAGCAGCAAGTACACCCACAGGGCCGACCAGGCCGCGGCGGCCAGCGAGCCAGACGCGGTCAGGGAACAAGTCGCGCGCCACATCCGCGCCTACCTCGGCCCCAGCCACAACGAGTACAGCACAGCACTGGCGGCCCTGCCGGCGGAGCTGAGTGACGGGCCAGGGGCAGGGGGCGTGGTGGCCCGCCAGCGCGAGCGCGAGCGCGACACCGAGGACCAGCTCAGCCCCCTGGCGCCGTCGCTGGGGCCGGCCCTCCGCGGGCGGGCGCTCGCCGCCGCCGCAGACGTCAAGGCCACGGCCCTGCGGCACTGGTCCGGCGTGGCGGGCGCCCGGCGGCAGGAACGGAGGGACGGCCACGCGCGGCTGCGGGCGTTGCTCAGGTTCGCCGAGGAGGAGGGGAGAGGCCCCCTGTCCCCCAGCAGCATCCGCGCCAGCACGGGGCTGCGGCGGGGCCTGTTCGAGGAGCTGGATGAGCCTCCGGAGCCGCCGCCGAAGAGGAGGAGGACCGACGACGGTGTGGTGCGGACATCCCCCGCCGTGGACGGGGATGCGTCCCGCGAGCAGGCGCTCGCTGACCTCGAGGGCGTGCAGCCGCGGCTGGACCTGTCGTGGGCCGCGTTCCTGTTCAACCAGGACGCGCTGAGGTTGTTTGGCGGGCTTGTGGGCGAGCACCCGCAGCCGGGGGACCTGGAGCGGATGGACAAGCTGCTCCGTGAGCTCGTAAGTGGACCCTGGGCGTGAGAGTGTTGCCGGAGATTGACCACGTGTGATACTACAGGAGGTATACATCGCCGTGTGCAAGCACCGCCGCGGCCTGGTCGTGGGCCACCTCAGGGAGACGTGCGAGTTCCCGACCGCCGTGGGCGCGCAGCTCGGGGACCTGACGGCGGCGCTCCGGGACGCCGAGGAGGCCCAGCTGTCCGCGGCGCGCAGGGGCTTCGACTTCGTCGCGGCCCGGTCGAAGCGCGTCATGACGTACCCGGCCGGGAAGCTGGTGAGGAGGAAGTTCGGCGGCGCCCTCGGCCCCGAGGACCGCGAGAAGCTCGAGTACCTGGGCGAGGTCGGCGAGGAGGGCGCCGGGGCGCTGCTGGTCGGGCTGGAGGCGGCCGAGGACTGGCTCGACTGGGCCCAGCAGGCGGTTGCGGACTGGATGAGGGGCTGGAGGCCCGCGCGGGTGGAGACGGCCATGTTGTACGTGGGCGAGGACGTTGAGGCGGATGTTCGGCGGTATAAGTGGGAGATCAACCAGAAGCGGCATGCGATAGGCCTTGAGCCTATCAGTGACGGGCCACTTGATGGGGTGTACAGCAGGCAGCAGGGGCATATCGAAAGGCTTGATGCACTTTGGAGGTTGACTAGTACGAGTCCAGTCGACAACCAGGCCGATGAAGACGGGTCAGACTGAGGCCAACTGAAAGTAAGTACTTGGGTTGTGCCGCAGCACATGGGGTTTAATATTAGAAACTACTACTGTACTGTGCCCTGCAACGGGGGAGAACAACACTGCCTCCTCCCCGACGAGATAGTATATCGATATCCAAGAATTCCCAATGATCCCAACGCCTCGCTGTGATGACAATAAGACTCGCTAGTCGCAAAAATTGCAGATTCCGCTCGCTGCTGGCATGTATGCAATGCCAGTAATGCACGCGTGCATGCATGGACAACGTCAGACCACAGGCCGTGGCGCTGCTGGTGATGCGCTGTCCAGGATAGGCCCCGGCCATACCAGGGACCGGGGCTCCCACGCCTTGTACTACTGTGGCGCGCCCAGCTCCACTGACCGCTCCTCGGGGGGCGTGTCGAGTGGTGTCAACTGGAAGCCCAGGCCGAACATGGCGTCGCCGCCTCCCGGCCGCACGGGGACACTGACGGACCTCGAGTGCCCGACGTCCAGCTTCACCCTCTGCCGGCTGATCTCCCTCTCCCGCAGTGCCATCTCGCCGGCTCTCCGCATGTCGTCCAGCGCGTCCTCGATGATCGACTTCTCAAACAGCGGCAGGATGCGGTAGCCGAGGTGCTCCATGATGTTGCGCTCCGTGGCATTGATCTGGTCGCATGTCCACTGGTTGTTGCCCCAGTCCGATGCGTAGTACTGTGTTGGCTCCTGGCAGTCCTCGGTGAATTTAAAGGCGATGACAAGGGCCGTGAGGATGATGAGCTCGGGCTTGACCAGGTCGATGTGCGTGACGAGGCTGGAGGCAGCCGAGATTGTGTGTCGCTTGCTGGATGGGGCCGACCCCAGGGGCAAGTCCATGCGCCATTTGCGGGAGAATTTCGAGTCGAGCGAGTCGAGGATGCACACGGCCAGCGCGATGGTTTCGAGAGGGAGGGCGGCGCGGGTGATGATGGCCTGAACGTGGGAGACGGATGGTGATGCGATCGACGCTGATGGTGGGTGAAGGTTGACGAGATGCACTGCAGGTCCTGTAAGACGGCCTTGATTAGTCATGCGCGACCACGATAAACGGTAACACACACACACGCCCACCGCCCAAACGACTGAACACATACCTAACAGGCTCGAGTCGGCGAACTCATCATTGTCCACGCCGAGAACGGGGCTTGGGGAAGCCGAATTTCTCGATGACGGAGGAGGGGTAGGGAGGTTTGATAGCGGCTTATAAGTACGGGAAAAGTACTCGAAATCGAAATCATCCTCCTCGACATCACGAGGCGTGTCCACCTTTGCGCTGTACGGAGCCATTGCTGCTGCGTTCGTATGCATTCCCCCCCGTTGAGCAGAGTCTACCAAAAGCTACGGAAACGAACGTGGTCGTGTGAGTATTGATGGGTGTTTTTCGAAAGAAAGGATATGCCAGAACCAAGATCCAGAGCCAGACGCCCGGTCCGTAGGTGCTCGTCCCCTTTTATTAAAGAGAGGCGAAGCTGAGGTAGGGGTCAGGAATTCACCGCCAAGTGCGATTCTCAGGCAATATGTGGATACCGCGGTGAGTGGGGAATCTGTGCAGTGTCCAGTGTACCGAGTATCCACAATTGGAATACGATGTGCGTGCCCCGTACCGGCCCTGGGGAGCTGCACAAGGACGGGTCTACCGTACCGCCTCTCAGCCCTGGGGACTCTCTTTGTGGCACGGTTCCTGCAGCTCTCCGACAAGCTGACGGCTTGACAGCGTGACAGCACGTCTCAAGCCACAAAAAAGAAGCCGTCGAAGATTCCGGTGGCGGCACAGCTGCAGCTGCTGAGGATGTCTCTCCGGCCGGGTCGTAAGGGCGGCTGGCGGGCGATCAAAAGGGGGTAAATGTCGACAAGCGATTGAATCTCGGGTGGTGGATGGCTTGGGGAAAGGGTCGAGATCGCACGAGAGGGTCTATGCAACTATTCTCCACGGCTGTGCCTTGCCGAGGTGCAGGTTGCGATTCAAGAAAGGATTCGCGCGAGGCCCCCTGCGAGTATCACGCGACAAAGAGTGCGATGTGAAGACTGTCTGTCTGTCTGTGGTGGTGTGTAAAATGCAAGCGACGGTGGGGAGACGGCGAGTATAGTAATAATAAAGAACGGATTGGACGGGGCCAAAGAGCGATAGGAACGACCAGATGGAGCGTACTATGATTGATTGCGTACTTGGAAGGTGGACGGCAGTCGCGGCCGACTTTTAATAAATAAATGAATCGACTCAAAGTGGTGGTGGTTCGAGTCTGTTCCCCAGGTCTGCCGTAGGCCCGTAGCAGGGGCCCAGACGGGCCATGACAACCGCGGCCGGTCAGGGGTGAGGGGAGTTTGGGAACAGCTTCCAAGGCCGGGCAGAGGTAAAAAGGCAGCACCAGTCGGGATCCCCAAGCTTGGCACGATGACGGAGGCTCCTGAAATCTGCAGGGTGGCAGCGGCGGCAGCGGTGCAGTGGCATTGATGGGGAAATAATCCGAGCTTCTGCTCAATAATGACGGTGCCGCACCGCATAGTATCACATCAAGATGGCGATATCAGACGGGACCAGGCCCGACATGGGATGGAGAAGGGCCCCCCTTGACAGCCTGGCCCGCCGACTATGCCGCCCTGAGGCAAGGCAAAGAAGAGGCCTGGCTCAAGGGCCCGCCGGGGTCTCGGACTGGTTCTGGAACCCCCCTACCCTACTGCTGTTGTTTCTTTCACGGTGCTTTGTGTCCTTTGTGCCATTGCTGAAAAAAACAAGAGAGTCACAAGCTCCAGGGGCTGCAGTTCAGGTCGAGGGCGTTTTGGCAGACCAACGGACGGATGCTAGGGCCCAGCCCAGCTGGAGCGGTGGGAGCGGGGCTGAACAAAGGACATTGCCAACATGGTGGGCGTACCACGGACCAGACTGTTGGTTGCAGTGCACTATGTATCCAAAGCGTCGACTAGCTCACGGGGAAATGGATGGTGCCGGCACTATGTGTTGGATCAGGGTGGCTAAGGGCTCAGGGCTCTCGCTCTGGCGGTTGAATTAATTGCAGATTGCACCGGTTCGGCGGGCTGAACGGCTGGGCTCGCGAACAGACCCGCTCCTGAGTTGTTTGGAAACCAAACCCAAGAGAGAGGTTTCAAACCGAATCGGAGGCCAGGTAACGAGCATCAATCTGACCACCAGCCACGATGCAGGCCGCAGGCTGCAGCTGTCTGAAGACAAAAGGTCCGACGGACCTGGCATTTGTCCGAGTATGGAAAATGCAGAATGGAGACGGTCCTTTGATGTTTGCATGTCGCATGTACAGTATTGTGGTGGTCCTTACGGACGGGTACCTGGGGTAGGTACCTGACAGAGCCTGAGAGCGTGCAGGTGCGGGAACGCTTACTGCGTACTAGTACGTGTAAACCACCTGGGGCCTGGGCAGTGGGCACCCGAGGAGGCAGGGAGGGAAGCAAGGTTCCTTCCTGCTACCCACCTTGTCACCCACCTTGTCACCCACTCCAACCTGCCCGGACTGCCTTTCTCCAACGGAGCAGCTCGCTCCAGGGATTGCGTGTGCATGCAATCATGCCATACATGACAATAACTATGGGGTACCATACAACTTCAATTTCGTGGCGAGGCTTGGGGTCTTGGGACGACACCGGAACAAGGCCGTAACAGCGTAACAGCAACAGCCATGCATTTCTTGTCGTCTTCGCGGCCGCCCTGCCGCCCTGCCGCCCTCCCTCGGAACTTGAGCGCGTGTTCCTGGTGCCCGCCCGTCATCCGTCATGCCGAGAGACACGGTCTTCCCTGCTCGTATTCTCTCTCTCTTTTTATCTTTTTTCTTCTGTCTGTTCCTACCCAGACAGCTGGCACCTGGCACCTGGCACCTGGCACATTGGCACATTGGCTTTGTCGCTCCCTCCTCTTTGGGCTCTGAGACTATGGAAACAGGCATACGTCCCCTGTCGATCGCTGCTTCCAATTGTCAATATAGCAGCAACAAACAGCCAGCCTGGCAGCATGGCATTTCGGCACCGTCATCGGCAATCAGAATTTGCTCCGTCAATCCCGGCCCGCCTCAGCCCCTTTAACCCCTGTCGATGAGCCCTTTTACCTGTTCTGTTCCTGAGCAACGCCCGCCTACGCGTGAATTAATCGCTGCCACTCGCGTTGAAGGAAAAAAACAGAGCCACCGGCCATTGTGGGGCCCCTTTCAGCAACTGCCAACGCGATCATCAGGCCTCCCGGTCTTGAATACCACTGTATCTCGGCTTGCATCGTCTTTTCTCCGTCATGTCCCTCGTATGTTCCTATTTTTGGCAGACGTGGATCCCCCGGGCCCCAGAGCCCTGGGGGCATGCGATCACCATCACGATCTCCAGGACTGCTGGGGCTCAGCTGTGCCTTGCAGCAATTGTCCACTCCCGACGCCCTTGCTCGCATCCGAGGCAGCCTAGGCTTGCCAGGGACCCATCATACCGGTCCGTGATCTACGGCGTGCCTGGAGGCAACCCTGAAAAGACACCGCGCACGATACCACGGCCCAGCCCAGCCAGCCAGGTTTCCCCCAAAGGACCCTGGGGTTCCCTTTCGTCAGTGTCTCTGGCGCACTTCGATGGCAGTCCTTGGCACGCAAAGCAGCACGTCACCCAATGTCATGCGATGGAGTCAACCACCAACTTGAATTCCTGCTTCTTTTGGCAGGTCAGGTCCAGACATTATGCATCCACCAACGCCTTCATCAATTGGCTGACCTCTTCCGTCAGTTTTTCATGAATACTCGAGAGCTCGAATTGAGCAAAGATACCAGATGCCATCTCACCGCCAGCCTCCTCTCGCAGCAATTCTGCCCCCGGAGACACGGCAACAGAAAGGGCATCTGTCCCCTGTAGTATAATAGTAGATCAGTTCGATTTTGTGGTCCGAGGATTCGCCTCCCGCAGAGGAACCGCAGTGCATGCGGTGTGTCGCATTGCAGCAATGCGGCCCGCTGTGAACACCCGACACTTCTCCCGCTGCAGAGTACAAGCTCTGACTGGCCTGGGGGAAACCAATTAAGCATTTTGGGATAGTAGGTTCCATTACCATTGAGCGCCGGGCCCCAACGATCGTCGCCGGACCCCTCCTGCTCTCAGGCCATCTAGGAGCCTCAGAGCGCCAAGCCGATAGTCCGCTCCCAGTATTGGGTACGGTGTTATCCGTTACCTAACGCCATGCTCGCGTTCGGGGGCGTGCTGGATGCAAGTATGAGAACATGCACAACACAACCCACACACACGCAGACATACACACAACGTGTACTCGTGGACTGCATCACTCAGACACACTAGACCGCGCAAAGTCTGTTCGCGAATACTCGCAACGGCCCCCAAATGGCGCCGTTCAAGTGCTCGCCCGTCGGTCACCTCCGGACGCCCACCAGGTCAGACTTCGTGTAGTGGACAGTTGCAGTCGCCTTTGTGGGCTAGTCATCTCAGGCTGCAGGAGCTGAAGAAGCACGCCCGGTCTCTGCATGCTTGGTCTGCTTACTACGGGTTTCACGATGCGTTCTGGATCCTTCCGTGCATTGTTCTATTGACATTCTCCCTGTCAGTCCTGTGCAAGCTCTCTTCACCACTACCACCACCACCACCACCACCACTAGCCCCCGCCCGAGAAACGTCCCGCCTTCGGAGACGCCAACGCGCCGTCGTGGTGGTCTCCTACTATGGCTTTGCGTCTGAGCGGACTTCTATTCCGAGCGGTACTCACGAGTCAGCCCGGGCGAGCGGGGACGAAAAGCAGCATGCTCTACTTCGTACCGTTGCGATCGCGACTCGCTTTACGAAAAATCGTTGAGGAATCGGTCATGCTACACACTCTTGACTCTGCCTAGCGCCGAGGCCAGCGTTTGATTCACCCGTCGCTAGAGAATGTCTACACTGCATGAATACACTGGGAAATCAATCCAGCACCCGATCCGCCCGGAACACGGCAAGATGTGGCAGCTCACTGTTGACGCCTGGAAGATATCGGCAGCCCTGGAGTCAATTGACCGCGCACGACGGGCTGGTCCATGGCTGGAGGGGAAGCTGCTGTTCACAGAGGCCGTGAAACACAAGTCGGCAGCAGTTATCGAAGCAAAAAGAGAGCAAAAGAAACATCCTCGGATACGGGGAATCGAACCCCGAGCTGGTGAGTGAGAGTCACCGATGTTAACCATTACACCATATCCGACTACGGTGTGAGGACCTGTTGATATTTTCTCAGATTTTGGTGGGCTAGATAAACCAAGGGCAGGGTTGCTTGGCCGGGTGGGTCAGGCCCGTTCTGCGCTGTCGACCCACCCACGGTAAACCAAACATTGTCGTCCACTACCTCTCGCTACATGTGTGCCTACTTGAGTAGGTAGGCGTTTAGCCGCCTAGCTATCACTACCTGCCTTCGACGCCTTCGACGACTTGGATTTGGTCGACCTCGAGCGCCGGACCGACCACCTTGACTTCGTCACAGCCTGCTTTCGCGCCATGTATGCTAGATACGGCCAATGCTTCTCCTCCTCTTCTGGCGATGCCGACCGTTGGTATTGGCTGTTTCCCACCGGGGAGACCTCCAGCTCGAACACGGGTTGCACGGAGTACACGGGCGATGATATCATGTTATCGAGCTCGTGAATGACCGGCTGGATGGTCTTGCTGGGCAAGGTCTTCTGCTCGAACATGCTCGCGACTTGCTGGTTCAGCGGCGTGAACGGGGTGTCCACGGTAGGCGATGCCTGCATCGGGCTAGGCAGGCTCACCTGGCTCGAACGTCGGCTGAGGCCTGGCGGCGAGAGCAAGGGCGACGACGGCGATAGTGGCGATACGGCATGTGCAGACGTGGTTGGGTCAAGCGTCGTCGACCGCGCTCGTTGCGAGATCTCGGGAATCAACGCCTGAAGGCCAACGAGCGGAGGTAAAGGGGTCGTCGTGATCCTCGGTCGTCGAGAACTACTGTTGAACCGAGAAAGCGGGAGCTCTGGCGGGCCTCTCGCCCGCCGATCCTGATCATCGCTTCCATGGGCAGCATTCTGCACATCTCTTGTCTGCCCTGGAGCGCAGTGGTACAGTAGTTCTGCATATCGCTCTGTCTGCACTGCTGCGGGTTGGTCCGGTTGCGGGTAGGATGATGGCCCAGACGCCATGGTACGCAGATCCGAAGGCCTATACGTCAGGTTAGAGTGATGAGCAGGGGAGCCTTCGTCGAGATCCCTTGGACGAGCGCTTAGACCCCCATTCATCATCTCCCCAGGCCATGATCCAACGGATTGCTCGTAGAATGTAAGTGTTTCCGACTTCCCATCGTCATGATCGTTGAAAAATGGCAACAGCACAGCTCCAGTTGGTGATGATGATGTGAGGGCAACGCCAATCTGTGCGCTCTCGACTGTGTCACCAGCGGGCGTCGTCAAATACGTGCAGGGCACGGCTTGCAAAGTCCTTCTCGGTCTCTGCAGCATTGATTGTATCAGCGTGACGTTCTCGAACTCGCTATGCTGCTGTTGCCACCACGAGCCCGTTGCATCATGTCTCCTCCTATCGTCTTCGGTGATGTCTGTTGAACCGCAAACGAGGAATATCTCCAGCTGGTCGAGCGCAGCCAGCACGGCACTGTGCTGTGCGGTCAGGGCCACCGTCCAGGAAAACAACTCATCGGGAGACAGCCACGGTCTCGCGGCCGCGGGTAATCCTGACGCTGACGAGCAAAGGCTCCTGCTCCTTTTCCTCAGGTTTTTCAATCGTATTATTGATGCCCGGGGCGGCTCGGAGGGCGGCCACCGATGTCGTTCCAGGAATGGGCCCAGCTCGTAAATGCTGCGCGTCGCGGCCGTGATTGCACCATTAATGCGGCTCAGGAGCGGCCGGGCATCGGTCTCCTCGAAAGCCTGAAGGTTATCGTTTCTTAATGAAATGAGATATTGGGTATCATTCCGCAGGATCAACAAGAGGTTGAAACAGGCCTGTGCCTCATCAGAGATTGAGGTTCGGGGCTCGGATCTGGCCTCATGCTCGGAGGAGGCACGGGGGGATTGCGGCTGGCGGTCGCTTGAGGGCGGAAATGTGCTGGCCCTCCCCAGCATCTTGGGGTAGACTCTCTCAAGCGTGCCCTTTACAATGCAATTCCAACAATCTCCCTCGCCCATCCTTTGAAACGCAAGAAGAATGTCTGATCTTTTCAGCTCTCTCTTGTCGCCACCGATGTGACAAGAGGGAAACAGTCAGCACGGAGCGGGGCACGTGTCGCTTATTGAGACATTTCCCCCGTCGGTGGTGAGACTTCAAGGCCCGGATGCCGACTTTTTTTCTAATCTGTCATCTGTCTTTCGATACTCGTCGCTTGGCCCAGCCCGAGGAAGCCCACGCCCTCTCACAAGCCGACCTTTTTGATGCCAAGGAAAACAAGGGCGAATCATTTCTCCTTTGGTGTGCGGGCTTGCATGGAGGGGCTTCTGCCGCAGGACGTAGGCAGGCCGTATATTGCGGCCATGCACGCGGGCAGGCGGACATGTTATTGGTCGCTTGGCATGCAAAGCCAGCAGCAGAAACGGATGGAGAAAAGTCGGCGCAGACCAGCCCGGCACGTCCTGCAGGTCAGCACGCAAGCAAGCTGGCAAGCAAACAAGCGAGGCAAGGGAGGGAGAGAAACGCGCGCAAAGAACAACCCTGGAACACCACCACCACCACCTCCACCACCGAGCAAGCAATCAATATCGGGGCTGCACTGCGCTTGTCTCGCAGCGCGCGGTCCACTCAGGAGACCGGATCCTCCTGCAGGCTACAAAAGCGTAGGCGCAGTGGCTCCCCAAGACCAGAAGGGCTAGGTAACGATTCACCTGGCGGGCTGTCCTGTCCTGTCCATATGACACATTGGGGTGGTGGCTCGGCTGCTAGTGCTCACACGATTTCCCCCCTCCCCTGTTGCAGCCCATGCCGTCGCCGATTATCTCATCGCCGACACCGCTTTCTCGTCGGGTTTTGGGCACCAAAGTTTTCTTTTCTCTGCTTCCTTCGCGGTCCCGGGGCACCCGGTCCCCTTGCGGGGCCCCAAGGGATGCATTCCTTCGAGGGAAGCCCGGGAGGACAAGTGGATATCACGGCAGGCTGCAGCCAAAAATGTCGGACCCGAGACGGCGGTCTGGGAGGGCGGGGATCGAACTTCTGTGGGCCCTCGATCATAAAACTTCAGGAATCTTTTTTTTTTCGGTCTTTCTTGCTTTCCGTTTAGTCTCCATTCTCTTTGCCTCTTACTGCTGTGTTCCTTGGGGAAGTTTACCACCGTATGAAGGGGCCGTACGCCTTCGGGATGTACACAGATTAAGAACGAAACTAGTTGATGAGAGTAGTAAAAGAAATGATAGTTGTACGTGAACTTAGCCTTCTCACGTATAATTAAGGCTAGGAAGCGTCTCTTTCAAGAAAACTATTAACTAGAATCGTTAGTTAAGTAGCTAGCCTAAGGGTTAATAAACGGTGATATAGTTGTACGGCGAGACTACTAGAAGGCAGTCTTGTAGGGCTATGATTCGTTTTTCTTCTAATCTCCATACATCCAGAGTACATGTGGCCGCCAGCTTTGATAGAGTTGCAAGCGCTCCAGATCTTTAATCAAGTAACATTGCAGAAAGAATACAGTATAAGCAGTTGGCCTTAACCTAATACCGCACAGACGAGGCTAGAAAGTATCGCTCCTGACGGCACCGTTGATCATCGACACTACTAGCCCAAGGGCTCATAGACGTCATACGACGAGACTATGATAGTCTCTTAAAATGGTCCCTGTATGAGAAGTGACAATCTTATAAAGGGAGACCCAGCTACAACTTTACTCTTCCCCATCAACATATTCGTTCCCGAGGAGCTGCGGAAGGAATCACGACTCACTTGGAACCAAAATAAACGTCATCAAGGCATCTTTTCTTGCATTACTATTCTCAGGCGCTGCTGTCAATGCTAACCGCAATGGATACCCGTAGTACTACTTAACTATCACTGCCACGGAATCTTCGCCGACCCTTTAGGAAGATAAGACAGAACCATCCGAGTATCTCATAAGACCAAGGAACCAACTCTTCAGGCAAGTTGTCAACCGGGCATGGTATTTCGCTTCAGCCAGTATTAGCAACATCATCCTGAGAACTGGCATCGAAGCGATCCAGAGATACAACTACATTAGCACTAATGCGCACGCCACAGCCCCCAACTCCATCTACAGCATCGAGACCATCACCCACCTCGCTGTCAAGGCAGGCTTAGTCCGCGGTGCCTCGCATGCCCGACAGCAGATTTCGGGGCAGACGACGGCCATGTCAGGCTTCAGAGGGCTGCTGCCCTTGTACCAATTATTACCCATCTGTCTGATCGTGGTATTAGTGAACACGATCTGCACGCCAATCGAAATAGTTTCGGTAACCGTACTATCACTGGTGATGAATTACACAATTGGATGGTTGGAAAGCAGACAGAGGTCGCCGTGATCAAGTACGACGCTGCTGGCGCCGTCGACGTGCCCATCCTCCCCTACGCCTCAGGCAACGACACCCTGCACTTCCATATCCAGTACAGCCCCCCAGCGTCCAACCTCACCACACGAAAGCCGGGCTACCAGGCTCACATCCACTTCTTCGCCGCGGATAGGGAAGGAATTGAGTTGAGCATGCAGAACATGATCAACCCGAAGGGCCCGCCTGCATCTCGGGACCACGCAACTGCTATCTCCAAGGCCGTGGTGAATGACTGGTTCTATAACAGACAAGGGGCAACGTTACTGAGTCGGATCAACGGGGGAACTTATCCCTTCGAATATCAAGAGTGTCGCCAACAATCTCTTGCAGACCGTCCTCAAGCGCGCACCCTCGATCGGCCGGCCCATCATTTCCAGCACCGAAAAGGCCCTCCCGGGACCCAGCTCGCGCGTGCGAGTTCTGCTCGACAAGGCTAGCACAACTACTGTCGTTACAGCGTGGCTGATGAGGAAGCGCGTGATAGATGGTGGTACAGGACCGAAAGTAACAGTGGATGACGTCTGGCCAGGGCTGGGCGGCGAGACGCCCACACCAGGCCTCTACAAATGTCTGGACGTGGATGGACCAGATGACATTGGCCGCAGTTTGTAACACGGCATTCTATCGTTGTCTGGCCTGCAAATTATGAATTTCGAGTGCCACACTTGTTATTGCGCGTGACTGAAATCAAAGGCTGTGAGGAAAAGTAACCCAGAAACTTGAAATGTTCTGCTGAGAATACTACCTAGCCTTCTCGCAACACCTGTTATGTTAATATGATGTTGTGAATATCAAACAAGACTTTTATTATTTATACTAAGAGAATTCAGCCTCAGATATGTTTCTTGGGGTGTTTGTACCAGAATTGTTGCTAATCCTTCATCCATCTTCTCAACCTCCGCGGTAAGCCTCCCGCAAGCGCATTGCTCCTCCGGCGGCCAGACCAATTGTCTCGCCCCAGAGCCTTTAATATAAAAAAGGAAGCCTATCCGTGCTTTCATTTGCTCCACCCAGGACCGTACGTACGACACGTTGCTTCCCTTGTGTTGAGCGGTGACTGCCACTGCCCCTGCGAAGAGTGGCTGCCTCCAATTCCTGGCTGGCTGTCAGAGTTTGAGCTTTGAGAAGTACAAAGCCGGTCATGAGAAGATCCGATGGACGCTCATCATCCATTGTTACCAGGAACCGCGGACAGATAACCGTAGCGATGTCTTTCAAGGCCAGCGGAGCCTTATCGTCTGGCTTCGACTTGACTCCATTCTGTGCGCTTGCGGTAGTAGAGTTCCTGTCTTTGGGCGATGGCGTGGGAAACGCTCTCCAGCCCACCAATCCTGGAACATTGCCCCGAACCTCAAATTCGGCCTCGATCCTGGGTTTCAGAACCTGAAGGGTCATCCACAGCTTGGACGCCTTTTGAAACCACTGGCGCAGCTCGTGATCCAAATCCTGGGTTTCGGCTGCTGGAGTCACAAGGAATCCGACCAGTGAGACGATTTTTCTGCGAGCAATGTCTGCTCGTTTCATCCTATAACCTTCCTGGTCCTCCCTGTCAATGTTCAAAAAGATACTGCGCACCCATTCTGCCTCCAGCAATTCGAGTCGATCGATGATCTGTGCTACCTCCATGCCGTCCTCTGTGAGATATACTGGCTGGAAGATGTAATCGCACGCCACCTTGGAAAGAAGGCGAAGGATAGCCGCCACTCGCACCTGTCTCGCCGATTCCGAATTACTGCACGGTAAGGGAATAGCAGCGAGCGCATGAGATTGGGTGAAATTCTGCCATTTACCCTCAAACCCGTCGAGCGACTCGAGCTGCAGCTCGCCGAAGAAGCGAGAAACCAGACGGAAAGCATCTTCGAACAGACCTCTGAGCTGCCTCTTGCTGTAACAGACTTAGTACCGGCGTCTTCTGTCGTGGGTGGCAGTGATACACTTACTGTTCATTCAGAGCCGATTCGCTCGTGATTTGTAGAGGAAAAGTCCTCTCTGTCAAGGCTTGCAGCTCTCGATTCACAGCATCATGCTGCTCCTTAGCTTGTACCCGTTCCAATTGGGCAGCCTGCCGGTCCTTTTCCGCCTGCTTTACAGTCTCCTTCAATTTCGCGATGCTCCCTTGTAGGCCTGAGATATTCGCTTGCTTCTCCTTCCCATCGGCAATGGCCTTTTGAGCTTCCCCAGTGGCTCTCTCCAAGTCTTTTCTCAGTGCTGTGACTTCCTCCACCGCCAGCCGCAGCTTGCTCTCAGCCTCCTGTTCCTGACTTTGGGATCTTCTCAGGTCTGCATCTCTCTGGCTGCACAGTTTGTTCAGCTCTTCCTGATCGTTCATCACCTTCTGAATTGCTGCAAGATTGCTCAATTTCGCAATGTTGCTCTTCTCCATCGCTCTTTCAAGCTCCTTGTTCCGCGCTCTCAGATCGTCCATCTCAGAGACGAGGCTTTTGATTCGTTGAAAGCCTTTATCCCCGGAAAGATGACTGAGAATTCTGGCAAACTCTTCAAGTTCTGCTATCCCTGTGTTGACGGGATGAAGAGCTTGACCGTTCGTCTCTGGTTGGCCGATGGACACTGGCTTGGCCATTTTGGGTAGATGAAGTGGCGAAATGAGTGTAATGATGATATACACTGAGGCCTTCTCAACAAATAATTCAATTCCGCGGTGGACTCGATTGACCATTTGACCTGGATCGAAGTACTGTTTCCGACAGTCTTACCAGCCAGATATATGAATGCCTTTGTGCTCCTTGAGGCACGCTATATTGCGATCGAGCAGTTCAGCCTCATTCACTTTCACATGTGTGAGCGAGCGGAGAGAACCCAATAGTTGCCCTCCACGTACTAATTTGCACGTATTGTTGTGCAAAGTCGGCGGGGACTCGCCTCAAACTCGCCTTGGCGCACGGAATAGTGCCAGTAGGCCTCACGCAGATACGGGTTTATCAGGAATCACTCAAGACGAGTGGCCGTTCAAGGAAATGCAGGCTGTCTTCATGTGTCGCATCGATCATGCTCGGCAGCAGTTCGCATCGATGCATGAAAAGGCTTGGCCGCCACTGATACTGTTCCGATTCTCAATTCAATCTGGCGCACTCACCGGGTTCAAGTAGGCTACTGTAGAAGGAGAGATCATTGCCCGATTTGGACCAGTCGCGGTCGACACCAGGGCACCTTGCATCATGCAGCACCGCGGTATAGCAAGATAATTACCATTCTTTCAATTCGCTGATTATGGCGAATGATATGCAGCTGTGATTCATGGCTCACATATGACAGGGGCTCTGGAATATTTTCAATTGGAATGAGGTTGTGGGGGTGGCAGCACGCTTGTTCGGTTGCGCAACGTTGTCGCACCAGCACATTTGAAGGCTCAGTCGGGCCGGCATACCTCGACGGGCTTGCATATTCGGCACAGATATTTACATTGTTTTTTTCTTAATCATATGTTATCTAGCGGTTTCCTTGTTTCAATGAAATACATGTTTATTATCATTCTATCCATGCTGATCAAAACAGTATTTTTGGATGGTTTCGTTCATAATGTGTGTCTAAGTAAGTATGTATCCCGAAGGTCTATACAGTCCCTTATTTAGTGGTAAATGCATAAAGTCTCAGCTTTTAGAAAATATTCAACACCGGTAACAATAGTGATCGAGCATACTGAGCTGTCTGATTATAATTGTGCAAGGTAGGAGTCGAAAAAGGAAAAGAAAAGGAGACCGGACATAACATTTCTGCGTACTTACCTACGGGCCTTCGAGACATTTCAGTCGACTAGCAGATCGTTTCGCCAGGGGTATGTGCTGGGAATGCACGGCTGGTGGGGAATTTTACAGAGCAGGAATAGAATATGTCCAAACTTGAGGAATTTTCAAATCCCAACTATGATGCTTCGAATCTTGGCTTACTCTTCTTACATTGTCTTTCATCCAGTGACACGCCCTGGCAAGGTATCATTGCCATGGCTGTATTACAAGTATTAGCCCACACACAGCCCGAGGCGGTGGCCACAGTGTTGTCGCCTAACCTAACAAAATTGATTCGGTTGGCCGCTGCCAAGCTGCAAGAGAGCTAGATAAGGTTTAGACGAGCTTCAGAACGACACAGTTGGAATGTTGAAGCTTGTGCGTGGCTTCCAAGAAGAGATAGTAAGAGCAGCTTGTCGGCCCAGGCAGTTCTGGTGGTGGGTTCTAAGTTACGGGACTCGGCATCCTGGACCCTGCTTCGTCCAACGGCAGCGACATCGCCTCACGGGAGGCCAGACCTGGAGGCCTAGTTGGGCCAGAGAGCTCAGCTCTTTCTTAGAGTTTATTATAAAAGTGTTTCAGAATCTGGCAAATTTTCTAGCTATCAGTTTCTCCCATACAGTCATGGAGCCGGCCTCGCAAAATGGAAGAACAATATCGAGATCAGCTAGAATGAGAATGGCCTCAAAGTCTGGACCAAACGCCAACCATTGCGCAATCACTTTGAGATTTTAGTTTCTGCATTCAGGGAAATAATGTTTGGACCTTAATTTCTGGCACTCTTTCCAAATTGGCATCCTTTGCTTCTTCGATAAATGCCCGTGGGACAACGGTCTGATATGGGAAAGCCGTGCGTGTCGATAGGATACGTACGAACGTTCATAGGAGTAATCGTTGTGTATTGGGTGGTGTGTTGTTCTGGCTAAGTTCTGAGCGCACTCTCGCGAGAGCGAGAGTGCCTGCTATGTACCATCTAAGACGCACCTGCCTTACGACAGTGCGGGTATTTAAAGGACTTACTATATCTACTTAAGTAGGTAGATGAGGAGTAATCCTTGAACTTGGCAACGTAGACACGCGTCTCAATGTTGATAAATGAAAGAGCCTGAGCACCATAAAATGTAATGCCTCTTCAATCACTGCACATGTGGCGCTGCTGTTGGTAGTGCCGTCCCTTCCCCAGCCGCCGTGTGACTCAACCGCTGACGGGCCGCTTGTGTCTGCCTAGCCACCACCCCAGGCAGTCACCCACCGGCACCACTGCACCTAGTGTCATCTGGTTTGACATTATAAAGCATTTTGAAAGATGATATAACAGTGAAGTAGCTCAATTAAACTGGCATCAGCCAATAGATTTAGATTCTATCACACTAGTCCTTGGACACTTCGCTTTTGCAGACAGGTCTGAGGTTCGAGCCATATTGATTTGATCATTACTTTTTCATCTATATTTTATCTTTTTCCTCCCATTTTCCTTTCCAAATATATAAAGTCTACCCCGGAATCCTGTCAACAGCCTTAAAATGCAGAAAATCAAAATGCAATCTCAAAACAAACATATTTCCAAAACGAGCCTATTTCAAGATCTCTCCAACCACAGAGTAACACAGTTCAGATAGACTCTGGTCCTTGAGAATATTCAACACAGAAACTTCGACCCGCAGTTGTTTCATAAACCAGTATCTGACCTCAACAGCAATCAGGGAGTCCACACCGAGACGGAAAGCCGGCTTACTGGGGTCCAGGTCTGCCTCGGGGAGAGACAGCGACTTGGCCAATTTCTGTATCAGGCCACGCGTGATTATCTCCGCCGCCTCTTCTTCCGATGCCGAATTGCAGACTTTGGACAGGTAATCTACCTCGTCTTCTGATCTCAGCCCATTGCCGCCAGCTGCGTCAGCTGAACTGTCATACGTAGCGCCGAGACGATGTAGATTGCGAAACATTGGCTTCGACATCCATGCCACTGTGCTCTGATCGCCCTTCTCCCACAGCTGCTTCGGACTGTCGACGACATGGATGACTTCGGCCGCTCCGGGCTGGCTGTAGTCGTAGGACTGGTCGCAGACAGCGTCCAGTAGACCGAGGAACTGGTCCTGCGTCACGCCTGTGAAGCCAGCCCGCAGTGCTGACTGAACGAAGAACTGATTCGAGTTGGCGAGGCCAGCCTCAAGAATTAGACCCAGGTCCACGGTGATGCCGCGTAGGCCCTTCTGGAGTCGGTGCCGAGCCAGAGAGGCCTGATACGTGTTCCCAGCTGCATAGTTGCTCTGTCCTCCGTTGCCGTTGACACCAGCGAAGGAAGACAGGAAGATGCAAAAGTCGAGGTCCTGTGGGAGGAGCTCGTGGAGGTTCAAAGAACCGTGGTACTTGGGCTCCAGCGGCTCTTTCCATACCTTGGCTGTCATGTTGTCCATGAGTTCGTCCTGTCAAATAATCAGCTCTGCCCAGCGGACACTCATAAGTTAATTGCAAGGAGTAGCCTGACTCACATGAAGTACCATGGCACCTTGGATACACCCTCTGATCGGGGGAAGCTTGTCCGCACAATCACGCAGTGTTCTCTCCAGGGCGTCTCGATCAGCAATATTGCAAGCTGGAGCAAAGATCGTAGCGCCAGACTTTTCAACCTCCTCGATGAATTTAAGACCCTCTTTGTTTCCTTCCACACCGGATCGTGATAGACATATGAAGTTCCTAGCTCCACGGCTTATCATCCAGTTGACTATTTCTCGCGAGAGGCCGCCAAGACCACCAGCGAGAACATAAGATGCGTCGGCTCTGAATTTGTAGGCGGGCTGCAGCATTGGCCGGTAAGTAACTTCGGAAGGCTGAGACCAGTCAATAACAGTCTTTCCAATGTTTTTTCCGCTCTGGAGGTATCGCATGGCGTCTTCGAATTTGGCTGCTGGATAGACATGTAGTGGCCGTGGCTCGTGTACCTCTTCAGGGTATTTGGACCAGAGGTCCATCACATCTGTCATGACCTGTTTCATGGTCTCCTGGGCATTCTCCACGACCACGTACATATCTACAGCCGAGAACGTAGCGTTCCGCTCGAAAGGCTCCATGGTCAGGCCTGTCTTTTGAAGGATATCAGCCTTGCCGATCTCGACGAAGCGTCCAAATGTCTTGATGCACTTCCAGCTCTGTTGCAAGAGCTCTCCTCCCAGTGAGTTTAGGACCACGTCCACGCCGCGGCCGCCAGTCGCGTGCATGATGTCGTCGACGAATGACGTATCGCGACTGTAGAAGATGTTGTCGTCCGGGATCCCCATGCCCACCAGGAGCTCGCGCTTTGTGTCACTGCTTGCTGTGACATAAATGTCCTTTATGCCACGCTTTTTGGCAACCATGATGGCAGCCTGGCCTACACCACCAGCCGCAGAGTGAATCAAAACGGATTCACCAGGGCGAATGCGGGCGATATAGTCCAGGGAGAAGATCACTGTACTGTAGATCACAGGAATTGAGGCAGCAACCGTAAAGGACATTCCATCCAGCATCGCTTGTGTAAGCAGCTCAGACACGTGAACAAATGTGCTGAAGGCACCGGTCATTGAGCTAGTGGTGATGTTAGTTTCTGCTACGGACCCTAAAGTGTTTCATTCTGAACTCCAACACAGGAAAGACGGGGATCAGTAGGAGGAGAAAGGTGATACTGACACAAACATGACGCGGTCCCCAGGCTTCGTGTATTTGCAGTTGGGACCTGTGCGATTGATAATGCCAGCGCCATCGTAGCCAAAACCGTGAGATGGAATCTGGCCCAGGGCGATCATGACATCTTTGAAATTCATGCTGGAAGCCATGACTTGAATCTCAACCTCGCCGTCCCCTAGAGGCGCCCCAGCGCCAGCTACTTCCTTGAAGTAGAGAGTGTCGAGGAGGCCAGGGTTCTTTATGGACAAGCTGACATGCTTCTCGACTTCAGGGCCGATGGAACAGGTCTGCTTCTTGGGGATATGAGTTCGCGAGGTGATGACGTCGTTCAAACGGCCGTTAGGAGCCACTCTAGGAACCTGAAGGACGCCACCAACTTCAGCCAGCTCCGATTCACTCCAAGATTGGTCGTCGTCCTCAGTGGCGCGTAAGACGGAGGTAATAAGGCCGGAGCTATGGCTAGTATTTTCAGGCGACTCGAGGCTCACGACTATGACGCCTTGGTCGCCGCGCTCAGTGCATACTGTTCTGGCCCAGCCAAGCGAGATATCTGCCTCTGGGCGTCGAGCTTGAGGTCCTCCACCACTAGTGACCCATACCATGCGCCGCGAGCCCATAGCACAGTGCTTGATGGCCGACATTTGGTCTTCATCGGGATCATGCAGAATGCTGTCGTTGGCCTCAAGCAACGCAATCGTATTGGCCCCCGTGAGATCAAATTCCCTGATTGATTCGAGATTAGTGACGGTCACGGTGTGGTCTGTCACCTGATTCTTTATGGATTCTGCCAACTTTGTCTGCAGTTCTGAGCCGTCGCGTTTGACAATGTAAGTCGTTCTTTGAGGAGGCTCTTCTACCTTTGAGTCCACAGCGACAGCTGTGGCAACCAAAGTTGACAGTCGGTGGTAGGGTAGCTTATCATGATCCTTGAGTTGGAGATCCGTTCCTGAGAAGCCCGCCTCCTTCAAGGCATCGTTCCACTGTGAATCGGTGAGGAGCGGGCCTTGGTTGGGGAAGACCCATTCCGAGGACCCGCTCAATGCACGCAACCACCAGCCTGACAGCAGTCCAAATATGAAGTTCTCTCGCGCACTTTGAGGGTTAGTAATTTCCACCATGACAAACTTGCCGCCCGGCTTCAACAGGCGACGGACGGAACGAAGTGACTGGGCCAAGTCGCTGGTCGCGTGCAGCACGTTGCCAGCGATGACGATGTCGTAGGAGCCTTCCTCGAAGCCTTGAGGGATTGGGTCCTCTTCAAGATCCAATTTCTTGTATTTCATCACATTCGCATAGTCGGCGAACCGTTCCTGAGCTTTCTCAAAGAAGCCGGGCGAGATATCTGTGTACATGTACTCGGCAATCCTAAGCATAGGGCGTAATTAGATCAAGACACAGTTAAAGGAGTCTCGGGGGCGTAATTTACCGTGGTGTCTTCTTGCCGTCTCCTTGGTAGTAAGTCAGATACGGCAAGACCCCAGCTGCTGAGCTGCCAGTTCCGGCACCGACCTCGAGAATCCGCAGGTAGGGGTTAGCATGGGCCAGAAGCTCAACATATGCTCCAACGCGGTCACAGTGGATCTGGAAGACCTCGGCCGAATAGTATTCTGTTCAGAAATTCAGTATGTCAGTCAACTCACTCCAACCCATTGTCCAGGTGTTAACCACTTACCCTGCATCAATGTGCCTTCGAAAAGGATTTGCAAAGCGTTCGCCTTCCCTGTCAGTATATTGTGCAGATTTTCACCAACTCTTCTGACAAGCCCCTCGGTAGGCTCTGCAGGATCTGCCAACAATAACGCTTCGACATCAATATCTGAGCGGTCGTCAAAGTCTTGGTGAGACTTTTTAGCGTACTGTCGTTTCATCCACTGAATATATTGTGTACGATGGTCAGTAGGGGATGTGAAACCTTCCTTCTCAAGAAGTTGAAGGGTTCTCTTCACATAGTAATTCACAATCGCATCAACCCGGTCCAGGCAGTTCTTGTCAGGGAGAGCGAAGTCCTTGAAGGTGTTGTTCATCAGGAAGTCGAAAGCCTCGTCATTGGCCATCAATGAGAGATCAGGCCGATACGCAAGCTGATAGCATGCTGCCACTGGCTCTGCATCATGATCATGATCCAGACTCGTAATGGCCGTGCCACGCTCGCCGCGGATGATGACCATTGGTTCCCCCGTCTCTGCATGCAACGCCACCGTGTCGCACTCACACTCTCGAAACCCACGCATTGTCTCGGTCGTAGCCGCCTGAAGCTTCAAATTCCCTGGCATCTCAAACAATTTGTTTGAAATCCACATCTCACGGCAATGTGTGAACATCATGGCAGGAATAGAGCGGAGACCGCCGGCTGAGACAGAGACCATCTGGAGATGGCACAAGGCATCGAGAGTCGTTGGGTGAATGACACAAGGGTCCTCGTTTGCATATTCCATCTTTTCAGCGTAATCCCTGGTTGTCACAGAAGCCGTCGCTCGCCCGTCATTGCTGTATGAAATATCGCTTAGGCGGGCAAAATAAGGCCCGTAGTCCATACCATGTGCACGGATGTTGCCGTACATCTGATCCGGATACGTCTTGTATTTGCAAGCATCAAGAATCCGTTTGTGTTCCATACGAAGTCGATCAAATTCACGCTGCTGGCGCCGATAAGTAGTCTCATCACCGGGGGCGATGGTCTCGACCTCGACTTTGATACTTCCATGCGCAGCTTCTAACCACTCGTCTGCAGCTCCTATGGTGAATACGCGCCAGTCATACCATTTTTGTAGGGTATTATTGATGTTGTCGCGGCGCTGGCGCATATGAAGCTGTGCTTCGTTCCCGCGCTCAGATGTGTCAACAGAAATAGAGCGAAGGAAGCGAACATCAGCCACGCGGTAGCCAACAATGCGTTGCTGCTTTCCCTTGCTCTGGTACTGCTGTTGGGTCTCAGTCATCTGGCGAGCGGCTTCTATAGCCATGACGATGATCCCTGCGCCAGGATACACCGAAGATCCGTTGACAGTGTGGTCCATAATCCAGGGGTTCTCGGCGTACCGGATAAGGTGCCGCCAGCTTGCCTCGTTGGGGTTCCAGTCCCGCGCGGCCAAGCCGAGAAGCGCATGCCGTCGGTGCGGGCGGAAAGCGAAGCCCTTCGAGAGACGGCTTTCAGCCCAATCCAACCTGGCACGGCTGAAAGGGTATGAGGGCAAATCAACTATGACTGTGGGCTCGGCAGGTGCGTCTTTGCCCTCGAGTGTGTCAAAACAAGACCTATTAACCCTTACCAGGTCGATATTGACTCCCGCGCACCAGAGCTGGCCTAGTGCACCCAGAAGACACGACACGTCGTTCTTTTTCGCGTCTAAGGTGTTGATGTACTGAAATTTCTCTTTGCTAAGAGCCTTCATTGTGTCTTGAGTAGGGCGCCTCAATGCCGCTTGAGGACCGATTTCGACGAAGAAGTGCGAGTTGTTGCGGGCGGTTTTCACGCCGGAAGACTCTTGCACGGCACTTCCTATCGCATCGGAGAAGTGAACGGGGCTGACAAGGTTGCGCACCCAGTATGAAGGCGTTCTGAGCTCCTTCATATCAGTCAAACGTCCAGCGATGACAGAAGAGAAAAAGGAGATCGAGCTATCCTGGACGTCGGGCAGGTTGCCCACAAGTGTCTTGGAGAGAATCCGCCCGTACTCATCGGAAACCTCGGACATGACATTGGAGTTGTGGTAAGCGACTTGGACGGCTAGTCTCCGTACAAAAAGCTCATCTTTCTCGAGGCTTTGGTATACCATGTCCAGGGCATCGGTCTGGCCACTGATGGTGACATTGAAGGGGCTGTTGATACAAGCGACAGACACACGGTCGGCTACCCCCTCTTGCTCGAGATACGCTTGCGCCTTCTCGGCACCTAGACCGACCGACATCATTCCGCTCTTTGGGCGCTGGGTATTTGACGCCAGCTTCTCTGTGACAACGCCACGAAAATAAGCGATAGCCCAGGCCTCTTCGCGGCTCAGTGCTCCGGCGCAATATGCAGCAGCAATCTCGCCGCTCGAATGGCCAGTTACACTACTGGGTACAACATCCCAGCTCTTCATGAGATCGACCAGGGCCACTTGAAGGGCAGTGGTCAGGGGCTGGGCAAGCGCCGGCTGCCCGATCTTGCTGCCCGTATCCGCAGTCAGCTCCAGCTGCCGCATTAAGCTCCATTCGCAACCAAGCTCTTGGCGCAAGTAGGCATCTGCTTTCTGCAGTGAATGGGAAAAGGGCTCAAAATGTAGCAGCTTGAATCCCATGCGAGCCCACTGTGCGCCCTGTCCCGTGAAGATAAAATGCAGCAAAGGGGCGATGTGGCCAGCACGCACAGCAGGCGCAAGCGTCTCACCGACGACCAGGTCAAGCACACCAGACTGATCTACCACACCAAAAGTACGCCAAGGATGGTGGGTGCGGTTTCCCGACAGCGTGTGCAAGACGTTTTTCAGGTCATGGGTGCGGCCAATGTCTGTTTTCAGGTACTCAGAGAGGGTGCTGGCAACTCGTGTTGGGCCATCTTCATCGGCAGCCGAGAGTGGCAGGATGCCCTTTATGGTCGTCTTATACGCATCTTGTTCATATCCTGAGAGACTCGAGGCTGAAGAGGATATTACTTCCGTTGTCAATGGCGAAGATGCACGTGTCGAGTCATAGCTGTCATCTGGTGTCCCCGTGGATGAGATGGTGGATGACGGCCGCTTTTGTATGGGAACTTCATCGAGCTCGTTGAGTTGCTGAATACTGCCGTGTGTCGAGCCATTTTGTGAAAGATCGACTGACTTGTGAAGACCGTCCAATCCGTGCAAACGTAGGTAATTGTAAGCATCGTCTAAAATCACATGGCCGTTGGATCCCCCATAGCCAAAGGAGCTCACTGAAGCCCTTCGTAGTCCGGGCGAGGGCCAAGGCAATGCTTTCGCCGGGAATGCTATTCGCAGCTTCTCCTGGTCGATAGCCGGATTCGCTTTCTCGAAGTTGCAAATGGGCGGTATTACCGCCTTCTCCAGCGCTAACACAGTCTTGATGATCCCGGCGAGTCCACTTGCCCCTTCCAGATGGCCTATGTTGCTCTAGAAGATTGCCAGGAAATCATTAGTCACATTTCTCCAGTGTATCAGGAGAGTAATACCTACTTTCACAGACCCAACATAAAGTGGTTTGTCACCATCTCGATCCTTGCTGAACGCCATGCCGATGGATGCAGCTTCAATGGGGTCACCAGTCGGGGTTCCGGTACCGTGTGCCTCGACATATTGAGTAGTAGCCAGATCGAGTCCTGCTGCGACATATGTATCTTTTATGAGCTTGATCTGTGCCTCAGAGCTCGGTTGTGTGATACTGGGCGTGCGGCCGTCCTGGTTCACACCAGTTGCCCGTATGACTGCGCGGATCACGTTGCCGTCTCTAAGTGCAGTACGCAGCGGCTTCACTAGCACCGCGCCGAACCCCTCGCCACGTGCGTAACCGTTCGCCTTGAAGTCGAAACTGTAACAGCGCCCGTCAGGGCTGAGGAAGCCCGCGTCGTCCAATGGGATGGTCAGCGATTCTGGCGTTAAGTAGGTGTTCCCTGCGGCCACCAGTGACATCTCGCTCTCGCCATGCAAGACACTCTGGCAGGCAAGGTGGAAGGCTGAAAGGCCCGCAGAGCATGCCGTATCGACAGTGATACTGGGGCCTCTCAGATCATATGCGTGGCTGATACGATTTGCCAACACTATTTTATTTTCAGTCAGCTCCAACTATTGCAAAATTCTCCTGGGACTATTGCTCCCCTGTGCGTCTCGAAAGTGACTTACTGCTACTTCCTGAGCCAGTGGCGTGGTACCGACTCATAGCCTCGATGTCGCGAGCAATGAATGCGTCGTAGTCTTTGCCGAAACACGCGACAAAAACTGCCGTTTTGGATCCAACTAGAGACGGTAGTGTAATCCCGGCGTTCTCGAAGCAGTGGTATGAGCTTTCTAGGAGTCCACGCTGTTGGGGATCTAATACAGATGCCTCAGCAGCGGACATGTTAAAGAAAGAAGCATCGAAGGCGCGTGGATCTTCCGCCATGAAATGGGCGTCGCGGACACGAAACTATCAATCCCGGGGTTAGTATGGCTCTCGTAGAATTTGATCTCTGGAATCCTTTCAGATACTAACACTGTCCAGTCGATTCGGATCTGGATGGTAGAAGGCTGCGGTCATATCAGCAGGCAACCCATAGTAGGTCTTTCAAAGTGCTCACCATCCACATTGAAACGATCAGCCGGGACTCTCGATGCAGCTGAGCGGCCTTCTCGTAGCATTTCCCAGAATGCGTCTGGCGTGGTGGCATCTTGTGGGAATTTGACACTTAGACCGATAATGGCCAGCGCGTCCACCGGATCCTGTTCAGTAGTCATAGCGATGACTCCTAATAGCGCTAAAATGTGTTCTGATAATGAAGATGGACAGGTGTATGAGCTTAGGGTTGGACAAGAGAACCCGGGCACGGGGCGAAGGCTTCTGTATCGTCTGGGAGGTTTGGGGAAGAGGCGGGCTATTCACACAGCTGATCTTGGCCAACATAGAAGTCAAAGACGTAAAGTAAATGGGCCTAGTTGGCATAAAATAGAAAGATGGCACAGCATAGAGCATTCTCTCACAACTCACGGATGATCACGGTATCAACATTTGAATCTCTTCGTACCGGCCGATACATGTATGTTACTGACATAACGCATACTTGCACAATACCTCATCCAGATGCCTCTGGTGCTGTGCATGAACCTCTTTAATTCACAAACTGACCCTTTTGTGCGTGCTTCATTCCCAGAATATTATGGTCCTCTCTAATTGCATATTCCAAGGTTCCTTTGTGGATCCATGCATAAGTCAAGTGCGGTGTGAATCACGCTATGGGCGCCATATGAAGTCTCAAGCTCGGCTGACATTGATATTTGGCCTTTTAAGGATGCCCGATTAGCTTTGGGATGGTATCCCGCTCAGGCTTCAAACTGAGTAATTGTCGACTCCACCAAGGCATTATTATCGATTTCCAAGATTCTTGTTATCGTGATTGAGTCAAGTTCCGCCAGGAAACCCGCACTCAGCGCTACGATACCAAATCTTTCAGACTTACTGATTGATGCTGGAGTTGCGGGGATGGTCTACACCGCATGATACCCTTATCACCGGCTTTAGTAGGGCCCCTGCCGAAATTCTCTACTAGTCAGTGATAATGCCATTGCCTAGGTATTGTCTCGTCCTCAGCGACCATCAGAAAATGCACATCTGCTGTACCTAAAGTGGCTGCTTGGTTGGCAGCAGCGAGTGGGTAATGCAAGCACTTCAACTTTACATGTTCTGTTCCAGGTATCACCACAGCACCACCAGAACTTCTCAAAGTTAAACAAAATTATGGGTGCAGCTCTCTCACTTTTTTCACTACTTCGTGCTTCGATTGCACATCAGTTAGCTAGAGGTGACAAGAGGCCTACTACAGCTGGAGCTGCTGTATATAGCCCTCTGTTCCTAAACCTCGTCTATGACGGGCTTGTGCTTGGCCTGTACTGTACCTACGTCTGGCGCTGTCCGGCCACAGTCTTGCAAAATCTGTATAACACTCTCGTTGCAGAAATACAGAACTGCCTCGAAGAGAAAGAATCTTTGGTGGGGTCAGACAGCCCGGCCGCCAACACGAGAATTCTGGACGTCGGCGTGGGCACAGGTTATTTCTTAGCCTCAACGCCATTACCCGAAAACACCTCAGTCACTCTCTTTGACCTCAATCCGGCGTGTCTTGAGGCGGCATCTCTTAGATGCAAAGAATCACATGCCGGGCTCTATGACCTCGAAATCAAAACAGTTTGCGGCGATTTCCTTGCCCCTGCGGATGACCCAAATTCTATTCACCAAAAATTAGTCAACAATCAGCAACAACGACGCTTCGACGTTATCATGACCTCCTTCCTACTTCACTGTGTCCCTGGTCCGCCTCAGCGCAAAGCCAGGGCACTGGCAAGTCTCTCGAGACTTGTCGATCCGCAATCTGGAGTACTGGCCGGGGCAACTATCTTGGGTGATCGCGCGGAAGATGTGCGGCACAATATTCCTGGGCGTTTCATAATGTTTTGGCATAACGCCTTAGGAATGTTCGACAACCGAGAAGATGATGCTATGAGTTTGGTTGGTGCCTTGCGTGATCAATTTCACGACGTCAAATGGGAGATTGTTGGAACAGTCCTTGTGTTCCAAGCGCGTCTACCCAAGGGAGACCAAGATAGTTAACCCACTCGCAATTCGTTGGCATGCGAGAGTTCATAGGCCATCATTCGGTCAACAGTTTCTATTCAGTCATAACAGATTCCATGGCATAGCGATAGGCTTCTTCTTTGCTGCTATCAAACATCAAGATGTTCCAACATCGAAAGTTGCTTCTGAGTTGACATCAAAATAGTAAACTTCATGAAAACACCTCCTCTACATACCTCCCCTCCCATTGCGACCCACTACTCGGTGCCAGCGTCTGCCTCCACCGCTGAAGGTCTGAAATTCCATTTAACGAGTCTTCCTGTTCTTGAATTCCAGCCGCTTGCCCTGCATTCTGGAACAGAGGCCCGAGGAGCTCCCACACCTCATCTGCTACCTTCTTCCCAGCACAAACACGTATGATAGCCCCTCGGGTCTTCCACAGGTCCAAAATTAGATCTTTCTCAGCCATCACTGCATCCATCACATACTTTGGCGACTTTCCCTGACATTCACGACTGTAAGATCGCCGCACACTGACCACACCTGCTGTCTCAGCCGCATCCAATTCCTCAGCGTATAACTCGTCTATGCTGCGACCTCTGCAGCCGTAGAAGAGGTAGGCTTGGAATTGATGCCTAGCCGATTTTCCCATTCTACCCTTGTGCCCATCGTCATTTCGTAGAGCTAAATCTTGGATGACTGCACGGAAGGGAGCTATTCCCGAGCCCACTGCGATCATAACAAGCGGGGGAGTGCTCCCATTCCCGGTCTGTTTCGCTCGGAAGGCGGGATTACTGTTGATTTTAGCGTAGATAATGTGTCCGTTTTGAACCTTGGCGAGATAATTCGACGCGATACCACCCGGCACTGTTGAGACTGTCAGTGTCCCATGGCCGGGTTTGGTGGCAGGTGCGGACGAGATGGAGTATGTACGAGGCCTCATGGGAGCTGCAACCTGTAGGATGGTGGGTAGGGTGAGGGAATAAGCCGGAAAGAGCTCCAGTAGACCTAGGATGCTGAGGCAAGGTGCGCCAGCCGCCGTCAATTCTTCGAGCTGAGACTTCAAAATCTGTCCACCTGATGCGGCTGCGAGTATCCGTATATGTTTCGCCGTCAATGTAGTCGGAAGTTCCACATAGGCCCCGAGAAGTTCCGTGACGCTGAGCCTTGTGCCATCCTGGACACCAAGAGCACGTCCCGAGCCTATAGTTATCTGAGTATCCCAGGCCATCCCCAGGCGATCCAGAATCGTATTCACAAATTTCGGATCATTTTGAGGAAGTACCAGTAGGTGATCCCCAGGCTCGTAGTCCACGCCTGAATCTGCCGGGAAGCGAAACTCCAAGTGATGCTTGATCGGAATCGCCATTTCAGTGGTGATCTGCGAAAGACATTTTCGCCCTGTTACGACTGCGGGAAAATATCCAGGCCTCACTTGAACACGGGTAGGGTGATTCATGGAAATGGAAAGTCCACCACATGGCATGATCCCCCCCTTATCCTCAATAGCTTGCATTTTGTACTCATGATAGGGAGCGGGAAATAAGCTTGCCTGGCACCAGTCCGCAAAATGCGAGAACACGCCACCCGCTGCCGCATCTGAAGTTCCTATGGACACCAAAGGCTTGGCTCCGGAGTTGGCCATCAGCTGATGTAGAAGCAAAGGGACTCTCTGATAGGTATCTTTCCAGTCTGAGTGACCGCAACCAAAGACTGCATATCTCAGGTCTGCCAGAGGTCCAGATTGCGCTGCTAATTTCTTCAGCCAAGCTACCATCTCGATGGAATTTGAGGCCGGCGACCCGTTGTAAGACGCAGCGATCATGATGATGGGAGTCTCTCCAGATAACCGTCCAACCCCAGAGTCCAAGGTGTCCACCACATGGGGCGCGAAGCCTTTGGCGATGCATTTAGATGCCAGCACGGATGCTAAAGCTTCGCTGGTACCTGCATTCGAACCATGAAGGATCATGATAGGCTGTCCCTTGGGAGCTCTGTGTAATGTCGGCTGAGATTTGAGTTGTCGCACTTGTCTCTCTCGATTCGATCCATGGGTTCCTCGATGTGTCTCAGCCGAGGCACTCATATCAGTCGCCTTAAGCCCGTGACGAAGCTTGACCTGCATGTAGAACCCGTCTGGCTTCACAGATAGGTCCGATCGTAGCTTAAGTTCATAGGAGGGATCATCCTTTTTCAAATCAAAATTCTGCAACAGCTTGGCCAAAATCTGTAATCAACTACTGTTAATATCCTCGGCGTACTCCTTGCGTTTGTCATATACTCACAATCAGAGACTCTTGCCACACAAATGTGCGCCCAATACACCCACGAAGCCCGTTACCAAAAGGCTTAAAAGCGTATTCACTCAATTTGGCGAATTCGTCCCGAACCATACGCTCAGGCTTGAACTCATGGGAGTCAGGGCCGTAATGACTTGTGTCTCTCTGGATAACCTCCAGGGCCGGAGCCAGTACGTCACCCTTGCGATACCGATATTTGCCTCCCAGGACTCCATCATCGTACGGCGTCACAAAGAAAGTCGGTGCCGTGGGCACGAGGCGGAGCGACTCGCGCATTACGGCTTCCAAATACGGTAATCTCTGAATGTGGTCCACATTCAAGGCATCAGAGCCCACCACATCATCGACCTCCTGCTGCGCCTTGGACAGCTTGTCTGGGCAATGGCAGAGATAATAGCATATCGTCGTCAGCATGGCTGAGGTTGTCTCGTGGCCCGCTGACAAGAAGGTAAGCATATTATGAATAATGTGCTCATCACTAAGCTGGCTACCCGTTTTGGGGTCACGCCCAAAAACGAGCGCTGACAGCACGTCTTTTCGAGAAGCGGCTTCACCTCGCCGCCTGCGTTCATCGATCATATCCTGACAGACTCCAAACAGGTATTGAGTTGATTCTTTGAATTTCTGGTCGGCACGAAACCGGAAGAATCGAGCAAAGTCCGGCAGCGTTGATCGCTTAGCTGCCTCTGCCAACACAGCATCCACATTCTGAACAAATGGGTGAAGACTGTCATTGCAGTAGAAGCTGTTGAATCGAAAGTCCAGACACGTCAGAGCTACAGTTTCCAGGGTCAGCCGGGTGAAATCAGATCCCAGGTCCAATTGTGCCCCTTCTGGACAACGGGCCCTACACACCCAACCGAGTCAGAATATTATGTCCGTAAAACGACAATGTCGATATATCAAGCTTACCATTTCAGACACAGTTGATCTGCAACATCTCTCATGTCATCGAACATGTCGCGGATCCTGAACGTCCCAAAGAGGGGAAGAAGCAAACGATGAGCCACACCCCATGCCTCGTTACCGTGAAATGCCGTGAAAAGTCCATCTCCAGTGACAGGCCGCAGTCGCTCAAGTCCCATTGCCACAAACTTATGAAACTTTGTTTCATCGCAAAGCTCACGGCACAGCTCAGGAGTTCCAACGACTATAAACCGATCTCCCAAGACCGATAGTGAGAATAGCGGCCGGTATCGCCATGCTAAAGATATGACGGAACCCACTAGCGCGTTTATATCCAGTTGGAGAGCATTTCCCAGAATAGGAAGTGCTTTTATGACTTTCTTCAGTGATCATATCATTGAGGTGACCTCGGGCACGAGGGACAAGACTCACGTTTCGGGCCAGGGATAGGTTCTAGCTTAACGTTTCCGTTCTCTTCCTTGCTCCTCTTCAGCGAATTCAGATAACATCGTGATGCTACTATAGCCAACGAGACTACAAGCCAAGCTGATGGAAAGCTCAAATACTTCGATGAAATTGCATCCATTTTGTCCCATAAACTTGGTGACTAGCCTCATGTAATTTGGAATCAGACTTACACGAAATCTGAGGGCCATCTAGTCTTCTCGCTCGTGCATAACGGCAGTGCTCTTGGAACAGTTTGGAGGTATCTAGGTACTTTCGAAACTACCCCAGACATCCTTCAAGGGTGCGTTTGTCCACTGGTAACGACGTCTCAGGGGACCCCATCTTGCGCGATTTACTTTCAAACTCTGTAAGCCAGATTACCCAGGCATTGTTTCCCGGAGCCATGCTCCCGAGGTGTCACGGGGCCCCATGGAGAACTTTTGGGCCTGCCAAGACGCATGTTCCTCTGACCGCCTCCGCGGGGAGATCAGATGTTGGATGATTATTTTCTGATGACGAATGTCCTGGCGGCATTTTCTACCCAATGCATCACATCTCGGCTTTATTTTCCGGTGTTGTGATAGCAAAAATACATGAGTAAAAATCCTAGCATAGTCAAAGCTCAAATGGCAACCTGGAATAATACTACACCCGCATGACGGCCCACATTGGCACAGGGCATGACTACTCAAGTATTCAGTACCACACTATAGCATCTTGCTTCAGAGGCTGAATCGTTGTACAAGATCTCCCAACGATGCGACTTCATGATTCATAGTATTGTCTCTCTAAGTGCACATTCTAAAAACGAATATTTCTGTTGAATGGTGAGTCGCTCGATCCACTCTGGAGTGGTTACTCGATGCTAGTGAAGAGGACTAGCATTTCGTGGACTTCGGTCAATTGACACATAGCTTGCAGACATTTTCAAGATATCTTTCAATTCCCAAGTCCACCTTGAACAACACTGCAGTTATCATCGGCAATCATGTGGTCCCCGGCGACGTTGACAACTCCAGAGGCGACAGCGGTTGTGATCATCCTGTCGGTATCGGTGGCGGTTCTCTTTCTCTATCAACTTAGTTTGCCCAAACCACTTCCCGGAATACCCTACAACAAAAGTTCGGCTCGAAGCATACTTGGCGACTTACCTGAGGTGGCCAAATTTCAAAAAGAGACACGGCTTTTCTGGATCTGGCTCACACAGCTGGCGGAACGGCTGCAAGCCCCGATTGCTCAGGTCTTCCTGCGGCCCCTAGGCAAGCCCTATGTCATCGTCACCGACTATCGCGAGGCACACGACATTCTAGTGCACCGATCAAAAGAGTTCGACCGCGCCGACTTCTTCAGAGATACTATGGGCCCACTCACCCCAGATGCCCATATTTTGTTTAAGACAGACGACAATTTCAGGCTGCACCGCAAGGTTATTGGAGACTTGATGAGTCCTGCGTTCCTGCAGAATGTCGCCGCGCCGTCACTTTACACCAATCTCTGCAAGCACATACACCTGTGGAATGCCAAGTCCCGCTTGGCGCAAGGTCATCCCTTTGAAGCGATCGACGACATTTACTATAGCGCTTTCGATGCCGTCACCTCTTTCACTTTTAGTGACAATTTTACTCATAATGCCACCAAGTCGCGTGTGAGCTTTTACACATCCGTGTCAACTGACAAGGTCCCATCTCCGAGCGGGAAAGATGAAGCAGTCATTTTTCCCGGATCCCCTATTGTGGATGAATTTGTTGAGGCATTTCGCGAGCTGGCACTTGTGTACGAAGAGGTCTTGGCCTCCATGTGGCCCAGACTCCAGTGGTTCTTCATTTTGCGACGACCAAGAGTCCGTCATGCAGTCAGTGTGAAAGAATCAGTCTTCCATCGGGAAATCGAGGAGGGAATCCAGCGGCTAGATGGCGGAAAGAATGAATCACGGGTCAAATCCGCTATGGACCACATGCTGCTGCGAGAAGCTACCATTGCTTTGAAAGAGGGGCGCAGGCCGGATTTCCATCGCCGCACGATATATGATGAGGTGAGGTCTCCACATGCTACGTACACAAAATGCCCATTCATAGTACTCACTCGTCCCTGTAGCTTATTACGTTTATTTCGGCCGGCCACGACACAAGCTCAACGACGGTATGCTGGGGAGTCAAACTGTTGGCAGATAACCCGTACACGCAAGAGAAGATTAGGTGCCAATTGTTTACATCTCTTCATAAGGCTCGGGCCGAGAAGCGCTGGCCAAATGAGCGCGAGATACTTCGCACCCCTATGCCGTACCTCGACGCTCTGGTTGAGGAGATGTTGCGGCTGGCGCAGCCGGTACCTGGGCTTGTTCGCCAAGCTACCGTGGACACCCAGATCCTCGGCTGCCACATCCCAAAAGGGACTGAAGTCTTCATGCCTGTCAATGGGCCTGGCACCTTCAAACCGGCATTCCCCATAGATGATTCACTGCGGACATTAGAGTGTCTCGAAGCCAAGTCGCGCATCCGGACTTGGCCAGAAGACGGCTCTATGGCTGACTTTAGGCCAGAACGGTGGCTGGTGGCCGCGCCTGCAGACGGTTCAGTGCCGCCAGAAGCCACCTTTGATGGCTACGTCTTCGATCAGAGCGCAGGCCCCATGATGGCTTTCAGTCTGGGCCCTAGAGGCTGCTTTGGCCGGCGGCTGGCGTATGTTACGCTTAAAATTCTCACCACGCTCATTATGTGGAATTTCGAGCTTCTTCCCTGCGGTGAAAAGCTGTCGTTATATAAGGCCCATGATATGCTCACAAACCGGCCAGACTTGTGTTACGTGCGGCTTAAATCGGTCGATGATGCCGCTTAGGCTACTGTGTGTCTCCTGCGCTTAGTGCTTTGGGATCGATGCCCCAGATTTTGAGATAGAGGAATGAAGCTTGATTCAAAGGCTCAATTGCATAATGAGCAATTAATAGAATGAGAAACTGATGATCTAATTGTGGATATATCCAGACTTTCAACTTTATAGTACTTTGACGTTTGAATGCCTATAATCCAAATTCTGGTATCTAGTAGACATGCGTTTCGAGCTCTATGGAATTGGTCACCTAGTTGATCAATACACCACCCTCCTTGTACGTATAAATGGGGCCTTCGGTCGCCTAGTAAGCCCATCGCGTGCATCGTATGTCGAAAGGGCATCTGGCACTGGCAAAAACTCAAAATGCCAGATCAATAGAGTCAGAGAATTACGGAACTCAAACAAGCCCATTCGGCGGCCAAAACATGCACGCTGACCTATACCAAATGCCAAAAAGGGACCTGCGTTAGGATCGTATGCTTCGGTCGTCTCGCCAGTTCTTGGGTCGCGGCTCTCGACTAGCCAGCGTTCAGGCCGGAATTTGGGCTTGTCCTCGTCTTCCCACTCCCCGGTCCGCGAACCCTGGGCAGTCTTGTAGCGTAACTCTGGTTCAATGTCTAGTGTCGGTGTCATGAGACTTGGGCCGAGCGTGTGGGCGAAGACTGTTGTTCCCCTGGGGATATGCACCCCCAGGATCTCTGTGTCGACCTCAGCGTCGCGTGCCAGGAAGGGGATGGGTGAGCCAAGTCGGAGACACTCATTCATCACGGCGTCTAGATAAGGGATCTGTGTATGGGTGATATCGCTGACCGACGGCTCGCGCTTCTCGGCGAGTGCCTGATTGTGGCTTGCATGCAGCACAAAGCGGAGTTTTTTCTGCACATTCTGGTGATTCGTGAGATACTTTAGGGCCCATATAAGAGTGCTGGAGCTGCTTTCTTGGCCAGCCATAGTGAACCCAAAGACCTGCCTCATTATCAGAATATGTGTTTACTCATTTCTAATATGGTGTTCGTCTTACCTCTTCCAAAGTCATGGGGTTGATATAACTTGGCTCCATGCCCTCCTTCTTTGCGAAACTCCTCACTCGATTGACGATCAGATCAACAGCATTTCGAAGCCAGGTGTCGTCTTCACCATTCTTATGGAGACGATCCACGGCCTTCGCAATCTGGCTGGCGACTAATCCATCACGTCTGGCCCAGGCATTGCGAATTTTCGGTGTTTTGCTTAGCCACCACCACGTGAATGTTGGGAACACACTTGACTGCAGAGTCTCCGCCATATGCACCATCGTCAGGATGGCATCCATATCCTCGTGAATCGGTACCGGCGGGAAGTCTATTGAAGAATCATGGCCAAGCTTTTCTGCTTTTTTGCGTAGACTTAGGATGTCTTTGTTAGATAAAGCTTCGAGGCCTTCGATCTGCGAGACCACAGCTCTTTGCGGGTAGGCGTCGCCATACGTGAAGGCTAGCACCGCGTCCAGAGCCAGATAGTCAATATCCAGGTCGATTCTGAACGGACGGCCCTCTGCTATTCGCGTCTTCGCCTCCCAAAGATCGATGATGTTGTGCACGGCTGTGTATATGTGCGGCGCCGCAACGTTGTGTAGGAAAGCAGGAACCATCAAGTCTGCGAGCAGGCTGCGCTGATTCTGCCACTCCTTGCCAGATTTCTTCAGGATATGGTGGTGTTCGCCGGCACCGCCAAGTATGTCACGAAACAGGCTGGAACGGTCGAAGGTGCTCTTGCGGCTCAGCATCATAGCCTGTACCTCTCCAAAGTCGGAAAGCAACACGAAAGGCTTCCCAAATGGACGCGGGAAGAGCTGCAGGAGCGGCTTCCGGTGCTTCTCGGCCTGCCTTCGGAACCAGTCCATCGGCTCACTGGTGGTCGCGACATGACGTGCAAAGTCAAGCATGTCACCAAAAGCCGACTTGTCTGCGCCATCATTGCACGCGATGCCTGGTATCGGTTTTGGCAACAGTTTCAGGCGAATGTAATAAAGCGTGAGCCCAGCCAAAGCAGTTAGGGCGATCCATGTTGACAGGTTTTCTTTAGGTAGGTCAAGTAGAAGTGAGGCCATGATGGTGAAATAACTAGGCTTGATTCTTGTGCAATCAACCACCTGCGGCAAGTGTCTTTTTTCGCCAAAGACGCAGAACTACAACATTTGTATACTAGATGACCATAGCACCAGATACCTAGGTATGCAAGTGAATACACAAGCACACTAACATTATTAGCAAGGAATTCTTAATTGTGGGTATATGTGTAAATTGCTATGAAAGTTGCCTAAACATGATTTGTTTTGAAACATCAGGAATTGCATATGAGTTTGTTTTGAACAACAGACAAGTGACAAAATCACCAATCGGGGTCTTTAATTATGAAGTCAGAAAATGCTTTAAAAGACTTGGCTGCGAATCTCCACTACTTCCCATAGCAGCCAGCCATCTTACCATTACCTACTAGTACATTATGCTTATACGGAGAATCACTGTTCGCTAACTACCTATGTATTTACTTGGGCTGCGGGCTAACTGCCTAGTTATGCAACTGGAGGTAATGTTTCAATCGGAATCAGCTCACGGGCCTTTCACTAGTCAATACACATGCAAGAGCCTCGCCTTCCTAGGATTTTACGTCGAGGGAAACAATTAAGTTTTGCTGTCGTAGAAATCGAACGATAGAATGAATCGTTCAGATGACAAATCGGGTCCTATTTCTTGGCGCCATGAGCAGTCAAGCGTCTTCGTCCGTTGCTCGGATTTGACGCTACACCGGCGTGCCATCAAGAATGATGTTCTCACGAGTCAAGTCACGGGAGTGTTCTGCAGTCGAAACAAGATTTTACCCACCGCTGCGAGCAGTCCGAGCAAAGGCATGTGATGAGAATCGGCTACACGGACACAACAGTAGCATAGGTAAACATCGTCGGATAGAGTCATTATCAATGGTGACTGTTTCCAAATATTGCTGAAGAAGGAGGCTGTTTGATACCTAGGTATCCAGAGCAAGTAATCGTCATAAACTTCCTATGTTGCTGGAAGATAGTACGATGGGTAGTACTGAGAAAAGGCCACTGATTTTGGCCGTCGCTGGCGCCGCGGTTGGGCACTTCGTTCCTGCTCTCCAGATTTGCCAGCATCTTGTGTCCAAGGGCTATGATGTCAGCATCCTTCAAGCATCATACTTCAAGGACTCTATCGAATCTATCGGAGCCACATTTATCCCACTTGACAAGGAGTGTGATTTCTGCCAGTACGACATTGCTCTGAAGGGTAGCCCCAATGGGCGCTTCCCTGAGCGTCTCACTTTGGCCCCCGGGCTCGAGACTCTAGCCTTCGACCTGGAGCATGTCTTCATGCCATATATCCCGTCACAGGCTCGCTCCATTTCGCGTGCTCTAGAGCAAACGAGACTCCGCGATCCAGCGCGCAAGGTTGTCATTCTAGCCGAGAATTCGATGCTGGGGATTGTGCCGCTCAGGCTGGTTTCTGATGGGAAACGCCGCGAAGTGCCCGCGGTCCTTGGATTGAACGTGGTTCCTCTGACATGGGAGAGCATCGACGTTGGCCCGTTCGGCACAGGACTACCTCCAGACTCCACACCATCTGGCCGCGCCCGGAACAAAGTACTTCACGGCCTCGTTCGAAATTTTGCGCTCAAGGGTGCGCTCCGCGCCCTGCGGAAGTATCTCATTGAAGCCGGCGCCGACCCTGACTATATCCCTGGGCAGGGCGAGCTGGGCTTCAATATCACCTATGACCCACGGGTCTACGACAAGGTCTTCCAGATGTGCCTGCCTGAGGTCGAGTTCCCACGGTCCGACCTGCCAGGGCACACACAGTTTGTAGGTGGGCTACCGCGCAAGCCGATTCCCACCGATCTCCAGTACCCTTCATGGTGGGATGATATCGTGGCCAACGCCGAGCTACCCACCGAGGAGCGTAAGAAGTTGGTGGTGGTGGCGCAGGGCACATTCGCCAACGACTTCAACGACTTAATCCTGCCCACAATCCAAGGTCTCGGAACCCGCTCCGGGTTCCTCACCGTCGCCATACTAGGCAAGAAAGGAGCGGCGCTCCGGGTAGATCTACCGTCGAATGCGAGAGTCGCCGACTATCTGCCCTACGACGCTGTGCTGCCTTATGCTGACGTGTTCGTGCAAGCCGGCAGCTATGGCGGTTTCCAGCACGGGCTGGTCAATGCCGTTCCTGCTGTTCTCGCTGGGGAAACGGAGGACAAACCTGAAATCGCAGCCAGGGCTGAGTGGGCCGGAGTAGGTATCAGTTTGAAAACGGGCCATCCTACTCCAGATAAAGTCGCGCAGGGTGTTGACGAGGTCTTGGGAAACCCCATGTTTAAGGCAAGGTGTCTGGAGTTGAGCAAGCTCATGAGGGCGACGGATCCTCTGAACACGATCGAAAATGAGTTGTTGTTGATGGCAGCGTCCTCGTAGGAATAGGCAAGATTCATTAGTCTGTTCCCACGAGAACTGAGACTGGCCAGTAATGAGAGCCCCAGGCCAATAAATAGTTATAGAAAGTGTCGATGTAAACTCAGCATATTACAAAGAGGAGAACTGCAAATCGCACTACTAGTAAGGCAGAAAGAAGTATGATTTCAGAATCTAATAAAGCCCAGTTGGTTCTCGTCGAGGTGATCCACCTCGAGATATATATTCAGTACGTACGAATATCTATTATGTGTTTGCACACTTCGAAGTTCTTTGCCAAGACTTTAATTTAACACAGCATCGAAGCCTCGTTTTAGGCTTGATGGCCTTGTTTCCACGCATCAATGATGTTAACTAGGCAGGCACATGGAACAAATCATACCAGCCCCGCTGGTGGGCATGACTAGAGCGTGAGGTAAAACTTAATCTCTCTCCAGTGTCCAGGTAACTTACTGCATTTGACTGGGGAACCCATGCTCCCGTCCCGATGCTTTATAAAGGCAACGCCGTCAGCGGGCCGAAACTCTGTAACTCTACTAACTAATGACCGTTTACGAATCTGTCATGCCATTCTAAACTCATTTGATAATACTGCTTACAACGACTAAGTGAAGCTTAATCACCCATCCTCTGTTATTCAGATATGCTAGTCACGAGAATCTGCATTTTTGATAATGCATCCGAAACTACTTTTACCATGATAGTGACATTCATATCATTATGGTTTATTTGGAGACTATGGAGGTTCCAGTTCAGCCCATTTTTTTATTCTCAATACCCGTGCTCGGTATCATACTTCTTACCATGTAAGTGTACCTCAATTAATGTGGAGAAAGATCTCCGTAGATCAATCTGACACTTAGGAAACAGATTTGGGTCATGTATGGGGGATGATGAGAAATCCGCAGCGTGTGTTTGCAAACGGAATGTATGTCCAGAGTTTCCCTTCCCGTATGATGCAAATCAACGCGCAACAAGTCAAGACAAAATTGCGCAAAATGCCTAGGTGCTAACTGAAGACCCCTTGAGTAAAAAACTGGGTTCCCGCGAAATTTTCAGTGTGACTGTGATGGGGGAAGAGCTTTACATAACTGCATCAGCAGACGACGTGAACTCCGTCTATAAGGACACCAAAAATCTCGACTTCGATGCCGTCATCGTGGATCTTTTGCGCGAATTCGGGGTCTCGAAAGATACTCTCGACAAGCTGTTCGACGCGCAATTGTCAGGTGGGCGGAGTTGGATGGACCGACAGCACGACATATACCGGGCGCAGATGCATCCTGGGGGTCGTGGTGATGCTCTAGCCGACGCTGTTCTGAAGCAGGTCAACAAAATGGTGCAGCGGGACCCTATCATCACGCCGATAGCTTTAAAAGCTCAGGGCAACAAATCCAGAACGGCGAGCCTTTGGAAGTGGTGCGGTCACGTCCTCGTCGAAGCCTCGATTCAGGCATTTTTTGGCCCCTCATTTGTATGCCTCTCCCCATGTTTTGTCGCCGACTATCTTAGGTTTGACGAGGATTACTGGCGTCTCAAGGAAAAGTCCCCAGAGGCGGCTGCCACAACGAAACATAATTGTGTATCGGCACTGCTGCGATGGTTAGACCTTCCAGATCTGGAGAGGAGAGGTGCTTGTTGGATGGTCGCCAAAATGGAGCAGGACTTTGCAGATATGGGAATTTGCGACAAGGCACAGCTGGCTGCGCTGCTGTTTATCAACATTGAAGTGTACGTGCCGTGCATTGTTCTTTTACTCAAGCCTCTGTCCCCTGCATTCTTTTGAAGGTTGCTCCGTCCGAGTTTGGGCACTTCTGAGTGATCACCAACACAGTATCAACGGCAATGCGTACAAGAGCTGCTTTTGGCTGTTGGCTCATATTATTCACACCCCGAGCCTCCTCAAAGATATCAACGCCGAGGTTGACGACGCATTCCTGGACAAAGACAAAACCTCGAGCAGCCCAAACATGACACACTTACTCGAGCACTGTCCGCTGCTCAACTCAACCTACGATGAGGTCCTACGATACACGAACAACGCCATGGGTGTGCGCCTGGTAGTGAACGAGACCAGGATCGGGGCCAAGACGCTTCGTCCGGGTCGCAAACTTCTCATACCCTACCGCCAGATGCATTTGGATAGGAGTGTCTGGGGCTCAGGGGCAGAAAGCTTCGAGCCCGACCGGTTCCTGCGAGACAGGAGCCTCTCGCGAAGCCCCAGCTTCCGACCGTTTGGTGGCGGCAATGGCTACTGCCCAGGCCGCTTCCTGGCCCGTCGAGAGGTGTTCATGTTTGTTGCTACTGTACTCAGGTGTTTCCAGCTTGATCTGGTCCCTGCCAGCGATGGGAGGGAGCCAAAATTTCCAGAATTGGACGAGACAACTCCGACCGGCGGCATATTGTCACCAATGGCCGGAGACGATGTTTTGATTCGAGTTCAGTCTCGCGCGATATAATTGCTCAATGAGTAACACCGATTTGTCTTTGACAGGGACATGCCATGTATTTGCATCGTTTGCCAGCGCAGTTGTCATTCAGATATGTTCTATCAACATTGTGATATTAACAGGGGAACATCTTGCTGAGCAGGTGTGTTTATGTAAAATTGGAACCAATACCGAGCCATGAAAGGGTAATTGATACAGGAAGGGGGGAATTAATTATTAGCCAGTCCGACACTCAAAAAGAAGTCCAGAATCATGCAACGACTAATAAGCTACCGGAGTCTACATACATACCTACCTCCTTTTGCTTTAGCGAGAAAACTAACCACAAAAGTTTCACTTAGGATGTGGCTTCTTTTTAAGCCTCTATTGCTCTAAGTGCTTAAGTTTTTTAAATCTCCTCTTTAAGGCTTTCCCCTAATTAAAGTGTATTATAACTAAGTACTTGCCGGAAGGGAAGGAGTAAAGCAAACAATATACCTTTTATATAATTTTATACAGTAAGTACATCTAGAATTAGTACTACTAGTAGATTACCGTAATGCACTGTATTACTATATGTTTCTAACCAATTGATAGGAAGCCCCCGCCAGTGCTGTTGCAGTAGATAGGCTTAATTCTTCGGCACCGTCCACGGCCTAGTTGCCGGGGAAGGATGCCCGGATCAGAACTTACCGCCTTTGGAAGGTCAATCAGCTGGTCTAGCGGGCGCCTGAGCCTATCAGGCGTGCGGAGTGAAGGTTGACCCGCAACAACACATTGATCACAGTTACGAGTGCACCGGTTCTCCTTTTATAATAGATACTTGTGACACCTTCAGCCTTCTTATATACCGCATCAACAAGTAACTATTCCACTCCTTCATGCTGCAGCACTATAAAACGTCGAAAATCCCACACAGCATGAAAGTTCCTTATCGGCCGACCGAGCAGAACCCGTCTTTCAACGTGTCGGGCAAAACCATGGGTGGAGGTCCAGACTCCCAACATCTGTTCGGTATTCGCGCTGATGTGCTGATTCCAGGGCGTGGAGAGCCCATCCCCAATGGCGGAATCGTCATCTCCGTCTCAGAAGGAGTCATCCTCTGGGTAGGCCCCTATGATGATCTCCCCTCGAAGTACAACAAGGTCGCCTTCACCAAGCACGTTGCCGTGATGCCCGGTTTATGGGACGTCCACACACACTTCATGGGAGCGAACGTCGTGGCAGATGTGAACGACTCAATGAAAACCTTCATGCCTGGCACCGAGTTCCAGGTGGGTGCAGTGACCGTGGATGACCTTCGGGCCACTCTCATGGCCGGGTTCACTTCGGTGCGGGAACTTGGCGGGATGGCAGGCTACCTTCAGAGTATGATCGACAAGGGAGCCATCTTGGGGCCTACCGTATATTCGGCTCTGAGTGTTCTCAGCGTCACCGGTGGCCACGGTGACCAACACGACTGCCCCCTGTCGCTCTGCCGAGGCAACAGTGATGGCAGCAATGGGTTGGCGCTTTGTGATGGAGTGGACGAGTGCATCAAGATGACTAGATCGGTGATTCGGAACGGAGCAAAGGTGATCAAAGTTTGCAGCACCGGTGGTGTCTTGAGTCTCAATGACCAACCCGAGGACACGCAATTCTCGCCCGCGGAACTTGAGGCCATCGTTCAGGAGGCAGCAAGAAGCGGCAGAGTGGTGGCTTCTCATGCAATTGGCAAACCAGGCATCCTGAACGCCCTACATGCTGGAGTAAGAACCATTGAGCATGGCATGTACCTGGACAAGGAAGTCGCAGACCTCATGAAGGAGAAAGGTGCAATCCTGGTCCCCACGCGCCACATCGTCGAAAGCCTCTCCGCGGGCGCTGAGGACCTGCCACCGATACTCCTCAAGAAGCTCCACCGGATCACCCAGCTCAGCAGGGACAGTTTTAAACTCGCTGTCGCGGAGGGCGTCCGCATCGCCCTCGGTACAGACACTTTGAGCAGCGACCGGAAGAACGCCTTAGCCCACGGCCGGAACGCGAAGGAGCTACACTGGATGAAGGTCGCTGGCATGACGCCGTTGCAGGCTATAGAGGCTGCTACCGCCACGCCGCCAGAGACCCTTGGCCGCCAGGGCCCCAATGCAGGACAGCTGAAGGAGGGCTTTGACGCAGATATTATTGTGGTCTGCAAGAACCCGCTGGACGATATCGATGTGCTCACGGATCCAAGCAATATCACTCATGTGTGGAAAGGCGGCAAGCTGTTCAAGTCCACTTAGGTAGGCAAAACTGAAGGAGTCTGGCTGTGCATCCAGGCAGGAATACATAGGTATAGAGATCACAGAATCAAACCCACCATCAATCAGTGCTGCTCACCAAATACAGTTGTACCACGACCGACCGACTTGGCCGAGGCCTACGCGAAAAATATGTGGTTTCGCTTCTATTCCGTATACGTCCGAGGACATACATGGCGCCTTCATACGGTGGTAAGCACTCAAGACCTAGCGCTTGGAAAGAATACGATGCCGAAAAATATACACGCAAATTGTATCGAGCTACGGGTAAAGAAGACGGATACTTGGCAACAGCTCTCCAGCAGTAAATTAGTGCACACTTTGTGATTAGGCTTCCCTTGAATGAATCTTGTGGATCCAGGCTACTTGACTTTTAAGAAGTCAAAGTGCTGCTATCTACCTAGGTACCTAGGTAGAACAGGTCGCTTAGGTCACGAGAGCCGGGGCATCGAACTAATCCATGGTCCGAAGGGAGAGACTAGCTGCACGTAATCAATCAAGGCACCCCCCAGACCTCGGGATACTATGAAAGTCAAGGCTATTGTGAAAACACTCGCGCATAGCCGAGCGCAAACGGCCACCAAAAAAGTCCGTCGGACGATAAATATTGGATCCTCATTGTAAATGTACCTTAGTGTGGCTCATGCGTGTGATCACATATACCTAGGTATACAACCTGACCCGCGTGATGGACATTCGAGTATCATGCCATCCCTGACTTGTAGCTGCGGCTGAAAGATGCATAACAGCCGTTTTGTTTTCGGGGCGGTGTTCATGTGATTACCCTAGGGTACTAAATGTCCCAGTTTGTCTGACAGGACTTTGTTGCGAGGTCACTCACTCCCGGGTCGCTTTGTGCTAGAGTGAGGCGCAATTCTCCAAGTCTCGAATTTGATTTAATTTTACGGAGATTCAATCCACTATTTTTCTCTTTAAATTCCAAGACACTAGCTTCATACTACATCGCAGACAAAAACGTTGGTGTGTGTTCAGCGTTGTCCTGGACAGCACCCCTTCAGCAGCCTGTCTTAATGGAGAAGTGTTCAAGTTCTTCTGGGTTGCTCAATGTGGAAATTTCGAAAAGACGTGATCTTAGGCCAATCTTGAGAGCCCAGAAACAGTAACGCTGCCATTTTGAACCCGGAAGACCGGCCAGCTCCACATATATACGCCACGCAAACCTGGGTCCCTTTAGCCCTACTAGTAGCATTCAAAATTTAAGCAGTCCAGACCACGAGATCCCCATATTAAAATATGAATTATAAATCTAGCACTCAGCTGGCTGGGTCTTTCAGAAGTGTTGAACAAGCCTATACGTGTATGTTAGTAGGCTTGTGTGACATCTGGTAGATGTACCCCAAGTGAAGACAATAAGCATGGACTGCATTATTCACTGACCAAATACAACTCTCAAGATGGAGAAATATTATCATGTATATAAATTTTATGCTATCAGCATGTTTATACTCTGCACAGCTTAGTGGAAATATTATCAGTTCCAAGATCTTGAGCGCAGACGCATCAACCGAAGTCCCTTGATCTTCAATTCAGTGTGTACCCTCAAGACTTGACTATGAAAAGTACACATGTCCATACTAGCGTACAGTTCCCATTTTAAAATTAGCGTACTCTCCAGGTCATGTCAAGGGAGGGTAATACTGACCAAGTACCACTCTCTTTCGACTCTGCCAGGATTTAACACAGGACCAAGTTATTGCCATTCCTGGTAGCACTCGGTTGGGCGCTTCGGCTGGTTCCGGTCCGTCAGGCGGTAAAATTCTTCTTGAATCGCCGGCTAATGGGCCGGGATTATGAATGGTTGCAGTTTTCGTCGACTGTCACACACGTACCACCGGGACGCCCCTCCGCCGGCGGTGGCTAGGGGGTACGTGCTTTCCAGGCGTGCCTAAGGAGCGCGGGCAGGGTTGCGAGCTGGTCAGCTTGAGACAGATTGATTCCTAATTCTTCTTCTTCGCTTATCTTGCTCGTCTATCTTATGTTTGCGGTGAGACCGTGGCGTAGGTACTGTTGATTTGTGCTTGTGGGATGTACATCGACTTCCTTGGCGTAAGGCTGTCGACGAATCTGTGCTATGGCTTCCCGCTTGTCTAAGTCGAATTACCGCAGCCTGTACTTCCTCCAACCAGGCTGGAGGGTCACATGGTGTATCGAGGCGTTGTTAAAGTTGGGTAACACCACAGCTGTAATGTACTGATGAGCGAGGGAGTACATCAGCGCTGGAGCTTCCCAGGCGTTTGTACGAGTACGTGCTGGGTATAGTCTACAATGGCGTGGTTATTCCGGCAGCGATGGTGGCTGATTTGGCGGTCCACCAGAATCGATCTGGGCGTTCTCCCGAGGTCGACGTCCTCACACGAGCGGCGTGCAAGGACGACTCTGGCAGTGAGTTTCCAGCCGATTGGGCGCGAGACCCGATTAACCACTGCCTAGGCTCTCTTGCCCACTTCATGCATGTCATTAAATGGCAAATCACCTTTTTCAATGAACTGAGAAATTCTCATGCGCACTTGTGTCACGTTCTTCCACATCTCATGTCAGTCGTGCGCCATTCCGGCCTCGGACCCTATCAACACCAGCTTGATGGACTGCACCTACATTCACTCAACTTCACAATATGGCTGAGAGTCCCCTCTCTTTTCCCTTGCATTGGCAGTCAAGACGTAAAGCGTCCTGATATGCCCACAACATTTCGCGCATTCGACGTCTTTATTGGTTGTGGTGGCGTACCAGCAAGCTAGCATGCTTCTTTCACGTCAACTGGTACTCCTGGCATCGTTGCTTATTCAGAACCCATGAAAAGTTGCACGTGTGTACACTAGGTCGCCCAATCGTAGACCCTTGTTCAGCGTGTATCTTGTCTAGTTACCTAGGTAGCTTTTGTGCGTTTCATTCTGAACAGTCGGAAAAGAGTCTGAGGTCGGGCAGAAGTGCGGTGAGGGCCTTTGCATGATCGCGTCAGAATGGACTTTTTAGAATCATGAGAAAAGTCGAGTGGTTACCCGCGATCATGCTTCTATAGGAGCTCCAAAACGGGCGGTGGGTCGACACGATGATTTCGATGATGTTGTTCCCCGAATTAGAAACCCACTGGCAAGCATCAGAATGATGCCCTTGTATGCTGTTGTTTATCTCAGTTCTTGGGCCGCCTAAAACAGCTCTCATAACATTGAAGAAGATCACAGTGGATAAGGAAGGGGGGTTCACCGAGTACATCGAGATGAGATACGACTGGAGCCCACCACTAATTGTGGTCCAAAATTTCTATGGAATCTAGCCCTAGGATCTATGGATGTGATATATATAGCTTTTCTTCTGGCATGTAGTTACTGAAGTCTACACGCGCAATGTCTATCAGTCTCAGCTTCAACGTGAGACGAAGAACTGAAATAATAATACGGGTTTTCTATACCATCATGGGACGCGAGCTTTTGCTGCAACCCCTCTAGCTTTTCAGAAATTGGAACCTTCAAAGACGTATCAAACATGTGCCATGTCTTGTATGATAGTTACTACAAAGCCACATGATCCATGAGAAGAATTTTCGATTTCCAGCTAATGTGACCAACTTCTAAACTTCGCAGACGGAGGAAATTATGGGCCAGGACTCGATCATCTAGAATTTCCCACCATCCGGTGCTAACTAGACTAGATATCGAGCGCCTCCCACGAAATTTCTGCTTTGCCACGGTGTGAAAATTTTGTCGGGGTGCTGAGAAGTGACACCGTTCAAGATTCGTCTCTCGGACTGCCCGGCGTGGCGGATCCTTGCCTCGTGATATGAAAGATTAATACGTACCCTGGGTGCGAATATCACCGGTGAAGTCCAAACAGCAGCATGTCAGAAATGTGTATGCACCAATCTAGGGATAGAGGCTGAGCAAATAAAAGATTAGTCGTGGTGACTTGTGCACGAGGCTTTTGGCCACTGCGTATTGGCGTTGGGCGCTATCCCCAAAGGGAAAATCTCACCCCCTGGAGGCAGGTATCGGCCCTGCTTCTTTGTCATTCTTACATGCCGGTGATTAAGCAATTTCCTGGTATCAATATTGTGGAATATGGATACGATTTACTAGTGTAATACGAGGGAATCCCGTTGTTCCAGCTTAGAGTTGTGTGCTCTGAGGAATCACTGGATTGTGGCGTGCTATGTAGAGGTTGTCGCCGCATGAGGCTTCTCTGAAATTTTGCTCGTCAATAAGCACCATTTTTCAAAGTCCGTTTACCGATTTCAAACTGACTTGGGGCTTGTTGACTATCAGACAGGACTATTCTGCGAGCAGAGTTCAACGTTACATACATTTTCGCCGCCTAAAAGTGTCGAGATTTGGTCATACCTAGGTGTTCGTGGATTATGAAAACCCTAGGTCTTATTGACGCGCGTGGCTACACCACGCCACGTTCTCACCCACCCACCCTGTAACTATTTCGGACCGCTGAGACGAACGCACCAAAGCTTGGAATTGTGACAAGTGGCTAACCTCAGCATAGCATATGAAGCATTAACAAACACCGGTCAGTTTCTCGCTGGAGCCCCTTCTCCGCAATGATACGTCAACATGCGGTCAGATCTCAGATATCAGCCACCGGGCCGGTGAAGGAATCATGGGCGTCAGCACACTCGAGCGAGGCTGTTTGACACGCCGGCCTGCCGACGTAGTTATGCCCAAATCTGGACCCTGTTTGCGAGGCGCAGAGGTTGAGGTCAACTGCTTTGAGCTCGAGAAAGTGGATGGCACCGTAAGAATGAGAAAAGGTAAGAAAAGTCGAACGAGGAAGTATGTCCAGCATCGTAGAAGACAATCTGGCCAGCCCCATTGGGTTTGTTGACGGCCATGCAATTTCTGGCTCGGGTTCTGCCCACTCATGTGCGCTCGTTGGCAGGGAGCAATATTAGATTGCGTGCGTGTAAGGAGGTCGGAAACGTGGGATTTAGCCATGGATCGGGAAATGGGACAGGGAGCGGATGCAAATTAATCACACGGGTTCAACAAATGCTAAACGGTTGCTACGGATCGTAGATCCTGAGTGGCCTGGGCCGTCGGATGAGATGTGGGCGTCAGCAACGCTTTGCTGATTACTTCCGCTTGTGGAAGATGCGAGCACCGTTGCTATATATCAAGTGCAGCGCGACCAGAAAGCCAAGCCAGAGCCCCCAATCCAATTGTAGGGAGGGTCAGCTTGTTGTTGGGCATTTTCCCTCGTGGCACCGTCGTAGCAGTTCTCAGACTTGGCCGTGACTTGAGTGTTTCGAGCTGGACAATGGCTAGTTACAACAAAGGAGTTCCAGAAGTTATTCCATTAAGCATCGACACAGGAAGACCAAATCTTGAGCTGGCAAAGTACAAGGGTAGGCCAGCATAGGCCAGCATAGCATAGCGTAGCGCAGCGAAGGAGGCGCACCAGCAGGCGTCCTCGGAGTTAAGAAGCTCGGGAGGCTGAGAAGTACGGAGTACGGAGTAGGAGTTTATTTGGCCCGATGGGAGCCCTGGAGGATCTATGAGATATTTGTCATCTTGAAACATCCAGCCACTTTTGTTGTTGCCGATGCGGCCACAAAGAGCAGCCCAGACATGACAAGTGGTGGTGGTGGTGGTGTGCATCCCCTGGCGCAGGCGCCGCAGGCATATGCCGTTTTCTGAGGGTGTGCGACGGTGGATTGGCGCAGGAATCATGGCCTTCGCAAGAATGTACGACTCGAAGCAGCTGAGGGAGGGGGGCGAGGGGCCCAAACCGAGGGATTTACGATTTACGACGCGGCAGGAGCTGCATAGGGCAGCCGAACCAAGCCCGGGTTCTTCGGAGGATTGTGACACCCGACCAAAAGGACTAGGGCAGCAGGGCAGGTTGTCTCCTAATTAGGGCGGATCTCGAAAGGATTCGGGCGTCGTGTTTCGGTGTCACACTACACCGTCGCCTCCCGCCAGTTTGTGATTCTGGTGAGGCAGCTCTACAGCTCTACTTGATGGTCACCTGAGCAGTGATTACTAAAGGCAGCGAGCACAAGTGAGGAGGAGGCGACAACGATGTGTGCACAGTACGGAGGGCTCTGTAGGTCGTGCCTGCTGGTCCACAGGCCGAGGAGAGCATGGTCGGGCATTGTACCACCCCAGACAGCCGCCACCCCGCCCCGCCGCGCCAAAAGTGTTTGCTGACAAACATGAGAGAGGTGGGTAGGCGCACGGTATGTATGGAGGCTGCATGTATCGTGGATTACGGCCGAGCATCTCGACGGCGTCGGGGATGCCGCAGTGCGAAGCAGCCGAATGTATGGCCACCTGCCTATTCAGACATGTCGCTTCCTCAGCCGCCTGGAAGAAAGGAAAGAGAGCCAGCCGCCTGGCCGTCTGTGACTGAGACCGAGACGGAGACGGAAGGGGGATGGCGCTGCCGGAGCAGACGGGTGTCAATTACGTAATCGACTTTCCCCGCCTGGCATCCAGCGCGAGTCCAGCAGGCTAGAGCTGGTCCAGCCAGCCACCTTGGCAATCTGCGGCCGGTCGTTTAAAAACTCCATTTTGCGCTCCCCCCCTCTTCCCACCGCACAGCAGCCCATCTTACATAAACACCACTCCCCGACCGCTTCCGCCGCTGACTTAGCAGCCTTGCAAGGACCGGCACATCCAGTCAAAGTGTCGAGCCTGTCGTCCTTCGGAGGTGAGTTGCCCAGTGGCCTGCGGCTGCCAGTCCCCGTCATCAGTCATCATCACTCCCACCCAATCCTGGTGGCCGTCGTCGCCCTTTTGCACGCAAGGCACGCAAGGCACGCAAGGCACGCAAGGCACGCAAGGCATTGGCAGGCATTGGCAGGCATGGGCGAGCATGAGCAAGGCCCTGGGCGCTGGCTGCTGCTAACACCTTTTTGAATCATCAGTCTGTCCTGCGCCACGCGAGCCCCTCGTCTTGCGTCTTGCGTACTGCGTCTTGGGCCTTGTGCGAGCCAGGGAGAGAGAACACGCGTCAATTTAGCCGTCGTACATGAAGCGGCCCTAGTCCACCACCACAGCTTTTCGAAACTCACGCGCAGCCAGCAGCCAGCAGCCAGCAGCCGACAGCCGAGGGAGAAAATAGCCACCGCCTGCATCCATCATCACTTACTTGGATCAGCCCGGCCCTGTCGGCAATACCACTTTCACTTTAGTCATCAAAGCTGCTCGTACACTCGCACCCTCTCGGACTTCCTGGCCCAATCCGTCACGGTTTGGTCTTGTCGACACCTGCCTGGTACGGACGGTATTGATTTTGACTTGTCGGCGCGCTTATCAGTCAGTTTCGTCACGGTCCTGGTCCCGGTGTGTGCCTGTTACTGGCGCTGGGATCTGTTTTGCTGCTGCTGCTGCTACTGCTACTGCTGCTGCTGAGTCAGAGCGAGCCTGCCAGCTGAGCGAAGCACAAGACTGCATCTCGACTTTGGCAGCAGGTCCAGTGCCGCAAGATGCAGGCTGCCAACAACAAGCCTGGTGAGTACTCTTGATGTATTCTTCATGTGTGTTCCTCCTCACCTCCTCACCTGGTCACCTCCTCGTCTTACCCCCTGCCTACTCGTCGGCTCCTCTCCTGTGTGTGGTCTAAGTTGTTGCCTGCCTCGAGACCAGGCCCCAAGGTGGCCCCAAAGTGCCTATGCTCCCATCCCAATCCCAGCCCAGCCCGGTTCAGTTCAGTGCACCCACCACCGAGCAACCCGACCTGCACCTCGCACTCCAATGGCACCTGCTCGGGTTTCCTCAGCTCCGCCAGCTGGGGTTCGACCCGGGGGTCATGCCATCCCATCCTCTGCGTTCCTCTGCACTCAAAGCTCATGGTGTCCAGTGGGCCCATGGGCATGATGATGGTGATGATGATGCTGCATTCCCCTCTCTCACTCTCTCTCACTCTCTCAATCTCTCAATCTCACTCTCTCCACACACTCCCTGTTCAGTGAGAGAGGGCAGGGCAGAGAGGCAGAATCCGAATGAATTGCTGTGAGCAGACCGCGTCCGAGCGACTCATTGCAGGGTTCAGTCCACTTATACATACCAAACAAGCACTTGTTACATAATTGTCATCCACCCGTCCATCATTCCTACGCGACGAGCCCCGGCCCCGGACACGGTACTTTGACAAGACCGCGCCTCCACGTCTTGCTTCTCCGCCAGGCGCCGACAAAAAGTAATCACTGCTCACCCTTCACTGCTCTGCCCCGGTCACCTCGCCCCGGCCTTATATCTGCAGTGGACTCTGCTGCACATCAGATCGGAGCCGATCTGATACTGCTACTCAGAGTCAGCCTCATCTTCTCTCGCCTCTGTCTGGTGAATGCACTCGCCCTCACAAGCCCGTCTGTCCCCGTCAACATCCGTTTACATCCCATCCCATCCCATCCCACCCGGCTTACCTCATCACCAACCTTTCAACAATCCCCCTCTCCCATATTACCTCAGCTGCCTCTTAAATCCCCCTTTATCACATTGCCTCGTGGTGCACTTATTGCGGTTAGGTCAGGCGGCAAGCGTCCCGACCGTTTCCACTGAAACGGTAATACTCGACCCCCCGTACTGTGTCGTGCTTGACAATCCTCGCCCCCTTGGCCACCTGATCAAAATGCGATGTCCTTCTAAGACGCCTCTTGTTCTCACTGCCTCGCGTGCCTCGCTCTGTCGGTTATAGCAGTCACTGCTCAGGATGATCGCACTGAGTCACTATGAGCACGGGCGATGCTGAAATAAGCGACCCGCTTGCCTCACATAGACAACTGCCCTATAAGACGCTGCAGCCATGACGCTGACACACACACAATAGCAGAGACACGAGGACAGCCGGACGGTTCGTCGCCTTCCAACAGCACCGCAAAATCATCGGTTGCTGCCGCCAATTCACATCCAAAGCTGGTCCCGCGGCCCCAGCCGTCGCCGGTCTCATCGGTTACTCAGCCGCTGGCACATGGTTTCAGCGACGCGACAACTCCAACCGCTGCTGCCCCAGTCTTCGACCCTGAATCGTCCATTCATCCAACACTGAGGAGCCCTGGCTACGTCCCCACGCCAAATATGATGCCAAGCGGTGCTCAACCTCCTCCCGAGCACCCCGGCCCGGTTCACATGCCGCCAAACTCGTCCGCTCCGCTCGATGCCGAGGACCCTAATGCAGACGGGCGGAAGGCTAAGCGAGAACTATCGCAATCCAAGCGCGCTGCCCAGAACAGGGCTGCCCAGGTAAGGCTCATAACATTCCATTCCCTTTCTATGAAATGGTGGTAGCACTCATGCGATGTTTGCGCCGCCGATGTTGCATACCAGATATCCACCCGGGCTGTGCATGTGTGGCTGGATGTGCTAACCCCGTGTCTGTAGCGAGCATTCCGTCAACGCAAGGAAGGTTATATTAAGAAACTGGAGCAACAGGTCCGCGAGTTTCATGACGCGGAGCAACTTTACAAAGGCATACAATCAGAAAACTTTGCGCTGAGAGAGTATATCGTACACTTGCAGTCTCGACTGATGGAAGCCCAAGTTGAATTTCCTCCGCCGCCTCCGAACGTCAACCTGTCTCTGCCCCCGGGTCATGGCATCCCTGACCAACCAGCGCCTGTTCCTCCTCAAGAGGATGCCCCGATGACTGACCCAACGCCGAACACTGGGTCCGCTACGGGCACCTCGTCACTAGACGAAGTTGCACAAGCAGTGCAGAGCCTGAACAGGTCCGAGGCCTCGTCTTACAAGATAGAGCCAACAGCGGCCGAGTCGCAGGCGGCAGAGGACGCGCGTACGGCAGAGGAGATGACGCGACAAATGGAAGCGGAGCAAGTGCCGGCAGCTACCATGTAGGGCAAGGTGTATGCTGGTCACTTTGGCTACCGTGGGGAGGAGGGCGGAGAGGATCAGCCGGTTAAGAAGCCGTCCTATGCGCCGTGAGGCGCCCTTGCTCACTATAGGTGGAGGTGGAATTCGCGGACTGGCAACATGGTCTTAGAAGCATGCCCGTTATTCTTTGCTTACAAGGGCTTGTGGTGTTTACGGTGTTCAGACGTGATGGGCAGAGTTTTCGACTTTTACTTGGAAGACGGGGTGCAGGGGATCACGGACATCGGAGAAGCAGCAGATCTCCTATTCTTTGATAGCGGCTTGAGGGGGTAGGGTCTAGCTTCTACCTGCTGGTAGAATGGCAGAAATTGTATTTGTGAAGCATTCTCGTCTTTGTATTATGAGATATCGGTGTGCCTAGTTGTAAAAGCGTGGTGTTCCAGGCTTAGGACGCTGCGACTTTGGCCTCTTTCTGCGGACGATAGTTCAGAAGTCGGCGGACAGCCAGTCAAGACCGGGTCGCAGAGGTGGATGCTCGCTCAACCATGCCGACTCCCGCCAGAAGACGTTGTTACCACGTGCCTAGTGGTATCACTCCAACGCCACAACGGGGCCGTCCCGGGAAGGGGGTGGGGAGGGGAGCGTGAACATCTGCTGGCAGAGAAGAGAACTGCCAGCTCTTGTGATGCGGTTATACGAGGCTGTTTTCAAACTTCGATAACATGCGGGATGCACGTGGATAAAGGTTTGAATAGCAACATTTTATCTGTCTATACGTGTTGGGGGGGAGGGGGGTAGGGTCCATGGATTGGGTGAGTGTGTGAGTGAGTGCGTGGGCGCCCCGGGCTGCCGGGCGAGAAGGGGAGAGGGTTGGAGGCCAGGCCGCGAGACAGCCAATATAATTGGCATCCCGACGGGCAAATTCCAACAACAGAGAGACGCCCGGCTAGCTCAATCGGTAGAGCGTGAGACTCTTATGAGCCCTCGTGTTCTGAAGGAGAAAAAATCATCTCAAGGTTGTGGGGTAAGAGAAAATTCAGACACTTGAATAACCTGGTCCCGGAACTTGTCCATTAACATCCGACTCAGTTCGACCCCCACGTCGGGCTCAATTCCCGTCGCAATTCGATTCAATCTTTTTTTTTCTTTTCCTTTTTGGCTCTTTTTCTCGACTGCGAGTTTGAAGCATTACTGTGCCTCATTTCTTTTGGATACGCTAACATGCTGGTCCTGCCGTGTGGACAAGCAGGCCTGAGGCTGACTGAGTTGTATCAGCAGACAGGCCGAGTGGAAATGGCAAATGCTTGTGTTAGTCCAGACCAGGGGGCCGCCAATGGTCATGCAAAGGCATCACATGGCCATGCTTGATGCAAGGAGGAAAAAAGGCCGACACAACGAGGAGGCCGTCTAGCGTCGTCGATGGTAAGTAAGGCTTGTTGTCATGTCCATTAAATCTCTATGGGCTGCTTTTCCATTTCCTCCCTCGTATGAGTAATACAAGTCCTCGACAAAGGACCATGCCACGGCCCATCGTCTAGCGTTTCTTTCGCAGCGAGCCTGCCCTCCCCGCCACTCGAGTCCGGCCTGAAGGCTCTGAGCAAATTCCCAAAGTGCTGTTGTCTGCCTAGGCTGTCTGTCCTCGAGGCCTCCTTGCCAAAGGGTTCACGCACGCAGACGTCCTACGAAAACGCGTTGCCGAGGTCATGGTCCTGTGGTCGAAACATAAGCCACACCGCCATTTGGTCACGTATGCTGAGAAGCCCGTTTGTGAGGAAAATCTTGCTTACCTTGAACCACTCGGATCCCTTCTCGAGGTACTCCTCCCTCGTGACCCTCGCCCGCTTCCACTCGTCGCTGCCAGCCCAGCCCGCCGCGCCCTTCCAGGCGTCGAGCACCGCGTCCTTCGCCCTCCTGACGCGCATGTCCGAGTCAGCTGGCAGCAGGGCCTGCAGGCCGGACCTCAGCCTCTCGTCAAAGTTCTCGAACAGCGTCGCGCCGCCCGTGAGGAAGATGTCCTTGAGGAAGTCGTTCCTGTCGATGCCGGGGATGGCCGTCAGCCGCTGCGTCAGGATGTCCCCGGCGATCTCAACGATGCCGGCCTGGTCGACGCCTGCGATGGCGCCAGGCTGGAAGACAACCTCTGGCACGCGTATGCGCTCTACGTTCAGGTGCAGCTGATTCCGCTCCGCCTGAGTCCCCTCGTCCGGCCGGGGTCCGTAGCGCCATGCGTGGAGCATGGATTTTGTCCAATTGTTCTGCGCCTCTATGGTGTGCTCGTAGGTGAAGAGTGGGTCGTACTTGAGGAGGTCCTCCTCGAGGTTCTTGATGGCGACGTCCAGGTTTTCCTCCTCGTCCTCGTCGTCGCTGTCGCCTTTGTTGGCGCCGACGGCGACGTTACGATATACACCCCAATCCGCATCGTCCGCACCGAAATCGTCGTCGTCCCCACCTCGCCGGCGTTTGCGGCCTGTGGCGGCGGCTGGGTTATCCGAGGCGAGGTTGGCCAGCGTCTTCATGCGCATCTGACTTGCAAGGGACTTGCGGTTTCCCAGATCCTGCTTGAGCCGGTCGCGGGCCTTGATCTTGCCGAGAGTTTCGAGGCGGGCTTGTCGTCGCTCATCCAACCAGGCCTCCAAGTCGTTTGTTCGCTTTTCCTCGTCCAGGCGAGCCACCTCCGCAACGCGGGCTTTTTCGGCCTCCTTTTCGGCCTTGGCGCGGGCCCTCGCCTCGTGATTTGATTTTAAAAGCTTCTGGTGGCGCTTCTCTTTGAGTCCAGCATCGTCGAGTTGATCATCAGGGACATCGAGCAGGTGATACGAAGGCTGCTCGACTTGCTCTTCCTCGACTTCGCCGCCAAGATCCTTTTGCCGGGCTCTCTTGATGGAGCCCTCGAGCTCCTTGACAATTTTTGCAAGCTGGTTCTCGTCCTTCACCTCGGCATCGTCCAATATACGCTTTGTCTCTTTCTTGTTCGCGTCGACTAGTTGTCGTTGAACATCCTTGTAGTACTCCAGATCCGACTCCTTCTTCAACAGTCGCTCTAGCCGCATCTTGGCGGCTTGTGCCTGTAGCCGACGACCACTCTCCTTCTTGCGCTCTGCGATCTTTGCTAACTCCTCTTCCGACTTTTGAACGATAACCTCCTCCGTGTACGGGTATTGTATGATTCGCTCCCGGTCTTCAAGTCCACTCCACTCCAGGTAGGTTGCCAACTCGCTGTCGTAATCCTTGGAGAGGTAGCAGTGGTCCCGCACCATGAACTCGGCCTGGGAGAGGTTCATCTTGCCGGGGAAGTGGTCATACTTGAGGCGCAGCAGCTTCATCAAGTATTCGGCAGCGTGGTAGCCGCCCCAGTTCAGGCGGATAGCCTGAGCGAGCATGGGCTTTTGGCTGTAAACCGGTATCAAGTGTGTGGAACTGTAAGAGGACGACACGACAAGGCCGGTCTTGCCCCCGTTGTGTCTGTAGGAGAATAGGGAGTCGATTCCGTAAGTCAGGCTCGGGGCGCCGTAGCATTCGAAAATGATCTCGGTCATGGCTGTCTCGTCATCAGTGGCACGTCTCATGCGCTGCATGTCTTGGCCATGGAGACCTACATTTCCTTGAATATGGCAGGTTGGCGACCGCCTCGGTCATGACGATGGGCATGTCAATGTTGCCCTCAACACCGTTCATTCCGAGCTTGATGAACAAGTAGTCAAGCACATGTTCCATGACATCCCAGTTGCTGACCACTCCTGTGCCCTGCTCGAAAGCATTCCGTATGTGACCTCTTGCAGTGGTGTCGGAATAACAGTCCATGCCGGCAAACGAGAATGTCTTGCCCAGTTTTCGGTCGCGGTATTTGGCCATGATGGGCGGTATGGAGAACCGCGGCGTTTCTTCGAAGTTCCATCCTGCGCGGACGGAGGAGGAGCCTGTTTTCAATGTCAATCAATGTCAGTGTGGCCTCGGGGCGGGTCGCGCAAACCGGGCGGATGCTCGAGGTGGTGGCCTACCATTATCTATTACGATTGCAGCGGTACCCTCTGGCTGTCGCAATGCCTTCTCGCGGCCATCGGGTTGTGCTGGTATGATGTTCTCGAATTTGAGGTCTTTGACGGGGTAGGTCTTCGGTGGTGGGAGGTCTTCCTTTGGCCCTCTCGCCGCAGGGAGCGGTTCGTAGATCGCGGAGGGTGCCATCGCGATGTGGACGGGCGGTGGAGGTTTGTGGTCCGCAGCAGGATTCAAAGGGTATCACGACAAGAAGAGAAAGGAAATCGAAACATTTCGGAGAAGCAATGGGAAGGGCTGGGACCCGTTGAATTCTTTAAGATGAAATGACGGAGCTACTCTTGGTGATGGGCGCAAGCTAGAAGCTGTGACCCCTGCCTGCCGGCACGGCAAGCCTGGGCGCGTCCTCACCAAAGGGTCCGTCGGTGGTTTGGTCCTCTATGAGGCTGATTGTGGGGGCGAGAAGTTGCAGCCCCGGTGGGGGGCTGGGCTTCAGTGGTGTACGGAGTAAGTCCCCAGGCAGTTTACGCCTAACCCTAGCAACGTCAACTTCACTCCCGTACAGACAACATCGTCCACTGATGTGAATGCTCATGGCAATTTGTTCCAGCCTGCTACGTACCCAAGCTGGATCTTTGAACAAGTCCATATGGCCTCAATACCTCCTACACATCTAATTAGTAGATGTAGGATGTTTGGGGGCTGGTGAACTCTGTTTAAGAGAGGACTAGCAAGACACAACTCCTAAAGCATATCAGATCTAAGCCGGTGCCGGACATGGTGATCTCTCAGCTCACTCCCGGGGCCAATCGCACAGGAGACTTTGGAATTACTCAGAAGACAATTGTGGCTTGGCTACAATGCAGACAACACGGTCGTGCTACGGCCAACTGGTCCTTCTGATGGAGACCCCAATGTCGACTCTGGCTGATAGTATCGCCTCACTCCACTCCAATTTATGACACCTCACCTGTTTTGACAATATGAACGCTCAAATCGTTCAATTTCTGGACGCCTTGTGGCTCCGAATTCGGTGGAACCCCCCATTGTGTTTGCGTCTTTCCGTTCTGTGCAACTCAAGCCCGTCCGCCGACGAGAACAGAACGAACCAGGACAGTCGACGTGTGTGAGGCAGCCACACCAGAATCTCGGCTGTAACCACCTGGGCAGGCAGGATGAAGTTCCTCTCGGATTCTCGGATTCTATAGGACTCGCTCTTGCAAGCTTTGGCAAACCCTTCTGTTGCCGCGGGGAGATTTGGAGCCCCGTCGGATGGAAGGTGCACATCGGGGGGTGGGTTGGACACACAGGAGGAAGGGGCAACCCCTGGTTGTCCCTCGTCAACTCGCGCTTTAAGGCTGCGAGATTCCTGACACCCTCCATTTTCACTTGGGCTCAGAACTCGTCCATCCTCTATGCAATCCACCGGCACTGCGTTTGACCTGTCCCCGAGCGCTGAAGACTATTTGGCCCTCAGTCCGCCGATTTGAGGACCTTCAGACACTTACATCACCACATTCAGATCAACGCCTTTACCTCGCTGCCACAGATCCCCATTCAACCTGGAGCCCCTGAGCACTTCACCCGTTCATCAGCCATGACGATGCTATCGGCCATCACTGTGGGTCTGCGTGCCCTTCAGGTACACCAGCTCCGTTCCCTAAACTTTCAAGCCTCTAAGGGTCCTCACAATTTCCAGTTGATCCTGGCAGCGGCCTTACTCGGTGTCTCCATCAGCCTTCTAGCCCACGAGGCCTGTCAAACTGAATCAGACTCGTTCCGTTTTTGCACCCCCACCCCGTCGAGCAATGCAAAGAGTACGGTCAACTACGGCATCTTCTTGGGGGTATATGGTATTGTGATCTCAGCCATTGGAGCTTTGTTTCTCTTCGTGGAAAGGATCCCCACCGCCATTCCTCTCGCCGGAGACGGCCTTGGGACCTTATTTTACCTGGCTGGAGGCGCCGCTTGGGTGGCCGCTTTCGGAAAGATACGCTGCAACAACATGAAGTTAGACTTTTTTGATACTCCCGCGGGACTGCGGGAGATGAACAAGTCAACTAGAGACCAGCTCGTGGGCAACTGCAGGCGGTGCGAGGCCGAGCATGGTCTTGTATGGGCCCTGTTCGCGTTGACGGCCAGCCTCGCCATTTGCGACTACTTCCGGCGACGCGACCAGGCGAAAAGCCTTGGGTAGGACGCGGGATCGGTGGAATTGCGGGCAGTAAGGAATTGAGAATGGCAGCCATGAGAGGCTCAGGCTGAGTTTTGGAACAGACTGGGAAACGGATCCTAAATTACGAGACACCCATCACTGTTTGAAAGTCACAATCATAGCCCCTATGTATTTCTCGAACAAGCATTTCAGAAATTGAAAAGCTCCTATCGCTAGACACAGTTGCATTCTAAATATTCGCACCCGCAAAAACGGAGGGTACACCCATACTAGGCAACTTAGAGATTAAAGCACCTAAGTACTCAGGTTAGTACTAAACCAGTTATCTCATAAGCTTACCTTATAGGACATTATCCTAAAGAAGGTTATCCTAAGAGGTTATCCTAGGAGGTTGTCCTATAGGAGGATGTCCTATAGAAGGATGTCCTATAGGAGGTTGTCTTATAGGAGTTTATGCCTTGGGTCTTGGGTCTACCCTCTATTCTTGCGGGTGTGAATATCCGATCTCTTCTAAAAATCGTGGCGGTAGTATCGTGATAACATGTGTAATTTCAGAGTCGAAAGCTGCCCAGATCCTTACGTAATACCGCATCCATCTCAGAACATCATCAACCTCGACTTGGTAGTTTGTCCTGCTCCAGCAGGATCCCCACAAAATTCGAGAAAGACCACTCCAGATCCCGAGTCTAATCCACGATGAAAGCACTCAGCTTTCTGAGGCCAGCAACCAGACCATTCCTACTCCAGAAGCAGCCCACTCTCCCCACCCGGTCGTTCTCCAAGACAGCAGCCGCCATGGCAGCAACCCCCAAGTTCGCCGAGGGCTCAGACGAGGCACGCCTGAAGCAGGAGCTGGAAGGACTCCTGGCCAACAACAGGTGGGCCCTCACGGCGGACGGGCAGGGCATCGAGCGGTCCTTCAAGTTCAAGACGTTCGCCAAGACATGGGTATGCGCCGGCGCCCGATCCGACCATCAAACCAGCCAGCCAGCGGAGCCAAAGGGGGGGAGAACCCAACATGGCTGACTGAATGACTGACTGTCCGACCGACTGACCGACTGATGATATCTCCCAGGACTTCATGACGGCCGTGTCGCTGCAGTGCAAGATTAAGAACCACCACCCGGAGTGGTCGAACGTGCGTGCATCCGCGAGCATTTCACTCCTCCACCAAACTCATAGGGGTCTTGCTAACGCAGCCGGGGGTTGTGTGAGCATTAGGTCTACAACACCACTTTCATCCGCTGGACGACGCATAGCCCACCGGGCCTGTCGGCCAAGGACACGGAGCTGGCGGCCATCTGCGACGGGTACGCGCAGAGCTTCGGGGAGGTCAGGGAGGAGCCCTCGTCTGGCGGGCAGAGCTGTCAGCTGAAGGGGCTCGCGGACCATGTCGCTTCTACGTCTGGGGACTGCTGCGTCCCACCTAAGAAATGAATGAAGCTGACTGAGCCGAGGACGTGGCTGGCGGAGCTTGTAACATAAGACGGAAATTTCAGCATCACAATCCATGGCATTTGGAGTTCATCTCTTCGTTCATAAGTATTACTAGTATTATTCTAAACTGCGCCGAGCGAGAGGCGGCGGGCAAACTGCTATATACAGATGGAACTAAAGCTCCTTGAGGACGCCACCCTCTCTAACATGCTCGCGGTCATATATCTTGGCTTGCAACGGAGGCAGTCATTTCTGGCTGCGCCGTGCGATGTTCTAGGTCCTCGTTTCCAGTGCGTCATATGACGTGTTCAACACGCCCATCTTTGTGGCTTCCATGAGATGTATGCCAAAACTGTCCCCGTCCGTAGAATCGACATTGGTCTGTACGTGACAGAATGAAGCCCCCCCCCCCAACTTTGGAAAACGCTTACTGGGCCTTCTTGGCCCGGATGGCAGCAAGCTTCTTCTCCCTGCGGGCCTTGCTCGCGGCCTCGCCGGCCTCGGTGTCCAGGAAGTAGTCCCACCAGCGGAAGCTGGAGGCGTAGTTTCCGATGAACTTCTCGTGGTGCGTGTCATGGTGGTCGGCGCCGGCCCAGACGGGCAGGAAGTGGCGCAGGCTCCAGGGGAAGTCGTAGCCCGAGTGGGCGTCAATGGCCTGGAATAGACGCAGGACGATCCACACGTACATGGTAAATAGGTGCAGATCGCCGGTCAGGGAGACCCAGAGGATAGGGGAGCCGACAGTGCCAAGGGCGAGGAGCATGACCTCAATCGGGGAGGCGTACTCAGCGGCGAGACCAAAGGGGGCGGAGTAGGTGTGGTGCAGCTTGTGGATGTTCTTGTAGAGCGGGCCGTAGTGCAGGGCCCTGTGGAACCAGTAGTGCCATGCGTCCTCCATGATGAAGAAGATGGCAATCTGGTAGGCCATCTTGAAGATGGGGGGGAAGGGCACGCCATAGTCCATGCCGAAGTAGGTGGCAATTGGGTGGAAGAGCCAGATCTGGGGGAGCTCGACGGTAACGTGGGACAGGAAGACGAGGGCGGCGCAGTCGAATTGTTCCTTCCATGTTGGCAGTTTTTGCTGTGGACGCGGGTCAGTTCATGTCAGGCCGTTTTCTCACCGAAAGAAACCAGCTGCCAGAGCACACTTACGTTCTGGATCTTGTACTTGTTGAAGGCGGGAATGGCGTCAATGATGATCCACGGCAGACAGCGGCCAAAGTATACGATCTCGTGCATCATGAAGGACATGATGCCGGTGGCGAGGGTGTCATTCTGCATGTAGAGATACCATGAGGCCCACAGGCGCTCGGCCACGTTGAGTTGGACATGGATCTTGGAGACTTCTTCGAATACCGAGAAGTAGTCGGCGGGTGTTGTCGAGTTCAAGCCACTGGCGACAGTAGCATTGACGGCAGAGAGCGTCTCGCTCCTAAGAAGCCGAATGTTAGTTTAGTCCTTCCTGTGCGCGCGCGTCTTCGGGATTTCGGCCTGGCAGGGATGGGGATCTAGTGTGTCGGTGTGTATGTACGTACACGAGGGAAGCCATGATGGAGGTGGTCTCCTCAGGTTGGGAGCGAGCGACCTGAAAGAAGGCAAATATGGTTTTGGTCAGTCCAGGACAGGAGGGGACACTTTCGTGTTGCAGGTGCAGGAGGTGTTTTGGCTGTCCTCAACAATCCTGAACTTCCAAGGTTTGTTGTAGAGGCGAGAAGGGTAGTCAGATAGTGTACAGGTTCTGCCAGGGGCGTTTTATTATCTGGGCCTCGAGGGACCCCTGCAGCTGGCGACGGAGCTTGGGCTGGCCGGGGATGGGGGGTCAGCCAATGGGTGCTCCACTCAATCTCAGAATGAGCAGATGGTTAAAAGTCGAATTCCGTCTTCCGGGCCAGCACTAGTCCCAGGAACACCCATCTAGCTGCCATTCCACGCAGCCCACGGCAATGCTGGCGCTGCTTCTGGCGTCCTTTCCGCCCCCAGCACAGCCTGGCACCTGCAGATCGGGGGCAATCTTGGGCCCATGATTGGCAGCGGCAAATTTTGACTGCCTCCCACTCCCACGCCCAAGGAGGGTTGTTTCATGCCACCACCTTTCGATGAGCCGCTCAATCTGGCATCGCGCCGGCTCGAAATCTGCTTGCTGCACTGCTAGACGTGCTAGGCGGGCCAGGCTGGAGCGGGCGGTGAGGGTACCGGCTCGCATGAGGGCCCTTGCAATCGAATGTTTTCTTTTTTCTGGCCGTCCTCGTTGCGTTATTACCAGCCGGAGGCACACACTCACTTACAGTGCTTCATGGATTTGACATGCAGACAAGCTCGGATTCATGTCTCTCCACCTAGACCAGATCGAGACAGGCCAAAAAGAAGGACCAAAGCAAACACACCTACCCTTTGTCCTCTTTCCGGGAGTGGTGGCTTGCTCCCACGCTCTTTCCCAGCCAACCAGAACACGGCAGTGGCCACCCTTCAAAGTGCCTACCTGCTGGAGTAGGTAGGGCCAACTGTGTGAGGCTCTGCGGGCGCCCTTGGGGCTTGATGACGTCTGCTCTGAAAGCTTGCCAGTTGTTTTGCCCACGCCAGACCACGTCGCGCTCCGGCCCACATTACACAAGCCAGACACAGTAAAAGCCCAACAAACCCCCTCATTCTATGGGCCTACGGAGACCTCCCCGCCGTCTTTTTCTTTCTTGATGTTCTTGTCAGGCTGTGTGGTTTCTTTTCTGAGCAAGCTTCGGGTGGTCTCTGCGGTTTGTTGACGGCGTCAAAGCTCCCAATTTAAAGAGGAGCAACTCACGTACCACGCACAGTACGGCTTGACACCTTGAGGCCACAAGAGATCCACCGGATTGAGCAAAGACAGGGAGGTCTCTCTGCAGCAGCCCACTTTTTCCTTCCATCCTTCTTCTCTGCACTTCTCGGTTGTGCTGTCTTCCGAGGGCCAATCTTGCGTGGCCTGATCGGACCTATCGCCACCCTCCGCCCGTAGCCGGACCCCAAGCCCGCGAGCCCGCCTGCCCGCTCAGTCCCTCTACCCAGCAAGCTACCGTCAGCCTCGCACCCTTACGAAAGCACGCACGCACGGAGCACGGGAGCAGGAGCACGGAGCAGGAGCACGGAGCACAGAGCACATCCCGGTGATGCCTTGAGGGTACTGTTGAGGTCAACATGTCGATTGTGACCGAGTAAGTCTGCCCATGAGCTGAGCCCAAACCCCGTCCCGGCCTCATCACAAATCCCGGGTCACCCATCCATCCTGCCAAGGAGCTCCCATGCTGCCTATGCGTCCTGCACATCCCCGTTTAGGCAGACCCGTCTCTGACATAACCACAGCCAAGTTCGGCGCGTCGACGCCCAGATAGACCGTATTCTTTTGAATCCGCTGGTAGATTCAGAAGATGCCGTGGAGGAGCAGGAGCCGGAAGATGGCAGCACCGAGATCGGCGCCCGCAGCGCAGCCGCGGCTGACCTCTCGTCCCCGAGGGTGAACGAGCTACTGCGCATCGTAAAACGGCTCTCGACGACATCGGCTACCATTCTGCCTGCTGCGACTATCACCGGCCTTCTTCATCAGTCTGGCCTCGCTGCTGCCGCTGACCGTCCGGACTTCTTTGAGGCTAAGAGCCAATATGAGTACGAGGTTGAGTGGCTGCTCGTCAGCAAGGCCACCACGCAGACCTACGGCTTGATTCTGAACACCTTTCTTGACCAAATCATCCCCCTGAGCCAAGACATCTGGTACTGGGACCAGGTTCTAGGTTCTTACACATACAGCAGCCTCTACGCTGTCCAGACTTCGCCTGTGCGCTGGTGGATGTGGGGCAAGGACATCTATCAGGAGAGCAAGATACGTTCGACCTTCTCGCGGCGCACAAGCTTGTTCAGCAGATCCCCACAATCCAACAACGACGGCCTGGCCCAGAGATGGGCCCGTTTCTACTCCATCGTCCGAGAGACTGTGGTGGACCGGTCCCTCAAAGATGTGCAACGGAAAATGTTCTCTACGGTATCTTTGTGCCGATCCGAAGCCAAGCAGAAGCAGACGCATCTCAAGAGGCTGCGCGAGATGACGGCGACAGGATTGGGTGTCCTGGTAGACGAGGCTCTCAATTTTGAGATTGATGATGAAAAGAGCGACGTCCGCGACCACAGCGCCGAGTTCAGGGGCGTCGTGGAGCGAAGCGTCGCCCTGATGGACCTGGTCCTTCGGGATGCTTCGAACCTAGAACACCGCGTATCCGAATTTGAGGACAAGGTTTTTGCCGGAGTCGAGGAGGACCCTGATCTGTCAATCCACGCTGATGAGATGGTCAATAAGACTGCCATCGTGGCGCGGAGGCTGCTGTCTATCCTGGAGGAACGCATCCCTGGGCATATTGTAGAGACGAACAAGATCGTGGCCGCCAACGGCCGTCCTTCGCGTCTCGTCAGGTACTGGCTCCCCACGGGTCTTCTCTTGGTATCCTCATCCACGCTCCTCCGCTTCCTGGTCAACCGCAAAGCCGACATCATCGACTGGGTCCGTGACCTCGGCGTGACAACACGTGACTTCTGGTTCAACTGGGTGGTCGAGCCCGTTCGCAAGATTATTGGCACGGTCCGGCGCGATTCCCAATCCGAGATTGCTATCATGAGCCGCGACAGCTTGAAGGCCGACCGCGAGAGCTTGGAGCGGATGGTTGTGGAATTTGCTACGGACAAGCCCAGCTTCGCTGAATCCTCCTCTCCCCTGACCGAGACACAGATTGCCGAGATCCGCGACAAGGTCAAGGAGGGCGACGTTACTCCAGTCCTCAAGGCATACGAGAGAGACCTGCGCAAGCCCTTTGTCGGGGCTGTCAAGGGTGATCTGGTCCGGAGTCTCCTGATCCAGGTCCAGAAGACCAAGGTCGACCTGGAAGTTGCCATCAGCGGGATCGACGCCCTTCTCAAGTCGCAGGAGCTCGTCTTCGGGCTGGTGGGGCTGACGCCCGGCATACTCGTCTCCTTCACGGTGCTCTCATACCTGCGCGGGGTGCTCCTCAGCAACCGCAGGGGTGTACGGCAGCAGGGCGAGCGGGTAGGCCGGTGCGTGAGGACGCTGCGCAACATCGACCGCATCTTCACCGAGGCGACCCCCGTCAACGGCATCCTGGGTTACAAGGACCACGGCCTGCTGGTCACGGAGGTGCACATACTGCGGAACCTGGTGCGGAGTGGGAGGCTCATGCCTCGTGAGGTTGAGAGCGAGTTCCTCGAGGACCTCGAGGATGTAGCCAACGGCAAGGGAATCCAGATCCAGGTAAGGGCGCTGGACAGGATCCGCTGGGCTTATGCCAGGTGGTTACGCGCCAATTAAACACAGCACGGAAGGGCAAGCTGTTATTGTTGCCCTTGGTGGGCTGAGGGTGTATTGGTTGCTGAGGGGGGTGTCATGGGAATACGTAGTGAACGGTCACAATACATAACAATGAAATTCTACCTACTGGGCAGATCCCTGATGTCCGCTAGAAATCGTTGTCGGAGAACTACCACAATTGCTTCTCTATGAAGCAAACCCACCTATCTGATCGAAATGGAGGAGGTACTAGCCGTTTCCGTAGGGATGAACTTGCACAATTAGTGCCCGTTTTCCCTGAACTGCTTTGTGCTCAAAAGCACAAGTACTGTGGGCTTTCTGCTAGCGACAACGGTCAAATACAAACTTTGGCGATCATGGCTAAGAGTCTCGTCACCTGGCATGGGAACCAAGCTCGCAAGGCCCGCCGGCCAAAAAGTCGAACGCGTGGCGTCAGTGGCTTGGATGGTCGGCCTCGGTAGAGGGGTACAACGCAAATGGCCGACCCTGACATCACGAGGCATAGGAAGGGTGCCCACGGCTGCCTTGGCTTTGCGACAGCTGGCCCGGGAAATTGGTTCGGTACCTAGGTGTCTATCCTGTCTGTGCTGGGTAGCTCCAGGAAGTCTTGGGAGAAAATCAACCTGGACCAGACCCGAGTGTATGCATCAGTGTTACTGCCCGTGGTGAGTATGGATGAGCGAGTGGTACTCGTACTCCGTACTCCGTACACTGCCTACCTACTTAGGACTTAGGTACCTACCTAGGTACCTATAAGGTAAGTGCAGGCGTGGCCTGGACAGGTCGCTACCCCTGTGGCCCATGCCCATAAGCCAGCCCAGCCAGATGGAGAATGGAGAATGGAGATTCTGGAGACTGGTCCCCCCAAAGCCTAACACGTAACTCCAACTGACACGGTTCAACCGCAACCCAACGCATCCACCCATCTTCGTGCACTCCGAGCGAACATCCACCAGACCCTTGGAACCTGGCATCTATCTCATCGACCGCCCTCTTCGCTTCCGCCCTGAGGCCCCTTCCAACCTTCTCCTTCTGCACAACATCTGCGAGCCGCGAACCTTGTCCCACACTGTACTTACTCCCCCCTCCTAACCCCCTACCAATATCTCACGCGCTCTCTCTCTCTATTGCTGACACCCGTTTCGGCTGCTAGCGACCCCGACAAGGCAAAAGGGACGCCAAGCCAGACCAGGTCCATCCATCATCATCCCTCCTTGCCCAAACCGCCAAACAGCCAAGTGCCTGCCTGCCCGCCCTTCTTTGCGTCTGTCGCTCACTCCCTCCTGCAACAACCGACCGACACTCCCTAGAAACGCGGCATCCAAACCGGTGCTCTGAACTCCTTCAACATGGCAAGCAACAGGAATTATGACTTTTTGGTATGTGACCCCAGGTCCTGGTCCACCGCAGCCCAGAAAGAGACACGTCCACGTTCTGTCCCACCAACATGTCACCGAACGCGATAAGCGCAACGGTGACATGCCGACATGCCTCTGTCTCCCTTCGGCCACGAAATACTTCCACAGCCAGCCAGCCGGTCAGCCGGTCAGACAGACAAGACAAAACTCTTTCCGCGAGGCAGCCCGGCCCTCGATTGCACAACCAGACCATCACTGCTTCAAAAGCACAACTACCGCTCCAGCAACCTCGACTGACCTTGCTACCCCTGACAGATCAAGCTGCTGCTTATCGGCGACTCCGGCGTGGGCAAGTCCTGCTGTCTGCTGCGATTCAGCGAGGACTCGTTCACGCCATCGTTCATCACCACCATCGGCATCGACTTCAAGATCAGGACGATCGAGCTCGATGGCAAGCGGGTCAAGCTGCAGATCTGGGACACGGCCGGCCAGGAGCGCTTCCGCACCATCACGACCGCCTACTACCGCGGTGCCATGGGCATCCTGCTGGTCTACGACGTCACCGATGAGAGGTCCTTCAACAGTACGTGCATGAATTTGAGGGTCAGGGGGGGGGGGCTGCATCACGGCGGTGCACTGCACCCGGGTGGAGGGACCAGGTACAAAAGAATGCAAAGAGCAAATGCTAACCTTGTGGAACCTCTGTTACAGACATCCGGACCTGGTTCGCAAACGTGGAGCAGCACGCCACCGAGGGCGTCAACAAGATCCTGATCGGCAACAAGTGCGACTGGGAGGAGAAGCGCGCCGTGTCCACCGAGCAGGGCCAGGCCCTCGCCGACGAGCTGGGCATCCCCTTCCTCGAGGTCTCGGCCAAGAGCAACATCAACATCGACAAGGCCTTCTACAGCCTCGCCTCCGACATCAAGAAGCGCATCATCGACACCTCCAAGAACGACGCCTCGGCCGGCAGCGCGGGCGTCAACGTGGCCGGCAGCTCCGAGAGCTCCGGGAGCAAGTGCTGCTAAGAGAGAGGTCGCGCGGCATGGTGCGTGGTCTGGGATTCATGGGGGCCGGGAGTGCAAGGGAGAGTTTGAGTCGAGGGGCATGGTTATTTGCTGGCCAGCATGTGGGTCAGCAGCCTGGCAAGATTGCGGCCGTCCTGCAGTGAGACTTTGCGGGAGCCGGAAAAGGTCGAAAGCCTGCCTGCGTTCGTTCGGCGCAAGTATGCATACAGGAACGGAAACGGGGTGCGCACCAAGTACAGCAGAGATCAGTCATCACGAACCCTTGGGAACCTGGGGGGTTTAGGAGACAAACAGCAGACGGAGGGGACGCTTCCAGCGAGCGTCTGCGACCACAACCACTTTTGACGGGATGCAGTCAGTGATCCGCCCAGGGCTAGAACGGGGTGCCCGAGGCAAGAAGAGCGTTGTTAGAGCGAGAGAAGACGGAGAAAGGGAAAAGGGAAAAGAGTCGCGAGCGAGCTAAGAAAGAAGAGAACCCCTCTTCCCTGGCACCCCCTTTCTTTTTATTTTGTTTTCCTGCGGAGGCAAATGGAAGTGTCAATATTTGGAAGCAAACGGAGTTAGTGGCTATATCTGGGTTGCAAATACATTTTGTTCCAAAAGAGGATACCAACTCGTGCGGGGTGTGCACATGTGGTTGCTGGCTGTCGTTGTTGGGTTTGTCCGGTGCCCCGACATGGCCTTGGTTGAATTGTTTGCGTTCCATTACGCGTGTCTGGTACCCGGAGGATCTTGGTTGTTGCAGGAGACATGATGGCTAGGACGAGACTGGAGGTATACGGGACTGGCCGCTGCCCCAGGGCGTACGTACCATGCTCGGCTTGACTATCAGGGGATGAGCAGTCACAGAGTTGACCAGAGGCAGCCGGAATTCAGTGAGATATTCTGCGAGGAGGTGCTACCAAACTATCCTCTCTTGGCGGCAATGACCGCGGTTGTTGATGGCCTCGGGGGCGAGGGTATTCTTGCTCTAGGCGTTCGTCACACGTGAATCGTCGTCTACCATGCGATGGGCTGAGACCATCACCCAAGGTTTCTGCAGAATCTTGAACAACACCGAAAAGACTAGGCTCAGAATGTCGTTGATTTGATCATATTATCGTGTGTCGCTTCGTCTTGGCATATCCCTGACACTTAGAACCAATAGCCTCCAATGGGACAATCTCCCACCGGGCGATCTCCTAAAGGCTAAAGGACAACCATCTACATGCGTTGTGACGAACGGACGAGGAATCAGGGCTAGCTTCTGTCTCATTGTCTATGATATATATGGGGTATCATGTCCCATTCCACGCAAGTACGGTTTACACAAACATACCCAACCTCCGCATGGACTTTATTCCGCCGCCCGCTGAGATGGAGTCCTGCCGAGTAGGAGAACCCAAGCCGCTATAGTCTAGCCCAAATGTACAACTATACACGCTGATATTTTGTTCACATGATCGCCGCAGCATCGATCACAACGCTCCTGTTGAGCAAAGCGTCGTACACAACCCTCTTGTGCCAGCACCTGACGAACCGCCTCGCGATAGCCGGCTGTGTGAAGGTCAGGACGAACCGCCTGAAGCGCTCGTTGCGGTCCACGGCCGGGCTCCCATCGGCGCCCTTGCGCGGCGGCGGCGAGGGGCCGACGACCGGCCCGCCGGCCGCCCCGTGCGAGGCGTCGCCCACGTAGTCGTCCTCGCCGTCGCCCAGCTCCAGGGGCACGGGCACGGGCTCCGCCTTGACGGTGATCTTGTAGCGCTCCGACATGAACCTGGGCCTGACGGGCATGATGCCCTCGGACAGGTTGGCGAGGACCCAGGGGGCACTGCGCTCGCGCCCGTCGTCCCGCAGCGTCAGCCACAGCTCGTCGGTCGTCAGGCCGCCCTGGCCCTCGCCGTGCTGCCCGTCCGGCGACGTCAGCTTCAGCAGCACCCTGGCCGGGGTGGACGCCTCGGGCCGCAGCGTCGGTAGGACGTCTGCGATGTTGGACTTGGCCGCGAGCTCCTCGACCAGCTGTGTGTTCCACAGGCGCACGCTGATGTGCGGCCTGATGTGCGGCGGGAAGAGCGTGAAGGACCGGACCGCAGCCCTCTCCTCGTCGGTCAGGAAGGGTTGCGGTAACGCGGGCGCCTGGTCCAGGGAGCCCTTGGCGACCTCCCGGCCCGAGTCGCCCGGCGCGTGGAGCAGCCTGCGGCTCAGCTCGTGGAGGCGCCGCACCTCGCTCACGTAGGCTAGTGCGGAAGGCTGGGAGTAGAACATAAGGTAGTACTGGCCCAAGGGGTCGTAGCTGATCGAGTCGTGGGCCTGGATGACCTTGGCCAGTCCGCCGGCCCAGCCTTCCACGTGTTTACCCTCGGGTGCGATGCGGTAGAAGTCCGTGTCCATGAGTGAGGGACTTGTCCCGGAAATCACAACCACGGTCGAATGGGATCCATAATCGCCAGGTTTGGGCCAGCTTATTTGCGCCTGGTCCCCCTCGTCTACCCAGTTGCGGACTTCGTTCCGCAAGGAGACCATAACAGAATCCTCGGGCGGGTGTAGTATCCCATATGTGTCGCGAGATATCTCCGGCTCACTCTGTGTTGTCTCCGGGCCGGCCTGTTCAGGGAAAAGCTGGCGGAAAATTGATAGCCCATGTCTGACGTTCAGATCAGCTTGACGTCTGGCGTTATCCTCATCTTGCGGAACTGTTTCCAGCACGTTCTGTCGCTCTGCGTCGACCCGCTTCTCTCTGCGTGCCGCCATGGTAGCTTTCAGTCTGGAAGACAGTTGCGCATGGTCTGGCCCTCTCGTTCGTTCTTGGTCCCCGAAAAGCTTCTCGAAAATTGTGCGACTATCCGGAGCCGGAGATGGGACTGGCTCAACAACCTTACCGCCCTCGTCGTCCGCTACACTGCTCTTGTCCCGAAGGGTCAGGGGATCCTGCGTATCACCCCGAGACAGATCTTCCGTTGCCTTGGACTCCGCGCCACTTGCCGGTTCGCTCTGTTCTGAACCTATAGACTCAGGCCTGCTTGGACTCACGTCAGAGATCGGCCGTGGCCGAGTGATCTGTTCCTTCGTCTCATCCTTCATCTGCAACTCGCTGATTTGGCTTTCTAAAGACTTTGGGGTCTCTCGAGGCTCTCGAGGAAGCTGTGGACCCTTCATCGTCTTTCCAGGAGTCGGCCCCCAGGAAGGCACAAGACGAAATCTCGGCTGTGAGCTCATCTCAAGCTTCAACGGGGACGTAGAGAGAGATGGCCCCGCTAAATACTTGGCCCTCATTAGAACAGGATCCTCGGTGAATGATCTCTGGGATGATTCAGCCGGGCCAATGTCTGCCGCAATCACAGCAAGTACATCAGAATACTGTGCTAAATCAGTCGGCTTTGCCTGTGATACTGATAGTGGCCGAGCGTCTGGAACACTGGGCAGCCTCGGGCTGAACAGAGGTGTCATTTCGGAAGCTACCAATTTGTACTGGCGAGTAACGGCTGCTTCAACCTTTGGTGGCATGTTAGCTAAGGCATTGCTCCTTGCCACCATGGGAACTGGTGGTGCCTCAAGAGACGGCTTCTTATCAAGCAAACTGTCCTTGGCCGGACTTTTCTGCTTCCTCTCTTTTGCTTGTCCGCTGGTTCGGGGGGTGTCTTGACGTTGAGAAGCCTGTCCTTCCGGAAGGGGCTGGTGTTTCCCGGCCACCTTGCTCGCCGCATTGTCATCGAGCAAAAGCCTTCGGTTGTAAATAGTTGTGCCCCAGTCGCCCGCCGTACGCTTCCTCTTACGAGGCATCATCTTGCGAACGTAGTCACGCCCTGGCTGCTTGGCCGTTTGGGATGTTTTGGGAAATGTCGTGGACTCTAGGCTTTGCCGGCTGGCGTCCGCCGCAGCAATGCGCCCTTCGTACCGAATGCGGTTTCCGAAAGGATTCCTGCCCTGCAGACTCAATTGAATGTGCTTGTGCATCGGCCGGCCTCTCCAGTTCTCTTGAACAATCGCCCAATCATCAGTTCGTACTCCGATCTTGTGTATACGGACACTTGGTCTATCGCGTCGCCCGGGTTTGCCATGCTCTCTCCGCGGTTCTTCTGTGGGCAGCTCATGATTCACGTGGTCGTTACGTCGTTTGGTGGTCGTGTAGAAGAAGAGAGGTGTGCATGTCGCGCGGCGCAGTCCAGGTGCAGGTGCTGTGGTCCTCCATCGTGACAACGGAGACTGCGGCAATGGCAGTCGCCTCCCACGCAGCATCAATGCAACGAGCTGCTATTTCCGACTCATTCGTGTCGAGGAGAGCGAATCCGCTGACATTTGGGCCGTCTTGTCGGTCGGACGTCGGCCTTTGAGCGGATATCGAGGTGTTCGCCAAGGTTCGAAGAAGAAGAAAGCTATGAATGAGCTTTGGTCGCGAAAAGTTTCCAAGCTTGCCGGCGCGGCAGGTAGCTAGGGTGCTTCGGTACGTACATTGATACCCACCTGTGCACTAAGTGGGACTTGCGCACGTCCGTGTAAGTCCACCAGGGTCTCGTCACATACATTACAGCAACACCACCACAACTTGAAAAGGCTGTAGAATTTCACACTGTAGCACTTGTGGCTTCTCTATCTCCGAATCTGAATTTTCCCCAAGGGGCCTGTCCATTAGGAGTGTGAGAGGGTGTTCAAAGGAGCTTGTCCTATAGCAGGGTCTGTTCATGTAGGAGGGAGCACTGGAGGAGGGTTGTCCTATAGGAGGGAGTCCTATAGTATGTTATCCCATAGGAGGTTGTCCCATAGGAGGTTGTCCCATAGGAGGTTGTCCCATAGGAGGTTGTCCCATAGGAGGTTGTCCCATAGGAGGTTGTCCCATGAGAGGTTGTCCCATGAGAGATTGTCCTGAAGAAGAGTGTGCTAGAGGAGGGTTTACTGGAGGAGGGTTTTCCTACAGGAGGGAATCCCATAGTATGTTATCCTACAGAAGGTTGTCACACGGGGGTTGTCCTATAGGAGGTCATCCTACAGTGGTTATCCCAAGGGATTGGTAGCGTTCCTGAACGCCATACAAAACTAGGTATTATTTCATTACCTGTGGCGTCTTCATATACTAGGAAACGCTCAAACACCCAGCATTCTTTGAAAATATAAAACAAAATACTAATAACAGTACAGGAAGAACGTAGTACATGTCACGGTCTAAGCCTCGTGACAGCCGCACTAGGGAGAATCGCTCCAGACGGCGCCCATCAACTAGAAAGCTGGCAAAGGAGTCATACAGAAGAGACTGAAGAATTCTCTTAAACTAGCCCCTATATGAGAAGAATCCCACAAAGAGAGGACCAGCGAAAAACTTGGCACTTCCCCATTAACACATGACAAACTCTCAAGAAGACCCTCGCCAGATCCCACAGGAGATTGTCCCAAGGGAGTCGAGGGTTGGGGTTCGTGGGGGCACACCCAAGTTAAAAAATACGCCAAACCGCAACACCATCCCAAGCCTTTCCTACAGCATTCCACTATGAAATTCGTCGAGGTCAGGATAAGGCCTGTACCGTCGCCCACGGATAAAAGTGGCGGCGGGGACAAGACCCTGAAGGGCGCATCGCGCATCTACGTCAACAAAGAGGTTCTCCTCGAGCTCACAGGCACGGCCCTCGAAAATGGGAAACCATGCTATGTCGAAAAGATTCTGGATGATGGGCAGGCAACTACAAGAGAGGCCTCACTATGGGCCGCGGCAGACCCAAAAGTAAGCCGGGGCATCGTCCAGATGAGCAAGCCGTTCCAGGATGCATGCGACTTGAAGCTTGGCGACCAGGTCAAAATCATCTACACCGACGGAAAGGCGGTACCCGATGCTGAAGAGGTCGTTCTGGAAGATGTAACGACTGGCCAACCTGCTATCAACAAGGAGGACATCGTATTCTGGGAGTGGAACCTCAAGATGATGGGCCTGGACGATGTGTTCCCCGGATTCCTGGTCAAACGCGTGGCAGCAGGGGCGGTTTTCAGAAATTTCAAGATCACGAGCGTTAACGGCTCGATAAGTGGGAATGCTCGATTCATTACCGCTTCGACCAAGATCCGAATCAGCACCGGAGAAAACGTGGAGACCGCAGCACCAGTTGCAAGACCAGCCATTCTCAAGCTGGACATGATTGCGGGCCTCGAACCCCAAGTTCGTGAGCTGAACAAAAAGCTCCGCCGATGGTACAAGTCCTACGGACCAAGCTCTGGCCGTCGATCGTGTGGCCTTGTCCTGGACGGAGGCTCTGGGACTGGCAAGACGATGCTCGTGGAAAAGATTTGCGAGACCGGTTGGGGAACTGTCCACCGCATTCGACCACATGACAAGCTCTCATCCATTTCTCAAACGCTCCAAACCGCGAGAGAGGACCAACCTAGTATCGTCGTGATGGACGACTTTGAATCGATTATCAACGATGACCGCAGCAACAGGAGCGCCGTCATCCGAACCGTGAAAGAGTTCCTTGACAAACTGGCCCTGCCGCGAGAATTTGAGCGCCCAAAGGTCCTCGTCCTCGCTACCTGCACGGAATACGCAACCCATATACCGAAAGAACTCAGAGAAGTTAGATTCTTTGACTCACATATCAACCTTCCGCTTCCAGATCCAGCCCGTAGGAAAGCAATCCTGTCGACTTTCTGTCCTGATGCAGGAAATAGCGTTTTGGATAATGTGGGCGAGAAGACGCACGCCTACAACGGAAAAGATCTGGGATCCCTTGCCGAACGGGTCTACGAGATGCTGGAGGAAAAGTTGGGAGACACTGAGGACGCTGGAATTACAGCCTCTCCAGATACCCACGCTATCACCGAAGAAATGTTCACAGAAGCAATGAAGGTTGTGCCTCCGTCTGCAATGCATGACATTAATCTCAAGCCCCCACCAGTCCACTGGGACGACATCGGCGGCCAGGATGAGGTCAAGCAGACGCTCCAACGGGCCTTGGCGATGTCCAAATCGTCCAAGCAAGAGCTGCTCAGGTACATGTCCAACCCGCCCAAGGGAGTTCTCCTCTACGGCCCTCCTGGCTGTTCGAAGACCATGGCCGCACAGGCGCTGGCGACCGAGAGCGACCTCAATTTCTTTGCCGTCAAGGGCGCAGAGCTACTCAACATGTACGTCGGCGAGTCGGAGCGGCAGGTGCGACAACTGTTCCAGCGGGCGCGGGAGGCAGCCCCGAGTATCATCTTCCTGGACGAGATGGACTCGATCGGAGGACAACGATCCGGCTTCGGGTCTACCAAATCCGGCGGCAGCAGTGGGGGTAGCAGCGGCTTGAACGTGCTTTCGACGCTTCTGAACGAGATGCAAGGCTTCGAATCGCTGCAAGACGTCCTCATACTCGCGGCCACAAATAGACCACAGGCCATGGATCCAGCACTCCTGCGCCCCGGGCGCTTCGACAGGCTCATCTTCGTGGGCCCGCCTGACGAGGCGGCTAGGGCAGCTATCTTCCGCAAGTGGCTCGCGAACAGGAACAGTGCCGAGGACATCGACATTGGGGAGCTGGCGAGAGAGAGTGAGGGCTGCTCGGGCGCCGAGACTGTAGCTATTTGTGATGCGGCAGGCGATGTGGCCTACTGGAGGGACTTTGGCAAAGACGAGCGTCCTGGTGTAACCATGGAGGACTTCCGGGCACAGATGCAGAGGCCACGGATGATCACACCAGAGATGTTGGAAGCCTACGAGGTATGGAGGAATAAGTTCCTCAAGGACGGTCAGTAGAATTTGCAGGTAGAAGACTATACCATCCAGTTATCTTGTGACGGCTTATACCAGGCGTAATCCTCTAACCCTCTACCTACCTACTCAGCTCTGTCCTGTCAATTACCTACCTCCTAATCTCCTAACTCTCAACCTCCTACCTCTCAGCCTCCTACCTCTTACTCTTCTTTATACCTTCTTATCTTCCTACCCTCCTACTACCCACCCTCCTACTACCCACCCTCCTACTACCTACCCTCCTCCTACCCACCCTCCTACTACCCACCCTCCTACTTTTCCTCCAACACCCAGTCATCAACCAACCAGCACACAGCAAGACACACTCAACACAGCTTGCACTACACTATTCAGAATTACCACAATTCTTTTACGTACTGTATACACATAATTTATGCATCGCAAACTTAACCGAGCTGATCTTGAAAGATACATTGGGCTTTGTCCCTCTACGACCCTAACTGTTTGCTTCTAGCTTAGTAGTGGAACTAAAAAAAAATACAAATAGTCCATACAGGTAATTTAACTCAATATCCCGTTTGAAGATGAGCAACGTTCTCATGGAGACGGACAGAGTGGTAGGAGGGCAAGAAGTAGGAGGGCAAGAAGTAGGAGGGCAGGAGGTAGGAGGGTAGGAGGGTAGGAGGTAGGAAGATAGGAAGAATGAGGGTAGGAAGGAGTAGTAGAATATGAAGTAAGAGTATAGGAAGATAAGAGGGTATGAATGAGAAGGTTGAGAGGTAGGAGGCTGAGAGGTAGGAGGTTGGGAGGTATCAGGGTAGTCGTTAGGATAGAGCTGAGTAGGCAGAGGATTGGAATGAGGAGGATATGAGGAGTCAGGGTGTGTTTGATTTGGAGGAAGGGGTCTGCAATCGTAGCTCATTTTGCAGAAGGGTGACCGTCATGAGGTTGTTTCGTACCTTGTCCACTTGCTACATACAACGACATAACTCTGAGCCGGGCTAAAGGTACGTGAAATAGGCTTGTGTCTATGACATTACCACACCATAACTTTCAATTCACGATGAGACTTATTGTGGACTTCCATGTACCTCTCACTAAAGAACTGCTTCTTGTTCCCGTACTCTAGCCTTGCATCTGGATGATGAACTAACTCGTCTTCAAGGAATTTCCATGACACGTTAGCATTGCACAGACCCATACCATTCCACTAGACTGTTGATTCACTTCAACTGAATACTTCCTCCCAGAAGCAAAAGTGTGCTAGGAGCGCTCGCTCATGTGAGTATGTGCTGGCTTCCAAGGTGCTGCCCCCCCTGGCAATGTTGCTCATCTGGGATCGTCCTCTACGGTTCCTTCAAATTGTCGGTGGCTAGGGTTCTGTCAGATGTCTGAGAGTTTTGTTCGGGTTTAAGTGAGTTGTCACAGACCTTCGAGGTGGAACAGCACGTTGGACTGGTAGTTCTTGAACATTTGAGCAACAAGCTCGATGTTCATGTTCTGGATGTTGATGTCCTTTTGGAAAATAAGCACAACGAAAATACCGCATTGGGAGAAAGAGACTGACTTGAAGGGTCTTGTTCATGACCATCACTGCTTCGTTCAATTTCTCCTGCCACGAGTTGTTAGCTGCCACATGCTGCTTTGCGCAGGGACGTCACACCAGGGGCTACGTACAACATTCGTGATGACCCGGGACAGCAGTAGGTTCTGCTGGTGTTCATGAGGGCTCTCCTGTTTACACGTCAGTGGACATGATACAGACTCATTATGAGTGCAGACATACCATGTTGGCGATGTGGTGATGACGGTGTCGATGCGGTCAATATTGACTTTCCGGGAGAGGGTTGTTCAGGGTTTGGCGCGTCTGTAACCGCGCTGAGAAGTTGGGGGTCGCTTGAAAGACAGTGTGTTAATGGGGAGCAGCTGGCTGTGCTCATTGGGAAGGTCATCCCTGCCATAAGGCTCACTAGCCGCAGTTCACACTTAGCTTTAGGAGCTGGCACGGACAAACGGCAACAGCTTCAACAGCACAACCCACCCAAGTCTCCCAGCTACTCATCGTCAATCAAACCACTCGATAGCGCTCCTCACGCATTCTTGGTCCTCCGTCTGCTATTTAGAAGATAATCGAAGAATACCCGCAGTAATGAACAGCGACGAAGCAAAAGCGGCCAAAGAGGCCGAGCAGGCGGCACACTACGCCCTGATCGAACAGCTCGACATCCACTCCATCCACAAGTCCTTCCGCAACCCCTCGTGGCGGCCCAACCAGCGGCGAAACAAGAACATCAAGACCATTCTGGGCGACGCCTCCAGGAAGGAAGCCTCTATGGCCGTGACGCCGATGGAAAACGGCTCCGGCGCCGTGACGCCAAACAACAACCGCGACGGCGACGACAAGGACGACGGCCTCTCCACGAGCGGGACCTCGACCCCGGCCAACGACGCATCCTCGACGCCAGGCGGGGCGGGCGGCCCGCCCTCGTCGTCGCAGCCCAACCTCGCGCAGGCGTCGCGCAGCCTCTCGAAGCTCGTGCTGGAGAAGAGCCTACGCCCCGCCGGCGCCGGCACGACGGCCGGCGGGCTCAGCGGGGGCGGCGCGGGCGCGCCCAGCGCGACGTACACCAACATCGAGAGCGCGCCGAGCCTGGCGCCGCAGAAGCGGTACTGCGACGTCACGGGCCTCCCTGCCCCGTACCAGGACCCCAAGACGAGGCTGCGGTACCACGACAAGGAGGTCTTCGCCATGATCAGGGGCCTGCCGCAGGGCTATGCTGAACAGTACCTGGAGGCGCGTGGCGCGCATACGGTTCTGAAGTGAGGGCTACGATTTGTGTGGTTCGGAGTGCTAGTTTGGCGACTACATTTTCAATGAGGCTGGGTGGAATGAGGCGGATGATATTGAGGCTACAGATACAGGATGGCGGCGAATGGCGTTCAAGGAGAAACAATATGCGACTTGCGAGATACCAGGCGTCAAGAAGCAGGCAATTTTTTGTTGGGAAGCCACCGGAGGCTGTTGCATTGGAGAAGCTTGGTCGAATCGCCAGCATGCGTATGATGGCATTGACAAGAGGGCAGAGAAAGAAGTATGTACGACCGTCAAAGTCAAGCCCCGACTACGCACCCGAAGTCTTTCGACGACGGGATGACAGTTGACGCTCCGGCTTAATCGCGATCGATTGCTCTATGCCTTAATTTCCAAAAGAAAAAGCCGACAGATCACCGAGAACTCGTGAGAGAGGCAGGACTCAGTTACCAAGCAAAAGAGCTTGGCCGTCGGGGCAGTGGGTTGTGCGGGATTATGAACAGAGGGTAGATATCAAAGAGAGTTTTGGGGTGTCCAACCCAGAGGGCAGGATCTCTTGCCTTGCAATTGGTAGGAAATATCATTCTAAGGCGGCGGGGATGCCCCACCGCCCAAGAATTGTGATACCATCATCGCTTTCAAAGGCCAGGCAGATGTGGCTTGCTTGTTTACAATGGATGCGATGCGAGAAACATGCTGCAGGAGAAAGCTTGGATAGAAATTTTGTATTGGTAGCTGGAAAAGCTGGCTCGTGCGTGCTTACGTACAACAACACCCGCTAAGCTATGGGCTGTGACCAATCAATTACTCAAGCGGCTGCCGATACGGACTTATCCTTCTCTAACATCTCCAAATAATGGGGAACCACGCCATCAAGAATGGTCTCGACATCTGACATCTCGAAGCCGAAAGTTTTTCTGAAGTCCTCCATAGCGAAACCAATTCTCGGCTTCGAAGGGTAATCACCCTCGCCAGCCAGGATTCCCTTCTTGACCTCCTCAGGCCACTTCCTAGCCAGGATCGGGAAGACATCGTTCCACTTGAACCTGGATGAAAACACAAATGTGGCGATGTGCTTGCTGGGCCCAGAGCTCGGCGTCTTAACCTTGTCCAGGTCCAGGCTCTGGTGAGCCGTCTTCACGAAGTCGTCAATGGTCAAGCCGCCGCACAGCGTTGCTGGGCCGGGCTTCCCGTCCGGCGAGCGTCCCGCGCCCGTTAACAGAGGCAGGATCACCGAGTTGCTGGTTACCATGATATCCTTGACGCTTGTGGCCAGGGGCACCTTTCCGAAGATGTAACAGGGCGCCAGGTTGATAAGGTCGAAGTTGACGGTGCCCTCGGCGACGGCCTTCTCCATCCACTCGAGTGACCGCTTCAGGGCGGCCGTCTTGGCCGCGCAGTATGCGACAAGCGGGTTGACGAATGGTGGCCCGAAGTCGTCGTTGATCTTCTCGCCGACCAAGATCTCCTCATGAGGGACGTATGAACCCCCGACCAGATCTGGCCCGGCAAAGGCGCCGACCGACGAGAGGATGATTACCCTCTTCACTGTGCCGGCCTTCTTGGCGCTCTCGAGGGCCTGCAGGGTGCACTGGACGGCCTGGATGATATCCTTCTCCGCGTCTCCGTCTGTGAACGGCATTGGGTTGGCACAGTGGATGACCATGTCCGCGCCAGCCGTGGCCTCATCCAGACATCCCTCGGTGGTGAGATCCGGGACGATGAAGTACTTGCATGCCGAGTCCTTCCCGAGGGAGGCGATGGCGGGTGCTTCCCGGACGAACTTGGCCTTGGACTCGCTGCGCACAGCTATGTTCACCTCGTAGCCGGCCTTAAGGATGTCGATGAGGATGGCAGAGCCGAGAAAGCCGGTCGCGCCGGTGAGGACAACTTTGCCTTGAGCCATCTTGTCAAGATATAAGAAATAAACTAGTGAGGCTACAGTTGTTGGGGGCACAAACGAATAAAGACAGCAGGCAACGGGGACAGAGCATATCTTGTTGCGTGGCCCGATTTATATCATGCGAGCCATGGGCCTCGGGACCCGTCTAAACCTGTGCTCTCGGTCCGCAGGACCCAGCCTGGCGCCGGCATCGAATGGACACAGTAAGAACCAAGATACTTTCCCCCTGGCAACTTGCATGGTTTATGGCATGCCATGATAGCTGCCCAACCAAAGAGCCTAGATTTACGGGGCGGCGTGTGGAATCCCTTTAGCGCTGAGCAAAGACATGGTCAACCGATGGACATTTAGTCCTGATAACCACGCAGGAGCGCCAGTTGGCCATGGGCGGAGCACGCTCATGATTATATAAACAAAGAATAAAGTGCTGCCTGAAAGGAGTAGTCTATCTCGTAATCTCGTAATACCAGTGGTCCCGTCTTATTGATACCGGGTCCCTGGGCAAGGGTAGTTCCAAGTCCTGTTAGGGAAACTGCCGACCCGAGTGCTGTGTTCTATGCCGTTCCTGTTTAGCTTCCGCACCCGTCAGAGCTGCTCGGCACAGTGGGATCGGCCTGCTGTGCCACAGCACCAACCCGCCTGCCTGGCTGCTTGGGGGAAGCACAGGAGAAGCTTACCCTGCCTTGGCCTAGGTGTGCCCAGGTAACGTGGGTAGCTTTTCAGAGATCTGACCGGCAGGTGAAGTGCAGGCACCCCTGTTTCAGTCGCAACGAGACACTTTTCAACAATCCCGGCCGGCCCTTTTGCGACAGCTGCTTGCACGCATTTGGTTGCTGTTGAATTGGGCCAACTCTTGCCGACCTCTTTTTTTTTGGTCCCTCTGGAAACCAAACAACCCACCGAACTCCTCTTCCAACCAAGGCGCTTGCTTCCCTACCGCTTACTAGATACGTTCCAAAATGCCCTCCATGTGGCTATCAGACTCCCAGAGTACGCTGCCATGCAATTTCCCCAAAGCTGCTTGCTGCCCCTCGACGCGTCGCATGCACCCGCGCACGCGACTTGGCCGGGGGTGAAGGAAACAGGGAGTGAAAGACTGACTTGAGGTTTTTCTCTGCAACAGAGATAGGAGTAGCCTTCTGCTCCGGCGGTACGATTCTACATGCCCCAGGGGATGACGGATGGTTCGTGGTCTGGTTACTCAGCGACTGACTGCAAGATAGGTGGCTTCTTCCTGATAGGAGGAGTGATGCTCTTCTTTGACCGGGCCATGTGAGTTGTCGCAAATCTGTTCTGACCCCTCTTTGGCGGGTTTGTTTCCTTTGTGCTGACCTTTGTGATCTTGCCAGGCTTGCGATGGGAAATGTATGCGATGCCCCCCCCCCCACCCCCGATACCCGGCCCCCCAGCGACGAGCTCTAGAAACTGTTATACCTAACCCCACATGCGCCGGCGAATAGATCCTCTTCCTCATAGGACTCACCATAATCATCGGGCCGCAGAAGACGCTGCTCTTCTTTGCGAGGAAGCAAAAGGCAAAGGGCACGGCGGCGTTCTTTGGTGGGCTGGCCCTTATATTGCTGCGGTGGCCCCTGATCGGGTTCTGCGTCGAGCTGTACGGCATCATGGTGTTATTCGGGGACTTCTTCGGTACGATCGCCGCCTTTGCGAGGAGCGCGCCCATCGTGGGGCCGTACATCGGGCTCGTCATAGACCGGCTCGGGATGGGTGGCAGGCGAAACGCGGAGCTGCCGGTCTGAGTTGGGCTCGGCAGTGTGGTTTGTATTAACTCTGTACGAATTGGGACGTCGACGATAAGACCACAGCCTGGCCAGGCTGTCTGGAATAATGGCAGAATTAACATGTATGGGACTGGCTCATAGACATAGTTTGGCGTTCAAAGTGGAAGAATACCCTTCTTGTATCGTACGCGTCTGGGCCGTTTGTACGCTATTGTCCCCAAAGAAAGAACCATCACGGCATCACAATTATTGCTGTCAAGAAGCGATATGTACGGCATTGCCTGGGATATGCAGAAAATCAAGGACGGTTTTCGCTGCTCAAAATTCGGCGTTCCCACGTGGTCCGCGCTGTTCTATAGACTGAACGCACTGCCACGTGTTCTAGGTGTGGGTGGCTCCCCCTTCCTCCTATCCACTTCGAGCCTCTCCGTTTGCATCCCTATCCCTCACGTGTTGCATTTCCTTAGTAGCCCTGGCCGACGAGGTAGTCCTTCAGCGCCTCAACGGTCTGTGTGGTGTTTCCTGCCTGCTGGGTCTCGCTGTGGTGTGCGACCAGGATGGCCTGCTTCGACGTGGAGACGGCGATGCCGGTTCGTCCCTGGACGTGGTTGGAGCTCAAGTCAGTGCACTGCTCGCTCTGTTCCCCTGTGTGAGGAGGTCCTGGAAGGTGGGGGTTTTCCTACCTGGCGGGCGTAGATGTTGCCATCGTCGATACGGGTGACGACGAATCGCTCGCCGGCGATGTGGATGCCCTCGGCGTGTGCCTTGTCGACGGCGGCGGACTCGCCCTTGGCGATGTCGGCGAGGCTCTTCATCTCCTCGGCGCTAAGCTGTTTGCCACACCATGTCAGCTAGCTGCGGCGTGTCCTCGTGCGTTCTGTCGGGATCGCTGCGAAGGGGTCTCAGGCTCGGGAGGTGGGCATAACATGGCCTCATTCCAGCAAATGGCGGGGTAATTCCGTACCGTAAAGCCGGAGGTGGTGGCCCAGGCACTGTCGCCGGCGGCGCTGATGATGGCGCCCTTGTCCACATGACCGGAGCCGACGAGGCTGCAGAGGATGATTAGTATGCGAGGCTGGCCACGACTTCTTGCGCGTCCTTGTGGTGAGGTGCTGTCGTTAATTACCTGGAGTCGACATAAGCTGTGACAGAGTTAGCTTCACCACCGCCGCGCCAAGGTGGGGGTTTCAAAAGGGGGGTGGTTGAGGGCGAGTCAAGGAGGAATCACTGCTGCCATACCTTGCCACGACATCTTGTTGGTGTTTTGGGTTGTGTGGTAATAGGTATGAAAAAATTAGAACAGATGCAGTGCAGGAAACGGAACACGGTTTCAAAGGTAGGTAGGTGGCGGAAGCGGAAGCTGTAGTCTGGTTATGATGTGGTTGTTTTGGAGTTCCAGAATGTCCCGCTGCCCGAATTGCTTGGTTTTTTGGCACCCATGCCACCTTAAGTAAGCGGGTCTCGCCCAATCCACTTCCAATTTCTGGTGAATGGCCGTGCTGCATGATCAACACCTACAGTACCTACAACCAACTCCCTGACAACACACCCTTTGTTGGGACGACCGATCCGTGACAGCTGTCGAACATGCCGTGCTATTTTATTACTGCTACCTGAACGGGGTGGTACTGCCAAGCCAAGTGCGATGAGGTCGACCATGCCTCTCGTGACAGCCTCTCCGTCCTCCTTGCGCGTCATCAGACGCGCTGCAGGCTTTCGCTAAAGCTGTACCGAGTACAGTACGAGCAACCCTCGTGCCCTCGTGGAAAAGGGTGCCGTCGACCGCAGGTCACCGACAGCGATATCGTCAGACCGCTCTCGATGGGTCATCTCGTAGACGACCGTGGATCGACCAGTCGAAGCGGTAAAGACAACGGGGCCACAGTGCTACCGTCGCATCATCTAATACCGTGCACTGGGCTCTTTCAATCATCATCAAGCCCCGGTGTCCAAAGCCTGGTCACAGCGACTTGGCAGCGGAAAGCTTCAAGGCTTCGGGCCACCTCGGCTTGCTGCGATCTGGAGTCGCGACTCATTTTAAAGGCCGGATCTTCGTCGACGTCTGTTGCGGATCTCCCCTATTTGACCAACTCGCACATATACCCCTTTGAATCATGTCCTGTGCCAACCTTCGGCCTCTCCTGAGAAGCTCATCTTGCTTCTTGCAATGCGACCCTCTGCACTCAGGAGGCTCGACTCAGTTTCAGCGGCCGACAAGGCATCGAGACAATGCGAACCAGAGTCGTGCCCATCACCTTGACAATTGTAACTGCACCACCCACTTCAGGAGGTGACCCTCTCCCGGATAGGAGGCAGACCAGGTCGTGCGAACGGAACCGTACCCGGGATGGGCGCCTCAGATCTCGGGGGAGAGCACCCCAGTTTTGTGACACATGCAGTTGGACGAACTGCTCATCGGGATCTGGTCCTTTTGCACCTGTGCAAACCCAAATTCACAAGGCGGGCAGGCAGCCCGAACACTGTCCAGGCCCATTACGCTTTGGGACAGGCCCACGAACCTTGAAACGTACCTGGCAACCTATGTCGGGCGCAGATCACGCCGCGTAGAGCGATCTGCCAGAGGGAAACCCCTTGCTTCCAATTTCGCGCATCTGCCTCGACCAGCGATCCGATGGTGCGGTAGATCACCTGGAGGCCTGGTCTCGGCCGTCGAAGATGCATCAATCGGATCATGAGTCCGAGCTTCCACGGCGTCTCCCGACAGCTTGACGACATCCGGACGCCGTGTCGGGACGATGCTGATATTTCCCACGAATTGTTACGCGTGCACAACACGCGCAGCTTCTCTAATGCTGAGCCTTACTGAAGCCCACACCCGGGCTCTCCCCAGAGGACCCTTCAGCCCAACGGAGACGCTACGCCCTGCCGATGTGGCTCTGGTTGAAGCTTTGACATCGGCGCAACGGTCATCTCGTTCCCATGGCTTATACGATGTGTTAAATCTGCCCGGTTACCGAAATTCACGACTCCTATATTGCCTGCCCAGCACCGCGGCTCCTCCGAGAAAGTTGGTTTCCAACGTTTGTTGCAACCTTTCATCCGACTTGAGTGCTTCCATTTGTCTTCTCGAAGTTCACCTCTTCCGGGATGGGTGTTCCTGTCCAAGTCAGAAGTTTCAGCCACTGCCTCGCACCAGTTGCATTGATGAGACATTATGAGCTATGCTATTTCCGGTAGGGTGAAACGATGCTCTTGGCGGCAAGTAGACTTCAGACTTTACCTGGTGACTTGGTCTTAGGAGCCATCTCCTGTCATAAATCACACAGCTTGGGCCACAGGGCTGCCCCGGGCGATTCTGAGACGATGATCTGGCTGTCACGGGTGAATAAATCGCCTAAGCGTGGGCACGTCTGAGCGCCGACAAGCTGTTCCACGACCAACGACCACTTGGTCCGGCCATTATACAACACTTCACTATAAGTCGCGGTGGAAACACTATCTGCACCTGCCTCTGCCAGTCGGAGGCGAGTGTAACGCTGCTAGCCTTGCAGCGGCGGTGGGACTCGCCCGCCCAGCCCGTCCGCCATCTCCAGCATCGAGATGCATCTAATAATCCGCAGGCTGATTATAGCACTGATTACAGCAATCTCGTAGACTAGCCCTGGCACAAGTGTCATCCAATTTGCTGGCGCGCATTCTGGCGACCAATTGGTTGGCAAATCCTACCGGCTCATTATTGCAACCCTAAAGCCTCATTGCTGTCACATCCACTCATGTCGCCTCAACGGCCCCAGCCGGACGGCACCTTCGAGACCTCAGGCCCAGCTTGGCCCCTGCCTTCGCGGACGAGCTGGGCAAGTCGATGGATGAGGCCGATTTCTCATGCATTCATCGAGATGACAAAGGCGCGCGGCGAATGACTGAGCCATCACACACCCAACTTTAATTAGCCACGGCAATCGGCGGACGTCATCTTTCCGCAGAGGTCGCCGGCACATCCCAGCAGTTCATTAAATGGAATTGAGCGCACTTGGTGGTGGTCATGGCAGTCAGGCTGAGGCTCGCACGGCGGGCCGTCAACGCGGAGTTGCAGCCATCGTCTTGACTCGAACTTCCGAAACAGTAATCTTTCAACAAAGCAGTCAGCGGGTGTAACGCTCGCCTTGCTGCCCTGCGAAAACACCTCTTTACCGCATTAGTGTAATAGCTCAGGGCATGGGTCGCATCCTCCGCCCGCCGGGTCTGTTCCACCCAGGACCCTGACTTGGTCCGGGGGACCCCGTACGCCTTGCAAGGACATACCCATGTCGATGATCTCTCTGGAAATAAACCCTCCCTCCAATCTCAAACGCACCATAGAGGATGGGCGCCTTGGGGACACAGCAGATTCCTCGCGGGGAATCTATTTGCTCCATGTTTGGCAAGCATCCACACGATCAGCAACTTGGGATGTCTAGCATATGTATGTATGTAAGTGAATTTCTTTTTCCATTTCACTCACGAGCTTCTTCAGCACCGACACTCTGCTGTTTTCTCGCGGGAGTCTTGGCAGCCCGTCGGCAGGTATTCTGCTCGTCCAGACAAGCCTCGCCCGTCCTTATTCATGTTATCATTGCCTAGCGCATTTTATAGGGACCACTTACATGCAGGTCGCGTGTTGCCATTCATCTTCTCGAAACCAGTCCCCACTTTACACCGAGGCCCTCCTCCTCATCTGCGGTGACCGGGAAGTTGGCCATCTTGATTGAATCCTCAGTCCCGTATTGCATAGCACGTTGTACCAAGAGTACGGGGATCGACAGTCGTCCAAAGTGGCCCCAGCTCCGGAAAGGCTCCATTCTGGCCAGCCCGCGCTGGTGGGTGATCAGATGGGGCATGGGCAGCAGGAAGGAAGTGGGCTACAGATGCACGGCCGAGACGCAGCAAGTGTATCAGGCCCTCCCCTGCAGTCATTAAACTTGTTCCCTACCGGCAGCTTTCCTCAAAATGCTAGCACACCCCCAAACAAACCTCATGCAGCATACAATCTGCATTCCTTCGACCGCCCGTTGCCTCGAATTCCGTCACCATCACAACACCCCGTGCCGCCGGCAACCATGGCCTCAGCACGACCCAGCACGTCTGGGAGCATGACAGACACGGGGTCGTCACGGAGGAAATTGGACAAAAGGGTGTCGAAGGATGACATGTTCTTCAGGACGGCGCGACAAAAACAAGGTCTCGACAAAAGAGTATCCAGAGACGACATGTACATCCGGAGTCGCATGGCCGAGATGTCTCATTACCACGTGCCCGTCCCGGGGTCGACGCTGACCCCAGAGCACAGCCCGAATTTCCCAGTAATACAGGAAGTGTCCATACCGATCAGGGTGCAGACTCCAGAGTCTATAACCTCAGGGGAAATACCAATAGGGATGGCATTGGGGAGCCCGCCGTTGCGACCGGACCCCTCACCGTCGAGATGGCAGGCTCAGTTTCCTCCAGCATCACCTCAACCTACTAGTTCCTCGGAGCCCTCATCCGCTGGTGCGGCTCCTGTCAATTCTCTGCAGAGAAAAAAGACAGGGAAGAGGAAGCTGTTTGGCCTGTTCAGTGGAAAGAAGAGGGACGAATCGCAGGGCCTGGCGCAAACTGACGCCGGAAAGTCGACGATCACACTCGCTCGGACTGTTGAAGTATCCTCGTCTTCACTGTCTTCAGTGAGTATGTCTGCGAAGTCAACGCCTACCAGGAGCAATACACAGGCGGAACGAAAAGCACCGAAACACAAGCCGATCATGATCCGATCGAATACGATGCCTCACAACGCCGACGAGCCACCTACCCAGCCGAAAAGTGCTGGACTGCCCGGACGACATGGGAACGCATATCGGCAGCCGCCAGTGAACCTTCCTCCTATTCCCTCATTCCTTGATGTAAATATCCCCGACACCAAGTTGGAGCGATATAGTGTCATGTTTAGCGATGTCCTCGGACACCCACACCCTCCACAGAAGCAGGAGAATTCTGCATCATTGTTGTCGAGACGACAAGCCACGCTGCAGAGGCTGAAGACCATCGACGACAAGGTCGAGGCAGAGGAGATGGAGAAGGAACGTTCCAGACAGCGAAGGGCAACCTCACCACAACCAACCGCGACGCCGCAGTTGAGGCTATTCCCTATGCCATCAGAAGGTCGTGCCACTCCTGCTTTGGACACTCCTACCAGTCGGTCTCGGCCACTGAGGTCGAACACCTCACCAGGAAGACTACCTTCACCCACACAGGCAACCTTTGACACAAAGCCACCCAGCACAGCAACAACGCATCACGGCCCTACATTAGTGGTGCCCAACCCCTTTGACTCGCCGCAACAATCAAGGAAGCAACCGAAGCGTGAACCTGAACCTATCTACCCCACGGACACAACTTTCCAGTTCGGACCAGACAAGTCTGGTCTCATACTCGACTCACCAACCGAGATAGACTCTCCCAGCGAGGAAATCGTCATCTCACAGCCATTCAAACCTACGCTTCACGAGCCACAATGGCAGATGGTCTCGCCTCAATCCGTGTCAGCATCGTCGACGACCAGCGGACGTCGTGGCCGTTCACCCTCGGCAGCCTCCTCTGCCACAACGCACACGCACGTCACCAAGCCATCCAGCGAGCTGGATGACACGGAGGCCGCGCTGCAGAGCGCCGTGGAGGTGAGCATCGCGCGGCAGATCAGCATCTCACGCCAGCAGCGCCAGCTCCTGCGGCCGCTGCAGACGAGGCGGGGCCCTGGAGCCGGTGGGGAGCGCAGCGCGAGCGTCAGCCCGCTCGGCGTGAAGATTGTCAAGTCGCCGACCCCGAGTCGCCGGCTCGGAGGAGAAGAAGAGATCAAGGAGACAAAGAGCAGCACGCCGACCCTGATCCACCCGAGGGAGACCGCCGTCAACCCGGTGCACCTGGCACAGAACCGGAAGAGCTCGTGGGCGGTCGTCGAAGGGGGGTGATGGAATTCTCGTTCCCCTCTCCTCCACTTTTATTTTTCAACTTACGGCCTCGGACGTTCCATGGCATCTATATCGCATTTCGGATTGGCTTTCAGCCTTGCTAGCGAAGGATCTTTAGCATACGCACAGGCAGTGCTTTGTTCACGAAATGCTTCTGGAAGCGAAAGACTGGAGTTCTCGACTATTTGGACACAGCGGATATGACTCTTTTTTCTTCCCTTTCCAATTTTTCTTTCTTCTTCATCTTCTCGTTTCCTATGTTCCATTTTCTTTTCTGACTTTTACTTCACCGTCCCTCACGGGACCTGAATCCCAAGTTGCGAGCGCGAGCGCGAGCGAACCCCATTCTCTCTCGCCTTGGCAGAGACATCTTCTTCACCTTTAATCGCTCACCCCTGCACATATCTCGGTCAGGGGACGAGCCCCGACGGTTCCCAGACCGTATTTGTGCGTATGTGTGTGCTTGCGATGCAACGTTGCTTCTTACATTCATCGATACCTCGGCTCTTGGGGAAGTTTTTAAGACAGCCACTTTTCAGAAGGGATATGGGCGGCGGGGGAGAGGCAGGAGGGCGGGCGGGCGGGCGGACGGAAGTTTCTACTTTTTGGGACACCAGAAACAGGAAAGGACATGGCTCCAGTGTTCTGGCACTGGCAAACCACAGCCAGGATGTGGTTGAACTGGGATGGTTGTGGGGTCGGGTTTGGAAGCTAGGTGTATGGGGCGGGGGGACACGGTGTATATATCAATATGTCGCCATGCCCGTCTATAGGCAGTTTCACAAAACCCGGAAGCCATTCAGGATGAACACCAAAAGGATCGCCCGTGTCTCTTTGTGACGTGATGCCTCCGATGCGCGAGACAAGCCTTTTTCACATGCAAACCACTCCCCCTTTTTGTTGTCAATGGGAAAGGTCTTCTAAAACATGATGGGCTGCAAGCGTGACTCGCAAAGGTAGCATTGTCCAGCGGAGGTTTACACAGCCGCCGTTACGAAGAAGTGTGATATGTGGAGGTAGTGTTGAATGGTTCGTTATATCACTTGCTTGATCGCTCACCCGTCACGTCACACGGGCTCGGTGGCATTTAGGGCTGCGACAGCGTCGGTGAGTTTCGCGTCCGGGCAGGCAAATCGGTTGCCGCTGCTGGTGCCACCCAACTGCCAGACTGCCTGTCAACCCTCGCCATGTTGACTGCGACCGTTTCAGCCAGTACCGCGCTACACGGGCCCTGCCCCCTTGTGATTCTAGGAACGGCCACCTCGGCGAAACGTGGCGGTAAGAACCGCGTCACAAACTGCTGGTTTCCAGGAACGTCTTCAGGGGGTGTAAATCATAGGAAGTTTGATTATATAGGAGTCGACCAACGGGCGACAATGGCCAGGATTCCTAACGCCACATGTGTTCTGCTGGTAGACGCGGGGACGATTGCTTTCTTAAAATCAAGTGGCCTCCACTACCCAGGACAAACTAGACCCGACCGTCGAGGTAAACTGCGATAAAGACAGGGACTGCGATGCGATGCAGCGATTACATGACAAGACTGCACATAGGAAGGTCAGTATTTGCTTCTAGCGGAAGGGGTCGCTCGAGCTTTTTGCGCGAATTGGGCTCGTTTTGTTATGACTTACCAGCATGAATTCTGCTTCTTTGCTTGTTCTGGGGGCAAAAGTCAGCATGGGTCTGATACCTGGGTCATCTCGGCCAAAGAGCTCACGGTAAAACATCTTGGACTGGGAACTCAGTCCATCACTCTTCTGAACAAGATCATCGATCTTCTCGCCTCGCTGCAGCACGCTCTCTATGGTCTTGTGAAGGACAATCTTGGTCTCGTCCAATTCCTTCTGGATCTTCATGATGTTGTCGGCCTCGTGTGGGTCCTGGCATATTGTCAGTACTTAGGTGGGCATCCTCGTTCCAGCATGCTTCTACTTACTTGATACTTCTCGAGGTAACCTCTCAGTTGTGGCATTGATGGCTTGGGCGATCCCGTTGCCCATGAGGACCGTGGGTTTGCCTCAAGGAACTCATCGACAACTTTGGAGAGCAGCTGGTGAGCCACGAGAGCTGGATAGTCGTGATCGGAGATAATAATTCCGCAAACGCCCTCGGATCGACCATATGCGTGGAATGTGAAGTCTGCGGCCCCGTCAGTCTCCTTTCCTCCAGGTATGGCAAATTGCTCGCCCGTCTCTGTTCACGCGAAGCTTCTTTCCCAACGACACTAGTCGTCGGACTCCACGGTGATCTCTCCCCAACCAAGGGTCCCGGGCATTTTGACAGCAGATCGACGTAATGACACAAACAGCAGGCAACCTGGGATCTGATTTGTCCTGATTCCCGCTGGCAGCAAGCTGTGTTCTTGCGGATCGACTGGCTCCTTGTGTCATTCTCAACGCATTTTGACTGGCTGGTGAGGCGTTATCGGGCGCCATCCCTGACCGACTACCCAGAAGATATATCCCATCGTTGCTGGATATAGTCCATATCGTCTACGTTGCGCGCGTCCGCCATCTGCTGTTTGCCAACTTTTGATGTGCATCGAGGTGTGGGTGTCCGTCCTATCGGAGTTTGCTGGATTTGCGGTGACCTTATAACGACCACGTCGGATTTCCGGAGTATTTCCCACTTGGGCTCGAGGCATTTGTGTATATTCATATCGATAGTTCGGTTTGGAGGGGTTCGTGCCAAATGGAAACGGGTTCTCTTGCGCGCTAAGTTGAACGTACCTTGTTCCTCGACGTCCTGTCGTTCTGTACGCTGTCAGTGCTGTCCGCGTAATACAGTGCAGAACAAGGGTGACTTACGACCGGGCTTTGTCCTTTCTGCCACTGTCTTGGCAAACACCGTCATGAATTCCTCCTCGTAGTCAGCAGAAGGTCCTGGGCCTGTGGTGGGATGATGCGCATACTCCATAGTTCGTTCTCGTGAAGCGAGAGTAGGCGCTGAGCTCCTTCTCGGACACGAGCTCGTGAGAGGGCGTGCTCTCGTTCCGGATGACCTGTACCCGGAGACCACGGTCAGCAACTGCGGCATGGGACGGAGGTTTTATCGGCGGCAGCAGGCCAAGATACGTACGCCGATGTAATGCAGCTTCATAGTGACAGTGTGCTGGTGCTGGTGCTGTCGTACGAGTTGGTTTCGATGAGCTGTTGGTGCGATCTAGGGTCGGGTTCTGGGCCGAGTTGTCGCTTCGTCAAAGGGGATTCGGCAGGGTGTTTGGAGGTTTAGGTTTCGTAGATTGGAAAGAAAGGCTGAAACTTGGGAGAGCGCGGAAAGGATCCCACAGTTAGAGTACCACTTTGGTCGCTACCCAAATCGGCCACTTCCTGGTCCGTCCTGCCCGCCACTTGTCAAATGGGCGGCAAACTGCGTCACATGCGCTGTCCGAGTGTCCGATTACGATGGCCCAGGCCGCCGCCCAATTCTACTAGGCGCTAGTCAGGTACCTAGGTATCCATCTCTTCCCAAGCATTGCGGCAAGGTGGTCGCTAAAACACCCCTGTGGGAATTAGTGGGCCTAGATACCGACCGCAGTGAGTACAATGTGCATGTACTCCGTACATGTAAGCATCACTGACGGCCAGTATGAGCCATACCGAGTCGATACGCCGCCGCCCAGCCCGCATATGCTCGTCTGGAGGCTCACTGCCGCAGACAGAGGCGCCAACAGCCATATTTATTAGGCTTGGCTTCCCGGCCTGAGAAAGACTGTGCAAACACTTTCATTCAAATTCTTCAGAACAACATAGCTCTTTCTGCAGACCAACATGGCTCCCTCCGCCGCAACCGACGCAGAGTCGCAATGGCTCGCCCAAGTGGCTGCGATGAAGGCTGCGATAGCCGAACTCAAGCTGCCTAGCCACTCAGTCAACGGTGACACATCCGCCAGCACCGCTGGTGAAGACGATGATGACTTCGACCTGAGCTCTGCCAGCGGCGAGACCCATGACGTGTGGGATTTCATCTCCGACTCCGAGTTGGACGAGCTTGGCCTTGACAGCGGTGACTTGATGGACGGGACAGATGGGGTTGACCCGGAGCCTCCCTATGGTCCCCGATGGTTTCTAGAGAGGTGTACAGCTGTCTCGACACACAGAGACGGACTGCCAGCCGAATCCCTTCAGTTGCAGATTTTGGAAGCTCTCAAGTCCAACCAGAGGGAAGAGGAGCTGCAGTCCCTCCTGACGGACCTGGTCGGCTTTGATGACCTGGAGTTCGTCATTGATCTCATTTCCCACAGGGACGAGATCATCGTTGCCATGGACCAGGCCGAGCAACATCATGCCGAGGACCAGCCCATGGGGCGTCTTCTGACCAAGGCCGAGAGAGAGTCAAGACTCCGGAAGCAGGACTTGCTTCACAAAACTGCGGCACTCGGCCCTGCCACGGCAAAAGAACCGCAATACCCCCACGTGTACAAGACCTTTTCTGCCGGCAACTCCCTGAATCACGCTGGCAAGAGGTACGCACTGCCAGTTGGCAGTGAACGGCTTCAGTTCGACAAGTATGAAGAGTACGCCATCCCTGCAGGCAAGCCTGGGACCTTGTGGCCAGGGCAGAAGCTTGTCACGATAAAAGAGCTGGATGGGCTCTGTCGAAATACCTTCCGGGGCTACAAGACACTCAATCGAATGCAGAGTCTTGTCTATCCTGTGGCCTACAAGTCAAGCGAGAATATGCTCATCTGCGCCCCGACCGGTGCTGTAAGTTCTTTGCGCCCTTCGCATGTGTACAGATGCGGTGACTGACAGACAATCAATAGGGTAAAACAGACGCTGCGATGCTGACCATCCTGCAAACCATCAGGCAATATTTGACCCCTGACCCCTTCGAAGATCATGCTGCAACAGACTTTGCCGTCGACGCAGACGACTTCAAGATTGTCTATGTGGCTCCCATGAAAGCCCTAGCCGCTGAAATTACCGAAAAGTTCAACAAGCGTTTGTCATGGCTCGGCATCCGCTGCCGCGAGTACACTGGTGACATGCACTTGACCAAAGCCGAGGTCGTGGCCACCCAAATCATTGTCACCACACCAGAGAAGTGGGATGTGGTCACGAGAAAGGGCACCGGAGATACGGAGCTTGTGCAAAAGGTCAGACTCCTGATCATCGACGAAGTACACATGCTGCACGATGAGCGCGGCGCTGTCCTGGAATCCCTCGTTGCTCGTACCGAGAGACAAGTCGAGAGCACACAATCTCTCATCCGGATCGTCGGTCTTAGTGCGACGCTCCCTAACTACATCGATGTATCCGACTTCCTCAAGGTCAACCGATACGCCGGGTTGTTCTATTTCGACGCCTCTTTCCGTCCAGTACCTCTAGAGCAGCACTTCATCGGTGTCAAGGGGAAGGCCGGTTCCAGACAATCCAGAGAGAACATTGATACTGTGGCATTCGAGAAAGTGAGAGAAATGCTGGAACGGGGCCATCAGGTGATGGTATTCGTCCACTCCCGGAAGGACACCGTTGCAACAGCAAAGATGCTTTACGAGAAGGCAGTTGATGATGTCTGCGTTGATCTATTCGACCCATCTGACCATCCTAAGTACGATGCTGCGGTCAGGGATATGAAGTCTTGCAGGGCAAAGGAGCTACGAGATCTGCTACCCAAGGGCCTAGGTGTACACCACGCAGGCATGGCAAGATCAGATCGAAACATGATGGAGAGACTCTTCTCCGAAGGCGTCCTCAAGGTGCTTTGCTGTACAGCTACTCTCGCTTGGGGTGTCAATTTGCCGGCTGCTGCTGTGGTTATCAAAGGCACTCAGGTGTACAGCGCTCAGGAGGGAAAATTCGTCGATCTGGGAATTCTCGACGTGCTCCAGATCTTTGGACGTGCTGGTCGTCCACAATTCGAGGACACCGGTATTGGTATGATCTGTACAACCCAGGACAAGCTGGCTCATTACCTCACCGCTGTCACGGATCAACTCCCCATCGAGTCGAAGTTTTCAGCGAAGCTCGTGGACAACCTGAACGCAGAAGTTGCTCTGGGGACAGTGACGTCTATTCCAGAGGCAGTGCAGTGGATAGGGTACTCTTATCTCTTTGTCCGCATGAGGCGAAACCCGATGGCATACGGCATTGACTGGAATGAATTCCAGGATGATCCTTCGCTTGTTCAACGCCGCCGTCAGCTGGCTATACAAGCTGCAAAAACTCTTCAGCAATGCCAGATGATCATATACAACGAGACGACTGAAGAGCTTCGCAGCAAGGATATTGGTCGTATTGCCAGCCAATACTATATTCTGCACACCAGCATCCAGATATTCAACACGATGATGCAGCCATTCGCCACGGAAGCGGACATCCTGAAGATGATCGCCATGAGTGGCGAGTTTGACAACATCCAATCGAGAGATAATGAAAGCAAGGAGCTGTCGCGCATGAGGGAAAACGAGCATATCGTGCCCTGCGACGTGGACGGCGGCATCGACCAGGCCCAAACCAAGACCAATATCCTGCTGCAAGCTTTTATTTCAAAGGCCCAACCAGAAGACTTCGCTCTGACCAATGATCTCAACTATGTCGCCCAGCAAGCCGGTCGAATCTGTCGTGCGCTGTTTATGATCGCACTCAACAGGAGATGGGGTCATGAGTGTCTGGTTCTGTTGACGTTGGCAAAGTCTATCGAAAAACGGGTTTGGCCCTTCCAGCATCCTCTTCACCAGTTCGAGCTCTCCAAACCGATCCTCAACCAGTTAGACGCCAAGGAGTCTCTCACCATCGAAGCTATGCGCGACATGGAGCCTGCCGAGATAGGCGGCCTTGTGCATAACCATGGAGCTGGTACCAAGATCGCAAAGATCCTGAACAACTTCCCGACTGTCAGCGTAGAAGCAGAAATAGCGCCTCTGAACCGCGACGTACTGAGGGTCAAGCTCTATATCTACCCTGATTTCAAGTGGAACGACCATGTGCATGGGACTTCAGAGTCGTACTATGTCTGGGTCGAGAATTCGGAAACCTCAGAGATATACCATCATGAGTTCTTCATCCTGAATCGTAGGAAGATTCACGAGGACCATGAGATGAACTTCACGATTCCTCTCTCTGACCCACTGCCCAACCAAATTTACGTGCGTGCTGTCTCAGATCGGTGGCTCGGCGCAGAGACAGTCACGCCTGTGTCGTTCCAGCATCTTATCAGACCAGACACAGAGAGCGTGTACACCGACCTGCTCAACCTCCAGCCCCTCCCGATCTCTGCCCTCAAGAACCCTGGGCTTGAGGCAATATACTCGGAGCGCTTCCAGTACTTCAATCCCATGCAGACTCAGATCTTCCACACCCTGTACAATACCCCTGCGAATGTCCTCCTGGGCTCACCAACAGGCAGTGGCAAGACCGTGGCGGCAGAGTTGGCCATGTGGTGGGCGTTCCGTGAAAAGCCAGGCTCCAAGGTTGTGTATATTGCCCCCATGAAAGCCTTGGTCAGAGAGCGTGTCAAGGACTGGGGGGCTCGGCTTGCGGGGCCCCTTGGGCTGAAGCTTGTCGAGCTGACTGGTGACAACACACCGGATACGAGGACCATCAAAGATGCCGACGTCATCATCACCACGCCTGAGAAGTGGGACGGTATATCTCGTAGTTGGCAGACGAGAGGCTATGTCCGCCAAGTCAGTCTCGTCATCATCGACGAGATCCATCTCCTGGCTGGTGATCGTGGTCCTATTCTTGAGATCATTGTTTCTCGCATGAACTACATCGCATCGTCGACCAAGGGCTCGGTCAGGCTGCTGGGAATGTCGACTGCTTGTGCCAACGCCACCGACCTAGGGAACTGGCTAGGCGTAAAGGAGGGTCTCTTCAACTTCAGGCACTCCGTCCGCCCTGTTCCTCTGGAGCTCTACATTGACGGGTTTCCCGAGGTCAGAGGATTTTGCCCACTCATGCAGTCTATGAACAGACCAACATTCTTGGCTATCAAGAGTCATAGCCCCGACAAGCCGGTCATTGTGTTCGTGCCTTCGCGAAGGCAGACACGACTCACCGCCAAGGACCTGATCAATCTCTGCGGTATGGAAGACAACCCAAGGCGATTCTTGAAGATGGAAGAGGAAGACCTTCAGCTCAACCTTGCTAGGGTCAAGGACGACGCACTGAAGGAGGCCATCAGCTTTGGCATTGGGCTGCATCACGCTGGTCTCGTCGAGTCGGATCGTCAGCTTGCCGAGGAGTTGTTCTTGAACAACAAAATTCAGATTCTCATCGCGACCAGCACTCTTGCGTGGGGCGTGAACCTTCCTGCTCACCTGGTCGTTGTCAAGGGCACTCAATTCTACGATGCCAAGATTGAGGGCTACAGAGACATGGATCTCACCGACGTGCTACAAATGCTCGGCCGAGCCGGGCGACCCCAGTTTGACAACTCGGGTGTTGCTCGAATTTTCACTAAGGAGGCTTCCAAAGATTTCTACAAGCACTTCCTGCACACTGGCTTCCCTGTCGAGTCTTCACTGCATACCGTTCTCGATAACCATCTCTGCGCCGAAGTTTCTGCGGAAACAGTCATCAGCAAGCAAGATGCGCTTGACTATCTTACGTGGACATTCTTCTTCCGGCGTCTACACAAGAATCCATCTTACTATGGGCTTGAGATCGCGGCAGACGAGCACAATAGTATAGCCGCCCAGCAGCTTGCCAACGACTTCATGATCGAGATGGTCGACAAGTCACTCAACGAACTTGCACAGTCCAAGTGCGTGGAGGTTTATCCCAATGGAGATGTTGACCCGACACCAATGGGCAAGATCATGAGCTATTACTACCTCTCACACAAGACCATCCGCTACCTGGTCAAGCACGCCAAACCGCAGGCCTCCTTCCTCGACGTCCTGACCTGGATGTGTAACGCCACAGAGTACGACGAGCTACCCGTCCGACACAACGAGGACCTCATCAACGCCGAACTGTCCCGCAACCTGACGTTCCCGGGAACCTCCTTTGGGCTGCCCATGTGGGACCCGCACGTCAAGTCATTCCTCCTGCTCCAGGCCCACATGTCCCGCATCAGCCTACCTATCACGGACTATGTGGGCGACCAGACCAGTGTCCTGGACCAGGCCATCCGTATCATCCAGGCGTCCATCGACGTGCTAACGGAGTCGGGGTACCTCTCTAGCGTGCTGCAGATGATCAACGTCCTGCAGTCCGTCAAGTCGGCGCGCTGGCCCACGGAGCCACCGCTGTCGATCCTGCCGAGCGTGGACGCCGAGAAGACCAAAAATACCACCACGCTGCAGCAGCTCAGCGCCATGGGCGAGAAGGAGGTGAACAAGCTGGCCCGGGACCTGCACGTGCCGCCAGGCTCCCAGAAGCGCTTCCTCAGGGCGGCCTCGATCCTGCCCAATGTCAAAGTCACGGTCGAGGACGTCACTGCGCAGTCGGTGAGCGTGGTCCTGAGGCGGCTGAACGCCCTGGTCGAGCGCGACGCCCGCATCTACGCGCCTCGGTTCCCCAAGCCGCAGAACGAGGGCTGGTTCGTGGTTGTCGGCGACGTGGCCAAGGACGAGATCTACGCCATAAAGCGCGTCGGGTGGTCGCAGGCCGGCGGGGGCAAGCAAGCCGGGGTCGGGTCCAGGCCGTCTGCGAGGACGAGCATCAAGGTCCCCGAGGCGCTGCAGGCTGGAGGGGCGAGCAAGCTGGATGTCTTGGTGGTCAGCGATGGGTATGTTGGGATGCGTTATGAGGTGCTTGGGGTGGAGATCCCTGCGAAGCCTGCGGTTGATGATGATGTCAGTCGGTCCAAGGAGCTGGCTTCGTCATAGAGAAGGGTTAACATCAGGTTAGGTGGTGGATTAGACTGATGTACCGCACTGGCATATACGAATGTGGCGATGATCTGTCTACCCAGGCATGCAGACGAATAACCTCCTCCCAATGATGGTGGGTGCACTTCGTACACGAGCTTGCACTAACTATTTCGGATCGCAAATCTTGCGACTTTCCAAAGCTTTTGTCATGAAATGCATTCATTATTCACATCATCATCATAGGTATCTACAGCGCCAAGAACGCCCGGTTTGCCAAATATGTACAAAAGCCCGGCTCAGAAGAAGGCCATATCCTCCTCCTTCCACCCCATCTTGGTGAAACTCTCCCGCACAACCCTCTCCAGCGGCGGCGGCCCACAGAACAGCAACATCTCATCCCCGGCCCCGCTCGGCGGGCCAGCCTCCCTCTCGAACAGCTCCGCGCCCATGAACCCCCTCCCGCCGGCCCAGCCATCGGGCGCGTTGGCGAGCGTGTGCACGATGCGGCACTTGTCGGGGCCGGCCGCGGCGGCCAGCGCGTCCATCTCGGCCCGGCACAGGATGTCGGCCTCGGACCTGTTCCCGTCGAGCACGACGCAGCGGGGCATCGACTCGGGCGGGTCCCGCATGACGGCGCGCAGCACGGCGAAGACGGGGGTGACGCCGCTGCCGCCGCAGACCATGACGAACCGGCGGATCCGGCGGGCCCTGCCCGAGACGGAGAACCGCCCCCCGCCGAGGTACTCGAAGCGGCCGACGGGGCCCTTGAACTCGACCCAGTGGCCCAGCGGGATCGAGTCGAGCGCCGTCGTCATCAGGCCGCCCGGGGTGCTGCCGCTGGCGCGGTAGATCTTGACCAGCACGTCCAGCCTGCCCTTCTCGGACCACGGGTCCGACAGGGGCGTGTACGCGCGGATGATGGCGTCGCGGCTCACGGGGTCGCGCAGCCGCATCATCAGGTGCTGGCCCGTGGGCAGGCCGACGCCCTGGCCCGGGTGCTCCAGCGTGAAGGTGAAGATCTTGGTGTCCGGGCTGACGGGCGTCTTGCTGGCCAGCAGCGCCTTGGTCCACTTCTTGGGCTGGAGGAAGACGGGCCGGGGTTCTGAGGAGGCTGTCGACCCTGGCGCGGGGGGCAGGCCGCCTGCTGCGAGCATCTTCTTGGAGTCTGGGGAGAGGGTGCCGATGTGGTAGGACGGCATCATTGCTTTTGCGTTCTCGCTGTCTGTTTTTGGGGGCGGGTGTTGTTAGCATTCTGAAACGTGACCATATATATATGTATATGCTGCGGGAGAGTGAAAATGGGGATCTCGAGAGACTCACGAATGGCCATGAACTCCTCGATGACGTCCTGCCCTGCCGCGCCGATGATGGAAGCTGCGCCTCCGGGGTGGCCCCCGAGGAAGCTTGTTCCATCGTACACCTCGCCGTCCAGCACGAACCAGGGCTCCTCCTCGCCCTCGTGCTCCCTCAGCTCGTCCAGGCTGATCTCCCTCTTGACGTCCTTGTTCACCATGGCAATCTCCTTGGCGGGCTCCACCACGGCCACCGTCTTCTCCTCGCCCGGCGCCCTCTCGCCCCAGTACCCATTCGTGAGATCACCGCCCTCCTTCTTGACCCGGTCCATCCACCCGTCCCTGTTCAGGATGGGTATCGTGGGGTGCTCGAACCGCAGCTCGCCCGTCTCGCCGTCCCGGTGCACGACCACCCTGAACCACGGGTTGTTCATCATGCCCAGCACGCTCCAGTACAGGTCCCGCGGCTGCACCATCATGGACTCGTCCATGGCGCGCACCATGACGTCGCTCGTGTCGCGCCCCCCGGCGGGCACGAGGTCCGCGACGGGGATGTCGAGCGACCAGAAGCACCAGCAGAAGCACGTCTCGCGCCACGAGACGTCCAGCCGGCCCCCGAACAGCGTCTCGCCCTCGGGCGCGGCCCGGTACTCGTCCTCCGGGTACGAGACGTCGGCGAGGCGCCACGTCCGGCCCCTGTCGAGCGTCACCTCCACGCGTGTGACCCGGCGCCCGCCGCCCGCGTACGCGTACCCCTGGAACCTGAACGTTTTGTTCTCGTCGTCTGAGGCGTCGACGGCGAGCCGCTCGTCGTGGGCGGGGCGGGCCACGGCGCTGTTGGTGTTGAGGTCGTAGATGGCGTAGCGCTCGTCCTTCCACACGTCGGGCAGGTTGGCGCTCTCGTCGGGGCTGACGGTGGTGGGGAGGACCCTGTTGTCGTAGATGTGGTACCAGTTGTCCGACGGCGCCTCGGTGACGATGATCCTCTTGAGCCACTTGACGCTGCGCCCGCCGATCTGGCCCGGGATCACGATCCGCAGCGGCTTGCCGTGGTCCGGCGCCAGCGTCTCGCCGTTCATCCCGTGCGCCACCATGATCCCGCGGTTCGGGTCCGCCGCCCAGTTGAGCTTGATGCTCGTCCCGTAGTAGCCGTTGGGCAGCTTGTCGGCGCCCTCGAAGCAGACGTAGCGTGCCCTCCTGCCCCCGCGCCCGCGGACGATGGGCCTCGCCCGCGCCAGGAGCACGTCCAGGGGCACGCCCGTCCACAGCGCCGTCGACACGCCCGCGGCGCCCCAGGAGAAGCCCTTTGTCTTGCGCACCACGTTCTGCTCCTTGCGGCGGTTCCCCGCGCACACCAGGGTGATGGGGTACGTGACCTGCTCAAAGTCGGCGAGGAGGTCCCGCAGCGTCAGCGCCAGCGGGTTCTCCACGAGGCCCTCGACCGTGAAGCCCCAGTCCAGCACGTCCTCGTCGTGCACCTGCGGCACGGCGCCGTGGTTGCGCACGTAGTGCAGGTCCTTGGTCGTGATGAAGCCCTCGTTCCAGAGGTCTGTCAGCGGCGGCTCGACGTTGAAGGGGTGCACCCCCGTGAGCCGCAGCAGGCGTGGGTCCCGCGGCACATGCTTGTCTGGTGTCTTGAGGTCCTCGGAGAGCACGCGCTGGCTGGGTCTGGACTCGGGAGGGAGGGGGTATGACCGGTGGTGGTGGTCTGCTGTGGTGATGAGTGCGGATTCTCCTATCTGGAAGTCGGTCACGCTCTCTGTCCGGGAGCCGGGGTCCTTATCGGTGGCGGGTGGGCTGGGAGGGAGGCCGAGTTTTTGTGTGATATGTTGATGTGGTTCTGGCATGGTTGATGTGATGGTGTTGGCAGTTATGGCCGCCATTGTGGGAGACTATTACACAGCGGGTGGCCTGCGGGATGCAAGACATGTATATGCTGTGCAAGTTACCGGATCTGGTAGGTTGGACAGGATGGACAGGGCTAAGAGCAGGGACAAATTGCTTCTCAAAGAATATTGTGAGAGACAGAAGCGGGAATCCCGCCGTCAGGCCATGAATCAGTCGAGGCAGAAAATAGCAGCGGGTTGAATCTAGCAGAATAAGCAGAGAGGAGCAACGGTGCCAACCACAGGTTTGGTAAAATAGGGCCAAAACTGGGGAGAAACTTGTGCGCGTGCCTCTAGACACATGTCTAGAGGTCATCAAAAATGGGCAGACCCATACCTAGGGTGCACGGCAGGAAACTGGCCATCCACCCCGTCCTGACCAAGTGTGTAGCACCACCGCGGGCTCTTGGAGATGCATCGATGTCATGCCTCGGAATGGCAGAGCAGAAACGGCGACAGAGTGGGCGGGATGGATAGGGGGGACCCCAAGTCCGAGGTGCTTAGGAAACAGAATTGACCAACGGCGTGGTCGTCTCGTGGTGCTTTGGTGCTGACGTTGAGATCTCCTTGTGTCGCGCGAGGAGATGCACCCGTCGACCATCCCAATCATCCCACTCCCGCCTCATCATCACCTTGTAGGCCATGCCTCCGCGGACTTACACTCATCAGCCCTATATCTTTATCTGGGGCGCCCTGCTAATCTCCCTGGGGCCTCTTTTTTTTCCCCTTGGGCTTGCACTTTGTTGGCTGTTATCAGCAGTGGTGCGGGTTTCCCGTTATGCGATACGGAAGCCCGTGTGTGGCCTGGCCGAATCAAGGTGGCCTGATAAGGGGCTCCATGAGGATTGGCGGAGATGCTCGGATCGCCCTTGGGCTCCCGGGAGGCTAAGCTGCCCAGTTCAAAACCGCGGAAAAAGCGTCGCCGGCAGGGATCAGCTAAGAGCCTCAAGACCCAGCAAAGCCCACTCTAAACGTCCAGTCAGCTAGTGCCTCCCGGATTGCTCTCGTCGTTCCTGGTTCTGGGTGGGGGTCCAGGGAGGACAAGGATCATACTACAGTGTCAGCAGTGTCAGGACCGAGGTGGAGGAAACGGACCAACGGTGTGCAAGGTATTAATGAGCCCGTCTTCTCCGAACAAGGCCGAGGCAGCAAAGCCCAAAACCATCACTCAACTTTTACCCACGATTTCCACAATAAACCACAACGTGCGTGGCGTATCGTATGGTATTTCCGCGTCTGTAATATCTGCCAAGTGCCAACCAAGCCTCGGTCACGAGACCCGTGCCACACGTTGTGTACAGTTCTAGGTCTATGGACAGTGCAACTCTATACTATACCCCTTCCAGCCCCCCGCCCCAGATTTTTTAGTTCCCGTCTCATTCCCCCCAACCTCAGGCACCCCATACTCCAAATCCTACTACAAGAAGCACCTGTTTTCCCCCCAACTATATAGATAGCCAAGCACATGATCTCCTTACTGGGGGAGCACAGCCCTGCCGGCAGCACGAGCCGCGGCGAGGGCGCCAGAGAGGCCGAACTGGGAGCCGACCCCCTTGATGCGGTGGGTGGCGTTGAGGTTCTTGACCACGACCATCTGGAAGCAGGTCGCACTGCCCTGGCGGGAGGCGATGGTGGACCAGGCCAGGAAGAGCTCCCAGATGCGGTACCAGCGCTGGCCGTACTTGGCGTTGATGACCTCGCTGTTGCCCAGCCAGTTGCGGTACCACCTCCAGAGGGTGCCGGAGTAGTGGACACCGACGGTGTCGACGCTGCAGGGTTGTGTGTTAGCGACACTCTCACTCTGTACTAGTATGGATTCCTGGTCCTGGGGAGAAGGAGAAACTCACCTCTTGACCTCCCACCCGGCGGCCTCGAGGCAGCTGACGTAGTTGGCAAGCGGGGTGGAGGCGTCGGCGCCGGGGAAGATGTACTTGTTCAGCATCAGGCCCCAGATGAAGTCCTCGTACTGCCACGCCTTGCGCAGGCCCGAGAGCTGGACGTACATGGCGCCGTCGTCCTCGAGCATGTCGTAGCACTGGCGGAAGAAGGTGGTGAGCCTGCGGATGCCGACGTGCTCGCCCATCTCGATCTGCGAGATCTTGTTGAACTTGCGCTGGGGGATGTCGCGGTAGTCCATGCACAGCAGCTGGCTCTGGCTCTCGGGGATGCCGGCGCGGCGGAGGGCGTCGTTGCCCCAGGCGGCCTGGTTGCGGGCCAGGGTGGCACCCGTGACGTGTGCGCCGTAGTTGAGCGAGGCGAAGCGGGCGAGGGTGCCCCAGCCGCAGCCAATGTCCAGCATGGTCTCGCCGGCCTTGAGCCCGAGCTTCTCGCAGACGATGGCCATCTTGTTGTCCTGCATCTCCTCGAGGGTCTCCTCGCGGGTGATGTCGCCGAAGATGCCGCTGGTGTAGACCATGCGCGGGCCGAGGAACCAGGCGTAGTGGTCGTTGCCGCGGTCGTAGTTGGGGCGGACCTGCTCCTCGTCCTGGTCGCGCGAGTGGAAGAGCACGTCGCGGAAGAAGGTGAAGATGATGAACTTGAACAGCGGCCAGGTGAAGGAGAAGTTGGCCCAGTCGTGGCGGTACTCCATGACCTCGAGGCAGTCACCGTTGAAGTCGACGTCGCCGTCAAAGTACATCTCGTAGAAGGTCTTCATGGGGATCTTGTTGCGGCCGCTCCACAGCCGGCGGTCCTCCTCCTTCTTGAAGGTGATGTAGTGCTCGACGGGGCGGCCGGGCAGCTTGACCTTGTCATTGATGCGCGGCGAGTAGGCCGAGGCCACGGTCCAGATGGCAATGAGGATGGGGAAGACCAGGACGAGGAAGAAGAAGATGAAGGTCTTCAGGCCGCCGCCGAAGAAGCGGGTGACAAAGATGGGGATGCCGACGAGCAGCCCGATGAGGATGTAGTTTGACCACGACTCACCGCCAGGGCCTTCAGCCGGCAGGGGAGCATTGGCGATGGTAGGGACCTTGAGGAGGGGGTTAGCCTTGATGAGATTGGGATGGAGCCGATTGACAATGGTGCCCGGGGATGCTCACATTGGTGACCTCGACGCCGCAGTCCACGCCGGTGCCGAACTTTGACGGCGGAGGTGGGGGGGTCGCGATGAAGGTGATATCACCCTCGAGCTCCTCGCCGGGAGCTCTCTGTGAAGCCATTGTGGTTGATTTGGGGGTGTTGGAGGACGGTGATGCAGGATGTCCTCGCGGCTCTCGAGCTGGTGAGCTTAAATGTGAGGGCGACAAGGCGGTGAGCTGTCCTTGCGACGTTTTCACAGACAGCGCGGCAGAGTGGACACAGTCGCAGCGAGAGGGGACCAAGGGACCAAGCTATGCCGGCAGCGATATGCTGGCTCCACAATAATGCTGCTTGCAAGGCCGGCTCGGGCGCGAATTTTGCAGATTGTGTGGCATTTGGCTGGATTTCTTACACGCGCGGCAGCAAATTCGGTCCATACTAAGACACACACACACGGCAGCCACGGCTGCCACGGCTGCCACGGCAGCCCACGCTGCCCGGTAGGCCGGGTGAAGGCTGGGACACGCTGCCGTTGCAGGGTTCAGACATGGGACCCTCTCCCACAATCACGCGTTCTGGCGTTGTGGCGGCCTTGGCCATTGGCCCCTCATTTTGATCCAGGGCAGGGACTATGGGTTTTGTAGCATTGATACCCTGAAAAGTTCGAGACCTCTCTGGCAGTCTGGTTCTGTAGTATTTTTTGCTCTCTCTCTCAAACAGTACATACTAAGTAGCTTAGGTAACTCCGAGTCGTGTTGTTAGTTGTTGAAGCAAGCGAGCACCCGAGTGGGCCACTTTCCTCATGTACTTAGGTACCTACCACCTGCATTGATGCTCTCTACAGTGCAAAAGCTAAGACAACACAAAACCCGACAAAGACAAGAAATGCTTACCGCGTATAATAGATCCTCCTATTAACCACTGATTCAATTAAAACAAGATGTTCTATTGTTCGAGCAGTGAAAGAATCAACTCTCAGAAATCACATGTGCGGCTAGTATTACCTAAGTACCTAGGTACCTATGTACCTATTGGTCACTTATTAGGTATGACCAAGCGGCCGTCCTCAACGGCACTGCGTAACTTCAGCCCTGTTATCCATACGGCCTCTCGACATCTAGTCCAGCAATTTTACGGGAGATGGCTAAGATATGTTTATTTGATGCCCTTGTGATCTTATATTCCAGGATGGATTGTTGAAGCTACCATAGTTCCCATTCAATTCTGAAGTCGTCACCAACTACTGATGAGTTATTTGAGCAAACGATAGTTCATTGTTTGATGTTAGGGAGAAGTCTACGATCTCTCCCGGCGCTCAGAAGGAGCGGGTATAAGTGTTAGTTGGGAACTTCCACCCAGGTCCCCATGGCTTCGAGAGAGTTCAGCTCCTTTTCTATGGCGACAAGCTAGTTTGGCTTTTCGGAACTCTTTAAGGCCTGTATATAGTTCTACGAAATATCATCATCTTAAGTTACTAAAAATATAGTAGTAAAAATAGGTAATTTATTATAATTAATATTAGTTAATATTAATAAATATATAATAGATTTAATAATTATAATAGTTAATTTATTTAAATTATTATTATTAAAGTTAATATTAATTAATACTAAGTTATTTAATTTAAAATTAGTATTAATTAATATTAAGTTAAAAAAGTTAAAGTTTATATTAATTAATATTAAGTTAATTTCTATATATTAAGTATTAACTCTTACTTTTATAAGAATTATATATAATAACCTCTTAAACTAATATTTAAAAATATTTAATAATTAACTTAAATAATATTATAAATAATTATAAAAATAATAATAAAAATAAATTTATAATTAATTAAAGGGATTATTTTATTAATTTAATAACTACTTTAATTAAATTTCTAATTAATTATATAATTATAAACTAATATTTCTTTTATTATATATAATTATTTATAATAATAATAATAACTTTATAAAATAATATATATAAAT